CAGCTGCGCACGTCCGTCTTCCATCCTGGGCCGCCCTTGGCCGCCCGCGAGCAGAAGCAAGCTGCGGCGGCGCGGCGCCAAATGGGGCAGGTAGCCGGAGCAACGGCGGGCCCGGCTCGGGCACGCCGGAGCGAAGTGACGTCGATACAAACACTGCGGACAACCCGGATTGTGCGAGGCGCTTACATGGCCTAACATTGCAAGAACGTGTATATTAGTAAGCCACTAAGTGAAATCCCTAACATGGGAAGTACATGCCTAGAACATGACACGATTTCGGACATAGGAAGAACATAGCACTTACATTCCCGATTTGGGAACATTCGAAATGTTAGCCCGAACAAAGGAATACCATTCCCTATGTTACGAGCTCCGACTTGGAGCCGTAAAAATATACACGCCCTTACAATGTAAATACCATGTGAGCGCTTCGCACAACGTGGTTCGTCCGCAGTGAAAGCCGATTGGCTCGTCCCATGCGGCCGATGACGGTGCTCGCTTACCCAATCGGGCACCGTTTGGCGCGGGTGCACGAATACGCGACGCGGACGAGCCGGCCTCCACCGCGCACACTGCGCGCGACACCCGCGCGGGCAGCGTCGGGGGCAGCGGGGCCACGTCGGGGCACGCGCGGTCGGACACCAATGGCTGTGTTGCGCTGTGCGAGAGACCTGGCAGCGCGAGAACGCGCGAGGAAGGTCGGCTCGGACGCGGATTGGACTCGGATTGGGTAGTCGACTGGGCAGATGCGCTCGGCAGGCGTGCCGAGGGCGAAGGCAGCGGACGCAGCGCAGTCTGCTGGGGTGCGCATGCGGACTGGGGCCGGGGACGGTGGCCGCTGCTGGCGGTGGCGAGCAGCGTGCTTTGGCCGAAAGCTAGGGGCTCGCTGCACAGATGTGACGAGACGGGGGGGAGGAGCGGGGCAGCGGTGGGAGGAGAGCTCGCGTGGGGGAGAATTTCCGGACCGAGATCTGAGATGCGCTGCCGAGTGATGCGCGCCATAAACGACTGCCCTCCGTCTCTTGTCCAGCAGCCATATCTCCCCACCCTCTCCGTCGTCCCTCACCCCCTCCTCATCGTCTGCAGCGGCGTCCCCACCATGCTCTCAGCCCGCCCCATGCAGCCCCTCCCCTCTCGATACCCCCACACCCGCCGCAGACCTCGCCCATCCTCCCCTCGTTCACTCCCCCGCCGCTCACCCATCACCCCGCATTGACACCTCCCCATCGACTCCTGCCACCGCACGCCCCATCCAGCCTACTGCGCCCTCAATACCGTTCCCTCCAGACCAGCGGCAGCTCTCTCATGCGCTGAACGCGTCTGGCGACGGCAGTGCCCCTCCAAGCAGTGCTTTCAAGGAGCAGGTTGGTCCCCTTGTCCTCGCCCCGTCGGTGCGATCCGCTGAGCTCAGCTAACCGTCCCCACAAATGCGCCTTGCTTCATCTCTGCCAGGCTCCTCAGCCAACAAGGCGGCCGTCCCGTTCGCGTTTCCTCTCCACAGCCTTCACTCCGCGCAAGCGGTCCCCGTCTCCCCAGAGTCCGGGTGAGCCTTCCGCCAGCGCGCCATCGGACACGCTATGTGTACCTTCCGCAAGCCGCTCTGTCTTCAGGCGTCGACCGAGCCAGTCCAACATGCCATTGGTCTCTAACCCGCCTTCTCCGCCGCGCGTGTCTCCCGACCGTGAGCACCCGCATCCGCTGCCCGACATGTCCGACAGCGCAGTTCCTACGCCCAACGGTGTGGCTTCTTCCGCCAGCTCTGTCAATACCAAGAAGGACAAGCATTTGCCCGGTCCTCTGCACGACCTCAAGCGATTCCTGAACCACCACATCCCTCATCCGCACGGGCATCACGCCAGTGCGTCTACCACTCCCGGCTCCATGGTTGCTGCTCCGCCTCCGGATACATCCGTCGCTCCTCTCGACCAGCGCCGTGGCGTGCACTTTGACCAGTCCAGTTTACTGGATGCTGCTGGTGTTGCGACGCCCGCAGGCTATCATAGCACTGCTCCCGGCACTCCGGCAAACAACGATTCGACAGACTACGTTAATGGTAATACAGAATCAGGAAAGCATTCATCACGCTTCTCGACCTTCTTGAAGAAGGATCGGAAGGAGGCCAGGGATAGACTTTTGACCGAGGGCCGTGTGCGGCCATCGCGCAAATCGAGCATGGGCAAAACGCCCTCGCCAGGCGCGTCCGACACTACCGGCAGCGGCAGCAGCAAGCGCAGCTCACGCTCGCCGTCGCGGACGATCGACTCGCAGTCGAGCCCTGCCTCTGGGTCTGGCTCGCCGACCTCCACTGCACCCACGACGGCCCCTCCTACGTCGAGCTCCGGCCACTCAGGGGAGACGTCCAAGCACTTTGTCGCTCCGTCGGCACATCGCGACGGCCACACGCCGGGCTACGTCGTGCCGAGCCTCTCGACGGCAACGCACGCGCACCTGAGCAAGAAGTACGGCAAATGGGGTCGTGTGCTCGGTAGCGGTGCAGGCGGAACCGTGCGCCTGATCAAGGCACCGGCGAAGCAGGGCGGAATAACGTTCGCGGTGAAGGAGTTCCGGCCCAAGAGACAGGGCGAGAGCGAGCGCGAGTACCAGAAGAAGGTCACTGCGGAGTTTGTGTGGGCAGCACGCTCAAGCACAAGAACATCATCGAGACGGTGGACATTGTCACGGATCACGGGCATTACTACGAGGTGTGTACTGAGTGTTTTTTCGTGCTAGTTCGTCCTCTGACTGCGCATATAGGTAATGGAGTATGCGCCATACGACCTCTTCAGCGTGGTTATGTCCGGAAGCATGTCGCGCCCCGAGATCTACTGCGTCTTCCGGCAGATTTGCGACGGAGTCGAGTACTTGCACTCGCTCGGGCTCGCACACCGCGACCTGAAGCTCGATAACTGCGTCATGACGAAGAATAACGTCGTGAAGCTCATCGACTTCGGCACCGCGACGGTGTTCCACTACCCGGGCAAGAAGACGACGCTCGCGACGGGCGTCGTGGGGAGCGACCCGTACCTCGCACCAGAGGTCATCAACGCAGAGAGCTACGACCCGCGCAAGACGGATGTTTGGAGCGTCGCGATCATCTTCATGTGCATGGTCCTCAGACGGTTCCCGTGGAAGATTCCGGATTCGAAGACGGACGCGAGCTTCAGAGCGTTCGTCCAGGCGCATCCTGACCTCAGCGAGAAGCCCAAGGAGACTCCGAAGACGATCGAGTGCGCGAACTCCCAGTCATGCGAGAAGCTCCAGGATAAGAACGGGCTTCAGGAAGAGCAGCCGGCGGAGAAGTCGAAGGCACTGTCGATCGCGTCCTCCAATACCTCCGTCGCCCGGTCGGATAAGTTGTCGAGAGACGGCTCCCGGTCATCTAGCTCGGGGACGGAGGGCTCTGATATCGAACTGGACCCGCGCCGCAAAGTGCTTGGCTCGAGCGTGCTGTCTCGCTCGACCGCGACGTTGCCCGCCGTCTTCTTGAATGGCCATACCGACGCTCGAGCGGATCCTGACCCGTCTGTGCGCAAGTTCGCGCGCCCTGCGGACTCGACGGAATCCTTGCCTGCGCCGCCGTCGCCGCAACTGTTCTTCAAGCCTCCTCCTGTCCACTCTGATAGCGGCTTCACAGCGCTCGCGCTCCCAGCTGCACGGATAGACGGCAAGCATTCGAAGGAGAGTACTTCGGGCTCCAGGACGGAGACACAGAATGAGCAGGCGCGCGAAGTGCAACTCGCGACCACCGAGGCTGCCCAGGGCGCAGTGACCGAAGCGCAGAAGTCACAGTGTAGCACGACGAGTGACACTCCGAAGCCGTCGACGACTACGCCCACCCTAGCTAAGAAGGATCAGAACGCGACCATCCGTCCCCGGCGGCGCGCGGACAGCAAGGCGAGCGTCGCTACCTTTCACCAAGGTGGCGCCGAGTCTATCTTCCGCCTGCTCCCTCGCGAGTCGCGTTCTGCGATCCGGCGCATGATGCATATAGAGCCCTCGGCGCGTTGCACCCTCACGGATCTCCTTTATGGCAAGGGCAAGTCGGACGACCTGCTCTGCGGGTGCCGTTCGCATGCGCGCGACGGCCCGGCGTGCCAGGACCACGCACATGCCCCAGAAGACCAAGACGACGGCGATTCGTGGCTGCGGAGCATCGTCCCCTGCTCGGAGCCTGGCGCGAAGCCGACCCACACGCATATCAAGGTCGCCGTCGACGAGAAGCAGGGCAAGCGGAGGTTCTTTTAGCAGGCCTCTATGTCTTTGTCCCTTAGGCTCCCCCTCATGTCGTCTCCGCCCACGGACTCGCATCGTTCCCCATGCATCATCCAGCATACAGCATAGGTCTGTTCCCAGTTCTTTATTGTTCATCTTCGTTGTTATTCCCATCGCCGTCGCCCTTCGCTCGGACGCTCGCATCTCACAGCTGTGCATAGAGCCCGCCTGCTTGCTTCATCTTCGTCTTGTTTGGGCCGTTCGTCCTGCACGCCCTGCCCGTTCGTTTGCGCCCCCGCCCGCGTCCGTCCTGCATGCGCCCGACGATCCTTGCCGTTGCCATAGATCTTCGCAGCGGGACGGGGCGGTCCAAAACACAAATGTACATGTTTATGATAGTGAAGTTAGAGAAAATGCTCCTGTACTAGTAATAAAGTCTAACCAATACTGCGATGCATTTATTTGGACAGTCTGGTGCTCGTGGGTCAACGTGCCTCGGCGGTATGACGATGACACGTAAATGAGATAAGATGAGTGTATTGCGAAGGTTCTGAGTATCTAGGGAACGGAGATGAAGTACATGGCAAGCAAGCAAAGATCAGTGGGATGCTTCTCCCTCGTTAGAGCTCGTCTCGGCGAGGTTTAGCTTCGCCTTCGCCGTTGCCCTTCGACGCGGTCTTCTTCTTCCCGGTACCCTTTCCCTGGCTGCCCTTCTCGTCACTTCGCTTCTCATCTTTGACGCCATATCCTGCCGCACGGAGCGCATCTGCCAGCTGATCTCCTGCCGCATCCAGCTGGACCTGAAGATCTTCGCCGCCCAGATCGAGGTCGAGGTCGAGGTCGATGAACTCGATCATGACTTCGCCGCCGTCGTCCTCGAGGTCTTCGACGAACACGTCCGTGCCCGGCCCCGTCCTCATCGCATCCTTCTCCAGAAATTTGGCGAGTGCCTGGCGGATGATGTCCCGCGGCACCTTGGGTTCCGTGGCGGGTTCCGGTGGAGGAGGCGCGATGACTGGTTTCGTCTTTTTCGGCACCTTGAGCGGGCGGTCCGCAGCCTGCAGGGACCTGTCCGCGCTCTGGTACTCGGCCTCGTCGAGGATCTCACGGCAGCGGATGAAGGCTTCGTTGCGGTCGTCGACACGCGACTTGAAGCCGGGCACACCGCACAGCCGTGGGGTGGCGATGTGCAGCACGTAGTGACATGTCAGGGTTTCCTTGACGAAGAGGATGGTGTCTGTCATCGTCATCGAGCAATGGAACTGACGTGGGACCGCAGGATCGTCAGCGCTGTCGCGGAATGCGAGAAGCGAACGGCAGGCAGACCTGGACTTCGATCTCACGCTTCTTGCCCGTCTTGTCGCAGTGCGACCCGTCGCCCCAGCGCTGCACGAGATAGTGCGAGCGTGCCCCGCGAGCGAGTTCGACGTTCGCAGCGATGGCGGCCTGTTCTGCAACGGTGAGATCTGCGCCGGGTTCTGGAGTCGGTGGGGCTCGCCCGAGGGTGTAGGCTTCCCACTGCAGGAGCGAATGATTAGCCATGTGTCATGCGCAGCGATGCACAGATACTTACTTCCGCGTCTTCCTCGGGGGTGTATTCGCCTGAATCGACATCAACTGTTGGGTTACGCTAGTGGCTGTAAGGGGAAATGGGCTCACCGTGCCGATTGTTGGCCTGTTGAGGTAGCTCGTGGAATTGACGGACATGTGAATTGTGGCAATAAGCATAGGTGAACCAGCCTTGCCTGTGCTAGAATCTCATTCATTCAGAGCGCGCGCAGCACTTGACATTGTTACTCACGTAGAGGCACTTGCCGTTAAGTGGTTGCAAGAGGGACCAGCCGGACAGTGGTGATACGTCTGGTTCCGGTTCGTTCGCGATGGTTGCAGTGCTTTCGTCTGGTGGGGGCGGAATAAGACACAGGTATGTCATCCGAGGACCCAGCCGCATGAGTTCTAGGCTGTAGGTGGATTCCGTCCGGGGTCTGGCTGTCCAGAGGGCGGTCAATACCGCACCGCCGCTGCCCAGTTGACAAAGGAATCACGGACTGCAGGTGTGGAACCGATGCCCTGGTCTGCACCGCCTTCGATGCTCTTGGGCGAGCCACTATGCCATGCTGTTTCGCTCCACTCCCATGTCTCGTCGAGAAACTCTGCCTGGCCGCCCTTGAGGCCTTCGCGCAGCCACCGCTCGGCGGTCTCGTTCAGGACAGGGAGGCCGTTCACGTACGCCACGCGGTACTTTGGGAATGCATAGGGATCCTGTGGGAGCAGCGAGCGGTGCAGACTCGCCGACACAAGAAGCGACAGCGAGAGGGGCACCAGACACAGCGAGAGCATTGTGCGCGACGACGAGGCTGAGCAGCAGGAGAGCAGTCCGGGAGCTCAGCCACCGCGACGCGGCGTCACGTGCACGGCGATGTGCGAACACGTTGCAGGCGTTGTGGCGCGAATGAATCGGAGATCCATCGGAGAGGGCGCGACTCCCGCGCGGCGCCCTAATTGAGCTGCCCAATGCGGCGAATCAGAAGGGCGAGCTAACTGATGGAATACGCTCTCCGCCGAGACCGAGGAGGAGAGTCCCGAGAGACCTGGCGTCGCTGCTCCCCGTCTTGCGGACGTGCATGGTGCTGATCGTGCGACGTCGTTGATGCGCACAGCGTGCCTCCCATTCCGTGCCCCGACGTCCGCCACATATCGCTGCGGCTGGGGAACGTCGACGGCATGTGGCCGGATATTTCCTGCTGTTATCTGATTATAATGTTCTGCATAGTCCATCAAACACTCCCTGACTAACAAAGTCCGCCGAAAGAACAACTATTTCGTTCCTGGCCAGGTGGGTGTCTATCAATATGCGGGGAGCCTCTCGCTTGTCTCCCAGTCCCCCCAGCGAGCACATTGGCCCTTCTCGCCTGACACGGCGTCAAGGAGGGCGGCTGAGCTCGCCTGGCGGTCGACAGAATTACGTACGATTGGCCTGTGAATCTCGTTTTCATGGAAGGCCTGATTCTCCAGATAATAATCACTCTTTTCGGGAATATTGCACGCGAGAGAACTCTATTAGGGGAAATACTCGTTAAAACGAGGGCACTGAACACCTTTCGCGCTTCCCTCTTCCCCTCATCCCGCCTACCGTCCCCCGCCTCCTGTCAGCCCCTCCCCACCATGCCGGACTCGCCGCCACGCGAGGACCCCGCCGAGGACAAGAAAGACGAGCTCGAGGACAATGGCGGCGAGCCAGAGACTGGTCAGTTAGGTTCCAACTCCGGTTTATGCGGCAAGCGCGCGCGTTCTCATAGTCCCACTACTGTGTGCTACCAGCTGAAGTCGAAGCACAATTGGAGCCCGCACAGCCCGTCAAGCGTGGACGAGGCCGTCCACGAGGCTCGAAGAACAAGAAGACTCTTGCTGCCAGGCAGCCACCACAGGCAGCTCAACAGCAGGCGCGTCGTCCGATGCTCCCGTGAAACGACCGAGAGGCCGTCCGCGCAAGGTTTGTCGTCAGACCATTGCTCGATTGCTGTGAACATGATGCGATCTTCCTTGTTCTCTTCACAGCGGCCTGCGGAGGATGAGGCACCCTCGGAGCCGAAACCGAAGCGTAAACGAGGTAGACCACCCAAGAACAAGCCCGCTGAGGCCCCAGCAGAGCCAGAGGGCGGCGAGGGTGAGGCAGAGGCCGCGGAGTCGAGCGAACCTCCCAAGAAGAAGAGAGGACGACCGCCCAAGAACAAGAACGCCAGCTCCTGAGTAGCTGAGTTACTACTCCCCTATTCCTCGCACGACCTGTCCTGTGGACAGATATATCCCTCGACGACTACCCTACGCATCGAGCGACCGCCTCACGACACGCCACGCCACGATCTAACCCCTGCTCCGCCTTCTCTACCCTTGAGCTATTTCTTATTGGCCCGTATGCTACGGTCACCTTCGCTACTGTTTTCGGTGTTCATCTTGTCGGCTATGTTGAGGAACGATAAATTCTCGTGTATCCGGATCCCAGAGTATGCCTGCCCGTCCCTATTGGCACTGGCAATTGCAATCAAGTACGCTTCCCATGGATAGCAGAGTGCACGAGGGGGCGCCCCTTGACGTGCAGTCTAACTCGGGGAAGCCCCTCAACGACCGCAAGTTTTTCCCAAAGCAACGCTCGGTGATCCCATCTTGACATAACAGAATATCATTGGTGCGTTCTTCCCGCGGTGACCTTGTGATTGGACAGTACGTGATAGAAATTGGACCCAAATGCCCATTTGGAATACAACTACCCTCGATTATACAGCCGGCGCCAGACAGATACGGCGACCAGGCCGGCGACACTTAGCCCCGTCACAGCAGTTGCCCACCCTGCATACTCCAGTACACGCCGCTGGTGGCCACCCTGTGTCTCGCGGTAGAGTAACTGATGTCGGGACGAAACGTTACCATCGTGTAAAGAGGCAACCAGCCTGCGGGAGACTTGGAGGGAAACGGCTCGCGAGAAAGAGACGGGATAAGAGCGCTGAGCGTCGCTGCCCTCACCGTGAGGGAGTATAGAATATTATCCAGCGCATGGCGGATGAGGTAGGCAGGTGTCACGACAGAGTGCCGCATCTCCACGCTAACAGCGTGGAAAAGAAGGCGATTAATTAGCTCCGACAAGGACCTAGACCCTGGAATAATGAGCACGTACTAGTTGTCCATGGCGAGCTCACAAATAGATACCAGGTCTGCGTGCCTGCTGTCTGAGTAACGGGCTAGTGCTTCCAGGAGACGATTGTCTTCTTTCGTCTCTTGAACGGCAGGGTTCACTTGCGCTGTGCGCAAAATTATGTCGAGCACTCGCACGTCTTCTAGCCCGCAATTCAGACCTTGGCCGTAGAACGGCACCATTGCGTGAGCCGCATCGCCGATAATTACGACACGATCCTTGTAATGATATGGCTGGGCCTTCAATATTTGATTGAATGTTTTAGACTGATGCGAATATTTGTATTGAATCATGGCAGACACACACCTTAATCGACATGAGCGAGCTCCGTGGGTTTCGTTTGAAATCCTCCAATAGTGCCTGCTCGCCGATCAGCGGCAAGGCGTCCGGAAAGTGGGCTTTGAAAAACTGAATGATGGTCTCGGGTGTGTTCAGACGATCGAATTCTGCGGTGGGAGCGAATAACGTGCAGGTGAACGTTTTGTCCTAAAACGCATGTAGACGTCAGGCACTCTCCTGCATGCAAGGACGGGGAACCTTCTAACCTTGTTCGGTAGCGCTATGAGCATAAAGGTATGGCGCGGCCATATGTGAAGGTGATTCGCGTCAAGGAGGAACGATGGATCGCCGCCGGAACTCATGGGCGGCCAGCTGGCATCTTCAGCTCCAAATAATCGTGAGGAATATATCTTGCTGGTAGTCCATCCTGGAAAAAATGCGCGTGGAACACATGCGTCTGTTAGCGACACCGACCTTGAGAAGCATGCTAGGGCTGATAGAGAGAATATCATGAGGACGGTAGGAAAACTTACCGTACGACCCTCATCAACTGGCGCCGTACGATTGAGTAGGCGCCATCGGCACCCACGCAGAAGTCGAAAGGTACTTCTCTGTTCTCATTATCCGTGTTGTTGCTGACGACCATGATGCCTTTATCGAAGTCTAGCGATATGACTTTGTGCTTGAAGAACGCGGAAATATTGGGTAGCGCCAAGCCTCCGCAATAGGTCCTCGTTCATGAATGCTCGGCCGATTGAATTTATACACTACCGCATCAGCGTCAGTACAGCGGCGGTGCGAATACATGCAGGCGCTCAGGAAGGACGAGGCGCACCTGTCCATCTTTGTCATATGGCTGGCTTTCCTGGCGGCCACCAACATGATGGATCATCCTGCCGCGCATGGGAATGACAGCCTTGAGGAAGCGTGCGGCCGCGCTCGGGTGGATGGCTTCGATGGCGGCAATCCCGCGTGAGGACATCGCTAAGTTAATAGAGCGTTGCTGGGCCGCTGCCTTCGAGGAAGGCAGACGCATGTCTGCGATTTTAGGGCGATTGATACGCATCGCACGAGAGAGACACGAGCTTGGCTATACCTGGACGACCTTCGTAGATCTCGACGGTCCAACCCATTTTGGCGAGGGAAATTGCGGCGAGACATCCCACCGGCCCTGCGCCGACAACAACAGCCTTGCGTGCGGATGGCTGAGCGGAGGACATCATGAGCTGGCGAAGGGGAGACTAGTGTTTTCCGCGTCAGAAGTCTTTTGTCCGGAAAAATCCGACGCGCACATCAGCTCACCCGTCAACGGCTCTAGAGTCTCTGTCTGCTTTCCGGTGTCAACACGCCAAGCAGGGCCCTGGCGATTTTCGTATATGACTCCTGCACGGTGAAGGGAGTGAGTGACCTACGGATCTCTTTCGCGGTGCAGTGCGAAGGTCCCGGACAGACGCTAGCGTGTACCTGGGTGTTCGAGAAGTCGCAGCCGAGGGGAATTCAACGGCCTATGATGTCTGTCTGTGATCGCACATGCGGTTTGGGAGAGGCATGCACAATCCAGAGTCCGATGGCTGCAGCTTCCTGACAAATCCGGAAGTACACAACGGCCCTAGGCTAGGGTTGTGACGTGTGTGACCCTACACAAACTTGTCTCAAACATTCATTATTCGATCTCGATTGCGATTGCCACGTTCCTCCCCCGCCACCGGCCATCTCTTGCCCAATCTCACTACCACGAATGCATCTCAAGCGCTCCGCATAACGTCGTTCATTGTGTGGACGAGACGAGCACGGTCTCAAACCTTGTCCCGGAAATCGTCTGCTCTCGCTCCGTAACGCATACGCCCTGACCTTTGTCCGCCAGGCTGGTGGAAACTTGCACCAGTATTCTTCTCCAGCTCTCTGTGGCAATAGCGATGCCAATCGGTGGTCGTATTGACTGCTGAGCAGCCCAGGCATTTCAAAGAACCTGAGAAACGAAGCCTTTCAATAAATCGGCTCCGTCTACCGCTATCGTGCACGATGCCGTGCGCATGACGGGCTACGATATGGTGTGTCCTAATTCGCGGTTCTAATACACGTCCAATGGTCCTGGACCGTGACACGCTGACCCACCCATTCATCTGCGACCACCCACATTCGACGGACATGCAGACTGGCCTGCGATGGACCACACTTCGCGACCCTGAGTCAGGTACGGCCGCTGTGCTGTCTGCAAAAATTTAATGCGCACGTCCCCAAACTCTAGGTGGAATATTGGCACCGCTGTGTTCTGGCGCCGTGAAACCGGTCCCTTGGGCAGCACACCCGATATGCGGAGCTGTCGCACGCTGGGGCAGTACAATTGCAGCGACGCAATGGTGTCGGGCAACCACTCCGTGACGATTTATCTCTGGTATTTCCTCTTCAGATTTTCTAGTGATCAACTTATTCAATTGTGCCTCGTGCGCGCAATTGTTCGGCTTCCACTCCCCAGAGTCAGTCGCGCGAGGAGGGTGACTGTGCATAGCACCTTCGCTCCTTGCTCATCATCTAGAGACCACTACTAGTGAGTGGTCAGTGAATACTGACCTGTCTTTGCTTGCCCTAATTGCTGCAGTAGGACGCCGATGCACCCCGTCGCCAACTGTCTGAGCTGTGTTCACTGGTTTACAATATCTCAGCGCTCATCACCATGGCCGTACCCTTTAGCCACGAAATATTGAATACACAGTCGAAAGCCGGAATCAGCTGCCGGTTGATACGGATTAGGGGGGTATCATCCTCGGAAAAATACCTCTGCTGCCCACTCACGGTGTCTTCTGTCCAATTTATAGGGCTTTGATGGTGCCAACGACAGATGAGGCGTCGTCAGACCCACGTACATGTCCAGCATACTTCTGCTGTTCTCGGCTTCTCTACCTCTCTTCCTTTAACTGACGAGTTGCATCCATTAGCAGGAGCCTCATGTTGATGCCCTCAGTCTCGTTCTCACGTCCTGTAAGGCAGTGATTACTGCCTGACTCGCGCAATTTCATCCACGGCAGCTGCGCATCTGGGAGTTGCGACTGTACAGCGCTATGTGGCAGGTTTAGTCCCTGCACACCACCGCGCAATCGCCGCGGGACCACATTTCTGCCATCCGGTGGAAACGTACCGACATTTTGGCTGCTTCGAGGACGCTGCAGTGGTTTCGCTATTTCTGTTAAAAGGGGTATATTATGGTGATGTCTCGATTTGGACCGCTCGGTAAGTTCATGCTATGATCCAGATCTCGGGCCTCACGTTTACTGCTAAGTCCGTACTGGGTAGATCGACCCGGATGATTCCGTGCTGAAATCCACCTATCGGACTTTCTGCGCAGCCTGAGGGTCGTGAGGCATGGCTATCTATCCGCTGTACTTCACACTCGCCTGCAAGCCACGCAGATGTCGTTTTGCATTGCTCTCGTAATGAAGAACGGTGGATCAAGAACGCTCGCCCGCGTACCAGTCACCTGCGCCGCTGGAATGCCTCGCATGACCAGAAGGTATTGTTCTTCACCTCTCCGTCGGGCCGGCTCTACGTTGTTCTATTCGCTAGCGCAGCCTGCGCTCGCATACAAATCATCCTGAGAGTCCAAGAGGCGGCAGAAATTAAATTTCCGTACACAAGGCCGGTTTTTTCCGAAACTTCAATATCTGGACCCCCCCACCCTACCACCCCCCTGTATATTATTATTTTTCGGCGGTCCTGCCTCCAGACCACCCCCCCACCCTCGTTCAATCAGTGAAAAAAGTGCCTTTATATTGCTGAAAAATCTACAAGCCACGTAGAGTATGTGAACACTGCTCTATGACATCCGCACCTTCTTCGACGCCGTGTGAGTGGCTTAGTGAGAGCGCAGGCGGAGACGTGCACACGCAGATATGCAGGTACACATATGACCGAGTTGGCAGACAATGAAGCAGAGTGGTGATCAGGCAGGCGGGTAGTCGGCAGGCGGGTGGCATTGTAGGTGCCAGACGGGCGAGCATGCAGGCGAACGAGCCGGGAGATTCATTTGCAGCTAGATGGGCGAGTGTGCGGGCAGAAAAGCGGGCGTGCGCGCGAGTAAGCGAGTGCACAAACGCACGGTCAACTATTCGTACGGGTGTGTGCCTCCAAGCTGTTCAGCACAAGGATACGTAAGCAAGGGTATGGGCGAGCGGGCGAACGTGCAGGAGAGCATGTGGATTGGCGGGCAGGCATTTGAGCGGGTGAGTGGACGCGCACGAGGGCAGACAGACGAAATTTCGGGTTGACGGTCACTAGCTACCAGTTGTGCCAGATGGCAGACACATACCGAGGCAAATGAGAATCCGGAAGAGGGCATGCCGAGTAGGTGCAGACGAGAAAGTATGGGTGAGAAGGACCAGAGGCTGGGGGGATAGATAGAGGACAAACCGAATAGCGAGCTCAAATGTGCCGTTCCGGTTACGCCGCTACACACCAAACTCGCTTGATGAACTATCCAGACTGTAAAGTGCACTAGGTCGCAGACGGACGGCGAGGGACAGACCTTTGAATCGCTACTTGCCGCACACACAACACTTACTGAAAATACGTGCGTCGCCTTCTTGAGCATGCCGCGCCCGATAAACGAGCTCGAAAACCTCACGCGTCCTTGTTTGCGTGCTCGTGTTTGGAGTTGTCGCACAACGGTACGTCGAGAACACTGTTACAGTGTTAGCACGCGCAAGGGCCCGGGGTGAACGTTCGAGTCTTTAGCTGAGGACGTCTTCCCGTGAAAGGAAACGGTAGATAGCGGTAAAAGTCGCTTGCGTCCAGCTGAGGAGGAGCAGTGGAAAAGACGGCGACCTAGTAGTAGTACGCGACGAGAGCGCACTGTTGCTTCCGCCGCAGACGCACCCGCCACAAGCTCAGCCACACACTTGAGGTTCCGCCTGCGATCCACTACGCACATTTAGACTGCGATTGAAAATACCGACGTCGAAAAGTAGACTAGCCAATGGGCCACGTGCAAAAAGGGTTGTCTGCGTGTGACAGGAAGCTAATTTACAACTAATCCGACACTATCGACGGTCTACTTCGACCGAGTTGGGGAGGGTATGACGGTTTTTTCGACCTTCTGGTATAAAATTTCGGAATCGCCCATCCAAGGGTCGACCACCCTCCCCACCCCCGGGGGCCTTGTGTACCCGATCTGCCGATCCGCCGCCTCTTGTGAGAGTCCGATGATCATTCCGGCCTGCTGAACAAGGACGTAATGCCAGGACGTGCTTTGTAACTCTGCAGCTATAGGTCTCTGTGGCCGCGGCCGACTCGGGAATTTCTTCTATGCGCTTGCTCCGCTCTGCGCGTTCTATGAGGGTGGCATGTGACGCGTGCACGCGAGACTCGGAGAGAGGGATTAAGGATGTCGCATACATTAGTGAGTCCATATCCGAGAGTCCATGTCCGACAGTGGTACTACGAGGCAGTGATATGAACATGAAGAGGGGACTGCTGGTAGTATGTAGAGAAGATCCGCGGTTGGGCGAAAGCCTGCGCCCGAAGGGCGCGGCAATCCGACGCGAGCTTCGAGTGATCGTCTGAGCCTAGCCTGTGGTGGCCCGAGTCAGCCGCGATACCCGGGATGTAGGAGTTGGAACGACGCGTCGTGCTGTCCAGGACTCCCAGGATACTAGGAGAGGAGACGAAGACGTACCATTCTTAGCGCACCGGGGGCATCGCATGTCTCGCGAAGGTCGCATGTACCGCGGGCTGCGCCTGCAGGTATGGGGCCAGAATCTGCGCATGTTTTCGCAGGTACAGCTGGAAGGCGTCACTCTTCCATCTGCCCATTGTCTTGACAACCTCGAAGGGCACACCGCGCAGCATGTATTCCAAGGTTCCACCGATGCGGAGACTGTGTCCTTGGAGCTGGGGCTGTTTCGCTGCTTTCGCCAGTCGTGCCACATGTCGGGTGAACACGCTTCGTGTCAGAGGCTTCCAGACATTCTCGTTTCCGCCTCTCGCGTTTGGGCCAGCTTTGTATGCGAAAAGTGGCCCATTCATGGGCGGATCGTTGGCGGCGAGGTGGTTGAGCAAGGCGCTTACCGGATCAATGTCGCCTGCCTGTTTCGCGAAGCAGATGTCTTCGCCTGCGAGACTGGTTTTGGTTCGCGGGATTCGGATGACCCAGACCTCGTTTCCTTCTCGGTCAACGTCTTTCCGTATCAAGGCCCTCGTGACATGTTGCTCTGGATCGAAGGTGGTCTGATTCTTTACTACAAGCTCGCCGAGCCTCGCAATGGCGAAGAAACCGACTGTGAGCACAGCCCACACAGCTACGTCGATTGGGTCTTGCTGGTTTAGATGAGCATGTATGGATTTCAGATAGCCCGGAGTGTATGGCTGTCTCGCGCTGCGCTGCGAGAGGGGAGGGGCGAGCTTCAGCGCGCCTCGCAGCAGCGTGTCGAGTTCATCCTGGTTTCGGGACCAGGTTACGCCATGCAGGATGTGCCAGGCTCTGATCCCTTGTACATAGTTCCTGATAGTGTCAGCGCTGTAGGACCCGGCAAGAGTTGCAACAAAGGCGTGTAGAAGCACGTCACTGATCGGGGCCCGCTGGTCGTCCGGGATGTTCTTCTCGTCGCAGATCACATGATATACGAGAAGGCCCGAGCCATACACTTCCAAGGTCGAGTCTGCCCATGCATGGGCGAAAACGGCCTGTATGCGGTCCAGGTCCTCTCTCGACACTGCGACAGGAAAGCCTTGGCTGTCCGTGGCTTGTCGCTGCGAAGCTGCTGGGAGCCACAAACGGATGCGGTCATGTGCCAAGCAGTGCGGGCGTCGTGTCGATGGTGCGAGTTGTAGGTGCGCTGGGTATGGTCGCGGTGTTGCTGTCGAGACGCGCGTCGGGGGCAATGGTGCATTGCGCCGCGCATTACTCGGTCCAGGCAGAGAAGTGTCGGAGGAAGGTGTCATCCTCGTCCTGTGTTCCGTCCTCTGCAGCGTTGATACTGGTGAGTCCGAGCTGCTTGCTTCCGCTGGGTTTCGGGAGTTGGGACGAATGGGCGTGATCGTACCGATTAGGTCCGTCCACGATGACGTCGTCGATAAGCGGGCGGACGACTTCTGGGACGTCGACTGGAGGGAGGAGGAGGTGGTTTGGTGGGTAGTGGCCTCGAGATGGGTCGTCTGCCGGGTTGTGTCCGCTGGGTATGTAGCTGACGAAGAATTGGGTGGGATATCCCACCATCGCGCTATGGATGCGCTTGAACGCCTCGTTGACAGCTCGGTTCCGACTCCGTCCTCGTTTCCAGCCATCGACCACACCTGTGTTGTCTCCGAAAACGCGCACGCGTTCCGGGAGACTGGGGAAGGCGAGTAAGCAACGTACCAGGAGTTCGAAGCCGATTGCTTCCGCCCAGCCGATGTCTCGCCCGTCTCTGTTCCAGCCCGGCCGAAGGGTCCATGCTCGCCACCTGTCTCCGATGACAATTGCAATTCCGGTCCCGGAGCTTGCGTCGGAGTAGGCCTCCAATCGCGTGACTGGGAGGGGGGCTGGGATGGGTCGGGCGATGGGTTGCTGCGAGAGGGTAGTGTACCACCAGTCCAGGTCCGCGGGAGTTCCTCGAGGAGGGGTACGAGGCATGAAAGGACGGTCGTGGAAGATGCCCAGCATGGATTCCAGTTCAGTGAGGTAACATCGCCCTGCAGGGACCACCATCGAGGCGTGGAGGAGCTTACCATATAGCTTTTGGACCTCCTCCAGAGTGTGCGTTCGCGACGACTGCCAGTCGCGGATTGCCTGTCTGTACTTTTCGGCCTTTGCGGGTGGGAGGGAGACCTGGAGTGTTTCCAAGTTCCACACAAAGCCTGTGAAGGGGAACTCGTGTGAGAAAGCGATGTCCTTTTCGACTTGCCAGGGAATCCCCAGGGCCTGAGAGATTGTGTCAATGTCTGCCATACAACACGAGTATCGCGCGTCCTCGGGAGATCGAATGGACGCGGTTGCCAGATCTCGTATGGGAAAACGCATGTCTTCGACAAACTCGTCGACGCGGCCATCGGGGAGACGATCGCCACCATGCCATATGCGCCCGCCGTCACGGTGTGCACCGCCGTGATACTCGATCTGTAGACGCCACTGTTCGCGGGAACGGTTGTGTTCAGCAATGAATTCTCGCAGGATTCGGAAGAAAACGTGGTCGTCAACCCATTTTGTGATGGGGCCCAGTCCTTGTGATCGCATGATGTCTGCTCCGGCATCTGCCGCATGACCGTACACACCACCATTCGGCCCAGCTCCGAAGGCTGCATTCGTGTCGAGTAAGAATTGGTCGTTGTCGGACAGGCGGACAACCGTACCAGGCCACTGGGATGGGTCCAGGGGAATCGTGCGATAGGCTTCGGCCACGTCGCGGACCGCAGCCTGTGATCCCGGAGGGAGGCGTACACAGAGGAGGCACATGGCGGTGAAGGTGCCCCATGTGCAAGGAAAATCATCCGGTTGTAGCATTTGATTGATGGACATGTATCCCGCGCGCGACGAGTGTGGGTATGAGAAATTCTGTACCAGTCTGTAGGCATTTGGCTTGTGCGGCTTTGGAACCAACGAGAGCGGAGATGACTGAAAAGGGCCAATAGCAACTTCGAGGTCGTGTTGCGAGAAAGGGCCCAAGTATCTCCCCTTGCGCAGCTCCTCTTCGACGATGCCCAGGAAGATGGCTGACTGCTGTATGATGGTAGGGCTATTATCGGGGCAATGTGTAGCATGAAGACGTGGGATACCAATGTTGAAACCGAAACGGAGGCAGTGTACCAAGTGAGGATATTTAACGGAGAGGCCGGAACTGTGCAGTATACTGTCCCATGCGTCTGGGCGATAGGGAGTGATAGGGTTAGTTCTTCTGTGCCAGATTGCACGAATGCGCTCCGTGGTTTCTGCCTCCGCACCCCGAGCACTGGTGAATGTGCTTTGGGTTGGAGGACGAGCATCTCCCGGGTCGCTGCCAATCGAGACATATGGTCTCGCCGTCGGGGTTGACAATTTGCCCAGAGGAGTTGCGGCGACAGTTGGCTGGCTGGCCGTCCCACCTCGTGGAGGAGCGACATTTTCCAATCTCGTCCGATCCGTGCCAGCCCAAGCATATGGCGCAAATCGCTCTGACTGTGCGACTCGCGCCCCTCTGAAAAGACGCTCTGCCTGACCACGGAGCTGTCTCTTTGTCGCGCGCGTGACGCGCGTGCGACTCAGGATCCGCCGCGGAGTCTCTGCGACTACCTCTGCCCAGTGAGTTATACCCCGAAGAGTCTGCCCGGCGGTGGGCTCTCGGGGAGGGGGAACGCTTACGCCGTGACGGCTGCTGCCCCCACGAAGCACCTGACCCACGACGAGGTTCGGGGTGGCTGTCGTTCAAGTTCTCCATCTAAGTGGTATTTTATTGTACATGGTTGATTGTTCCACCCGAGGCGAAGTGAACCGCGAGGATGATGAAAGAAGGAAGAAAATAGAGGTTCGAATGCAAGGACATACCGGGGGAGGGGAGGGAAACGCCGTGGACCACGCCGGTCACAAGGAAGACCACGCCGGTCGTGAAAGGAAGACCACGCCGGTCATGAAGGGAAGACCACGCCGGTCGTAAAAGGAAAGCCACGCCGGCAATGAACGCAAGACCACGCCGGTCGTAAAAGACAAGACCACGCCGGCCATGAACGCGAGACCACGCCGGTCGTAAAAGACAAGACCACGCCGGCCATGAATGCGAGACCACGCCGGTCATGAAACACAAGGCCCCGCCGGTCGCAAAAGCAAGACCGCGCCAGCCGTGAACGCAAGACCACGCCGGTCGTAACGCGCGTGTTGGTGTCGCATGTTCGTATGGGTCGTGGGTGAAAGACGTCAGTGTTTCGATGGTGAAGAGAGGGAGAAAGATGACAGTTAGTGTGTGTCGGCGAATAAGGGCGATTGACATACCTGGTTAATGAGGGCCCGAGCGCGATTTGAGTGTATCTCAGCTTTGCATTCTTCGTACAGCTTAGGCGCGAACTCGCTGATGTCGTACGTTGCGTCCGTGACATTTTTGGCGATGATCTTTTCGTGCCAATCCATGCGCACTTCCTCGATATAGAGCATGAGGGCTTCTTGCCCGATTTCGTTCTGGCTGTCGCGGTGACCGACAATCTCGAGGAAGAAGTCCATGTACGCTTTGACCAAGGGCCGGGGCCACGCCGGAAGATCCGTGATGGTCTGGATGAAGACCGGCCACGCAATGACCATCTCCCGAAAAGGGAGGGATGCGTCGCGACGGATGCCCTTCATGGCGCGCTGCGAGGACACGGACGCGAGGCTGAGCCCGGCGTCGTTCCGAACGATGGTGTACGCCTCGTCGAGCGTGCTTCTGGTTTGGGTTTCTGCGACTTGGCGGGAATGAGCCGTGAAGTAGTCAAGTTCGACGAAAGCAAGTTTGGCCAGTTTCTCGCGCGCGTAATCTGGGACCCGTTGTCGTAGCTGGGTGGGAGGACCTCGAGAGGGGTCCACTGTCGCAAGCTTCGGCTTCTTCTTGTCGAGGGCCTTCTGCTCTTCTGCTGCTTCGCGACGTACCTCAGCGAGGCGAGCTTCGTCTTCGTTGCGTCTCCGCTGTGCTTCCTCGTCCTCGCGACGCTGGTCTTCTCGACACTGGTCGTGCCACGCCTGAAGATGCTGAGCATGGTGCTCCTGCCAACCATCTCGCAAGGTCTGGACGGCTTGCTCCTCCGTCATGGCACCGCCTGCCGTCATTGCCTGGCGAATGGCCGCGAAGGGAGCCAAGGCGTAGTTCGGGCAGACTTCTTTCGTGGGGTCCAGCACCCTCACAGGAATATCTTGCTGGTTGCCAGGGTCCATGATAGCTAGGAAAGAGAGAAAGCGAAGAGAAAGGATAGGAGACTGGAGGCTTCAAAACTCGTGGCTTGCGTGCCAGCGAGTGAGGTGTGACAGCGAGACGCAAGAGGCTCAAGCGCTCGCTGACACACGCGCATAGACTACACTTGATGGAAGCGCTCGTTCCTCGCGCTTCCTTCAAGCACTCAAATAATGCCGAGTGCTAGACGGATGGTATTATCGGACTCTCCGATTTTCAGTGGTAGTATAAATAGCATGCGAGACAATAACCTTATGGTACCGCCCAGAATAATCTTGGTTTGCGAAGAGGAACGCCGTGTCGACCCACATGTTCATAACCTTTCTCTATATATAAGTAGTAGGAGACTACTTACACTACCAGTGACCTCCTGAGGTTCACGCTGCCAGGCTCGGTCCCGAAAACCCATGCATAGCACGAGTCCATATCTCAGTAAGTACATGCATTCGGAGACGCTACGGTGTACTCAGGGCATGCGAGCACAACGACGCACCCATGACGCATCACGCTACTTTCGAGGCTACCCGACGCTGCTCAGTAGGTCGCGTTAATTGAACTAGGTTAGTCGACGGATGCATCCCACCAGTACCCATGGATCTGTTTGACGACTACGCCGACGACGGTGAGTGCTACGTTCATGAGCCAGAGGCGTCCCCGCGTCTTGTGTGCGCTGTGAGATCTGGGCATCGGGGTATGCGCCGGGTGATCGAGGCGGGGACTGCCGAACCGGCACTTGTGCGAAAACGCTCGGCGCCGGCGCGTCGACCTGTCCATCTGCCAGAGTGCCACCGTCGACTCTGCTCACCTCTATCTCTGCGGCGTACGCGTCCTTGTTCGCCCCGTCCGCCCGTCCCGTACACCCTCCCTGTATACCTCCAGAGCGCACCAGCTGTGGACGCGTGTCACTCGTAGGGCTCATGACGAAGAAGGCGGCAACCAGGAGGAGAGGGTCCATCGACGTAGTTGACGCAAAGGTTGCACTAGATCTCGCAACGAGGCAGAACTACTCGGAGAATGTGTTCCTCTTCGTCCCCAACCTTATAGGCGAGTGCATCTCCTGTGTAGTGTGCCCGTCTCTGAAGTCGCTGCGCGTGCGCAGGCTACTCGCGGATTATCCTGGCCGGAGTAGCGCTCTACTTCATGAGCTACCACCCCAAGTATTGTACCATCGCGTACTGTGTATCGTGCCTGCTCGACGCTGCGGATGGTCATGCAGCGCGCGCATTCAACCAGACCTCCAAGTTCGGGGCGGTGTTGGATATGGTCACTGATCGGTCTGTATCTCTCCTGCCTCCCTCTGCGTGCAGGCTGACTGAGACGGGTGAAGGTGCACGACATCGTCGCTATTGTGCTATCTGTCCTCGGTGTACCCGGAATACGTCATGGCGATCCAGTTCCTCATCACCCTCGACTTCAGTAGCCATTACATGCACATGTACAGGTATGTGGTCTAGCGCGGAACATCTCGTTTCATCATTCACAAGCTGTCTGTATCAGCTCGCTCCTCACCGGTTCGCGGAGCCATAAACAGATCACCAGCGACGTCAGTAAATTCCTCAAGTTCTACTACGACTCGGTAAGGACTCAATGATCTTCACGGAGATGAGTTGTTGATTTCGTGATTAGAGGACACTCTTCGTAATGTGCGCCGGGAACGAGCTCTTCTTCGTCGGCTGTACCTCATGAAGTGGGTGCACACACCATTATCGGTATCGCTTGGAATGCCTCTGCCCTTCTGGGGCACTTACACCTGGGCTGAGGCCATGACCTGGTTTGCGCGCCCATCTGTGCTACCAAGAATATTGTGAACGTCGTGCAGCTGTGGAAGGCATCCAAGATCCTGGTCGGCGTTGACCTCGCGGAGCGGGCCAAGGCGAGAGAGGAGGAGTTCAGAAGCCGAAGAAGACATGAGCGGGCGACGAAGGACAGAGTCGGACAGAGTCTTCTACCACATCATTATCGTACATGAAAGCTGTGTACTGTACAGACTGTTTCTCTAATGTCGCGAGGGTTTCTGGGCCTCCAGTCAATCGTTGCGCGACGTGCGTCGGGACTCGGCGGGCGCGCTCGCTCAGCAGGCGGTCACGCGACCGGGGAGAATGCGGCGGGTCGCGCGAGAGCCGGTATATTCTGTTTTCGAGCGTGTGTCATCGCAGCTTGCTCTCGCCGACCGTCCGCCCGACCGTCCTCCTCCCTGGAATTGGATGCGCTCCCAGTTGCTCGCTCGTCGCACGCGGTCACTGGTCAAGACCCCGCCCGTTCGCCACCGTGCCCTCCTCTCGTCTACTCACGCCCTCCGCTATCCGCGCAAAGACCATGCAGGCGCACCGTCGGCTACACCGCGCCTCACAAAACGCTCCTCGTCATCCGTGACGCCCTCACCTGGGGACTCCGAGCCATCTGCAGCCCCGCCAGTGCTAGCTAGCCCGTCGGAGCCGCCAAATGACGATGGACCTGGTGAGGAACCTGAGAAGCCGAGACGAAGGAGGTCTGTAGTGCCAAGTAGGGAGCCTGACCCTTCGCATCCTCTCCCCAATGGCTTGGATATTCTCTGGACTCCGGAAAACGACCCGACATCGTCGCTTGCCACTCAGCACGCGCTGCCGCCCCCAGAGATCTTCGAAGAGATCTTGCATAATCTGCACATCACGCTGCATCCGCAGACTCAGCATCGCGCAACGTATCCTCCGCCTTCAAGTCCGCCTGAGGAGCCGAACCTCGCTCTGTACTGTCCTATAGAGGGTGGCGATGTCTACATTGACGAGACGGTGCGTGAGATGGCACGACGGACCGGGTCCGAGGTCGTCGTCCTCGACTCCGTCCAGCTTGCTGCTGGTCCATGCGGAGAGTTCGGGAAGGGTACGTGTCGGCCAATCCTGATTTCTGTATTTGACTGACAAGTCTTTGTGCGCCAGCTGCTTCTGTACTGCAGCTACCAAATAACCCGCTGCACTTCTCGCCTTCTACTCCGTCTGCTCGGCCAGCCCCTCGCGCACCGAGAGAATGGGAGGAGGACGACTGGGATGAAGGCTCTCCTTACATGTCGATGGGACCGCCTTCACGCATGACGTTACAAGTACTCACCCCTACGGTTTCCAGGGCAGGTCGATCATTTTTCTCGCCTGCCCCGAGAGACAACGGGATGTCGAAGCTCAAGACTTTCTTTGACGATCTAATCAACATTGCTGTTGAATCTAATGCTGCTGAGGGCTCTTCGGCTTCGACCACACCCCCAAGAAGACCACGCATCATCTATATCCGCGATTTTGCCACGCTTGCTCCCTCATCTGCTTCATGGTACCCTGCTTTGCTTGCTGCTGTCCGCCAACGACGTCAAGGCCCGATCTCGCGACCAACATCACCAGTGCTCAACCCTACTACCATTGTATTTGGCATTACTCCGCCTATAGCCGGAGCATCCTCAAGTGTCTCTGGCTCTGGCCCTTCAAACCTCATGAGCCTGCTCATGTCACAGCGATCAACGTCCTCCGCCGCCACGTCCGGCGACCGGAAGCCAAAGCTCGAGTTTGGGGAGGACGCTGCGAGCGAGAAGGCCCGGGAGCGGCGGACAACAGGCCGTATGAAGCGGTGGGCGCGGAGTGGAGCCCAGGTGCAGGACATCCCGCAGCTCGCCTCGCCAGAGGACATGGAGGAGGCGAGCAACAAGGGCGGCAAGCCCGACATCGTTGTGCTTGGTGGCCAAGAGGCTCTCGGGAACATCCCCTCCATGATCGGCCCTGCGCTCTCTGCCGCCATGTCTCGTGGGGGCGGACGACCCGGCGGGAACCCGTCGACGGGCGAGATGAGCACGCAGTTTTATCGCACATCGCTTGTGCTTCCGAACGTGCGCACAGCGTCGCTTGAGAGGGAGACGCGGATGGCGCGCCGGCGGGAGATCAACGAGTTGACGATGCGCATGGGCGTCGCTGCCGTCGGAGGCGAGCTCGAGCCGCTCGAACGGCCTGCAGAGCCGACTGAGTCGTCAGAGCCTGTCGCAGAGGAGGCTGAAGAGGCCGGCGCGAGCAAGGACAACGTCGAGCAGCGCCTCTGGGGTGACTGGGGCAAGCACATCATACCCTGGTCGATCGTTCGCCGCATCGCAGACCGTGCCGTGGGGCGAGTGGTTGCTGAGCGGGCTGAGCAAGGCGTAGTGGTGCCCTCACTGGAGCCGACGCCAGTATCGTGGTCTGCTGTCTACGACGCGTGGGTTCGGCACCAGACGGCAGAAGGTCTGTGGAAGACGTTACTCGCGCCTGCCCCAGGACGGACTCGCGAGCAGCGTGATGACGAAGAGGGCGACGAAAAGGCTGCGGACGAGGATGCTGATGTGGACGAGGCTGTCGAACGCATCAAACGCGACCCTGACCTTGACCCGCACGAAGCCAGGCTACTGGGCAGCATCGTTGATACCTGTGAGCGATGTGTATTCATCTAGTTCTGCGCCATTCCTGACTTACGTTTGCTAGCCTCCCTGACGACGACCTTTAGCCAAGTGCACCTACCAGAACATACCGTTGACTCTGTACGGACTATTGTCTCTCTGCCATTGTTGCATCCCGCGGCGTTCCAGCATGGTTTGCTCAGAGAGCACAACATGACGGGATGCCTGCTCTTTGGACCCCCAGGGACTGGTAAGACCCTGGTCGTGCGAGCCCTCGCCAAGGAGGCTGGCTGCCGTATGCTGGCAATCAAGCCGTCGGACGTCATGGATATGGCACGTCGCCTTCTCGCTCCCCTTGACTTCCAATACCTAATAATACTCCACAGTACGTCGGCGAGGGTGAGAAGCTTGTGCGGGCCGTGTTCACGCTCGCGCGCAAGCTCTCGCCATGCGTTGTGTTCATTGACGAGCTGGATGCCCTCTTCGGCGCCCGGATATCCCGCGATACTGGCGGAGGCATCGCTCACCGCGGAGTCATCACCGAGTTCATGCAGGAGATGGACGGATTGAAGTCGTCCAAGGACAACGTCATCGTCATCGGCGCGACCAATCGGCCGTTCGACTTGGATGACGCTGTCCTCCGACGCCTGCCGCGACGCCTGCTCGTTGACCTGCCCGGTGAGAAGGAGCGGGAAGGTGAGTCAGGAACAGGGCTGTCGCAGTCGCACAATTGATTGGTCACATTAACTCCAGAGATCCTCAAGATCCTCCTCCGTGACGAGACACTGGCGGATGATGTCGACATGAAAGCACTAGCCAAGGGACGGAGAGCTTCTCTGGCTCAGACTTGAAGCGTAAGCTTTGTCTGATATCTGCTATCACTCGCGCATAATCACTTTCTGCTATAGATCTTTGCGTTTCTGCTGTATTAGATGCCGTCAAGGAGCGCGTCGAGGTGCCGTGGCGTTTATCGCAGGCCACTGACACGAGGAGCACAACACCTACGCCGCCTGTGGATGCTGCTCCTCAGCCTTCATCCGAGACCGCTGCACCGGCGAGCACTCCGCCCCCCGTAGCGGTTGAAGAGGCGCAAGGTCAAATCATGTCCGAGACACAAGTGCTACCGTCTGAAGGCACTGATATTGCCTCCAAGACTGCGCCGCCAAGCGAAGTTGCCTCGGAAATCGTCGATAGCGCCTCTCTAGTCATAACGAATCGAGGGCGGAGACGAGGGCGCGAATAGCGCCGACAAAGCTGAAGAGCCGTCGGCCGAGACCGCAGCCTTGTACAGCCGGACCATTCATCTGCGCAACTTCGAGAAGGCTCTCAAGGAGATCACCCCGTCCGCATCCGAGTCGCTCGGCAGCCTTTCGGAACTGCGCAAGTGGAACGAGGAGTTCGGTGAGGGACGAAAACAGCGCAAGCAGGTCGTATGGGGCAAGGGCAAGTTCGGATTCACCATCCAGCCCGTCGACGACTCCGGTGCAGGGCGCGTCATGCCCAGCTCTACGGATGTTAAATCCGCAGAGAGGACTCGTGCAGATACACCCCGTCCATCCGGGGCCGGCTCTGATGCAATCTGAGCAACTATCATGGTTGATTAGTCGCCGACAATATACGCAATATACGCAGGACTATAATGCAGCACATAGCACAACAATACATGTAGATCTGTATGGTAAACGGACACTGTAGCAGCCGTCCACCGGTCACCGACGGCTCTTGCGCTTCTGAGTCTTCCGGGGCTCAGGTTCGGGCTCCGGCTCGTCCTCATCAATATCCATACTGTCCTCGCGGACCGCTTTCTTCTTGTTCTTCTTTGCCTGTGTGCCCTTGGGCTGGGATGGCTGAGATGCTTGCGAGGGTTGCGAAGGCTCCGCCTCCGCCTCGGCCTCGTCGCCTCATCCTCGTCGCTCTCTGCTCGCTCCTCAATTGGCCGGCGGCGGCGGGTATCTTGGCCCTCTCTGTACGCGGCCTCTCCGATCCTGTCCAGCTTCTTCGCGCTGGCATCGGATGACCAGTTTGCCTGGCAGGTCGGGCAGTTTTGGGAGCGTTTCCTGTACTTCTCGAAGCAGTGCGCGTGGAGGTGTGTGTGGCAGTTGGTGGTGTAGCATGAGATCCCGCGGGTGACAACCTGCGTTCAATCCGTGCGTGAGTGAATATGCGCAATATGCACGGCTATTGGGACAGACCTCCATGCAAATGGTACATTCAAGAATGTTGTTGGGATACGTGCTTCGGAGGTATGGCAGCAACTCGATCAAAGTGCGTAGTGAAAGAGAATATCGACCGCGTCTGGGTGAGAACGGCAGCACCGGTCGGTGATTTGTAGAACTCGAATAGACAAATTACGGACCTGCTCTTGATAAGCCATCCTTTGGCCACGAAGCTCGAGAGGACGACCTCGGCTTGTGACTTGGTCATGTTTAGGTTGTTCGTCTCTCGCAGGGCTGCCATTGATGATATGCAAAAGGCTTCGTTCGGGGCCGACATGATTTGATGGAGCTGTTAGAATGCAATTCGCACTGTCAGAGAAACCTCGTGAAGCGAGCGCGTTCTGCACGTACCACTGCTTTGAAGTAGGCAATCTCGAGCGGCGTATACTCGGTAGCTAGCTGCGCGACCTCGTCGCCTTTGCGATTGACCTACATAGCATGCGTGAGACGCAGGATACAGCGGTGCGTTTGGTGTGCAACTCACGAGAGCACACATTTCTTTGCCCGTAATCTCGTCCGACATCTGCGCGAATTCCATGTTCATGGGGTTCAAGGCCTCGTTGATCTTGGTCACAAATTATCCCAAGAGTTTCTGTCTCCACTGAATTCGATATCGAGCGTGTCGTTGCGGCTACAGTTCGTTCTCGCATCAGCCTCTGGATGGACGCTCATAAGGTGGTCGCACTACCTTTGACGGCGTCAATGCATTTTCCCAGAGCTTCAGCGCAATCTCTCTGGTCATGACCCTCCGCGAGAGAACGGCTTGCAAGAAAAGGCGCTGCACGTCGTTGGACGAGACCATGGCGGCGGACTGGGTGAGGGCAACAGGCAGGAGACGCGTGAAAGACGCGACGCGACGCGTGCATGCTTTATTGGGACAAAACGCGGGTCACGCGCACCGCGCCCCTCGGGGAAGTGGCACTGTCGGACGCTCGCATGCTCAGACGAGACGCATGGAGAGCTCTGTGTACTGATGCGGGATATATTGAGAGTAGAGGCGAGGTGTGATACACGGTCGCGTAGACTATACAGATAGCTTGTTTGCGACTCCCCAGACAACCCTTCAGCGCGTACATCACAGATCATGACCAGACGTGTCCTTCGTGAATTCATTCCTTCAGACTTTCGGCACCCGTAGCGTTTTGCTGACCATCGCCGCAGCCATCGTCCCAAACATCGCACTCACAAGGTGCACCTCGCCCTTGCCCCCCTTAGAGCCCCATAGCGTGATGGTGCCAAGGGGGATGCCCTCCTTGCCATGGATCCATCCCATCTTCGTCCAGTATGTCAGAACGGCGACGAGGAGCAGAGATGTTGGTATGGGCAAGCCCTCGAAGTACTTGGACTTGCCCTTCGCGTCCTTGGGCACCGATGCAACTGTGGCGTTGAATCGTGCTAGGCGTGCCAGGCCGCAGCAAATGAACGCAGTGAGCACCACGGTGTCCAGGTATGTCCGCAAACCAACTACGAATGCAAGCAGTGCTGGTGCGACACCGAACGATATCTGTGAGACAAGTTAGCAGACGTGACGCGGCTGCCGCCAGGTACAGCCTGCAGGAGAGTCACTCACAAGATCTGCCAGACTGTCTAGCTCCTGTCCAGCATGCTACTCTCGTTCCTCCACCGCGCAACCTTCCCGTCCAGAAAGTCGAATGTCAGTCCAAGGTAAGGAAGTACGAGGGCCGACCAGAGGTAGTCCTCGTCATTGGTAGCCAGATAGTTCGCGGACATGAATATGGACAGAGAGGCGCAGACGCCGTTCGAAATTGTGATGAGGTCTGCCAACCGAAAGTTTCTACGTATCGCCAGCACACGGTCAGAGAACAGCAGGGAGTGATACAGCAGGGCCGGACGAACCTGACGAGTGAAAAGTGTCCATCTGTGTCGAGGTATTGCTGCAAGGCTGCCTTCTTGCTTGCCTCCATCGCGTGACTGCTCGACCCTTCCGCTTTCCCTTTCCCTTGGTTCATGCTGCCGTTCCAGTCTCGTGAGGTGCAATGGTCGACGCCGACAGAAACAGAGTACAGTGCGTGAAGAGATGAGTTAAGCTGGGGAGCAGCAAGGGACGGGCAGGAGTCGCATGCACAGCTCGCATGGCGCACGCGCGTCACGGTGGCCACTGTGACTCGCCAGCCAATCGCATCGCAGGCCCTGGCCGGTGCCAGTGCTCAGGTTCCTGTGTTTGAGCCCAGAGCGCATCAGAAGAACGGGGAACAGCGGCCATAGTATGCAGTGGCGGATAATCCTAGACAATGTGGAGACAAATACAATGACAACACGAAAAGAATACAGGATGGATACACAGCACATGTCGACCCCTGCGAACGCTTCTCGTCGCAACACGATCAGCCCACCATCACCACGTCCCCACCATCTTCATTCTTCGTGGTGACGCCTTCCAATTCCCGCTCGAGCTCCCGGCTTCTCGCTGCATACTGGTTAGGATGCGTGACGCTCTCCCCACCGCCGACACCTTGGCCCTTAGCCACACCTTGCCGCGCATGTGTGATCTCGAACACTCGTGTGCATGCGACGTGGTAGTGTCCCGCCTTGACTGTGCGCATAATATCGGGCAGGTCTACTGATGTGAGTCCTTGGCTGGAGTACATGGAGAGCAACGCTGTTTGCAGATTGTCGGGCGAGAAATGCCGGTAGGGACATCCGTGCGAGTCGCCTGTCCCCGGCTGGTCCGACGTAAGGATTTGCTGACAGCTACAAGCAGTCCAGTGAGTATGGCCGGCATTCCCATGTAAATCCCCGACTTACCTCTTGGCGGGGTAGTTGGCGCGCTTCCCTTCCAGACCGAAGGAGTGTCGGATGTTGTACCTGTACTCCTTATTGAACTTGTCCTCCTGGATGTTGCTGAACGATCTTCGCCAGAATGTGATAGCCTCCTCTATTGACAGTCCGAGAACCTAACGGGCCATGTCAGTTGGTGTGGTCGCGAATATTTGATCTGGCGACAGTCACCTTCAAGAACAGACCATACTGCAGTCGACCGAAATGCTTGAGATGCTTGTCTCTCCGGAGACACTCGTGGAGGTTGCGCATGCACGCGGGGAAGTGCTTCCTCGCCATGTCGTCGATCATGTCTGCAGTGATTTCATCTCCGCTGCTTGCCGTTGCTGTGCTCCACTCTGATGAGATACCGGCGAGGAAGCCTTGCGAGAGGTTGTCGAGGATGGGGATGATTCGCGTGTCCTCGTCTAGAAACGGTAGCGCTTTCGCTGTCATCTGTGATCATGTCAGTTGGTACCGAGGTCGCAGGGTCATGAGAGTACTCACTTCGAGGGCTCTCGTAAGGTTCGCTTGAAATTCCTGGAGGATGATGCTCGACAGTTCTCGGGTTGGTACATATGCCATACCACCCTTTAGAAAGACCCGTCTCTTCTCTATTAGGTCCGGTACGCGAGTCCACTTCACCTGTGGCATCATGTGTATAAAATCTGGATCTCCGCGATGATAAGACGCACCTTCACATAGGTTTCACTTGCAATCACTTCGGGAGTTGTCCAAGGTGAAGCCGCCTTTAGCTCTTCATGGAAATGCTTCTTCTCCTCCGACGAGACCTGAATGGCTGTGAGAGGTGCAAATCGCAGAACGTAACACTGGACATACGTCTTCCCAACCGAACTTGCGCGTCTTGAGAAATTCCGTTCTCTCTTCGGAATCGTCCGTTTCAAAGCGCACACGAAACAATGCGGTCTCTGCCTTCACAAATCGTCTCCGCAGCTCCTCCCTACACACGACTCAGGAGGGCATCTCTAGACGCAGCATAATACGTACGAACGGCAGAACGCCAGGCGCAGGACGAAGTGCCCAACATGATCTTTCTTCCGCTGCGGTTCTTTATCCACTAGAAGAGCTGTATTAGCCTTCAGTGGTAGGTAATTCTCGCATTGTTTCGAAGTGATTTCTTTGAGTTCATCCCATGGCCGGTTTCGGACGAACGACGACTCAATCTCGGCGAGGATGCGGAGACGGTCTAATGCGCAAGTTTCAAAATCTTCGATGGTTATGTCACCAAGAGGGGGCTTGTCGTAGCTAGTACAACACTGAGTCGCAGCGCAGTCGCGCATGGGGTGACTTGAACTCACAAGTTTAGTCGATGAGGATATCCTGTCGTGCCGTGATTCTCGACTTCACTGATCTTTTGTTGGGTGACAAGCTTCTTTCTATCGCCAGAGTTCTGCATCCTAGAGTCCTGAGCTGGCGAAGACCAAGCGAAGACTATGAAGGGGAAACGTGAAGATGATCGAGCGGTGAGGTCGACGCGTCTGAGCCTGTCTGAGCGCGTTTGTCGTCCTTGACGCGTGAGGTCACAAATGGACACGACATGTCACAGCTTACGTGTCACGCATCCAATTTGCCCATGCCGGATCCCTTTCTGAGTTTCCAGTTCCACTTCAACTTCAGACATTCGCCCATTGCAGGGATGCAAACAGTTAAAGCATTGGACAAATAATCGACGACTACGTAGACAATATGATACACTTGTGTAGTCGGCCAAGGATGCGCATTTACAGATACATATCAGAGCATATACCGACAACGATAACATAGCGATTGGATCCACTTCTATACCACAAAATAACGATGCGACGAAGGGACGCTTACTGCTCTTGAGCAGGGTGTGGTTGCCTACGAGGACCTTGCTCGGCGCGCGGATGGTAGTGGTCCTCTCGGGGCGTCTGGGTCCACGTCAAACGTCACGCCAGGCCGGCGCCGACGCGTGCCACGACCACGAAACTCAGCTTCCTCCTTGTTCCTCCAGTCGTGTGTAGCCGTCTGCGGGTCGCGCAAAGGGGGAGAGAGTCTTCCTGCGGTGGAGCTTCTGGTAGAGTCGGCCCCTGTCACCGTATTGGCCTGATCATCACATCCGTCAGTGTGCTGTCGGGAGGGAGTAGAGAACACCTACCACAGTTCCATCCACCGCTTCAACGGACGCTGCAGATACCGTCCGATGACGCTTCGACAGCAACGGAATGGACTGAACATCTTTGTAGGGCTTCTCCCACTCAACGTAGGCATACCATTCGAAGGCGGCACCCCCATACCCGCTGATGGGACCGTCAGGTACTCTACCGCAGGAGCGGGTGGTGCGGCCTGTGCTGGGATGTCAGCATGTTCCCTACGACGAGGCGACGCTACCACTTCATATGCCGCAGGACGCGTAGATTGAGCGGGGTTTGCGGGAGGAGGTGAGCGCACGCTAGACGGTGCAGGCGCCGAATCCTGGCGCTTGCGAGGGCGAACATCACGCTGAGATTCCACAACAGTCTCTTGCAAAGGTTTGGGAGGATTCGACCTGGAGCGGAAGAGCCCAAAAACCCTCCCTTCTTGCGGGAGTCTTTATCCTTGTCCTTGTCTTTGTCCTTGGCCAGCTTCTGCTCTGCGCCTCGAGACCCTGGGGGGAGGAAGCTCGAAGCGTTCGAGTGCTGGCGGGGTAGCATCGACGGTGCCAAGGACGAAGGAGTGAGCAGAGATCCTGATCCGAGGCAGCTGGAGCAGGTTGCGTGGCTGAGCGACTCTTCGTATGCGCCGTGTTCGTTTGAACAGTCAACGGAGGACGGGTTGCACTCGCTGGATAGTGAGGCTCAGAGGCAGCGCGAGAGTGATGCGTAGGAGGGACGGTGCCTGACTCCTGCGGGCGACGAGTCTGCTGTGTGGGAATGTGCTAGAGCGTGGCGGTGCAGAGGATGGCGGGATTACGGACGACGGATTCGCAGGAGACGAGACATCATAATGCTGCTTGGTGTTCACTGTCGGCGCCAAGGGTGGCGCGGAGCGAGGCGGACGCTGCCCTGAGGTGTTGTAGGCATCCTGTGTACGTGCACTATAGTCCGTGGACGGTGGCTGATGGTATCCGCGAGTGTTTGCTGGTTGGGATTGTGCCATCGAGAGTGAGGCCCCTCTCGGAGACAAATAGGACGACTCATGCGCTGGCGCAGAAAGACTAGTAGGGAGTGCAGGTCTGGAGGACGGTTGTGTGTTGTATGACTGAGACGCAGGAGTCGATGGATTGGGAGCTGTAGATGATGCACGGTACGGTATTGGTATCGGAGCAGGCGAGCGGTATCGAGTAGGCGGTTCTGGGTATCCTGACAATACGTTAGCAGGTCGTGCAGTTGGGGTCATGTCCGGACGTGAGGAGGCGTGAGGTTGAAGGCTGCCAACGCTAGTGCGATGGTTTAATGTTTGTTGGTTAGGCTGAATGCTGGGCGAGTATTTCGAAGCACCACTTTGTTGAATCGTATCGGTCGACCCGTTTCTGTGCGCAGGCAAGTGAGACGCCGAATATTGCCTGGGCGTTGAATCGAGCGGTGCTGTACTCGCGACGCCCGGAGAACGACCGACATAACTCTGAGGTTGGCGTCCAGGGGAGTGACCTCCAGCACCCTGTTGATTCACATGTCCATCTTGAGTCGGCCGCGCATCAGCGTAACGTGCCGAGGGTGGCGAGGATACGCCTCCAGGGAAAGTGTTCGACCATTGTGCCTTGACATCAGGTGGACGAGCGGGCGTGAACGTTGCTTGCGCTACGGTGATTGAGTGCGCAGTAGGAGGAAGTACAGAAGCCATCTTCGCAGAATCATGCGAGGCCCCGTTCTGCGCAGGAGGGAAGGTTGACGTCTGATACTGGACTGACAATTCCACTGGCCGCGCCCGAGGGGTCTTCTCGTCCGTCTGAGAGGTATTCGTCCTCGCTACACCTGGAATTCCATAAGAGCCAGGCATAGGCCCACCACCAGGGTGCATGTATTGCTGTGGTGCATTTGCTGGTGACGAAGGATAAGCGCCGGGAAGGCGCACATCCGAGCTCGAATATTGCGGCGTAGATTGCGGCTGCTGTCCCGTTGCTTGACCATAGGTGCTAGAACCAGGAACGGCCGACTTCTGCGTGTAGGATCGATCATACTCCCTCGTATTTGCAACTGGTGCTTGTGCAGTCGGAACGCTCGCAGAAGACGCCTTTGCTCCAGGGCGGGTAGAGGGCGGTCGTGTGATACCTTCGACGGAACGGATAGCCTGCTGCACAGGGTGAAGATAACTGGGAGCTGTGCCGCCATTATGCGCGTTAGCATGCCCAGAATCGCCATAGCTAGGCTGTTGGGCCCTTTCAGACGGCTGAGCGCCCTGGTTTGCGTGCCGGGACCTCTTCGACGTGTCAGCATAATGCGACGGATGCTCGGCCGACGGCGCAGGGTATGTGTATGGTTCGTACTGATGTGCAGGGTCCGGATACGCTTGCTCATGAGGGCGATTGACGGTGGCCGTGCTCGACGACTTCGGGAGCATGACTGGTGTTTGTGGATCTGCCGGACCCTGCCCAGCACGAATACTGACTATTTGTGGTACATGACGTTGAGAGGTCAGACCTACGGGAACGGTAGGCTGGCCCGGGGGCGGCGCAGAAGCCAGTACCGAGGTCGACGCCGGCAACTGCGCAGTCATGGGCCTGTATACTGAGGTGTCCAGTGGCGGTGGCTGCTGCTGCGATAACACAATTACGTGAATTGAAGACAAACTTTCGTTATAGCTTAGGCCTACCTGCGGCGTGCGGGATGCCTTGTAATTCGCCGCAAAGAGCTGGGCTTCTGTGGCTTTGTGCTTGGCTCTGTGGCGGACTTCGCGTGGCCAGGGAGGTCAGCATGTGCCCGCGCATGTTTGCGCTGCGTTGTTCATGATTAGGACAATGGAACAAAGCGCATATATATGACGCTCACTCGGTCCCTCATACTCTCTCGCTCTGTCTCGCTTCCAGACGGGGCATGGACATCCTTCCGCTCCTTCGTCGCATGACGCCGCTCCGAAGGGCGATACTAGCAAGTACGGTAAGTTACCGGAGCCGGGCGTGTCAATATACAACTCACGCGTTCCCTCAGCGAGTGTTCCTGCTCGCTGCTTGACATTCCAGATTCTTGACCACTTCCTTGTCCCGCAACCCGATCCCGGTGTGACCGGTGATGGCGAGTAGAGCTTTTATCGCGTTCCGAACTTCGCTGTGGCACGGCCATGGGCGCAGGTGCGGGGTCAGACGGCCGCCTCTGGGCCGTTGCTTGAGCCGCTGGGTCATGATAGCCCATGGAAGCACCGGATACAGCATAGCCATTCGGGACCGCAGCATGTTGCGCCGCTGTTTGCACGGGCTGTCCAGCCTGCCGACCCTTAAAGGCAGAGTGTCAGTCAATCGGACAAGCATAACAAATACTCGAAGGACATACTGAAGCGGTTGGCGGCCTGTCATCGGCCTGCTGAGGCCTATATGCCGCTGTACTCGCTGCTTGGGCGTGCGATGCCGCCCTCTCAGCTGCCCTACGCTCTTCTTTCCTCCTGCTGCTTTCATGCTCCTTTGTCCGCTCCGGATCTCTGTGCCCTTCTCTATCTCTGCTCACACGTTCCGGCTCTCGCTCCTTTTCCCTTCGACGTTCCCGATCTCGCTCCTTCTCTTTCGCTCGCAAGCTCTCGGTCTCCTGCAGCCGTGCCCTCGCCTTCTCTTCTCTCCGCCGCTCCCTCTCTCGCTCTTTTTCGCGGTCCTTATCGCGCTCCCGACGATGCTTAGACGACGAGGTCTCACCGGCTGCTTGCGAGGGATCAATATAGTACGTTTGGGTTGACGCAGGCGCTTGGACTGTAGCCATGGCTGGATACGCCGTGCGTGCATGGCGTGCACTCTTGTTGTCCTCGGGCAAGGCTACACGCTCATTCGACGAGCGAGGGCTTGGCTTGTCGGTTCTCGTCTTTGCGTATGGCCGTGATGTGTCATCGGCGTAGTGCGCTCCATGAGTCCTGGACGACGACGTTGCTACTGGCGCAGCACTAGGCGTTGCGTAGGCACCGGGATACGTGCCCTGGTACGACGTGGAGGGCTGCGCAGACGTACGGTGTTTGCTGGAAGACTTGGTATGCGAGGTCACAGGTGCCGAGGGAGCCACAGCGTCGGGTGCCTCCACTCGCTTTGAGGAAGTACGATGTTTGCGGTGACCGTCGGTAGTGGTCTGCTCGGTGTTGTGACGCTGAGTGGAAGTCATGGCCTGGCGTGAAAGTCCTGGTTCAGGTTCGTTAGCCGTCCATGTCGGGGTATCCTCTGGTCGCTGAGTATGTGTATTTCGAGGTCGATGACGACTGGTCATGTCCAGTCACAAGAATGAATGAGTGGTGTATGTCAGGACGGACAACCCAGAGAGGTTTCCGTCTAGTTACAGGTGGCAACAAGAAGAACAGTCGGAAGTTGGGAAGAGGTTGCGCGGGAAAAAGCAGAGCAAGGCCTTGTCGACATGAGGCAGAACGCTCGCTGGGAAGCGATCCACTTGCGGCCTGGGCGCCATGGGCGCTGCCCTCTTGCGTCCTGTGGCGCTGTCTCTTGCGCGTGCATTCACCTCAGGCCCAACTACGGTCGGACTTGTAAAGGTGGTTGTTCAACAATCGGGCTCAACTCTGCCAACTCTGCAAATCCACGGCGTAACGTACTTGTGAACGTTCGCAAATTTGCGTGCGAACGGTTCGGAGGTCGAGACTCGCTGCGCAGACTGAGCCACCTATAATAGCCTGGCGTCGGTGGCGCCCATTCATCTGCACGAAGGCGTCCTTGCAGAATTCCATTGAACTACGAATGGCGAGCGGGACCCAGCACCGAGGATTGCCTGTAAGCATGGTTCCGCGGTCCTAGTATGCCGTCAGCAGGAAATCTTGTATGGCAAATTCATTCGAGAGCCCGGTCAGGTGGTAGTACTAATAGATACATACAATACCGTACATCTCGTAGTCCATGTAGATCAGACTGATTCCGAGTGTATTTGACAATCGCAGCCGTTCAACACAATCGTGTACATGTGCTAAGGTCCAGGATAACCAACGAACGTGAATACATACCAAGGGAGATACACAGGATACACGGTACACGTAGCGCTCGCAGGTGCAATGTCCGATAATACATAGTCCAAGACCGACTCGGAGTTAATCGTATGCAGGAGGTGGTTCCGTCCCCACCGTGTCTCTCTGCGACCCTCGCCGCCCTCTGAGACGTTCTGAATCGGGTTGTTCGTGCAGCTTTTCGTAACTGGCTATCCCGCGCCGCCGACTCGGAGGCGCCACTTTAGGGGGGCGTAAGAGGGTAATGGAGGATTGCACGGTGTCTGAAACACCAGCAGACATCGCCGATCGCAGGCTTGCGACCTGCCGCTTCAGGTCGTCGACTTGGTCTATGAGCTCCCCGTGAACCGCAACGGGCTTGGGTTTCTCGACCCTGTCCGCTCGAATGTCAATGACTTCTCCGTTGTACACAGGAGCCGGAGAAGTAGGCAAGGTCTTCTCACTGAATGGCTCGGCGTCCGGAGTTGATGGCGTCGTCGGGGCACCCCCCATGGTGCTTGGGGCAGGTGTAGGATCGATGACTGGCTTGCCCAAGAAAGGCTCGATCCTCGTAGTGCTCTTCTCGATGTCTCGCCCACCCACTCGTATTGCACGCCTTCTCCGCCTCCGGTACCACCAAAAGACGGCGCCGCCAAGAAGTACTAGCGCGCTGACGCCACCTATAACGCCGCCAGCGATCGCCCCTTGCTTACATGGGAAGTTGTGGCTGAGGCGCACATCGTGAGCTGTCTGCAAGTAGACATGGCGGAGTGCTTACATGTGTCGGACTTGCCCTGATCCCGGTCCCTCGATGAATCATGATATCCGGACCCATGGTGCGAGCCATGAGACCAATGGTCTGAATCGCTGGTGGTGTTAGAGTCGGCGACGTTACTGTCGTTCAGAAATCTGCTCAGAGGGTAACTCATTAATCGACTTGGAATCTTATAACCCGCGCATAGTTTACTCACGTGTACATAGCCCAATCGAAAAGAAGGACAGACGGATTCGGATCCTGCATCACCGTCATCACCAGCGTGTGCTCCGCGTTCTCCAGCTCCGTCTTGTTGTAGATTGTGACATTGTATTCGAGCTCCTCGGTCTTAGGATGCGGCACATGCACGAATCTCCCCGATGCCGCGCCATCCAAGGTAAAGCTGACGTTGGTGAGAGTGACGGTCGGTGAGGGGAAACTGTTCAGCATGATGCCGTAGACCCAGATGGCAGTTCCTGCATATCTGTCAAGACACATTTCACAGTACTTAGTACCGCAACGCACCGGTGAACGACAGAGTGATGGTATGAACTGTTGAGTTGGACGGCGAGTTTGAGTTTGCATCGTGCCAGGATGCATCAAATGTCAGGTTTGCAGCCGGCTGAGCTTCACAGACTGAACAGGTTGGTCCATAGTTCCAGTTGTCTGAGTAAACCGGCAGAAGACCTGTCACTGAATCTCCGTAGTAGTCGTCGATCGTCCGGTTGGTCGAAGTCGCGCCAATGCGTTTGGAAAGTAAAGAGAGGATAATTGACCAGCAAGCGAATAATGACCATGGCAAAGACATGTTGCCAGCCCAGCTGGCGGGACTCAGCCGGGGGCCTAGGATGAGGGCAGAACGCAACGAGCGAACAAATGTGGTTTTCCGCTCAACTGCGACGATTATCAGGGCCCTCACGGACGGTAGGCGCCCCGCATCTATGAAGGCTAAGCGTTCCGATGTGATATCCCCGAGCTGATGCCCAATAAGGAGGCTGCAAGCTGGGGTTTACCGAGGTCTCCGATCGAAGAAATCGCCCTTCATTCGCAGGCAAACGACATAACAATTCATTGCGGCTTTCAATTGAAGTGAAGGCGAAGTGGCTGCTGTTAGCAACCGGTCTACGGACTGTGGAGACATGACTGCGGGATTACTTACAGGTAAAGAGTGTGGTCAGCTCTTGCGGTACGGTTGGCTTGACCTTGGTAACAGTGTGGTTTGGACACCTCGAAACGAGGTGGAAACATCTCCATTTATGCGATACCTGCCTCACGGCCATGAGTATGTTGTCTGGGGACATCATGAGAATCGAACATACCAATGGAGGTATATGGTAGTTTGGTGATCGACGTTCGAAGAGTGCGTGATGAGCGGACGCACACCCTGGCAGAACTTCGAACTAGGTCTCGAGGTAATGGGGCCTATCGGCGATCCCGGTCACTCCTGTAGGTGTCCTCACAAGATCAGTTGACAGTAGTTCCCGGTGGGCGCTGATGGGAGATACCAACCGTATGCTCGACTCAACTAGGCCGGATTGTTGTAGCAACTGCCTGTGTACGTAGTCAAAGCGACATCCCTGTCAAATGCACACCATTTAACATAATCGCAATGCTTGCAGCGGACTGTTGCGGTCCTACGCGCGCGCGACCATACGGTGCAATACACCCACGCACGGTCACACTACGGAGGATGCGTTCTAACGACTTACTGACGCGGAACCGGTAATGCAAACGGGCACAGTAATGCAAACAGCCGCATTTCTCCCCTCATACTGAGCCGTTTACCGGGCCAAAAATTCGTATACGACTGCTACATACTACCTTAATATCATATATGAAGCAGAAGTAGCTGGGTGTATTGTACGCCGCGGGAGAAAATCAAAGGTCTGTTTTCGGGTGGCTGAATACAGGTGTAACGAGAAGTTGCTGCACCGGGTACTACAATCGTTCCTTCGGAACACAAATTTGAGACTTCAGGCACATAAAATACCTTCCAGATATGCTTCCTAAAATTTTCTGAGGTGTGTGTACGAGTGGAAGATGCTCGTTTGCACTGCACATTGCACTGGAGTTGGGAAGTGCAATGTGACCGGCGGCGTCTCCCCATGCCGAAACAATCTCCGCTTGGGAAGCAGTGGCGGGTGGCAACTCCCTCACATGTTGAAGCCAGTGTCGGCCTTTCGTTAGCAGCCAATATCACACCGTAGTATCCGACTAATACTGTCTACTCGGTAGCTAATAGTCACATTTATAGTATGCTGTATGCTCTTCTAGTTGCCGTTGCACTGTACCGTAATACACACTTTGCACTCGCACTCGATGCAGCCGCCGGCGCCGGTTTGCATTACTGGTTCAGCATCTGCAGTAGACGCGCATTCGGCATAACGGCAAGCAGGCGGACTCCTAATCTCGAGTGGGCGCCAAATGCTGCACCTCGATGCTTTGGCGGGCAAATGGGTCTCTCGTTTGCAGAACTGCCGAAAGCACTTTCCCCTACCGCGGAACGTCCATAAATATTCATGTGTGCTCTCAAGATGTATAAATATGATTCTATAACAAAAGATTGACATGATCATTCTGTTTGAGCAGTCGGGACAGTAATGCAAACGCGTTTGCATTACCGGTTCCGCGTCAGTAGTTCTTGTTCACATGGCGAGATACAAAGAGCAAGCAAGGTGACGTGACTGCTTAGAGTAGGGTGAACATGACCGAAGAACAGCCTAGATTGAACACCAAACGTACGTGGCAATATCATACAATACATTCATCATAGGTGAAGGAATGTGAGCAAATAGTGGGACACGACGATATTGTGGAAGCCTCCTGGTGAGGGGCAACATCGTCTGCAACAACACTCCAGCCTTGCCGACGAATGCAGAAACTTCACTGCCTAATCCCAGGACGGGACCAGACAGGAGTTCTGGCAAGTCAGCCTGCTTTTACACGATTTTGACTCATTACCGACAGTAGACAGCGGAAAGGCTGGTGGAAGCGTAGGCTTCCCTGTCGAGACAATTTAAGGATCGTGTAAAGTTCTGGAAGCACTCACAAGATGACTGGCTGCATGAAACCGTCCAGCTCCAACGAAAGAACACGAGGTTTCGCACTTCACGAATTGGACACGACCCGAAATTGAATAGACACGGCGACTAGACGAAGAGAGAAAAGACGGACAGAGGGAAGAAGAGAAGGAGCGCTGGGGCATTTAAGGGCGACGCGCACATGACCGCGGGCATTTTTACCACGGCTTGCTCAGGCGGCACCGCCCGACTGGCCAGAGGCTGCTACCACTGCACTGCGCTCGTCGTGTCTATCTTCGCGTCTACCTGGCTTCATCACTGCCTCAGCCATCCAGGACGGTCTTGCACCGTCTCTACTCACTCTTGCTCGCTGATCGCCTCTCAGCCTTGCTATGGTCTGTGTTGTTCATATCCTTACTCCGCTTGCTATGCTGACTCCCCCACGCGTGCGTCATAGAGCGACACAATGGAGGTTATTGACGAGAAGGTGAATGGCGGCCCTCCTATGGAGGTCGAGGAGATAGTGTCTGTCCGTGATCGTGAGTTATGCCAATGTCCATGCGTTGAGGGTCGCTCATCTGCTGTGGCCACTTTGTTAGACGACGCATTCGCGGCGAAGCACATGCCCGACCTCGGACATGACGTGAAAGAGTTCAAGGTCTACCAGTGGCGTATCACAAATTGGAAGAAATTGGAGAAGAAGATCACAAGTCCGGAGTTTGAGTGTGGCGGGCATAAATGGTGTGTGCAGAGTTCTTCCGGCGCGCTGTCGGACTGACTCTTGTGACTTCAGGCGAATACTGTTGTTCCCTTTTGGCAACTCTAACGCACCTCCGAACGACACTGTGTCGGTATATCTTGATTACGCCGATCCTAAGCGAGCACCCGAGGGCTGGCATGCTTGCGCACAGTTCGCGCTCGTTATCTCAAATCCTCATGACCCCACCATCTACACTGTCAGTCGTACGTGTCTGATTCCGTTACCTCGAGGCGTTCTATGCTGAGTAATTCCATGCTGAATAAACAGACGCGCACCATCGCTTCATTGCGGAGGAATGTGATTGGGGTTTCACTCGTTTCAGCGAGCTGCGCAAGCTATTCACCACTCAGGAGGGTCACAATCGCCCGACGATCGAGGATGAGGCCGCTGATGTGAGCGTATACGTCCGTGTGCTCGAAGATCCCACAGGGGTGCTGTGGCACAACTTCGTCAAGTAAGCCTTGCGAATTGTTATGTGATTAGTCATCCAACTACAGGTTGCAGCTACGACTCCAAGAAGGAGACTGGCTATGTCGGGCTGAAGAACCAAGGTGCGACATGTTACATGAACTCGCTCTTGCAGTCATTGTATTGTACGCGATATTTCCGCAAGGTAGGTTCTCATGTCTATTCTTAGTGCAGGCACTAATGTTCATTGCCTTAGGCTGTGTTACAAATCCCCACGGAGGATGATCTTCCTACGGAGAGTGTCCCACTCGCATTGCAGCGTGTCTTCTACCATCTGCAAACATCAGACCAGCCCGTTGGTGAGGTATCAGTGCTGAAGTGGTGATAGCAAAGTCTGACGTATCGGCATATACTCAGGTACACTGAACTCACCAAGTCATTCGGTTGGAAATCTCTGGACTCGTTCTTGCAACATGACGTGCAAGAATTCAACCGTGTGCTACAAGATAAACTCGAGAGCAAAATGAAGGTAAGAAATGACAACCTACATGATACTATCCTTACTCATGTCGCGTCGAAGGGTACTATAGCAGAAGGCGCAATCCAGAAGCTCTTTGTCGGCAAAATGAAGAGCTACATTAAGTGTGTAGATGTAGACTTCGAGTCTTCCCGCATCGAGGAATTCAATGGTACTCCCGTCGCTTCATGCATCATACGAACACGCTCACATCCGATCCAGACCTGCAACTCAACGTCAAGGGTATGAAAAACCTATACGAGTCGTTCAAGGACTATGTTGCAGTTGAGACCCTAGACGGCGAGAACAAATACATGGCAGAAGGCTACGGACTGCAAGAAGCGAAGAAGGGCATCGTTTTCCAGTCTTTCCCTCCAGTCCTCCATCTTCAGCTGAAGCGCTTCGAGTACGACATCCAACGCGACGCCATGGTCAAGGTAGGTTAGGCGGACGTCGTCCTGTCAATCGCTCACTCGAAGTGTCTAGATCAACGACCGCCACGAGTTCCCATTCGAGATTGATCTCGGTGAGTTCCTGGACGAGTCGGCAGACCGGTCACAACCTTGGGTCTACAAGTTGCACGGTGTACTTGTACACTCCGGTGATTTGCACGGCGGCCACTACTTCGCCCTGATCAAGCCCGATCGTGAAACGAGATGGCTAAAGTTCGATGACGATCGCGTAACGCCGGTGACCGATCGGGAAGTTATGGAGGAGAACTATGGTGGCGAGGCGTTGAATGGCCTGGTCTCTCCCATGCAACGTAACCAGGTGCGGGCGATGAAGCGCTTCACTAACGCGTACATGTTGGTGTACATCCGTGAGTCAGCTATCGATGAAGTCCTTGCACCGTTCAAAGAGGAGGATACCCCACCACACCTCAGTACGTGAAATCGCATCTCGGCCGGAGAGGCGTACTGACTGTCCGTCACACGTAGAAAAACGCTTGGATGAGGAGCGGCTACAGCTTGAAGCCAAGAAGCGGGAACGCGAGGAGCAGCACCTCTACCTCACCGCCAAGGTTATCACCGACGAGACCTTCGCTCACCATGAGGGCTTCGACTTGGCTGCATTCGACGAGCGAAACTGGCCTCCATCAGAACTTCCTACTTTCCGTGTGCTGAAGAACGAGACGTACAGCACGTTCAAGCAGAGGGTGGCACAACATTTCAACTACCCCGAGAATCAGATTCGGCTGTGGGTGTTGGTCAACCGGCAGAACAAAACTGTACGGCCGGACACGCACATACCGGAGAACGAGCCTGCACTCAGTACGTGTTTTACAGGCAAAGGGTCATAATCGCCTAATAGACTCGTACAGCTGTCGAGGTCATTCGGAACAACATGGCCGTCAGGCAACAGAATGATTTACGGCTATATCTGGATGTCATACCAGACCCCACCAAGGTGTGTATCTTCCTGTTTCGTGCACACCAATGACTGAAGATGTCGCTAGTCCGACGTCCCCCCAGGCTCTATCATGATCTTCCTTAAGCACTTCGACACGTCCAAGCAGACGCTATATGGTGCCGGCAAGATCCATGTACAGCGGGCCAACAAGGTCAGCGACCTTGTGCCGATGATCAACGAGCGGATGCGATGGACACCGGGGACGCCTGTGAAGCTCTACGAGGTATGCCACCGTCCTTACTTCTCTACACATGACCTGATCGTACCGTCGTCCACAGGAAATCAAGCCTGGCATGATTGAACTCATGAAGTCGAAATTGACCTTCACACAGAGCGAGATCCAGGACGGTGATATCATCTGCTTCCAGGTCGACCTCCCGGAGAAAGAGTGCGCATACTCGTACGCATAGTCGTGCGGATCGTTACTCATGCCATCCTCCAGGATCCATGATCTCGAGAGCCAGGGACTTTACTCGAACCCGATGCAGTACTACGACTTCCTGCAGAACAGGGTCATGGTTCTCTTCCGGCCGAAGTTCGAGGAGCCCGATCATGATCATCCGGAGTTTAACCTCATCCTCAGCAAAAAGCAGAACTACGATGTCGTAAGTGACCTTGTCCGTCCGGCCGAGTTGCATTGCTAATCATCCGCGGGTAGATGTCCGCGAAAGTGGGCGAGCACTTACGACACGACCCGATCAAGGTGCGGTTCACGACGACGCACGCGACGAACGGCACGCCCAAGTCGATCCTCAAGCGGTCCCTGAACCAGAGCGTCGCGGAGATCATCTCGCCGACGAACTACGTGAGCCCGCAGGCGACGACGGTGATCCTCTACGAGAAGCTCGACGTGAGCATCGTCGAGCTCGAGACGAAACGCAGCCTCAAGGTCGTCTGGACGGGCGTGCACAACAAGGAGGAGTCGACGCACCCGTTCCTGCTGCCCAAGACGAGCATGGTGCACGACCTCGCGGACCACCTCGCGAAGCAGGTGAAGCTCACGCCCGGCGGGACGGCCAAGATCCGCGTGTTCGAGGTGTCCAAGGACGGCAAGACACAGAAGGAGTTCACGGGCTCGGAGATGATCGGGAACATCCCGGACCCAGTCGAGCTGTACGCGGAGGAGATCCCCAAGGAGGAGCTGGACGCGGAGGACGCGGACAAGGTCATCAGCGTGTTCCACTTCTCCAGGGAGGTCTCGCGGACGCACGGCGTGCCCTTCCGTTTCGTCATCAAGCCGGTGAGTGGACTGTTTCGGTGCAGAGGGGCGATGCGTGCGAATGATATTCTTTGCAGAACGAGAAGTTCTCTGAGACGAAGAAGCGTCTGCAAGCACGGATAGGTGTTACGGACAAGGACTTCGCGAAGTACCGGTTTGCTCTGATCCAGCAGGCCACCTTCAAGCAGCCATCGTACATCGAGGATGGTGAGTGTAACGCTTTTTATACGCTGTTTGCGTATTCACGGCCTCCCCTAGATGACACGATCTACGAGCACAAGTTCGCTCCAGAAGACTGCCTCGGCTTGGATCACATCGACAAGTCAGGCAGGACGAGAACAGGGGCGGGAGAGAAGGCGATCGTCATCAAAGGCTGAACGGACTTCACTCCTACTCTCTCATCGATTTGCATCGTTCCGTTTGGCTTTGGTATTTCTACTCATCACATGTACACTGCCTCATTAACCCTGTATGACCCGCATAGACGAGAGTGCGTCATGCTCTTGACCCTATCGCGATACGACTACTGTGAACATCGAGAGGAATAATGACTGTATATCTACTTTCGCTTCTTTGACTTTTTCGACTGCCGGACTGGTGATGAGTGGCTTGCCAAAAGACAAAGGTGAGTGAACGCTTACGGATTTGGACGGGGAGCGAGGCGATGCGGGGGAGCCGGGGCCTTCGCTGTCGCTCGCAAAGTTCTCAGTGCTCGCACTCGGCGGAGCCAAGCTGCTGGAGGATACGGCGGATACTGGGGTTTCGGGCGGCGCGGGAGTGGCGGGCGATTTGGGCATGGCGGACACCGGAGCGGGCACAGCTGACGCGGGCGTGGTAGGTGTGGCGGGCGTGATGGGCTCAATGACTCTGCGAGAAGATACGCGACCATACTTGCGCTCTGAACTTCACGCGTTAGCAGCTATCTAGTTGAGCAAGTGGATGCTGACCTTTCTCAGTCCTCATCACAGGGATGCGCTCCAAGAGGGCGCGCATACGCTCATTGGCCATCATCTCGGACGCGGTCTGGAAGATGACCTGGCCCCAGCCTTCGACATACGCGTTTGCCTCTGCGGCGACCTCGAGAAGCTCGGCCTCCATCTCCTTCTCTGCGTTGAGGAGGCTGTTCCAGAGATCATCGCCAATTGAGCCTTTCTGGAGGAGGATCTGGAGGGCGGGCTTGTCCTCGCGGAGACGGAGGATGCGGGTGACGTCCGTCATGGCACGGCGGACGAGGGCCGCTTTGAGGAGGGGCTCCGGGGTCGGCGGGTCCGTCTTCTGGAGGAGAGATACGTAGAGGTCGCGTTCGCGGTGCTGCGGGAAGTAGGATTCGTAGATTTCGGCTGCAAGGGGGCGCGATGTCAACCAGCGTGCACGAGTACTACATCGACTGAGACGCAGACGTACCGGCATTGCGCTTTCTGTACCAGGAACTGAATGCCCAGAGACCGCCGAAGACGAGGACGACATAGAGAACGGGGACCAGTACCGACGCCATGGTCGACGACGGGGAGAGAGGAGAGAGAAAGGAGGGAGGGCTGATGCGCCGTGTTCGATTTGCTGGCGTCCGACGCGTCGTGGCACAGCGCGTGTCAGGACTGCCTCTTTGGGATGAGCGCCCGTGACCTCATCGCCTTCCGTGTTTCTGTCTGCACCGAGCTCGAGGGTGGCGGCACTTGGATGCACACTCCCGGCCGCTCAGCCCTCAGCGCTCAGCCCTCCGTTGGCGTCTTCTATCGGCCAAGCACACCGCTGAACGCGACCAGGAACCCTCGGCATACAGAGTCGCCATGTATAGCCGGCCAGACACGCTGGAGGGATGGTCATGAGAGCAAGAAGGTGATCCTGTCCACGGTCCTGTGATTCCCCACGGAACGGGACGACACGGGGAGCAGCTGCAATTCCTGGGTCAGTCGCGTTCTCTCGAGCCCTCTACTCCCCGCTCATCGCCAGCCATCCCGTGGTTGTGCCGTGGGTTCTCAGATGTTGTGTTGCGCGCTCCTTGGACCAACCAGGAAGGCGTCGGTGATGCGCCCCGCCGACTGGCCTCTGCGCTCGCGGTGTACTGTACGCCCCGGGAGGCGATTACCCGCCGTAGCCGGGTCGCGTGAGATCTGCCTAGGTCCGTCGTCCGATCCATCTTGTCTGGTGCGGCACTTCCCCGCACTGTACCCCGTATTCCAAGCGGGGTATGCGCTCCCCTTACCGAGCTCCCTATAAGCCCCCGCTCGCTCGTATTCGCGTCCCAGCCTCCCTGGGTTCCACGCGCCATCTGCTGCCCCTCCCGCACCCCACTATGCTTGGTCGAATCTCGCTCCCACTCAAGTCCGTCGCAAGGCGCGGCATTAGCAGCAGACGGCATGCATCCACCAAGGTTAGAATCCGGGAGTTTAGTGCTGCCCTAGTTGCTGACTTGTACCTAGACCATACGAGAGGCACTCGAAGAGGTCATCCCGGCAAAGCAGGCTCGGTTGAAGCAGCTTGTGCGTGCCCATCTACCTAGGGCTCGAGTCCTATATCGCTCACCGTAGCACGACCCTTAGAAAGCGGAGCACAGTCAGACGGTTATAGGTGATATCAAGGTCAGATATGCGCACGCACGGTGTTGCGCCCTCCTTACGACAACGCCTCTAGGTGGAGCACGTAATAGGCGGCATGCGCGGCCTCAAGTCCATGCTCTGGGAGTCGTCCGTCCTGGACCCGATGGAGGTGCGCACACATGTATCCCAACAACTCAACATCTTCACATGAAACTCCGCAGGGTATCCGGTTTCACGGTCTCTCCATTCCCGACTGTCAGGACGTGCTCCCTGCAGCCCCTGGAGGCAAGGAGATCATCGCCGAGAGCATGCTCTGGCTGCTCATGACCGGCAAGGTCCCGACGGAAGCCGAGACCCGCCAGCTCTCGCGCGAGCTCGCGGAGAGGGGCGAGCTGCCGAATTACGTCGTCCAGCTCATCGACTCGTGCGTGCACTGAATATCATCCTTGCCCCCATGGACGCTGAGAGTATGCTAGGCTGCCACAGTCGTTGCACCCGATGACGCAACTGGGCATGGGCGTCGCGGCGCTGAACAAGGAGAGCAAGTTTGCGGTAGCGTATGAGCAGGGGATCAAGAAGACCGAGTACTGGACGTATACCCTTGAAGACAGCATGAACCTCCTAGCCCGGCTGCCTGCTCTCGCCGCGAGGATATTCCGCAATGTGTACAACCCTGGCAAACCGATACCGGGGGTCAGCAAGGACCTCGATCTTGTTGGTGAGCATGACGCGCCTGGGCAGGTATGTGTAAGTGTATTGACATGAATGCCGGCAGGCAACTATGTGAATATGCTTGGATATGGTAACAACCATGACCTGACGGAGTACCTCCGACTGTACATCGCCCTGCACGGTGACCACGAGGGCGGAAATGCGTCCGCTCATACGGCTCGTAAGCTTCGATGCACTTGTATCTTCGAAGGCTCTCTCTCAAACAATTCTAACCGTTCACAGATCTCGTCGGGTCGACACTCTCAGACCCCTACCTCGCGTACTCCGCCGCCCTCTTCGCACTCGCCGGCCCGCTGCACGGGTAAGACCTTGCCATAACTGTCTGGGACACAACAGGCGACTCACGATCATGCAGCCTGGCTAACCAGGAGGTTCTCCGATGGCAGCTGAACATGCAGAAGGAGATCGGCGACAACGTCTCACACGACGACATCAAGAAGTTTCTCTGGCGGACGCTGCAGAGCGGCCAGGTCGTGCCTGGGTGAGTCGCTAGTGCGTGGCCGTGTCGTTGCGACCGAGCCGACTGATGGGGGCGGGATAGCTATGGCCATGGCGTGTTGAGGAACCCGGACCCTCGCTTTATGGCCCTGCAGAAGTTCTGCGAGGCGAGGCCAGAGTTGTTGGAGGACCCGGTGATCCAGCTCGTCAGGAAGGTATGTACTCGCAGAGACACTCGTCGGTGCAAAGCTGAACGCACGCGACTTAGACGTACGATGTCGCTCCGGGTGTGCTGAAGGAGCACGGCAAGGTCGGTGGCCCGTCTCTTAGATGCTGAAGTCATCATTGATGTATTGCACTGTCCTAGACGAAGAACCCATATCCTAATGTCGACGCTGCATCGGGATGTGTGCTGTACCATTACGGTCTGACCCAGTTCAAGGTGCGCTTCGTTGCGGTGCATTGGAAACCCCACTCAGTACTCATTCACACAGTACTACACCGTCATATTCGGCGTGTCGCGAGCTCTGGGCTGCCTCACCCAACTCGTGTGGGCACGAGGTAGGCAGGATCAGTTCGTGATGTCACCGACACCCCACTGACTTTTGCGCGAACAGCTCTCGGCTTGCCCCTCGAGCGACCAAAGTGTGAGTGCTACATATACAGTTTATATTTATTGTGTGATTTCTGCTGTGATGCTGACGGGACCGCGTGCAGCGCTGTCTATGGACGTGATCGACACTCTCGTCAAGAGCTCATGAGGGTAGCTAGCGATAAATATGTACGTCGTAGGGAGTGGGTATGCGATCTTCGAGGGGAAGGCTATGTACGAACAAGCAACGGGGTCGTTCGGGAACGGCTGTGTGTATTATACATAACGTCATTGCATGCTGTCTCTCCGCATACCGTCAATAGCGACGATGGGCGAGCGAGCGGTTTGAGTATGGAGATAGCCAGGGGGCGTAGCAGGCGAGGAAGGAGGTGAACGAAGCAGGATTAAGAGTCGAGATCAAACCAAGGAAGAGAGCTGGAAGAGAGACCGGTACAGACAGGAAAAGTAATAATGAGACGGAGAAGGGGCAATACGGAGGACGTGTCTGTCCAGAACGAGGTATATACAGGGTATACCAGTTCTCGAGAAGCACCTGCACCTAATACCAATGAAACTGTCCGCGAATGGCCACCGGGGTTCCTGCCATTACTAGAATCGCCGCGGCGGCTGGCCCTGCATCGCAGGGGCGGACCCCGATGCGGGCCCGGCGCACCAACGCACCGTTCGGAGGGAACCCACCAGGCTGTCCTGGGGGACCCGGCCGAGGCTGTCCAGGTCCGGGGGAGGGTATCCGCCAGGCCCGGGAGCGAAGCCTGGAGGTGGGGACCACCGAAGCCAGGACCGCGCGGTGGGCCCTGCGGGGGGAAGCCACCGGCCCGGGGGATGGGCCCTGTGGAGGGTATCCTTGACCAGGGGGCGGGCCGCCCTGTGGAGGGTACCCTTGACCAGGGGGCGGGCCACCCTGCGGAGGGAAGCCCTGTGGCCCGGGGGTCCGCGCATACCTCCAGGCATGGGCCCGGGTCCAGGAGGCCCGCGCATAGGTGGGGGACCTTGCCCTTGGGGTGGAGGCATGGTGTTGGCGCGCATGGGCTGCCCGGGCATCGCTGAGAGTGCGGGACCGGGGTCGCGCAGAGCGACTGGAGGCGGACGGCCGCCGGGGCCTGCCGGGGGATGGCCGTTCGAACTGGGCGCAGAGGGCGGCGGAGGGTTTTTCTCGGCCGCCTTGATGATCTCATCGCTGTAATGTCGGCAAGGTTCAGGATAAAATCGATAGCATGAAAGGGAGCTGCACTCACTCTAGCAAGTTGAGGGCGGCGCAGAGAACCACCCACTCAACGCAATCCTCGTTTCCCTCTCCGAGAGTCTGCCATACTGCCTTCTCCTCGGGCGTCTTACCAGTTATACTGATACGCGTACCACCGCCGTTCGGACCTGGCGGATTCTTCATGATCTTGCCAAACTCAATGCGCTTAGGTGGGATGTTGTGGCCTGCGTACGCGAAATAAAACATGCTCCAGAAAGCGGCATTGGGATTAGGCTTGGATATCTGAAAGAGAGGCAGATCGGCCGAGTCTGGAGATGGCAGAGAAAGCTTGTAGATGGGGGATAGCACTCCGGTATTGGCGATAGACCACTTGAGATTGCGGGAAGCCTCACAGCGGACGGTCCTTGAGGAGCCCTGAGGCTGGTGTCCGGGATCCGACGCGGTCGTCTTTCCGTTGGCATTCTGGCGCGGGGGGAAGAGCTTCGCCACGCACAGATCGCCTTGCGGGGAAGGGGTCAGAAGGTAGTTCTCGGTGTTCTGCACCCGACGTATCAGCGAGTCTGCCTCGTGTACGAGCTCATTGCACTCACGAAGTTCGTATGCAGGTAGGAGTACAGGATATTGGTCGGTTGGCCTTGTGAGCGAGCGCGATTCAATGGCATGCACAGCTGATATTTGACAGGCGATGCTTACCATGGGGCGTTACGATGAGCGTTGGCAGATGGTTAGGTATCGGCGGATGGTTCGGGGAGGTGTAAACCGTGTATATGGCTGCGGGATTGAGCGCATTCAGCGCTGCACTGAGCAGTGAGCTAGAGAGAGCACGTACCAGCCATAGCGGGGTATGAAGGAGTGGCAGGAAGAGGAGAGGAGGAACAGGCCTCGCGACGGCGGTGCTGGTGTTAGAGATGCTGCGCTACAGACCGCCTGGGATCGCACATCTGGTAACCGGGCGTGACAGATACACCGCGCTCCCGTCACGCGATCACCCGTTATGGTCACACCTTGGTCACACCTGCTCTCCTCGCGCCTCATCGATTCTGGCAGTGAATACGACACACTCACCGGTGTCGACCACCCTCCGCACAACGCGGTCGACACTCACGCCGACATCCCACAACTCCGAGACACGCCTCTTCTCTTTCTCGGCCGCCCACCATGAAAGGTCTCAAGAAGACACTGGTCAGTTCATCTAATCTAACATGGCCCACACGCGTTGAGTCCGAACCGTTGTCCCGCAGCTTCGCAGTAAATCCCAGGACTCGTCCTCCAAGAACAAGGAGCCCAAACCGTCTGCGACTGCAATCGCAAACGCCTCGCCTCCCCCTCCTCCACCGAACAGTGCGAAACCATTACCGCAGCCGAGTTCGGCCGTCGCGAGCTTGAACCATGTCAGCAACAGCAGTCACTCGCTCCCGTCCTCGAATGGCTCCGTCAGTCGTGCATCTACCGCCTCTCTTTCCTCTCAGAGCAGCGATCGAAGGTATGGCGGGCCGGACAGGGCATCGCCAGCACCGCCTATCGTGGTCGTCAGTCCCGACGCTTCGAATGACGCGCAGGAGAGGCAACCGTTCGTGCTGGAGTCCTCGGGCGGTCCAACCACCCCTCCCCGGGCGAACCTGAACCGCCTGCGTCCGACTGGTCCGAAGGACACCATCCCTATGGTGGGCAAGCCCCCTAGGAAGCAGAGAAGCAGTCGGTTTGTTGTGACAGAGAAGGTTGAGATTGAACGCCTACCACCTTTCCTGGGTACGTGCTACGATCGTTTTATCTACGCATCACTGAGCGTGCGTATACAGAAACGCCGCCCAGTGAGCGTCCGCACCTGTTCATCAAGAAACTGCACCAGTGTGCTGTCCTCTTCGACTTCAATGACACCAACTCCGAGCTCAAGGGCAAGCAGATTAAGACACAGACTCTGCACGAGATGCTCGAGTACATCACAACGCAGCGCGGTGTTATCACCGAAAACGTATACCCTGAGGTAGTCAAGATGGTGCGTGAACTTGGCCAAATTGTCTCCGCATACACCTCATGCATCACGGTATAGTTTGCTACCAACCTCTTCCGTGCTATACCCCCGCCAGTGAATCCGATAGGAGATGCATTCGACCCGGAAGAGGACGAGCCCGTCCTTGAGCTGGCATGGCCACATCTCAAGATTGTCTATGAGTTCTTCCTCCGCTTCGTCGAGAGTCCAGATTTCAACACCAACCTCGCGAAGCGGTATATCGACCAAAACTTCGTCCTCAACCTCCTGGAGCTGTTCGACTCGGAGGATCCTCGGGAGCGTGACTTCCTGAAGACCACCCTGCACCGCATCTATGGCAAATTCCTCAACCTCCGTGCGCCCATTCGTCGAAGCATAAACAACGTCTTCTTTCATTTCATCTACGAGACGGAAAGGCACAATGGTATCGCGGAGCTCTTGGAGATCCTGGGGTCCATCATCAACGGGTTCGCGCTCCCCCTCAAGGATGAGCACAAGTCCTTCCTCATGCGCGTGCTCCTCCCTCTGCACAAGGCGAAGAGCCTGGCGATGTACCACCCGCAACTCGCGTACTGCGTAGTACAGTTCCTGGAGAAAGATTCCGCGCTGGCCGAGGATGTCGTCTTGGGTCTCCTGAAGTACTGGCCAAAGGTGAACTCGCCGAAGGAGGTGATGTTCCTGAGCGAGATGGAGGAAGTGCTGGACGTTATAGACCCAGCGGAGTTCCAGAAAATTCAGGTGCCCCTCTTTCAGCAACTGGCGCGGTGTATCAACAGCCAGCACTTCCAGGTAGCGGAGCGAGCCCTGATGTACTGGAATAACGAGTACATCGTCAACCTGATGAGCGACAACCTGGCGATCATTCTCTCGCTCGTGTTCCCGGCTTTGTACATGAACTCCAGATCCCACTGGAACCGGTGAGTAGGCTATTACCTCGTTGTAATGCAGTCACCCTTGACCATGTCTCGCTGCTAGAACAATCCACGCAATGGTGTACAACGCCTTGAAACTTTATGGAGATCAACCCGGACCTCTTCGATGCAGCGATGCAACAGTACAAGCAACGCAAGATCGAGTGCGTGCCAGTGGTCCCTTCGTTCGTTCCCACATTGACGTGTGCTTTCTATTCTAGCGAGCAACGACACGCCGTCGAGCGGTATGAGGAGTGGCAGAAACTGCGGGAGAAGGCACTCAAGAACTGCGGCGGCAAACTGCCGGCAGGGTATGTGGACCTCCCGCCGCCGCCTCCACCACCGCCTGTGGATGACCAGGAAATCATGGACCTGTCAATCGACATGAATGCGGTGTCTATTGACGCGGAGGTCCCGTGAGCGACTGGACGAATCGGGATTGAACGAGTGCCCATGGCTGATCCTGGACTCGATGTAAGCGCGGTTGCTCGCGATGGTCCTGCCGGATGGCATGAATATTGATGCGAGATGTCGCTCTAGCGTCCCTTCCCTGAGGTGGGCGTGGAACATTCACCAGGCGGAGTGGGTGTGCATCGAGGCGGAAAAGTGCGCTGCCAGGTAGAGTTGTGACCGTCTCGCGGCGAGCGCGCTGACACTCGCCGGGGTTAACCATAGTTGACCCGACAGTGCTGCATGACCTCCAGACGCACAGGAGCCTTGAGGACACCGTGGCACCTAACGGAGTTGGGAACGGGTCGTGAGGCGGCGTGTGCTACACCTCATCCCGGGATTAGCTTAGACTCTGCGCGTAGTCGGACAGTCCGTCGTTGCAAACGCGACATACATATTTACTGTTGCTACACCACTTCCTTGTTGATATATCCATCTTTCCCCTCAGCTGTCGGATCGTCTCTTACTTTTGCGTTGTGCATGTTGTCGTTGTGCGTAGTGTACGGTCCACGGAATACAGATACATGTTCAGCCGGGCTGCGCACACTGCAGGACTGCCGGGTTGTGGCGGAGAACACGCGATCAAGATCCTGAGTACGCGACCGCGAAGGCGCAGCCACCGACTACTGCAACTCGGAGCGGCCCACCGCCGACCTCTCTCAACACCTCCACGTCCATCCTCCGCCCGACGGCAGCACCGCCAGTCCTTCCGCTCGGCGCAGTTCCATCCACCTCGTTTGAGGTCGACTCGTCGACAAGATGATGACGCCTATGCGTTATGTGATACTGGTGCTGGCCATCATTGTGAGCCCCCGACTATGTTTCGCCATGGACGGACGGTTCGTCTGACTCCGCCATAGATCAGTTTGCACTTCATTCTGAGCTTCTCGCATGAGGAGTATGGCCGAGCTACCTCTATCACGCGCCTCAAGGAGCAGCTGCAGAGTGGACCAGGCTCGAAGACGTACGAGTCGTACCCTACCCCTGCAGTCGACTATTCAAGCAATCCAGAGCGAGCGAACGCTACCTTCGTCTTGCTCGCGCGGAATAGCGATCTGAGAGGCATTGTCACCAGTGTGAAGCAGAATGGTGCGTCCGCTATCTTGTGAAAGGTCGATCCCGAGTCGAACTCCGTCCGCTCAGAGGATCGCTTCAATAAGCAGTACAAGTACCCATACGTCTTCCTGAACGAGGAACCCTTCAGCGATGAATTCAAGAAGTGCGTACGCATGGGCGTGCTGTCGACATGTTTACATGCGCCTTACGCTGCCGCTTTAGCATGATTCTCGAGATCACAAACTCGAACGTTGAGTTTGGCTTGATTCCTCATGACCACTGGTACCAACCTTCCTGGATCGACGAGGACAAGGCGTCTGTAGCTCGCAAACAAATGATCAAGGACCAGGTCATTTACGGAGGTTTGTCGTATTCCTGTGTAACCCTTGCTTGACTCATTGGCCTTGTGAAGGGAGTGTACCGTGCGTTCTGCTCCCGGCAAGTTGTAACTATTATTGACCCTCGCCTTTAGCTACCGGAACATGTGTCGCTTCAACTCGGGGGTAAGTCAGCAAGCTCACTCACGCGAAGCAGCCTGACCAACAAGCTGTGCAGTTCTTCTACCGGCACGAACTACTGCTAAATATAAGTACTACTGGAGAATTGAGTGCGTCCAGACTTCTCATTTGGACTTACGTACCTGACGCTGTGTTTGCTGCATTCTAGGCCCGACGTTACCTTTTCTGTGACTTGCATTATGATGTGGGTCTGTGTTTCTGCCGAATTTCGTGGATACTCACCAGTAACAGCCCTTCAAAGTGATGCAGGACGGGAACAAGGTCTATGGTAGGTCATGGCTTCTGCTGAGGACCTTCACTCACTGTCTCCTCAGGCTTCACTATCTCCTTGTACGAGTACCCAAGACGATTCCTACCCTTTGGGATGCGGTGAAAGGTCTTATGCTCGCTGTCCTGATTACCTTGTGCTTCTGACGACCTATATCAACATCAATCAGATTTCATCCACAACAACTCGGACCTCATCCCGCCTGGCAATGCCATGTCTTTCATCTCCGATGACAACGGCGAGACATACAACAACTGCCATTGTAAGCTATCCGTCCAGTTGTCTGCATCACAAGACATTGATTCAATCCCATTCAGTCTGGAGCAACTTCGAGATTGGCGACCTTGACTTCTGGCGCGGCGAGGCGTACTCCAAGTTCTTTGACGCCCTGGACAGTAAGGGCGGGTTCTACTACGAGGTATGCCCTTAGCATCCTGCGCATACGTTCATCTCACTAACTGACGGTTGTGTTTAGCGCTGGGGCGATGCTCCCGTTCACAGCATCGGCGCTGCGCTCCTCGCAAAGAAGGAGCAGATCCACTTCTTCAACGACATTGGTTGGTCACGTCCTCGCGCTACCGCATGGTACTGTCATATCTGACAGCGCGTCTTCTCAGGGTATCGGCACAACCCCTTCCAGCACTGTCCCCAAGGCGACTCGCACCGCAAGGGCCAGTGCTGGTGCGACCCCTCAGAAAACTTCGGTACGTACCGCTCTCTGCAACACGCGCGGTCTCTTCAGGTTGCTCATCGGAACGTGCAGACTACGAGTGGTACAGCTGCCTGAAGCGATACGATGCTCTGTCCTGAGCCAGATTCTTGTCCGTGTCTTGTCTTATGTATACGCATTGGTACTGTCTATCCTTTAATTCTAAATCTTGTCGTGCAACGGACAATGCAGCGTCGGTATCAACAGGCACAGTGTCTTTTGTGCCTCTCGTATCGGAATGGGGTGAATGCTAGCTAGCAACAACTGAGAGCAGGAAAACCCGCCATACTGCACCGCGAGTAATGAGAGCGTTCATTGTCCCCGCTTAATGCTCAGTCATCGAGCCATGGCTGATACATGGACTCCGGATGTTGCATGGGACTGTGAGTGGAATGTTCTCGCAATTGTACAGCAAGGGTAGCCCCTCCATCGTCAGCGGCACTTCAAGTTTCAAGGTCAAGCTCACAACTGTGCCACTCTTCAGACGTCTGTCCATTCCAACCCGGCACAATCGGATGTTGGTCTCATCTAGCTGATCATACAGTACGACTCCATTGCATTGTGTGTAAGCTGTGGTGCCGCCCAGCCGTTCGCTCAATGTCGACAGTAGAGGGTAGGCTGCATGGAGTGTATCTCTGCGCACAAGAGACAGATGCCTAGTCTCGCGAGCACCAACTGATGGCTGTCGGCCATTTCTGACTATCCGGCTGACGACAGTCATCACCGTGAAAGCAAACACAGTTCGCAGCCATATCTCAAAAGATAGATTGCGAATAGTATTGATACTATCAACTCCAGGGTCAGCAACTATATTGCGCAGAGGCTAGAATGCGACGTACCGAATCGTACAGACGTGTCCAGTTAGAGCCCAAAGATGTCTCAACGAGCCTGTTGACATGGTCCTCAACAGAGGCGTGCGTCAAGCCTTGTTGGAATCGCTCCCGCAGCTGTGCCGCTGTCTGATCTCCTAATGCAGCGAAGCAAGGTAATGCAGAGTCTGCGGGTCATCACAAGCAGTCAATACCGGTGTCATTGGCTACGAAGTATTGGCTCACCCTTCTGCATCAGCTCAACCAGGGCTGCAGATGTGAATGTGAGCCGGTGCTACATCTCAAAAATTGAACAGGCTATACGCACTGACGATCCGGTCACAATGCTTGCGCGCCGCTTCAAAGCCGTCCCTGAACAGCCTCTTGAACTCAATGTATGGCCCGCTGTTCAGCCCACCGAGCACTTCAATGTACTCCAGTGGAAGCTTGAACGGTGCAGCCTCGAAGCCAATGTTCCCCGGCGAGTTCGAGAGCATGAAGCCGAAGTCGATGTGAATGAGGTGGCCGTCACGGTCGAGCAGGATGTTCCCATTATGCCGGTCCTTGATTTGCAGAAAATAGGTGACCAAGGAGTATCCTGTAGAACGTGTCAAGCGTTGATCTCACCGGCAGTTGAGAACTTACCAGCTAACGACTTCGCGAAGTTGCGCTGCGCTCTGACGAATCTGGCCGACGATGGATCACCATACGTCTGCGAGCAGATGAGACACATCCTCTGAAATCTGTACGCCCTCACTCACTGATCTGAAATGATCAAACAGGCTGACGTGTCCTAATCGCCCCTGCGTGAGCCTTCGCGCATACTCAGCCTTCTTGATCGAGTGTATCGACACCGCGTCGGTAATCGTCTCCACCAACCCCGATGTACTGCCAGTGATCAAGATACGGAAGCTGCAACAGTCGGAAGCTTAGTATGGCATTCGGGGAGGCAGAAGACCATGAACGTACTATCGCACCCAGCATGGACAGTTCTCCTCTTTCCAAATCTTCTCGAACTCTTGGATGAGATGAACTGCGAGCTGCTCCTGTCGCAAGTCACCGCCAGTCTTGACGATGACCGAGACACAGTCCCAGTTGGCTGTAGCAATCCATCAGTCCCCGACATCTTGGCGAAACCATTTGTACATACCTAGATGGCCATATGGTGAAGCCTGCCGTATTCGACTCTGCCCAATCCATGAGCCAGCATTCCAACTCTAATGCAATCAGTCATCACCTTCTTCGCAGCCCAGGACTCGCTGAACACTACAGCAGACGGGTCCGCCTTACTCAGCTCCTTCCGAATGATCCGCTCGTCCTCCACCGACTTCACGTTCTCCTCGCCACCCAGCCTCAACACGCCCTCGCCCATCCCGCTCTCTCTCATCCTTGCCATCCGCTCCTCCTCCAGCGCCAGCATCTCGCCCATGATCCGTTCGCGGATCGCCGCTGCCTCGCTCGGCTGCAGCTTCATCGGCATCGGCGCTGGGGTCTGCGGTACCGGTGTCTGGACCTCATCGCCATTTGACGACGAGCCGGGCATGACGCTAAGAATCGGCGTGCTCGCAATCCACCGGAGGGGCGCGGTGAAGGTGGACGAGTCGAGTGAGGGGGTTGGCGGTACGGGGAGAGGGAGGATGGACTCGCGGACCACGCTTGCGTTGAGCTGCGCCAGCATGACCGCCGCGGTACGCATGCGCTCGGAGTACTCGTCCAAGGAGAGCATGAGGGATGATCCATTGACAGTGATGTCCGCGAGAGGCTCCGGCTGGAGGCCCACTCCCTGTGAGCGGCGCGGGATTCCGGATAGGCTGTGTGATGGGGTATGATGTGAGGTACTCGGCACGTTCTCGAGCATAGGTGTCGGTGGCACCGATGACGAGCGGGACCAAGTGACGATGTCGAGGTCTCTATTCTTGGGCGCTGGCGGGAGAACGACGGTCTCGGAGAGGTCGACTTCTCTCGCACGGAGGGCGTTGTCATTGCCGTACAGCTGCTCGACCAGGTCGACTTCCTCGTCGTCTTCAAGCGTCCTGGGGCTAAGAGGAGACACGGGGAACGTAGAGATGATAATCTCAGGAGTATTACGAACTTCCTCGTTCTCGTTCCCGATGGACATCTCTGACGCGTTGTGGTCTGCCCCTGATGGTGTCCTTGAATGGCGGGGGATGGGAACGCGACCTGTGAAGGCATCCAGGTCTTTCGACGAACCTTCCCGCTCGACTTCCTTGAGAACGATCTTTTTCAGGATCTCCTTGTTACTCCGTTTGGCGGGGTCGAAGTCGAGGTCATCGTGGAGAATCTCGATGAGTAGAAGATATGGGGCGCGCTCAGCTGAATTGAGTACTACGCTTTCACCTGGTGGTATTCGAACGATGCGGTGGTGTGGTTGTGGTATGCCGCGGGATCCTGTAGGAGTGTCTGATGAAATACACCACATGGGCATGCAGACCTGCCGAACCAATTGTGAGCGAAACGTTCTCATATAAATCAGGAAACCGACAACCTCTGTGGGTAGCATATGGTTCATCCCTGTCAATTCCGCCCTTAGTGCGCTTATGCGAGCAGGTTTTGGAACGACGAGCAGCCGGTTGCAGATGTTTTCGAGGGCAAGGATGAACTTCACCTGCGCAAATGGATGTGCACAAGCTACGGTGCGCTAGATGTGAATCTCAACGAACCTCGGAACGACAGTAATGGCTGCGTAGAAGGTGGACTTGTGAGGGGAAGTCATACTTCTCCACCAAGTCCGCCGCATGGACGCTGAGTGTTTTGGTGCGTCGTCGGCTGGTGGATAGGGACGGCGTTGATTGAAAGGGTGTTGTAGCGGTCGGGGGCATGCCATCATCGTCTTGTTGACCAAATGGGTCTTCCGAGAGTCTATACGGGCGCATACCTTTCAAGAGTGGTAGCACCGGGCTCGTCTGTGCTGCAATAGTCTGCCGTCGCGACGAATGAGAGCCCTCTCTAGTGAGGAACCTCAGGTGCCCTGGCGCGGGCTGTAGAGTAGGGGCAATTGAGGGTGCCTTTTCGATGCCGTCGTCCTCGTCAGAATCTTGCGGATCTTCCTTCTCATTCGCCTGGTCTATGGATGGCTCTCGCGACACACCGCGAACGACATCATCATCAGCGCTCTCAACACTCTTGATCCCTCGGCCTTCTTCATCTATTCGGCCCTGCTCTATCGCAACCTCACCCATGATCTGCGTTAGTGCTGGCATGGCCGGGACCCCTGCCCAGACCATGCCAATACCAACTACAGTTGGTTGCAGGTGAGGTCGGACCTTCGTCCGCAAGGGCCCTAGCTGCGTTGGCAAGCTGAGAGACGAGTATGGAGCACTCGACTGGGGTATGTCACCGAAAATGAGCTCGTGACATTGATGCAAGACCCTTTGGCAGATGAGGAATGACTGAGGGTTGGTCTGGGGAGATGCCAGGTCTCTCAAATGCGCTTGCATGTACCATAGTGTCTGTGCTAGCTGTAAGAATATACGGACATCATATCAAGGAACAAGCGCACCAGCATGGCAATATGGGTAGACTTGTGGCAAGTCTCGACAACGAAGCATTCCAATGCTCTTGACTTGGACGGTCTCGTTATTAGGAGGTGGCTTACATAGGATAGGTCAAATTGGCCATCCAAGATGCATGGGAAGTTGATTTGGTTCTCACCATATGAATCCCCATACTTCGCGCAATTCTGGAGCGTCTAGCTCCCGAAGCCTCCTTGTGAGGTAGTACGTGACACCGATGTTGTCCGCATAAACCCTGAGATACTGCAACGCGACATGGACGCTGAAGAAAGACGGGGAGAGGAAGAGACGAAGGAGGAGGGCATGGGACATGGTCTAGTGGGCATAGGAACAGGCCGCTGGGTGCATCGAGTTCGCTACGAGGCACAGCTCGCGTCGGGCTCAGGCTGGCTCGACGCGCGCCCGGCGCATGATCCCCGTGACCGACATCGACACGTCGCGCCGGCGCGCGCGTCGCAGCTCACCGCTCTTGCTCTCCCGCAGCCATGCTGCTGCCTCTCCTCGCTCTTTTCCTCCTGCCTTTCTGCATCGCTGCATCGGCCGAGGCAGACCATGCACAACTGGTCAAGCTTGCCGCCGCCAACAACGGCGTCATCAGGCTAGACGAGCACTCGTACCAGCTTCTCACGAATCCCAAGAGGACGTGGTCTGCGTCCGTCCAGTTCACTGCTTTGGACAAGAGACGGAAATGCGGGCCTTGCAAGTATGTACGGACCAAGACTACTAAACAGTCATGTTGACGGCACCCCTCGCAGGGAGTTCGACCCGAGCTGGAATGCGGTCGCAAAGGCGTGGTCGAAGGTGTCAGCTGCGGAGCGCAACAGTCACTTCTTCGGGACGGTGGACTTTGACCACGCGATGACTATCTTCCAGCAGGTGCGCGTACTACATTGTATATACTGGCCATTAAATACTGAAGCACGTCCATAGCTTGGTCTGCAATCCGCGCCAGTCGTGCAAGTATGGCCTGCTACCGACGGCCCTCGCCGTCCGGCAAACGGGAGGACCAACCCCATTGCCCTCGACTTCTCTCAGTGCGTGATACTCACGGATCATGTACTTTCGCGCTCACCGCATTCTTACCAGGGGCTTTGACGCCGCACCTCTCGCCGAACAACTCTCGCACTACACGCCGGTCGCCATCCCCTACAAGGCACCCATTGACTACTCGCGTATTGGTAGCGGTCTATTTGTCCTCCTGTCATTCGTCGCTGCCCTTCGTTTCATCTCGCCCATACTAAAGTCGCGCTGGACATGGGCCGCCATCACGGTGCTCACGTCCCTTGTCATGACTTCCGGCTTCATGTTCGTGCGCATCCGCGGCATGCCGTACACCGGGCCGAATGGTCAATGGGTCGCAGGCGGATACCAGTCGCAGTATGGCCAGGAGGTCCAAGTCGTCTCCATGATCTGTGAGCGGCACGCAATATGTGTTGGCTATGCTGCCTGCTGACCACGATCCTTATGTAGATGGCACGCTTGCAGCCGGCTTCCTGATGCTGACATTGGTTGTCCCGAGCCAGATGTCACCCTCGCGTCAGCGCATGCAGGTCTACTTGTGGACTGGCGTCATCTTCGTGATGTACTCCGTCCTCGTCTCCCTCTTCAAAGAGAAGAACAAGGGTGCGTGTTTAAGCTTCTTCCGGCTGCATTCACCAGGATACTTAGCGTTGTCTCGCAGGTTATCCATTCAGGCTGCTCTTGTAGAGTCCAGACAGGTGTATTGTACAAAAACGGGTGTCATCACATCGCGACTTCCACATCCAAAGTCGAGAGTCATTGTCTTCCTTTCCGATCTGTCGCATGAACGTGAGACAAGACTATATCTATTATGAATTCGAGAGTCCAGAACACTGCGACGGATATGTATAAGCATGCAGAGATGATAGAATGCGACCGAGTAACTCTTTCCAATCCTGCCTAACGCAGAACACACGACTGTCGTCTAGCTGCCCTGCTGCTGCTGGGCGAAAACATCTACGTATCGACTCCTCGCCGGCCGCTTCGCAGCCCCCCTCGACCGGCTTGCAGGTGGCGGGCCCTGTCCCGGCAGCGTAGCCGACATGGGTGTCGGTGGCGCAGAGCTGTCGCTCTCAGGTGGAACTAAGTTAGAGCGTATGCGCATCGGGGGCTTGGGCGGGCCGTCGCCCGGGTCGGTCGTTGCGGGCCTTGTTGGAGGCGGGGGTGGCGTCGCCCCCGAGGGCAGCGCTCTCATGGATTTGCCCGGAGACGTAGTCTGCGCGCGGGGCGGGGGCGGCGGTGGTCCCGGTTTTGCAGTCTCTGCACCACTCTGAAGGGATGACGTGGCATGTTAGCACTGCAGACGTGGCTGGATTCGAATGAAGCCTCACATTCTTGTTGACCCATCTCTTAAGTTCCTTGTCGTAATAAAACGAAGTCTGCTCGCCCAGGTTGGCTTTCACAGGAGCCGGCGTGGACTCCCGCTTCCACAAACGACTCAACCACCCGCTTGATGAGCCGGCTGCTGAGGCAGGATGTCACTTCTTTAAACACAGATACTTGCCAACAAGTTCGACGCACCAGGTTTCTCCTCGTTTTTGACGGGCTCTTTGGGCTCTTCCTTTGTTGGCGCAGGCGCAGACTCATCCTCGCTCGCCTGGCGATCGCGTTTCGGGCGACTGAACGAGTTGCCCAACCCCAAGTCATCCTCCTCGTCAATTGATGGGTTATCAGAGAACGTCCTCTGCGCCTGATACGCCGTGGGCGTCGCAGAGTAGTCGTCCATTAGCGAGATGAACTGGCTTGACGTCGCTGTTTGTACGGAAGACTCGTCGTTCGGCATAAAGGAGGACGCAGTTGGTGTCGTGGCACTAGCGTCTGATGATCCCCACCATGTTCCGATGGCCGGCCCTTTGATTGTGGCGAGTCGCCATCAGCACTTTGATCATCCTGCGTCCCATATCCGTTCAAGCTCTGCTTGGAACTGCTTCCGAAGGCGTGTCCGTTGAGTGCTTGGCTATACAGTGACGCATCTGCAAACGTTGTCGTCGCTGGGTTTGCAGATGCGACGCGGGGCACGGGGGAAGACTTGCGACTCAGCGAAGGCCGCGTGTAATCCATGGCAGATGAGGCACGATTGATCTGCGGCGCAGCAGACGCTCGCAGGCCCGTCGCAGAACCAGTCCTGAACGGTGGCGGTGAGCTCGTTGTTTGGGCAAGATGACAGTCGATTGATGTGGTGACGGCACGGCTGAGCTCGTCGTCGAAGAGATTGTGCTATACTGAGAAAAGGGTCCCCCGAAAGATTGCGACGGTTGTCCATGACTTTGCTGGTCAGGTCGAGGAGAGTCCTCTCCGGCAATGAACTTTGTAAGGCGGCCTCCAACCCAGCTGCCGATGCCATCGAGACTCGGTTTCGATACTTTGGAGGTTATCCACGACCCTGACTTATCGAGTTGGGGGGCAGCCACGAGCCTATCGTTGAGACCCTTGAGTTGCTCAAGGAACGTAGGGTTGATATACGGCGAGTTCCTGTTCAAAGAATGGGAGATGGCTTCGCAGTACCTACCAGAACATAAGCATCGAAGGACTGCTAGCTAGCGAAGAATACACACCTATTTGCCAACTGGACATGTCCCAATTCTGCAAGATTGGCAGCGCGTATAAGGCGGTATGGTTGCAGGTGCGGTAGACCAGCAAATGCCTCTTGGCCCTTCGCAGGTGTTGTCAAAGACATCGCAAATTCTGCGACCTCGGAGAAGATCAGTGGGTCCGGATCCTTGGCGAAGCTCAGCGAAACAGATGGACTTGGGCTTCCAAGGAGGACCATTCGGCTTGAGCTACCGATTCCGCCCATAGGAGACGTCTGCGGAGACAGCAAATAGCTGACAGAGATCATAATCAACGTACGCTCTGTCAGGTGAACAAATCCTTACCATGCGTGCGCAGCTTCGTACCAATGGTTGGCTGCTAATTGATCTCCGAGAGCAGTCAAGGCCGACGAAGTCTCGAATGTAAGTGGACTCGAGTAAATCATAGCAATCGTGTCTGCCCACTTGGCCAATACCTCCAATGAGACGTTCATGGGCTCAGATGGGCCAGGGAAGCTAGCCGAAAGGGGTGTGACCGAGGTCGTCGAAGGTAAAGGTACCTGGAGCGTTGACACTGCTTGTGCGAGAGGCTTGGGGGTTACCAGTTCCTGAACTGTAGAAACGATGTCAACGATTGCTTCGAACTCGTATGTTTGGGTCACTCACTCGATGCGGACCCATGCCCAGAAAAAAGACTGTAGGCAACTCTCAGAGCCTCCCGGCCATCAGCCGTGGCCTTCGTGTGCGTGCCGGGCACTTGAGGTTTGCTCGCCAGCTCAGTTCTCACGAACTCGGTGACAACCTCCTTCCACGCTTCCTTGTCTATGCTACTGGCGATGACCATCGCGTGCGCCCACAGTTTCTGGTCCGATGCGTAGTGTGATGCGGCCCGCCGTTCTCCCCTCAAAAGGAATTCTTGTATCTTATCCAGGTGAGAAGACTGAAGGGTATGGGTAGCAACGATAGCGTCTGTGGGATCCTGAGAAGCAGTCAATGAGAGGTACGGCGAAGCAGCGGCCACGCTCGGCGACTGTATGTCACCACTGATCGAGGAAGCCAATTGCAAGGTATCGGAGGCCGGTTGCGCTGCTCGAGGAGTCAATGCACTGCGAACAGCTGCATCGATTGAAGGACTAAAGAGACGGATTTTAGATGGGTCTAGTTGGACATCTCATCTCCGTACCTGCCTGATAAGCGGCCGTCATTCTCGACCATCACTTTGAGCAACTTCACCAGGATGAATTTGCCTTCAGCACGCCGCCCTTCCAAGCTCCCCGAGTGGAAGTATCCGAGACCACGGTTGAGCTCATCGGCCCTCTCTTCCATATACTTGATGACACGTGCCTTCTTCGTCTTAGTCTGCGTGACAACAGCCGTGCGGACGAGACTCGTCGTTGGAGTTCCGGGATCCGAGAACAAAGGCCCAGGATATGAAGCAACGGATGTATCCAAGGCGGAGTCTGGGATGAACTTGTGTAGAGTGTGGAGTTTTACCTCGGAACAATGACGAGAGGCCAGCGCGACGTCGAATCCACCACCTGCAGAGGACCCATGGAAGCATGCCACAAGCTTGCCGCCAAAGCCAAAGCTAATAACGGGTATGCGGGCAGCCGTCCTTCCAAGAGGATCGTTTGCACCAACCAACGAAGGCGAAGGTGCATACATGGTCTGAGCCTGATGAGGTATCGTCAGGACCTGCGCCAATCCATCGTATGTTGCAGCCGTAGTGGGTGCATACGCATTGGCAGGAACGCGCTCGAAGCTACTCCTCGTGCTGTCGCTTGTCTGCTGTCGGACATGTCGAGACAGAGAGTACGGATCCTCGAGCACTGCCGAGATAGACGACAATACGGAGCCATTAGACATTGAACGCATACGATTGTTTGCTGTCGGGGCGTAAGGGTCATATCCTCCGCTGGCGACCGATGACGGCCTTGATGGCACCATAGGAGGGGAGGCAGCCCTCCTCGCGTCTGTTACAGGCGGCGGTTCATAGGTATGGGAGACACTCGCGTCGAGGGAGATGCTGCTCGTCTTGGATCAGGAAGGGGTGGGTCGTATGCGTTGGCAGGGATCTTGTGCGTCGAGTCAGTTGTGAGACCACGGGATGGTACAGACGGCGATTTAGGCAACGAGCCTTGATGCGGCTGCTCGAGGGGTTGTCTCTGAACACTCTTTACAGAGCGCACAGACGCACTACCAGGAGATCTAGTCCGTTCTGGAGCGCTGTGATTCGGCGCGTAAACGCTTCTGTGACCAAGAGGCGATGTCGTCGAGCCGTTTGGTACTGCGCTGCTTGCTGTCGAAGGAGAGGCGACTTTTCGAGGAGGGGATGCTACGCGTGAATGCTCATATGGACTCGGTCCGTAAGAGCCATGGTGTGAGTTTGTTGTAGGAGGCGACACAGTCGGGCCGGTGGTGTAGTTCGGCGTATACGGGTCGAAGCCATGCTCAGCATTGGCCAATCCTTCCTCGCTCGGGAGGATCAGTGACGACGGTGCCTGGTATGGGGCCGCTAGAGGGGGAGGCGGTGGTACAGATGGGTTGGGAGAAAGCGTCGGAGCGTCGGGCTGCGGAATGGTATCCCATTCATGGTGACCATGAGGTGCGTAATAGGGAGGCACAGTCTGACTCGGGTAACCTGTATCAGTATGAACACTGTAGTCCCCTGACGAGGCATGCCCGTTGTGTACCGCGTGAGGCATGCCGTCGTAAGCCATGGATTGCTGGGGAGAAGCGTATCTTTGTACCGGAGGTGGGTGTTGCAGCGACGGCGCGGACGGAGCATATCCACCACTTGAGACAGGTGTACTTGAGATAGGTGTTTGCTTCCTTGGTGGACCCCGAGGAGGCGGACTGAGAGCCGACTGCTGGCCAGGCGGTGGTGAGCTAGGGTATACAACGTGGCTCGACACGCGTTTTGTCTTAGGTGGGGGCAACGGGGATCGTAGGCATTCGATGTCTTCGGACGAAAGGGGGCCGCCGCCGCTGCCGAAGGGGCAGGACCAGGTGCCGGTGGTAGTACCGTGTACGACTGATTCGAGCGAGCCCCAGCGGAAGTCAGACTGTAAGCATATGACGTCTCCACCTTCGCACTATAGGAAGTAGTCGCAGCTTGCGGACGGTATGGGTCGTTTCCCGACTCAGTGGACTGTGCAGGCTTGTACGGATCGTATGCAGGCTGCGAGTGGTTGTACGGGTCGTACGAAGGCTGGGATGCCGAGCCTGACGTAGTCTGCAAGGCATACGGAGCCGATGCGGGCTGTACTGCCGGCTTGTAAGGGTCATACGCGGCCGAGGCGTTCGAGGTCGAAGCGGTCTGTACTGTGCTGGAGGATGCCGCAGGTCCATATGGAGTGTAAGAGGGATACGTAGAGGCATAATGCGGGTGCGTTTGCGAAGGCGCGTCATAAGCTGGTGTGTCATTTCAGTCATACGCCGTCAAGCAAAATAATGAAACATACCGGTAGTGCTGTACGCTTGAGACTGCTGTGCGTAGCCAGTTGCTGGCTGATCAGCACCATACCAGCCATTCTCCTGGTAGCCCTGCCCTTGGTATTGCTGCGGATAGTCCGTGCTAGCCACGGTCGTCTGCGTGCCTTCGTACCCGGGCGTGGCCTGGGCAGTGCTGTCATAGGCACCGTACTGGTCAGAAACATTACCACCTAACGCTCCTGCTGCGCTGAAGAAGTCTACGCCGTCGGCGTTACCATTGAACAATTCCGACGCTACGGAAGACTCCTGGGTATGAGACGTCTCTCCTCCGTGCCCTGCGTGTTGACCGGACGGCGCGCCGTGTGTGTCGCCCCCGAGTGCGGTTGCGAAAGGGTCGGCGGATGCGTCGGTTCCGCCGAAAAGCGACGAAGCCTCGCCGGCACCAGAGTCCATGGAGAAAGGATTGAAAGCGGACGGTCAGCGACAGAGGCAGTGAGCCTGTTGGCGGGTGGGACGAGCTCGTAATTGGCGCTGAGTGTGCAGAACACGTATATCCAGTCCGTCAGTGCGGGACACGAGCGCCTACGCGCCTATAATCCACAGCACAGGTCACGCCGCGCAGTACGCGCGACTTGCGAGATCCTCGCGACTGAGCTCGCTAGCGTCGAGTAACATTTCACAGACCATCGGCCGTTCGCAAACTGCTCCTGAGTCATTATTATTCACTTTATTCCACCATTAGCAGAGAGCAACTGCGTGACTATACATAGTGTGCAGCACCTGAGTAACGAATGTGTCCGACGAGAGATATAGTCTGCGGGAGTAGGTACTAAAAGATGCGCGATATACGATATAGCAACGGCGAGGAGCGATATAGAGCTATGTGAGTCTAATATGAACTGATCGGAAAGAGAGGGTGTGATTATGTCGGCGTCTGCAAGCAGTACGAGAGAGAGAGCTAAATGGATATGTAGGGTATCAATCATGCAAGCGATTATACCAGGATATGTGTGACGGCTTCCGATCCAGTGACTATAGTCCCATGTACGATAATTACTTGCTGGATGAAGATAGCGCGGTAACTTGAGAATCTTTGGCGGTCTCTTCCTTCAGCGCATTGTCTTCGACAGTGTCAGAGGCGCACTTCTCCAGGAGGCGCTCGACTAGATGCAAGTAAGCGTAAGACAATTGAGCGGTGAGCACGCCGAACTCACTGGACGTTAGATGCTTACTGAAGGTACTCGAATATCTCCTCATGTTCATGAGCTGCGGCCTGATATTGGCAATCAGTGCTTCCTTCTGCTCGCCTTCGACGACAGTCAGGGCCCGCTGAAGGACGTAGTCTGCGACAGGATTTTTTGGCAGTCAGCACGGTTCGTGACGTCTCCCAGGATGGATTACGCACTAGCATACTGGTCCTTCATCATGGCTAGGACAGGGCTCAGTCCATCCGGACGTGATGCCATCATCTCGTCGATCAGCACTCTTCGGTTCTCGGAGTCTGCTGTGATGAGAGCCTTCTCACACACGTTGGAGGCGAACTTGTGCCGAGCCATATGCAGCATCTGCCCCCGAAGCTTAGAAACCACGATCGCACGGTCGTGCGGCTTCCCGTGCTCCAGGACAAATTGGACGACATAGTTCTACGCATCCACGTCAGCTATATGGACTCGATGCGGGCGACGCCGAGTCATGTATACATACCCCGAATTGGTCCTGCATCAGCTGCGTGACATGCTTGTGCAGCTCATCCATCAACGGGCGAATGTGGTCGTCCTGAAGGTGCTCGAAGCACCTCTGGAGAACTCGGCAGCCGTACGGATGAGTTGCGAGCTCATACACATAGCCTTTGAAAGCGCTGACGAACGTCAGACGCTCCGGCGACACACACTCGATCAGCTTTTGGATGACCTGGGCATCACAATGATGAGCGCATGAGCAACGACTACTTACGCCACTTACATGATTGCCATTGGCGTCCCTCACACACCGCAATACCTGGCTCTCGAGCTCCTGCACGAAGGCACTCTGCTGCTCTGGGTTGACGTACTCCACGGCCTGCGAAATGTATGAGTACGAAGATTGCACAGGACATTGAGCCACACACCTTCTGGACACACGGCAGCCGTACATCTGCAGAGACAAGGGCAGGACATGGCCCTCCATGGTCTTCGCTAGTAGTGCCCGCTGGGACTGGTACCGTGCTCGAAGAGCTTCTGGACGACCTGTGTATGCGCGAATAAGTGAGTTGAGATGCCATACGTAAGGCTTTGCCAACGTACGTAGTTGCCGAAGACGTCTTGAATCAATTGCAACGCATGCAGCGGTACAATCTCGTCGAAGATCCTCTGCTTCTCGTCGCCGCCCGCCATCTCGACCTTCTGCTGGATGAATCGCGAGCCATGTTGGTCACCACTGAACTCGACGATGTAGCCGTAGATATCCTGAAACACGACAGTGTGAATTGGACAACTCCGTGGCATCAGCAAATGCGTACGTACCTTGAGTTCCCATTTCCGACTTTGTTCGCTCGGAACTCGTCCAACAGCGGACTACGGATGGCAACGCGGTGATCCGGCGCGACATGACCCCGTCGGCCGCCTCGACCACCTTGGTGAAATTGGTGCATCTGTGGATGGGGTCCGATGCCATGGGGACCGTAAACGGTCCCAGCAGGAACCATAACCGAAGGCTGCGAGCCATATTCCGCCGGTGCATGATAGCCTTGGGGATGTGGGGAGGGCGTCGACCGAACATTCGCGTACATCATGCCGTGCGGACCAAGTTGTTGCGGGGTGTACTGTCAAGGGGAAGGAACACTGGGTAAGCAATACGCAGTGATAGCAGAATTTATCTCACATGAATATCACGCTTCTTCTCGAGCATCGGCGAATGCGTGGGAGGGGCATGGTAGACCATGGGTTGCGTCGGATAGTAGTACTGTGAGCCCATGGGTCGAGGGGAACCGGCATAGTCGTAGAAAATACCCGATTGATGGCTGTGAATGTCGGGCACGGCATGGGGGTGCAGGGACTGGGGCGTAAGACCAGGATACACGCTGGGAGCAGTTGGTGCGGCAGTAAGGGCAGGAGATGGAGCGTACAAGGTTTCAGACGTCGGACGATAGGCATCGTATGAATACTGATAATCGACAGGCGCGGAAGGACCACTGTAGTAAGCGGAATAGTCTGTCTGTGGGAAGCCACTGTAGGGCGCTCTGGGCTGTTGCACTTGTGGCGGAGCTCGTATTTGATGAGGGGATGGATGTTGTCCGAACTGGCCACCTAAAGGTGAATGCAGAGGAGCTACCCCCTGTTGAGCTTGATGCTGAGCCGCGCCACTGTCATCAGCGGCGACCATTCCGCGGAAGGCCAGAGACAATCCTCTTCTACAAAGGAGTTCATCTCAAAGGGCGTTGCATATGCTTCTCCTTGGCCTTCGCCGTGGACGAGCGATTGTTGGGCCGGATAAGGCGAAGACACGCCATACGCAGGCCTTGCTGAAGACGAGGGGTACCGTGACGGCAAGCCAGGCTCGCGACTGAGGGCACTACCAAATCTCTGCGGCGAATATTGCCCACGCTTCTGTGCAGACCCAGCCGCTGTACCCAGCGTCGCGCCGTGAGGGTTTGCTACGTGTCTCTGTCGGGAAGAGTGCAAAGGCAGCGACGAATGCGTGTCCTGTCCGTAAATGCCCGTATGAGACAACATTCCGCTGGCCACACATGTCCCACATACCAGCTGAGTTCCTTCTTTCTGGGAGTTCTCGACGACTTCATCCCACGTCCCACTAGTTGACCTGGAACCCCACGCGTCTCCGAGGCTCGAGCGGTAGGAATCCGTCTGAGACGTCGACGGATCGTGCGCGCTACCAGATGACGAGGTTGAAACATTGCGGACTCCAGAGGGATTGTTACCCCAGACCTGACAGGTGGCTCAATTGAGGCGCTTCGAACACTCTCGATGATGCATACCTGCCATCCCGAGCTAAGGACCTTCAGCCCGTTGGAAGCTCCCATCCCGGCGTTGAGTGTGTTTGCGGAGGCTACTGACTTCCGCTGCGCGTGTGCCTGTAACATGACATCAGCCAGTGAAGCCATGAATACCGAGTGGCAGAAGACGTACGTGGCTAGGTGGGCTCGAGGGTGAATGTCCCCCGGAACGTGATGACGATGCAGAAGGTTTTGGCCCGGTAGGATCAGGATTGGCAGCCATGAGCGTGCCTGTTTGAGGATGAGCTACTGAGTTATAGAGCAAGGGACGGTGCGCTTACGGAGCGGTGCAGGAGGCGAACACGCTTCAGACGTGCTCCGAACCGACAGCTCGACGTCGACTCCGATAATGCAAAGCACCGGAATAAAGGGAGCAATATTAAAGCGACAAAGAAGAGTGACGGAACCCTTGGGACCCGGCTGGGACACGGTCACGGGAAGAAATGGAAGCCGTTCGGGTGCGTCTCGCGGAGTGCGTTCGTTCGCGTAGCTGGCGGGCGACGCGTCTCAAAGGGCCGCCCACTCACCAGTTGTCGTGCCAGGACGCGTCTGGGCGGGAAACCTGGCAGCCCCAACCAACGCGAATTGGATGGGAGACGGAGAGAGCAAGGGCGACGAGGCCAAGGGACGCGTCGCGGGCCCAGTAAGTAGAGCAGAAGAGAGATCGGCGGACAATATTTGATTCCGCTGAAACGGCAAGACATTCTGGGCTGCGCTGTCGGGATTCATCAAGCTATGCCACGTGTCGCGCCTCCGCCGCCGCGAGTGCCGCCGGACGGGTAAAACGAAACTCGATGGGAAGAAGCCGCTGCGAACCCAGAAGGCGCTGTGCTGCCCGACGTGGCAACGCCCGATCTCTGCGCCTTCCATCAGATCACCGACCGACCCTGACGGCGAACTCTCGGTAATTACCCCAGCCACCCGCCCCCGGCCCGCCTCGACGCGAACGTCGCGCCAGGTCGCCTGCAGAGCGCAGCCATCAGAGCCATGAGCGAGGGGCCCCGGCATCGAGGAGGTGCATACCGCTGGAGGAGCACGTTGCGGCCAGACACAAGCGACGTCCAGTTCAAACGCGTCATTTGAGAGCTTTGAAAATGGAAATTTCGCGAGAAAATAAGGTTTGCACTCCATATCGGCCGGCCGGTTGTCAAATCCAGATGCATTACTAACAGACGATAGATGCGATGCAAAACGTACAACCACTCTGTATGATGGGTATGCGATAACATAAGGGAATGGAAAGCGGTCAGTACACAACATGTGGATCACCGAGAGTTGAAGAACCACGACGCCCGCTTGGCTGACAAGACAAACCTTTCTGTGAGCATTACGGGTCATTAAATGACGTTGCAAAATTGCATACCTCCGGTGCTAAAGCAGATATGGATTCGCGCATCAGAAGTCTGTCTGACCCTGGCGATCAAGTCGCAGACTCACCCTGACTCTTCGTTCTGTAGCCTCGCCAACGGGCTGGCGTTGTTCCCGGCCAACGACGGGCTCGTGTTTGTCATGGCCGCACTGGCCGCAGCGGAACCTCCGCCGCCCCGCAGAGGCTTCGCAATTCGACCGAAGCTCAGGGTAGACGACGTCGCGGCCTTCTGGGCTAAATGAAAGGGTGCCACGTCAGAACGGAACACGCATGAAGATGATTCGATCATACCGCGGGCTTGGTCCAGCCTCTCCTTCACCGCCGCTAATTGTGCCTCGAACTTCTGGTTCTGAACAGCCAGTCTACGGTCCGCGTCCTGCAGAAGCGCTTCAAGGTTCTGTATCCGCTCGTTCCGGGCGAGGAGCTTGCGCTCCGCGATACCCGCCTCCTTCTTGAGCGCTGAGTTCTGGTCGACAAGCTACGAGATGAACGAATCGTTGAGTAGGAATATTCCAGGAACCCGTTGAAACAGGCACCAACCTGCTTCTGCACAACGGTCAGTTGCTCAAGGTTCCTCTCCAAGAAGGCCATCTTCTTCTGTTGCGCTTTGCTGTTGCTGTTGCGGATGACATTATTGTACTGTTCCTTGATCTCGTCGAGCTGGATCTCTAGCTCGACCACCTGGTTGCATCACGTGATGAATGTTACCTTGTTGATCAAGGATCGCGGGGGTTTTCGTACCTTCTCGCAGCGGTTCTGCAGATCTCTCATGAGGGACTTCTTCACTCCATCAAACTCAGCGAGTTGGACGCTGATTGCCTTTCTGGTGCGTTCGAGGTCCTGAGCGCTCTCAGCGAGGTTCTTGCCACCCTCGATACCTGCCGACGTAACAGCGAAGGCGCGCTAAGATAGCTCCAGTCAATGAACGGCACTATGTAGAACGATTAAGGCAAACCTTGAGCTCTCGTTGACACTCTTCAGGCTGTCATGGTCGCATTCAGAGTGCGGACTTCACTGGTGCGGATCTCGAGCTGTTGCTTGAGGTCCTGGACTTCGCTGAGGTGCGCATCGCGCTTGGAGGCATACTGGGACTCGAGCTTGTTCTGCATTGACATGTCAGACTGAAGGAACGGCCGTGCCTGCGACAAGCGCACCTTGAGCTCCGCCATAGACTCGGCACGTCAACGTTGCTGACCTCCTCCTCGTTGATTGTCTTCTCTGTAGGGGGATGCCTGGTGAGGAGGAACATACCCACACAGTTCAGTCATTACGTACCGAGGAGTCCTCATACTCGCCTCGAGAGCAGCGATGCGAGCCTCAAGCTCGTCTCGCCTGCGCGAGTTCATTTCATTCTCCTCCTGGCTTTGCCTGAGACGGTCAACCGTTTCGCGAATGAGCGACTGCCCGTCCGCCAGCTGCCGCCTAACAGTAACGATATCCTCATACGACACCGCGGACAGACCAGTCTCGGAGTCAATAGTGTCGAGCTTCGCCAGAATCTGACGGAGCTGCTCATCCTTCTCGGAGAATGTTCCTTGCTATAAATGGTAGTCAGGAGGGCCATGTAGGAGTTCAATCAGCAGATTGCACCCACAGTGTCAAACTTGGCCATCATCAGGGCCATCTTCTCCTGCTTGCGCTTCTCTCTGTCCTCCGCAGAAGCATCCTTCTGCGAAGCCTTGAGGTCCAGGATGTTCTTCTTGAGCTCGTCCAGTTCCGCTTTCGCGTCCTGATTTTGCTCCTTGAGAATGTCAATCGTGATGACGCTCTCCTTGTTGTCGTAGTCGAGGCGCTCGACCTGCAACCGAAGCTCGTTGAGCTGCCCGGACATCGTCTTGTTCTCCTATAGGTGGTCGCAAGACGTCAGAGCTGAAAATCATCACAATCCGCGACTACTGACCTTCGACACAGAAGCCTCTTGCTCCTTGAGGAACGAAAGCTCTTCCTTCAGCTCGCCGACAAGCTTCTGAGCCGCGATGAGATTATGCTCCCTCTCCGCGAGTTGGTCGCTCAGCTCGTTCTCCCGCTTCAAGAACTCCTCGCGTTCATCCTTATCCAGGCCAACCACGGTCGGCGTCTGTGGCCTGCTATCCAGCTCGCGCAGACCCTCAATGGCAGGGTTCACCGGCGTCATGCTGCGTGTCGACGATGGCGTCGGCGACGTGGGGGCCTTCTTGGGCGGAGCGGTAGCAACATCCGCCTTTTCAGACGAGGCCCAGTCTGCCTGGGCCACAGCACCTCCAGCGCGCCAGATGGCGAGCTCGGCCTCGAGAGCGGCGATGTACTTCTGGTAGGAAGCGTTGGCTGCATTGGCCTTGGAGAGAAGCGACTTGAGCTCCAGAGGAGACAGCTCGGCATTGACGCGCGCGGTGTTCTTGATTGATTTCGCCCGGATACCGAAACGAAGGGTGGAGAGTGTTTCTGCTTCGTTGTATGCGGAAGGAGAGCAGTTGATAATAAGAGTCGTCCGGGAGTTACCACCGAGCGATTCTTGTAGAATACGAGTAAGTTTAGAGTCACGGTAGGGAACGTGCTTCGCCTGATGGGACATTCATCACTGATTGGACTCGAGAGACATTCATTCGAGACATACCTTTGAGTCCGTGAGAGCGTTAATGACCATCCCGAGAGCAGAGAGAGACTTGTTGATCTTCTTGGCTTCCTCCAGGGTTTGGCCAGATGCACCCGTCTTTCCGACCTTCTCCGAGCCAGCCAAATCAACCAGGTACAAGTTTCCAGTCTTCTGAGCACCAGTCTCTGTGTTCCTTTGACGGATGGTGACGAGGAAGATAGAGTGTGATCGGGAACTCTCGGCGTTCATGTCTGAACACGATGTCAGTGGCCTAGCCGTCGTAGCAAGTCCGAAGCACACACTTGTTGATGAAACAACACGTGCAGCACCACCTTGCCGCATAACCTCGTACACCTCACGAGCACTGCTAACGTAGTAATCGGTAAGATTCTTGACATAAACTCCTTTCGATTTCTCCTCATGAACTTGGAGGTTGTCATTCTGGGCTAGAGAGCGTGCAACATCAAGAAATCATCAAGTCCAACGGGACATGGGACATACGCGCAAGAAGATCACGAATCCGTTCAAGATAGATCTCCATATATGACACCTTGACGACATACTCGAGGTGAGAGTCAGACTCGACAATGGATTGGAAGATTTGCTCCGTAATTCGAGGAATGAGACCCTTCAACTCGGGAGAATCGATGTCCGCGCCCTGACGAACTGAAGTAAGCCTCGAATACCCAATGAACGAGCGTTACGACACACCATCATTGTGAACGTCTTTCCACTACCCGTCTGACCATATGCAAACACAGTGCCGTTGTAACCATCCAGAACATCTGCGTCCATACGTCAGTTGATATTCACCAAGGAATGCGCGCAGCCATTCATCAAAGCCGCAGATATGCAGTAGATGCATGGAGGATAACCCGAAGACACGCACCCTTGACAATGCTGAGCCGACCGTCAGCATCTACGTATGTGATCACCGGAAAGCACACTTACTCCTTGACACCATAGTCGAACACTTCATGTTGCTGAGTCCCGGGAGGAAAGACTCTGTCGAGCGTGAAGCCATCCTTCTCTGGACCCGAGCTCAGCTGCGCCGATCGCAACTGCACGGTCTGCAGGTTGTCACTGAAGGACACAACAATGTCTCCGCCCTCCCGGAGCTCAAGAGCATTCGGCGGTCGAAACCTGCGCAAAGATCACGACGTCAGACATGAATCTTGAGCGTGCCCGCAGTACGAGAGAGGTCGTACCGACAGACGACCTTGATGTTCGTGGACGACATTCTAACAAAGATACGGGCGTACGGAGTGTCTAAGGTTGGCTACAATTGCCGTGGTAGAAGCCAGAGGTATCGAACGACGCTGGCAAGCGCGTCCTCTATGAGAATAGAGAAAGTGTGAGAGATGGCGGAAAGCACCAGCCTGAGTGCTGGAGGGCAGCGGCACACGCGCGTCGGCGCCTATATTTGTAACTGTTGTCAAGTTTACCGCGTCTGTCCAGATCCAGCGCAGTACAACAGCACGCTGCTATCCATCCTGCGCCATGTCTGACGTCTCCTTGTAAGACTGTCTCTTTCTACGCTCATGAATTAACGGAGACAGAGGCGGATGGGATTCTCAATGAGGCTACTAATCCATGATGATACAGAGCGAATGTCCGAGTATAGAGCTACAGAGTGGCGCAAGGATAATGGAGCTGACAAGACCGAATTTTACTCGTTGTCACTGCCGAAATGCACGGCCGGAGCATTTCGACTTGATCCCGCCGTCGTCCGTCGGTTCGACAACATATCCTTTTCTGCAGCATCAGCAGCGTCGATCCACTCCGAGTAGATGTCAATTGGTTCAGTAAGATCTGTAAGGCCAATGAACAACCCACGCGACCGTATGCATGCACACGACGTACGGTTCACTTTGCTCTGGTATCGCTGGTCGCAGACTTTACAGAAGAGCTGTGCAACGCCTTCTTTCCTGTCGAGCCTCACGGTTACGGACTTGTCATGGTGGCAGAATAGACATGTAAATTGGGTTTCTGTAGGCGGGATCAGTACCCTCTCCACTGCACGAGATGTAAAGCTAACTGGCCTAAAGGGTCTTTCCTGCGGGGACCCTGGGGTTTGCGAGACGACTTCTTGCGCTTACCCATGAGCGCGAGTGACAAGGGCGACCTCCGCCAACCTGAGCAGACAGGATGCAGCCACACACAGAGACGGAAGAGGAAGGGCGTTCGCACGGATGCTCGCACACGTGACTGGACGCGGGCAGCGAGCGCGTCGTGTTGAACTCCGTCGCCGAACGCTCCTCCATCCCCTCCCGCCACACCTGCCCACCATGGCTACACGCCGCGCGCCGTCCACGCGCAGCCGGAGCGCAATGAACGCTATGCCTCCCCAGCATCTACCCGACCACGATCCGCAATGGCAAAGTCCAACTCTTCTCAGCGTTCCAGGGTCGCTACCCCAGCTCCGGAAGACCATGACCACGACCCGCCCGCACCTCCGTCCAGATCCGCCAAACCGCACGCCAGTACATCTGCGCAGGATGAGCCAGACACGAATATCCAGGTAGTTATCAGGTGCCGCCGCCGTTCTGATCGCGAGATAGAGGAGAACTCGCCCATTATTGTCACCACGAACGGCCCCAAAGGCAAAGACATCACAATTGAAACCGCCGCCCCAGTATCAAGTCTCGGAATTGTCACCCTCGCACCCACCCGAACCTACCCCTTCGACACTGTCTTTGGGCCTGAAGCCGACCAGGCGCTGGTCTACCACGAAGTCGTGAGCCCTATGTTAGAGGAGGTCCTAATGGGTTACAACTGCACCCTGTTTGCATATGGGCAAACGGGTACGGGAAAGACGTGCGTCAACATTTACCTACCTTCTTCCGCTGACCGATGTATGTGTCCTTAGCTACACCATGCAAGGCGATCTATCCACCACCCCGATGGGGAACCCTTCACCGCAAGCGGGCATGATCCCGCGCGTCCTCTTCCGCCTATTTCACCATCTCGAGTCTTCCGGATCAGATTACAGCGTGAAGATATCCTATGTGGAACTCTACAACGAGGAGCTCCGCGACCTCTTAGCCCCCGAACTCGCCGCGCCCGTCGGCTCGACGCAGCCTATGGGAATGGGCTCTCAGAAGGACGGCTCGGGACAAGGCAACCTCAAGATCTTCGATGACGCAAGCAAGAAGGGTGTCTTTATCCAAGGCCTCGAGGAAGCATGCGTCAAGGACGCCGCAGACGCACTCGCGCTGTTGACGAAGGGCAGTCAGCGGAGGCAGATCGCGGCAACAAAATTCAACGATCATTCCAGTCGTTCTCATTCCGTGTTCTCAGTCACAGTGCATACAAAGGAGACGTCCTCAATGGGCGACGATTTACTGAAGGTCGGGAAACTCAACCTCGTCGACCTTGCCGGTTCAGAGAACATCGGGCGCTCGGGCGCAGAGAACAAACGAGCTCGTGAAGCAGGCATGATTAATCAGAGCCTACTCACGCTCGGGCGGGTCATCAACGCTCTGGTTGATCGATCTTCGCATGTGCCCTATCGGTGTGTACGCACCTCTGCCAGAGAAGACTCATATTGACGATGCTCGCCTTACAGTGAATCCAAGTTGACCCGACTGCTCCAAGACTCCCTCGGCGGTCGCACCAAGACATGCATCATCGCTACCGTTTCCCCCGCCCGTTTCAACATGGAAGAAACCCTCTCGACACTCGATTACGCCATCCGCGCCAAGTCGATCCGCAACCGCCCCGAGGTCAACCAGCGCATGACACGCAACTCCCTGCTCAAAGAGTACGTCGCTGAGATCGAACGTCTCAAGGCGGACGTCCTCGCCGCGCGCGAGAAGAACGGCATCTTCTTCGCGGAGGAGCGGTGGAACCAGATGGTGGCGGACCAGGAGCTGCGCGAGACAGAGATGCAGGAGGCGCGCAAGCAGGTCGAGGTCGTTGAGAGCCAGATGCGGAACGTCCGCGAGGAGTTTGAGCAGAGCATTGCCCTACTGATGAAGCGGGACGGTGAACTGAAGGAAACACGGGAGCAGCTGCAGGCTACTGAAGGCGAGTTGGAGGTTAAGGAGACCCAGCTCAAAGTCGTGAAGGGTGCATTGGAGGAGGAGGTCGTGGTTAGACAAGCGCATCAGACCACGGAAGGCAGACTGGACAATGTTGCCAGTGGCCTGAAGAAGGTTGCCCAGGAGAGCTTAAGTGACCTTGGCCGTTTACACAACAAGCTCGGTAGGCCGTCCTGTGGCATCTGTACGCCGGCTCACTGACAGACATCTAGAACGTAAGACGTCTGTGATGGACTCCAACACGAAGGCTGTCTCCGCGAACGGCAAGGTCCTCACGACGGAAACACAGGCGCTGTCCACGAGACTGGATACCTTTATCAAGACATCTACAACGCACGTCCAAAGACTACGTGTCGGGTCCGAAGAGTTCCAGACGAAAGAGCGCGAGGCGCTGGCTGCTATCTCACAACGGATCAACGAGCAGCTGGAAAAGGTTCGGGAGGCTCTCCAGACAATCCACTCTCGTGAAGAGGCGTCTACTAGTGCAGTGCAGACAATACAAAGTGCTGTCGAGGAGACGCAGGAGAGTGTCAAGAAGGGCTTTACTGCGTGGACCGAGGACCTACGGCAACATTGCGAGGCAACGTGTCAAGAAGCCGAAGCGTCAAGTATGGCGAGCTGTGCTAGTGTATGTCCACAGGCCTTCCGTTGCACTCACGAATCACGTTTGATATACGCATATACAGGTGGAGACAGCGTTCAAAGCTTTGGGAAATGTCATCGACACCGTTCTCCGAGAGGCGCAGACATACGTCGCGACAGAGCGCAAACTGCTGCAGGAAGCCAAAGCTATGGCTGACAACACCACGAATGCAGAAATTCTTCGACTGCAACAACAGAATGCTTTGCTCACACGGCTGCTCGAAGCCGAGAAGACAAAATCAGATCGCGCAAAGGATGACCTGATCAAGCGTATCTCCGGCCTTCTGGGCGACTTCACCGCCGAGCGCGATCGTAGCCTGAGAGAGGCATTCTCAGCGATGACGGAGAGCAATACGTCTGCTGAGCAGGAGATGGTGTTGTTGGGCCAGGAGCATGGTAAACGACTCGATGATGTTGTTGGCCGCGGCAAGCAATGGAACCTGGACTTGGAGAAGCGAGGGGTGGAAGGCAAGCGGACGAGAGACAGTGGCATCAAGGTAAGCTAAGACATGTCATCGAGCTAGAGAGTTTCTAAGCTGATGTGTCAGACGATCAATGCCGCTCGTACTGTGATACGCAGTGGCTTGTCCGACGTGCAGAGTTCAGTATTGAACTCGACGTCTATCTACACCGAGAGTCTGAAACGTCAGACTGGAGAATTGGGCGCAACTTGCAGCGAAGGTGCGTCGGTCGACCTGCACGTCTTCCTCTGCCCATCGAAGCTGACGTCCACTTGTAGCATTGGAACGTGTTTCTCGAGCGAAGAGGGCGAGGATCGAAACGACTGATGCATTGGCCGCCGATACACAGTCGACGTATCGATACGTCCAGCGTGGCATTGCGTCGACATCACGCAACATCGAAGCTTCGACCAGTAAGATCGTCGGAGAAAGCTCTGCCTTGGCTACGGCCACCGATACTTATAGATCCTCTGCGATTGGGCACATTGCGAGTCTCCGGCAAGCCACACATTCTCTCATTCAAGATGGTATGAAAGAAGATATGGCGACCGGAGCAACCCCGCGAAAACGTAGTTGGAACTTCGAAGACCAGTGGGAGCTTACGAGGAGCAGGGACGTGCTGTTGAAGGAATGGAGGAGGCGAGGGCACTCTCAAGCCAAGAGCGAGACTTTCCTCGCAGAACATTTGCCCTTGCCGGACGTCGAGGAGCCTGAAGAAGACCGAGAAGACGAGATGGTTGTCGACTCGGGAACACCAGAGGAAGTGGAGGAGAGCATCACGCCGCCCGCTTCGGAACTTGAAGACCTTCCACCACCACAGGTTAAATCCCTCTCATCATCAGCGTCTTCGACATCCTCCTCTATACCCCCACCTCTTGCTGGTTTGAAAAAGCCGACGCAGGGAGTTTTCAGTAAGTTGGGGCTCCCACCTATGGGAACATTGACTGAACGATCGACAAACGTGATAGTGACAAGAGGGACTCGTAGGATTCAACGATGATGCATGTCCTATGTATAGCATCCTCCACCCGTGTAGCCGTTCTCATAATCTTATGACCCTGTATTATATGTCCGAATACCACTTCTTTCAGCACCTCTGTATCGCACTCTGGAGCTGTTCGTTGAGGCCTGAGGCTTTGAGCCCGTGGATGTCGACCAGGAATACGGTACACTCTACAGTGTGGGCGCCAGTGTATTGTGCTTACGTTAGCAACCACTCTCGGCCGCGATGGTCTAGCAGCCACGGCGGCGCGCGACGGGCCCTGCTTCAACCTGCGGAACGACTCTGCGGAACGACTCCTGAAGCGAGCTACCCTTACCCTCTGTATCACCATGGCCCACGCAGGCATCAAAAGTATGTATACATTCTGAAGGATACTGGAAACCTATTCACCTAGGACTGCTATAGCCGTCATCCTCCTATCGTTCGTGCTTGCTGTGGGCTTCCTACTCATCATCCTCTCCTGCGCGTTGTGGGCGAACTGGCTTCCTCTACTTGTCGGTCAGTACCAATGTCATAACTGTTCTGGCTTCCTTTAATCTCTTGTCTATAGCATTAACATTTGTACTCGCACCTCTACCCAACGCGCTGTCGGCGAGCTGCGGAGGCGACGAGTTCTCTGCAGACTATGATGGCCCAGGACGGGGTGACCTGGCACGCTTCATAACCTCTATCATCGTAGTGACGGGGTTCGCCTTCCCTCTCGTCCTCGCCCACTCCGACGTAATCCGCCCGGGAGCATGCGCCATGTCGATCATTGGGGGAGGGTATGTCGCCTCGCGTCGCTCATCGGCATTATCGAGCTCATATATTCGCCTAGGCTGGTCTACGGTACTATTCTAGCATACAGTGCTGCGTTCAGACAGGAAGACTCCGATTTCGATTGATATCCGGTCCATTTCTTGCTACCGCCTCGGGGTCGCAGTACATAAGGACTGTTGTAAGCCCTCCTGTACACTATCCTACACCGTCCTGTCTTCTTGTTCCGTGCGGTGTACACTGGCTAGTACACGTAATAACGGGAGATGTTCCGCAAGTTGTACGAAGGAAAGGCCTCGTTGGCCTAAGGCAAACGCCCATGCGGGGGGCATCGGGTACGTGCTACTTATGAGAAGTCCGTTTCAACCACGGCCCGCAAGTCTCCACGTCCAATAGGGCTGGAGCTGTCCGAGACGTTGAGTGCCCGAATTTCAGTGAGTACGTCGAATCGCCCGCGAGACAAGAATGCGACTGGTAGCTCCGTTTCGTATGACTCCCCGGGAGCTAATCGTCCCATAGGGATGTCTGTTAGCACTCCTTGGTATATCGTATGTTGCGCAGGCTCCAAGGAAAGGTTCGCGACTAGCACCAGCTCTGCGGCTATAACGGGGTCAGCTGAGGAGCTATCGAGCACAGTGAGCACTCACGTGAAAGATTCGTGACCTTCGTCCTGAGGTAGACGAATTCGTTTGGTGGCGGAAGGTATTTTGATCCTGATGGGTCCACGGCGATAGGTGTCGCAGCCTCGCCGTCGTAGCGAATGAGCGACATCTGTACTCTTGCCGTCTCCGTGCACAATGCTTTAAGCATTGGGTGCGTCATACGTTGCTGCCGTAGTGATAGCTCGCCTGACCGCAGTCCCCCAGTCTGTAGTGATGTGAGCTTGAGCGATCCTGCGTAGTTGCATGACTCACTTCTCGCCATCGTCCTTGTACTGTCTTGAAGAGTTCTTCTCGGTACCAAAACAGCTCCCGCTGAGCTTTCTCCTCTGCGGAGGAGAGGTTGGACTTGACGACCACAAACTGTCTGTCTGACAGAGTGGGTATCGGTCGTGACGTTTGCTCTTCAGACAGGAGAATCTTCCTGACTGGAAGTACGATGCTACAGCCAGGTCAATGCGCCATTCTACTTCTCCCTCAAGGTCACATACCGTGTTGTTGATCCAGGAGGCACGAGAGCGGTTGTTGACATGTGGTCTTAAGTAGCAGTCCGTGACTACGTGCCCGCTTTCTGTATGTGTGTCCACTCACCAGGTTCTTTCCGCTCGAATGTCACCTCGAAGGGCGAGCCATACGTATTTCGCACGTCGACGGAAAAGAGGCACCAGTCTGCCACGTCATCGACATCGAAGAGTGCTCTTCGAGCCCTGCCAGCGGGGGGTCATCGTCATCTTGAGTTGTCGACGCAAACGCGGTAACCCTTGAGTACGGAGAGATATCCATGGCGTGGCACTCGAGCATATGATAGACGGTCACAACGACCGGATATGAGAGCTGCCTCGTGTGGAAGACGTCTGGCGGCTTCTCCTCCAGCATTTCCTGATGTCGATGAATGTAGGCGTAGGAGAGGTGGACGGCCCCGCTTGTACTGGATGTGCATGTCTGAGATTGGTCGCATGAAAGCTGATCCATTGCACTCACCATCCCACCTTGCCGAAGCACTTCACAGACACAGTGGTCTTCTCGCCGGGATCGACCCGAGAGGTGTCGCGCTCATTGTCCCATGAGAACACAGGCCTGTGGATGAGGTCGTACTCCGTCTCGTACGTCTCGAAAACGGACAACTCCCCCTCAGCGAGGGCTTGCTGTCCTGGTGCAATCGTCGAGTCGTCGAATGTGAGGCGGATGAGATCTATAGGGAGTGACGAAACGTTCTCCAAGGTGAGACGTATTGTTGATCTGGGCAAATTGTCACCTCAAAATCAAGTATCTCAAGAGCAGTATCGACTGACGTTTCGCCGTTGTATAACATCACTGCTGCATGAGTAAGTGATGTCCGTCGTATCCGCAATAGGGGCTGCTCCGGTACGACCTTGCACTCCAGGAACCAGAGGGAAGCCGTCTTGGAAGCCTGTTTGCTGTCCCGCTTGCTCATCCTCTTCCAAGGGAGAGACTCAAGACCTGCGTACTTGGCCCGCCCCACTTCAGACTCGATCGCACTACGTCTGCGCGACCGTGTCTCCTCTGCCTCCTCAGTCGAAAGCGGGAGTACATATTCGCGGGGCAGGCCTCCTGGTGCCTGGACAACACATCCTCGAATCGTCAACGTGCCGGGTTCAACAGCCTTGCCGGTCATCGTGACAGGATGATAGGTGTTGGCTGGAATGGTGATAGGCATTGCTTCTGATTCAATCCGCACGCCGTATGTACTGGGGCAAATGATGAGTCGAGCCAGAATCAATGTGATATACAGACCCGTACCTCAAAGCAAGGCTCTCCAATTGGAGGTCGAACACGAACGGATTCCTGAGAGTCATGACAACCTCGAATCTCTCGTTCTGCACCAAAACGCTTTGGGTCTGGACGGAGGTGCCAAGATCAGCCAAGTTATGCGCGGTGCCTTTCGTGATTAACTACCTGTCCTGGCGCGACCTTCCGTGGGTTGTACAAGAAAGGATCCTTGGCGCCTGTCAGGATGGTGTTTACACCTGGCTGATCACCCGCCCGGGCTAGTAGTGACAGTGGCTTTTCGATTGGCAAACGAATAAGAGGTAGGCTGGATGACATCGAATCAGCAAGTGCCTTCACAGAGAGGTTGCCTGACGTACGGCAGCATTTCGATACTGACAATGGGCTTGCCAGCCCAATACTCTACCGTTCGTCTGTCTCCTCTTCGAATTGCCGTGGTCAGAGCGCGTGTTGCTGTGTGGTACAGATGAATCTGATCGCTCTGACTCATGACGGGTGTAGTGTCCTGAGAGAAGACAGTGAAAACTGAGCCACCGAGGGATAGTCTACAGCAATATTGTCAATCAAAATCCCTGAAGTCCTGATGAGACAGCTCACCCGGTAGTGCCTCTGCGACAGCAATAGCTTCCCGGATGATGCCGATCTGCAGCTCTGGCCACCCGAAGGGGTCTTGGGGTGGCTCAGTTGAATCTTCCTCTTCTGCATCGTCAGCGGCATCGCCATTGGACTCTGCCGCAAGGGCGCCGATGTCGACGAGTTTGACAGACTCAATGTCTACACCATGGACCCTGCAGATATGCTTGATGATCCGCAACACGCTCTCATTCCCTTCCACTCTCGGGTTCTCTCGCACCCCAACTGTCCCCGATGTGGTTGAGGCCTTACTCATCGGTGCACCTTGAATGCCAAGACCAACCCCGGATGCGCGAGCCCCACTGCTTTCCCCTCGTCCGCACACGATTAGATCCATGATAGAACCGAGGAGCTCTCGAAGGATATAGGCCTCTTTACGAAGATAGCCGAGTGCACCGAACATGCCTGCGACTGTCTGCAGTACGCCGATCCGTTCTCGAGCTGGGACATGGAGCAGCCAGGGACCATGGACTTGGGAGAGTATTCCAGCGATTTGCGTACGAGTGATCCCAGTGATGGTGGCGAGGCGTTCTAGCTCGGCGTATGACGCCCTCGTACGACCATTGACTACGGTTACGGTGACACCGTTGTGGTCGGTATTGGATAACGCCGTGCTGGAAGACAAGTAGGGATTGGCTCCCGGATGCACCATCTTCCCAAAAGCATGGGGGCCCCACCCCTTGGCAGACCATATAGCAAAAAGCAGCGATGTATGCCGGATGACAGATCGAGAGTAAAGATATGCGAGCAGGGGTAACGCCCGCTCGGGTTCGGAATGAGGTGTACTCTTGTGGTAGAGAGAAGTAGCCTGGGTCAGCTTGTCTACGATGTCTTGCCACGGCTCTTTCTCGTCGGTACCATTTGCCTGCATTGTCACAGAATCAATGTCGACTCAGCTATCAAAATAATCAACCGACCGTTGCACTGCCGGATGACCATGCTTCGATGACAGGTATGGTGGCCAGACCTTCCAGAGCTGCCGCATGCCATGCAGTATCATGAGGGGACCCTTTGAAGAGGGCGATTGCTTCCGTGTACCTGTAGGGGTCGCAATGAGAGATTGGACGCCGTCAACCACGACAAGAGCTTATGACGTACCATATTTGTGAGTCTGCGTGCCTTCCCGCCATTAGAAACAAGTCTGCGAGCACCTTGAAGAGCCGCCCGTGAGACGAAGCCGTTCCGATGATATTGGGTCTTTTCTTCGCCGTCACAGGAGTGCTAGGCAGACTTGCCGTCCGGCTCGGGACAAGACCAGGCCCAGATGACATGCGCTTGAGAGCCGCAGGTGTCTTGTGTTTGGCTGAACCATTCGTGGTGCCTAAATCTGGTTGACTGTTGAACGAAGGCAATGGAGGTAGCGAGTCTCGATGCGCAGTCTCCGGATCTAAGGACCGCGGTAGATCTGACGCTGATGGAAAGGAAGGGAACAATGAAGCGTTGAGATACTCATTACCAAGTGGGCTCTCTAGTGATTGCATCTGTCACAGTTGCATGAGCAGTATAGGACGTAGCATGATCGCACTGACCACTGTTGCAAAATCGCCGAGTATTTGGGAGCACAAGCCAGCGAGTAGTGTGCTAATATGCACACGCTTGTTGGCCATCATACTAGGAATGACAACAAGCCCAGGAAACTTGTCTCCAAGATCCAGGTTCGCGTCATTCTCCTCGAAAACGAAACAGTTCTGGGAGACAGGGAAAGTTGCCTTGTGTAACGACAAATCCTTCACAGTAGACTTGAAAGATGCCAGGGTCGTCGATATAGAGTCCGAATGCGAGCAGGAAGCGATCCCAACAACACCTAAGGGAAATTCAGAGGGGCGAAACAGGGCGAGGGGATTATGCGCTGCGGCAGGAGCATGGGATTGGTAGCTCAAGTGAATGTGACCGCTAGCGAGAGGGCTGGGCATAAAGCGGGCTATGATGGAGATGAGCACAATGTGACGGAAGCCTAAAGGGTACTCACCCCGTTCATCCTTCGACTCGGCCGGTATATCACCCAGAGGTATACTCTCAATACTTCGGAGTTCCGATGCCCATCGATCAAAGGTCGACCGACGGATGCTCCCAACAGGTAATAGGAGTATTTGTACGTGAGCAAGAGATGCGAATGCAGGGGGTTCCATGCCAAGAGTGCGAGTGGAGGTTGCAGCGGACTGGATGGTAGGGTCCGCGATTCACTCTTGCGCACGAAGCGACTGCGAGGTCGTTGGTCAGTGGATCTCGTAGCAGTTTGCTTTGCGAGGCGATCTTGTCAGGTCGAAGAGGGGATGCGGCCGTGTGCTCGCGGGGACACTGCATAGGCTGGTTGTCCGAGGTGGCTGCTCGCGACGGACGCGTATAACGCCCACGTGACTCATATAGTGATGAGGCGTAGGTAGGACACGTCTGTCGTTCGAGTCGACGTCCGTCCCATGCCCCGGTGAAGCGTCGATCTCTGGGAAACAACGGCAACTCCTCTACATGATATGCGCACCTGTATTTGGAATATCGGAGTCCTGCTCGTACATCGAGGAGCAGTGGCAGGGAACTCAGATTGAGGAGAACGAGCCCGGGATCGCAACCCTCCTTCCCCGATACTTCTGGTTGGGACAGTTCAGTCGAAGACCCATGGTAAACGGATTACTATCATACATATTCGACGCGTCGACACACCTTGACCGCTAGGCCATGAGCGACAAAGCCACGGGAGGAGCGATGCTGTTCGCTTCTGCATCGATCTTCATTTATTATACAGCTTGGACGATCCTGTTGGTGAGTCTAGTCTCTGATAGTAGCCTATGAGATTCTCATGACGCTGTGTTCACAGCCCTTCTTCGACGTTTCCAGTCCCGTACACGAATACTTTCCCTCGCGCGAGTGGGCTGTGCGCATACCAGCATTCGTCTTGGTTGTCGGCATATCAGCTATATCACTTTCCTTGGCCTCGCGATAGTCAAGGACCAGCAGCAATAGACCACTTTGCTTACACGGCGAAGGTGATCACTGTTACACGGGTCTATATGTACGTTGTATTAAATAGCTATACACTGCGCAGCAGTCTCGACAGTCTGTTGTCCATTTTAGCTCACTATTCGTCGCCCTCTCTCTGGAGCCGTATCCTGTCGGTGAGCAGCAAACAGCTTGTCTTCCGCGCGCAGCTCAGTCACAACCTGATTGACGAAGTAATCGAACGGGAGATCTGGAGGCGGTCCACTCATACTGCGCGTCACACGCATAAGCTGTAAACCTGATCAATACTAGGCAGGGAGCAGACCGCTTCGGACCAACCTTAGATTCGCCTCGCATGACGCCTCGGAGTCGCTCTAGTATAATGAGCTCTGATGATGCATCAAGAACGACCGAGCGCGACTGGCGCAAGAACAACAACAGATCGGCGACAGAGGTCCACACCGTTGAGGCCATCGGCTGCGGAAAGAGTTCAACACGGTCGGCCAGCATGAGAAGACGGCACCTACCGTGACGCTGCCCGCGTAGACTTCAGCTTCCAATACGCTCATGACTCTCTCGAATGGAGGCCATAGCTCGTTCCAGATCATCTTCGACGTGAGCATAGGCTCAATTCCTCGAAAATTCCCTTCCTGAACATCACCGAAAACGTCAGCGGACCGTTGCTTCTGAGCGTCGACGTGTTGCACAAGCAAGAGCCAGAGTTTGATTGAGGCATATGCGCCGCTGATGTCAGTGTGGTTGGGACTGTGCTGCAGTGTTTGATACGATGGTGCGAGGCGCTGGAAGCCGGCCAACGAGTTGCAATAGGCGGGTACGAAAGAAGCGAAGTGATCGAGTACTAGAGACGCCGACCTGTTGTGCCGACTCTGCAGCGCAGCCAAAATCAGGATGTTCCACGCGCGAAGCGTTGCGGTGCGTTGCTAGTCGGCCTGTTAGTGTCAAGCTTTCGTGGCTTTCGTGTAACTCACCCAGAGCCTTAATGCACCAGTCTGATATTGGGCAATATCGCACAGCAAATTGGCTGCACCGAGTAATGCATCAAAGGTGAATAATGTAACGTTGTCACGCCCCAGCTGGCTGTCGTGGCACAAGAATGAGAGTGCATCCGCGCTAAGCTTGTTGACTTGTTCATTAGTAAGGACAGCAGCTTTCGGATTGTTTGGACCCGCCGCGATCGTGACGGACATCGTCTAGTGTGATGCGTATATCAGTAGGGCTGACTTGGGATGCTAAGCTCTACACACCTCGAATAACGATGCGAGAGTAGTTCCGGATACACGGGCCCTTATGTACACGCCATCTGCAGTTGTCTCGAGTAAGACGAGCAGGATAGGGTTGACAAGCGGTACATCAGTGCCCTGTGCAGAGGCAGCCGCTCTTCGGTACAATTGGGAGGTAACCTCAACAACGCGCGTGAGGCTCGCCGCCGAGATGGCACAGCGAGTCAGTGTTGCTCTCAGAAAAGTTTCTAGGTATCCTAGTAGATCCTACAGATTTATGAGGTGACAATAACAGATCGAGTAAGGGTTCACATACTCGGCTTTGTGCCTTGTGGTGCTGGATGAGAGTGTCCGCGAGTATGATGAGGGGACTGGGTTAATTGTACCTTGGGGCCATTCTGCGGCTCGGCGCGCAACGCCGGTGAGCCAGATACCAACAGCTAAGTGGAGAGCGTGGTTGTAACAAACGGATTTCCATGAAAGAGTATGGGTTACCTTGTAGCATGTCCATGCTGAGCCCTGTATGATGCACCACCTCCACGTACGTGCACACATTATCCACGACTGTCTGGAAAGAGTCTGGGTCGTTATCGAGTGATTTGGTCATCGTGTCGCGCAAAAGGATATCCTTGAGTCCGCCTTGCATCGCGACTCCACGAGATGCCTTCCCACTGGGCATAAGGGCATGTCGCAGGCAGATGAACGCATCCGCTGACAACGATCTCTTCACGAACGTATTAGCGCGGGCGAAATACGGAAAACGATAGTAAGCATACTTTGAACAAAGCGTTCATTATCCCTCCGGATGCGAAGCTTGATAATGATATAAGCAAACATGAGTACGCAAATAGGAAGTCCACCTTACACTGATAACACCGCAACTAAAAACGCCTTGCTCTGCTCGACCAGTACGTCGTCCCCATTGTGCTCGTGATCGAGGCGTGCCATGAGTTTGAACACCGATTCGATAGCCTCGCTGCCAGGGTACTCAGGAATAACCAAGCATAGTATATACGAACACTCACATTGGGAAGTTCCCTGCCATCGTTGACCATCGCTTGATGAATATTTGACAGATTGACAAGGCCAGTTGTCGCAGCTCGTAGTTGATATCCTCCAGGACAAGATCCAAGGTCCGACGGACAGCTTTGCGAAGACCGGCTTGCAGATGTCGGAGTGGTCGACTGTCAAAGTCATGCTTGTAGAGGATGATGATGAACGACTTGAGAATGTTCTTGGAGGTGATGAACGGGAGTGCCATCATGTCTTCAGTTGACACCAACAGCTCGATGAGCACGTCAACAAAAACCGACCCGACAAGCAGAGACGAGGTCGTTTCGTCTTCGAAGTAATGTCCGCCTATCATCGAAGGTGCCACATCGTATGATTGTGCGGAGTCAAGTACCAGCATGAGATCGTTCAGGCATATTAACGCCAAGTCAGGGACTCGACCAAGATCTTGGAAGCGAACGTGAAAGCTACGCCCGTTGGGCGCTGGCACCATCGAGACCGTTTGGAAGCCGATGACCCGGACGAGCTGGTCCTTGACCTTCAAGAGCGACGTGCGGTCTATCGCTATTCCGCTGGTGATCATTCGTAAGGCCAGGGAAAGCAGCGAGATCTAGGTCAAATTATATCGGCCGAACGCCAGAAGGTGGTAGTAAGCTGCATACCTTCAACTGACCGACCTCAGGGTCCATGCGTACATGGTCATCGGATGGCCCTTCAAAAGATAACCCGTACATGGCCTACGGCAGTAAGTGATCTACATAAGTAATCCTGTTGTGAATTGCGGACTTGGCGCACCAGGTGATCTGCGGCCAGCTCATCATTGTCCCGTTGCATAAAATCATGTTCGATTAGGCTCTCCGTTACTATTCCCCAGCGTAGCACTGGTCGAGGTTCAGATTACAATTTGAAGGTAACGAATTGAGCGCTCACAGTGCCACGTAGGAAAATGTGGTTGCAGCTGATTCAGAAACGAGACTAGCTGCGCACGGTCAGAGATTGGCGACGTAGCCAGAACGTCCTGCCAGCATACTGCTATGGCATCGAAGTGGGCCTGCAACAGCGTATGGCACCATGTATCCACAACTGATCTGACCTCTTCCTGTTGGTGGCATTAGCAATCTCAATCAAACCGGATAGCTTGAACGTACTCTGTCATCGGCCCATAAGCAACTGAAAAAGCGATAGATGATCGTCACGATGCTTGTGCGCCACTGACGTCCTTCGACATTGAAGGCCGGATTGGTGACGTCTAAAATAACGCGAAAACAATGGAGGGCGGCCTGCAATCTGGATCGATAGACATCAGTCTGCGGCGTCAGTGGATTTTAAGCAATTGCACCTTGTTTCCCATGGACTGTCGCGGGCGAAGGCACTGCCGAGTAGCGCATGTAGAGGGTTGGGATCCACCACAAGGATGCGTAGGAGGAGGGCAGGCCTGACTAATGAGATACCGGGTTGCTGGACGCCATAGAATCGCCAGGCGCTGTGAGATTCGTGAGTCGATAGATGATTAGATGACTGTGTCTGATTTCACTGACCAGTCAGACAGTAGATTGCCATTCTGCAAGACAAAGTTGTCAACCTCGTAAGACTCGATGAAGGGTGCTTCGTTCATGAAGGCGTCAAGGAACTTGGCAATCAGACAAGCTATCTCGTCGATGCCTGTCTCCACGTATTTGTGCAAGAGACTCATGAAAGATGTACTGATGACTACCGTATCTGACATTGTCAGGTTCCTTGCATGTAGTTTCCGTCTATTCCCGGTCGTAAGGTTCGGGCGTTCTGAGCGGAGATACATATGCGCACCTGGACGGTAATCCCGCAATCTCTGCTTCAGCTATGAGTCCCAGCTCCAGACGTTCTTCCTCTCACAACCATACAAGAGAAGACAGATAGCCAGCGAGTGCCTAAGAAGCGTGATACTACATTGTCTACATTGTCAGTAATCGCAAATAGTCAGCGATGTGAAGCGTCGACGCTCACATATTGCTGACGTTGTCCCTTGCGTGGAGAGCACTGATGACTTGCTGCGCGAGGTGTCCATGGATTTCCGTCACCAACGACTGAAGTTCCTGGCGTCCCACAGATCTCAGCCATGTAGACCACATGACAGCTTTGATCAACAGAGAACAGTCTGCCAGGCCAGTATCGAATCGCAGCGCAAGTGACGCTAGCTGCATAAAGGTCTGAACGGAGATATCCACGCCGGAGCGGACGCAAAGACACAACCAGTGAATGGTTTCTTGAAAACCTTCTTGACTTCCCATCGCCGTCTCCACTAGCACTCGCAATGCGCTGCTGGCGGCGAGGTCGGATGTGTCTGCCACCGACCTCCTTGATTCTGCGACAGTGCTGAAGCGTTGGGTCGCCTCTACCTCCCTGTTAAAGAGTCGCACAAGAGACGGTAGAGGCTATGGGTCAAGGGATTCGTTAGCATACCAGCGCAATCATGGAGTATGCACTCATACCTCCAGGTCTAGACTCAGAGAAAGGGCTCTCCTTAGCCACAATTTGAATAGGTCGTCGAACGCAGTGAAAACAACAGAGACGTGATTGAGTTTGACAATCATGCCAAGTAATTTATCTACGGAAGCATGTTGTCGCTTCTGAGAGTTTGTGAGCTCAGTAGATCCGGGAACTACCAACTTGCGCACCATTTGTTTGTCATCAGCATCCTTACCAAGAAATATTCGTCCGCCAACTCGCCGTCTTCAGCGATATCCACGAGTACGTCGTACAGCATCGTCGTATAATCGTCTATATTCAAGTCGTGGAGTGCTAATAGCCATGTCGATGCATGTTTCTCGAGCAAGGTTCGACGCGCTGCAACATAATCTCCGCCATTGGTAGAGCTCGTCATTGCGGGTCGTGCTTGTGTTTGTGAAGGCCATGTTGGCATCTCGGACCCTGCACGCACACCCGGCAGACTACGCCCCTTTGCGACATAATCACGAAGCATGATGGCGAGATTGTGTTCCTGCACGAGACAGTTATTAGCGGACTGAGATTGTATAAGAAGTAGGTACTCACTTCGGACACAACCCACGAGATGACGGCTGCGCAAAGTCTCCGCAATGCATAATCAGTCATGAAGCCATCTGGCCAGAACCTCCGCACAAGCAGTAGTAAGCCACCCTCGTTCACGGACAAGTCTAGATCAGACAGACAGGCCTCGACAGCAGAGACAAGGGTTTCGACGTCGGGAGAGGCCTCAAGACCAATAGGGAGCGGTGAGAAACAGCGCGTATCTCGACGGTTGAATGTGTCGTCAAAGACCAGAGGCTGGTTGTCGAGTCTCTGAAAGAAACCCAAATGCGCCAAGTGGACCAGGGCATGTTTGGCTGCCGCTTCAGCGTGCAAATGCAGCTGGCTACCGAGTTGGTCTCGGATGTGTGCCAGCGAGAAAATCTCGTATGAGAAAGACGAGGGTTCCGTCGTATCGCCTGCCAACATGTCTGGTCGGTCGACGGCAAGGAAGTTGGACGCGTTCGGTGCTGTCGAGCCCAGCTCGACAGCGGGAGCTTTGATTATACTCGCCATGAACGTGAGAATGCGCCAATCGAAGAGTAGCGATACCTCCGAGGTCTGAAGTCCGTTCTCCAGCAGATGGTCTGCAAGTACCGTGGAGACTGGCAGTTGGTTCGATTCCAAGTAATCCTCGTACAGAGACACCGTATGGTGTAGCTCAAATTCGTGGAGCGGGGATTCCGAAGTTGGCGAAGTGGGTTCGCCATCCTTCGCTACGACGACAGAGCCGAGGGCAATCCCATGCTGAAGAATATTGAGTTGGAGCCAAAGAATGGCGTGGTACACGGAAACTTCTTCGTAGGTCTTCCGCGCAAGCTCGTCTTCGTCCAGAGTCAAGTCGCGATAATGATCTCTGAACGATCTACGCAACAAAGACCATTCGATTGTCACGGACGCGTCGTCGATGGCTATCGACCGGCAGCGGGGGAGGGTACTTGTTGTCCGTTCCAAGCAGGACGAATGGACGTATTGTTTGCAGGACGTGCACCTTAGCCCCTGCATACTGCAGCCCCAGAGCGGTCGACGGCACAATAAGCACAGGGTGAGGCTGAACATATTTACGAGCCGGAAGGTATGCTGGCCTTTGGTCACGGCAGCAGTGTAATTTTCGCGTCTGTGAGGCGCGACGTGACAGAAACGGTAGACGGCAATCCTCTGTCGGTCGCCCTCGTTAGCCACTGAGTATTGCGAGAATTGGCTTCCATCCGGATAGTCATAGCAGTCGAAGTGTACTGCAGTCATGCAGAACGGGCAAAGGAGCCCAAATCCAGTGATTGTCCTGCTACATGCATGGCAGTCACCCCGCGATATGCCTTCAAACAATGTAGGCATCCTCCGTGCATTAAAACGCCACGGGACGAATTGGTGCGCATGCGAATTTTCTTGCGCTCTACGGCCATACACCGTGCCTTGCGTAGCACGGTTCAGGGACGCGGAGTAGGAGATCATAGGAAACGCTTTAGCGATCGCCAAGTGACCGAATGACCTTGGCCAATATGAGGATAGAACCGACAGTGCAGAGTATCTCGCCCGGGGTGTGTGGTAAGCGACGACTGACAGAACATCCAGGTAGACGTCTGGTTTGGCTTCGAGCATCCTGCCGAGCAGACGGTGGAACCGATGGATGATTGGCAATTGCGATATTCCAGTAATCTCGACCTTCTCAAGAATAGAGGCGAGTAAAGCAGGGATGAAAGAGGATAGCTGATAGATCGCGAGATCTTGACCAGGGGCAGAAGTCGACCGACTTCCGACGGCCGCGGTGTCGCCAGCCTTGGACCAACGTCGCCAAGTGGACTCTGGATCTACGGCAGGGCTACCGTCGTCTGCTTGCTCGACCATGATAGAAACCATCGGAGGGTCACCCTGACTTGAGCCTCCGAATGAGGTATCTGCAGAGGAAAGACGATGAATGATCTATGATGTGTGTAACCAGCGAAAATCTGACCTGCTGGCGTGGCGCTGAGGGAGCTCCTCAGTCGATTGAAATGATCGACCGTAGGACCTATTAATCCTTCGTCGAAGAAAGCCAGAAGGCGCGCATGCATGACTGGGTCGAATGTATGAAAGGCAGGGATAATTGCGAACGCGACCTGCGACAGTATGCTCGGGTCATGCCGATGTGAATGAATGAGGAATTGCGCTACATCTAAGCTGACGGACTGCAGAGCGTTTGGAGGCCTAGAAGGACGAGGCGAGGCTATTCGGAAACGACAATCCTCAGCGACCACGGAGGCCAATATCGCAATACACTGGGATAAGAGGTGCGTTGTGCTTCGCGTGCCCGTAATGGTCGTGGAAGAAGGGCGCGAGCCGTTGGAGGATCTTCGTCCCACGCTACGCCTGTTGCGCATAGAGTCTCTGGGTTTTGTACTTGGGTCAAGCATGACACTACCTTCACACTCTCAGCACGGTGAGACGGCAGAAAATGAAGTTAGGCATGCCTGTCATTGAGAATGTCCCACTTCTGTGCGGTAGATATGATCAAGACGTCCTTGAGCTGGCTCATCAAGTCGAACGTAGTGTCGGTTGTGAACACGGCGTCGTCCTCCAAGTCGCTGTCGCTGTCGTCGGCTTGCATGCCCTTGAGAGCCTTCGCTTCGGACCTGGTACGCCTGTGCTTGACAGCACCTTTGACGGACTGGACAACAGCCCCTATTCCTTTCTCCGTCTGCGTGACGACATTCTGTATCGTCTGCAAACTGGAGGGAGGGAGAGGCCTGTTCTGCAACTGCGACAAGATATGCGCGAGTAGTTTGCGGGATTCATTGCGAGCCCTGCTACTGCCAGAAGACTGTATGGGTTTTTCAGTCTCAACCGGGACATTCTCGACGGTGGGAGAGACGGAGATGCGAAGAGCTGGGAGGACAGACTGAGACAGACTCCGCGCGCGATCCCTTGCGCTGGTAGGCGTGCCCAGGCCCGGTGAGAAGGGTGCACCGTCTCTCCTTGCGTCTACGACGCTTGTGTCGACGCGGAGAACAGGTGTGGTCATTGTCGAACGGAGGTGATGAGCATGCCAGGTTCGGGGAGACGAGAGAGCACGACCGGATGTGTCAGGCGCGAAGGTAGCGGGATGTTATTTAAATAGACGCCCATATGTGACGACGCGACGCGACGTCTGGTCAATGCGTGATCGATCCTCGGTCCGGACGTGTCTTGCAGCTTGCTCTCACCCCAGACCACACTGCTCTGCATACGTCCCATTTACGAGACACGAAACGCTGAAAATACAGACATGCCGAAGAGAAATGCGACGCGCGACACCCACAAGCGGCCCAGAAAGCAGGATATCCTCGACACTTTCTTCGGCGGTTCCAGCTCTCCGCCTCGTCCCGAAAGGCTTCCTGCAAGTGGGAGTCGTAGATCACGCCGAGGACGCACTTCTGATCCAGCTGTTGCGAAAAAAGTAGTTCCAGCGCTGGATGAGGACGGAAGTCAGAGCAGCGATGTCGGTGCGATCCATTTCGAGACAGCGCCTGCTACTACCACAGAGGAGGACGACCTCAAGAGCTCACCGCGTCGCCCTACGAAGAAGCGTATGCTGAGGAAGAAGAGGGCAGATAGCGACGAAGAGAATGATCCCCAACAATCGAGCGAGGAGGAAACGGGTGTGCCTACCACATGGAAGCGTAGTAGCAAGGCTGCCGGGAAGCGGAGGGAGGCTGTGGTCGTGGGTGATGAGGACGAGGAAGAAGTGCAGCCGCGCAAACGCAAGCTTGTGAGGGGGCAGCGACCGCCTTCCCCGGAAGAGGATAAGGACGACTTGTTGGGTGAAGTTGATGAGCATAGTAAGCGAAGATACTTACGGCGGCCATACGGGCATTGATTGCTGATTCTGCGGTCAGGGATCATTAGTTCCCGTCTGCGCTCTCGCGACACAAAGACCGCTTTTCAGAAGAATCTTGAACGATTGCAACGTGAGAGGGCCGTCTTCTCTAGTGCTGTAATTGGTCTATATTGCTCCTATAGGTAAGAAGCGGGGTCAACCGGTGGCTTCAACGTCCACATCTGCCGACGACGACGACGACGACGAGGTCGATGATGCGCCGTTCGCCGATGCAAGACCTGGCAAATCCGGCAAAAGGGATACTACACCAGACGAAGACGGCGATACAGAAGAGGACGACGCATTCATCGTCGAAGACGATAATGCTGCTGCACCAGAGCTTCCTGCCGAGTTCAGCATGAACACCTTTCAAGACTTGCTTCATCATTTCAAAATCATCTGTCAATTCTTCGTGCACCTCGCCGTGCACGAACCAGACGAGAGGGAAGATATAAGAGCCGACCTCGTAAAGAGTGCGTGTTACGTCTTCCCGCTTGCTCGAGCTTCTCTCAAGCTTAACGATGAGCTTTCTAGACCAGTACTTCGCTGTACCGCTCCAGATCGCTAGACGGAAGCTGTTGGGCATGCGGGACTCGCTTGTTACGTCCTCGGTCTGGCGGACGGATTACAAGAAATCGCTGGAGACATACCCAGACTTTGAAGTATATGAACTGGACTTTGCCGTTCACGGCTGTGACGCCTGTCACCTCGGCTCGCGGATGTCGACTCGTGTTGGTAGACTCAGTGGGTTGCCATACGAGCCTGAGACTTTCGAGGTTCGCATATATTTCGCCCATCATGGTGACTACACTGAGTACCTTTTGAACACTTCGATGATCAGACATTCGGGGAACAAGAAAATTCAGAAGAGGACGACGATGAGGATGCGGAACACGGCCGCCGTCACAAGAAAGAGTTCAACTTGGGCCGATTCTGTGCGGCAAGAACACGCGTCTTCCACAGGTTCTCGCATTGGGAGGTGCATGCGGTTGGCTCCCCCTGCTCATCTCTGGTCGCTTATTTATCTTCATCTTCAGTACGCTCTATTCAGGGTACTGTCTCAGGAGGTGGATGAATTGCGCACTGGAGCTGGCGCTCGTGGCTTCGTCCGTGTCGCCTATGCGCGGGGGCCCAGCCTCCCGATGATCTATCTGACGCCGATGGTATAATGGACTGGCTCGACCAACGAGGCATCATCAACATCGAATGGCAAAAGGTGAAAGATATGATGGAGAGTGCGCGGAACCTTGAGATGAAAGCAAAGAAGGGTGAAGACGATGATTGAGTTCAATCTGGTCTATTTTCGAGGTGATGTGTACTGTACCGGGCTGGACTACTACCTGCGAATATGCTATCAGGGGTTCCTATGTTGCCCAGCACTTATGCAGTGTGGTCAGTTTCAAGTCAGTATTTGGTACGTTGTGCTGTGAGCAAATCGCCAAGCAGCTTGGCGGGCACCGATCGAGGACTGTGTGCCCAGTGTGTGCCTGCGGGAGGCATGCGCGCCTTGGTTACTTAAACGCTATCAAACGTCTGATCCATCATGTCACTGCAACGAAACCGAGCAAAACACGAGCACGGCCACGCTCCTCCTCCGACTCGGAGTACTTAGCATGGTTTCTGCCGTCGCAGCTTGACCAACGACCCCGATGGCAGATTATGACCCTCTCCCTGCCCCCGCCTCATCCTCCGGACACCGACGCGTCCCCTACTTCCGCCATGTGCGCTTCCGTCGACAGACGCGGCTTTGTCTGCTGGCCGGCCTACTCACCATCATCCTCGTATTCGTTCTGTCCTCGGGCACGGTATGGCGAGACATAGGATATCTGCTTCGCCCAGTATGGGATACGCCGCCAAAGCCCTTCCAAGTCATTCCTCACTACGACCACCCAAATGTCTCAGCTGGCGACCTCTGCGAGTTGCATGGCTGGCAGAGACGACAGAACAACGTCAAAATATGGGATGCCACTATATTCAGCGTGGAGCTTGACTTACTGGAGATCCGGATGCGGGAGCTGTACGCTGTCGTCGACCACTTCATCATCGTAGAGAGCAATTCCACGTTCACTGGGTTGCCAAAACCTCTCATCTTCGCGGAGAATCGCGATCGCTTTGCGTGGGCGGCCGACAAGATCTTCTACCGTCCCATCAACCTGCCACCCAACCCACCAGGGCCGAGACATGCAGACACGACCTGGCAGAACGAGGGGCGCTCGCGCCGGGAGATCAACGACATTCTTCGCGCCCAGGGTGCGCAAGCGGGGGACCTCCTCATACAAGCAGACGTCGATGAGATACCGTCGTTCCGTACTATCGAGTTGGTACGCGCGTGTGAGGGGTATCCCGGCGTCCTCCACCTCAGGCTACGCGACTACATGTATTCGTTCGTACGGATGCTTCCGGAGGTCGAGGAGGGAGGTTCCTGGAGAGCATCGGTCAAGACATGGAATCCGGCGGGGCCCGGCTATACAGGGTACTCGCATGGACGGCAGAGTGATGTGATTCTGGCCGACGCGGGCTGGCACTGCTCGTGGTGCTTCAAGTATTTGGAGGACTTCCGCTTCAAGATGCGAAGCTATAGTCATTACGACCGTGTCACACGACCGGAGAAACAGCTCGAGCCGTCAGAAATTCAGCGCAAGATCTGCGAGGGGAAGGATGTATTTGACATGTATCCGGTGAGCCACGCCCCGCTTTATCTGTGGAACGAGTGCTCACCATTGTACTTGCAGGAGGCATATTCATTCGATAGCCTGTACCGTTTGCTCGGTCCATACCCCTTGACGCCTTCATACGTCGCAGTGCCATGGTGGACAGTACAAAACGCAGAGCGATTCGATTACCTTCTCCGGCAGGATAGGTGTTCGCGAAAGCTTGGCCCCGCAGACGACTGATGAAGGAGTTACCGGCAGGACGATAGCAGTCACGCCAATTGAGGCTTAGTGGCACTTCATCTAAACTATTGTATTTGTATCTGTAGAAATATGCCTCTCAGTATAGTCAATCAAAACAAAACCGACAGCGAACGATATCAGTGCACAACAGCTTGAACATATGCTGGCCTCTTTCGCAAACAGTTGCTGCGGAGGGCGCACGGCGCGCTCTGAGATCTGATCTTGCGCCCCTGCAGGCGGCAAAAGCCGTAGGTAGACGCCTGTACCACAGACTTGGCCTCGTGGCTTAGTGGCTGAAGCCATAGCTTCGTTCGAACTCGCACTTGGTTCTCACCGTTTGGACGCCTCTCCTGCTGAGTCGAAGGATGTCGTACTACGCAGCTCGTTCCGGCACGGGCTTCCAGTATAACCCCTTTCAAAGCTACCCACCGACAGGGACATACCCAACGACGTCTTACTCGCCGTACCCACCGACAGGTGTTACCAGCTACGGAGCAGCATGGCCTTATCAGGCGTATAGCTACTATACGCACCCACAGCAGCAGCAACAACAGCAGCAACAGCAACAGCAACAGCAACCAGCTACTTCTTCGACCACGAAACCTGCAGCGACCATTTCTACTTTCCAGAGCACCCCGACTGTGACAACTCCCTCGACGACCGCTCCTCCTCGGCCTGCACCCGCGCAATATACGTTCGCACAGACATATACCCCGTCCTCGTCGGGACTCACGTCCACACGGAACTCGAAAAGACAGCCCACCTTCAAAGGCTTGTTCGCCAAAGAATGTGCGTCGACCGTCTTGAGCGGTTCTTCGTGACCTGACCAGGAGCCAATGCCATCAGTGCGCAACTTGATGTACGGCTTCGGCGACGACAGAAACCCTGCCAACGATACGGTCAACGTGATGGAGGAGATTCTGGTTGAGTATCTTGTGGATGTCGTACGTGTTGCCTCTCGTCTTTGTGGCGTTCCTGCGTTCACGACGCGACGCGACGCAGTGTCAGACGGCTCTTGCGCCCGGGAAGAGCAAGTCACGTCTGTCGGTCGAGGACCTACGTCGAGCACTGTCGCGGCCGGCGGATGCAAAGAAGCTTGCACGGATGGAGGAGCTGCTCTTCATGCAGGAAGATATCAAACGTGCTCGAGCCCAGTTCGAGGAATCGGACATGAATCAGGCCAGCTCGTTCCAGAGATAATCCCGGACATTGCTTCTACAGGCTGATGGTTTTGCTGTGAGGACTCCCCATTGTACTACATATGTATGAATAATCGTCTGACGAGTTCTGCGAATTCTGTTCTCGTCCCATCGTATGCATCTTATCCATCTAGGGCCCCAGCTTCGTCTGACTGAACGCATACGCCCTGCGCGGTAATGATCGCTATCGTCTAATGGGAGTATGTACGTCTTCCCACCGACGTCGCTCACATTTACGGTCTTCCTGGGCATCGATGTGTCTCAGTGGCCTTCGTGCACGTCCCCGGCGGCCGTTGCGTGGCATATCGTGTCACCGATAACCACCATCGAGAAGAGTAGCGCGATGCATGATACGCTACTTGACTTGCATTCCCAGCAACGCCAGTGGCGGTCCGGCCGGTGGTAGTATTGTGGAGATAGAAGGAGTGTCTCAGTGTCTTGCGTATCCATTTGCAAAGGCTCAACTTTCGACGAGGGAACGACGCTCGGGTGACAAATTCACGCCTCAACAATTAGAGTGCACGAATGTCGATGCCTCCGCCATTGGGCCGTTGGTAACGCGTAACGTCGGTAACAAGGCATTGAGTATTTCAAAGCATTTCAAACACATCGTTCCGTATGTTGGTACCCAAAGCATAGTCGACGTACTTTGGGTCCTTGCCATAGTGTACAAATTATTCTTGCATAGCGTTCTCGCCATCCTGCTCCTTGTCGTCTCCGTCTGCAGTCTCTCCGCCTTCTGCACCATTGAAGCCTTCTCTTGCTTGTGCGCGTAATGTGGCCCCTGGTCCATATCCGTCAACGCATAGTTCAGACTACAGGACATGAAGGAATGTGTACTTACCACCACTGCGGTTGAGAGGCTTGGCATATTCTTGAAGCCATTCCTCCGACTCCCAGACTGTGATATGGAACATTTGCAACTTGTACATTGCGAAAAAGAAAGAACCGTACTCGCTCTGTTCCCTGCGCCTTGTAGCGGCGCTTTCACGTGTCGAGCAAGGTTGACCTTCAATACGCGGCCCTTAAGCTCGTTCAAGTCCATGTTGTCAATAGCATCCTGTGCATCAGCCGAAGAAGAGAATGTGACGAAGGCAAAGCCTCGGTGCTTGATCTCTAAGGGTGCGCTTGAGGAGCAGCCTTCCTGAGACAGATACTGACACGTACCATTCGGCTGCGATGGGTTTGTGGGTGCTGGTGGTATCTGCACCTCTATGATGTCTCCTGTGCAACATGTGACAGTGAGAAGCGTTGGTCAACCAGAGGAAATAGCGTCGCACCAAATGTTGAGAACGTCTCGATGAGCACGGCCTCGTCGACATCGTCGCCGATGCCGCCCACGAACACTGTCTTCTTGGTCTTGGTCCCCTCCTCCATTCGAGCGTTGGCCGAGAAGCTCGGACATGCTCACTCGATCTGAGCAGCCACACCGTTTCCCACGCCCTGCGACTGTGAGCGCTGTTTGAGCGCTGCTTCGAGCCTTGCCAAGTTTCTCTTTGGGCAACAACTGCGATGGTCGTGTCACCTCATGCCAATCGAATCCCGTTCAGTGTCTCCGAAAGAGGAGGTCATTGCACTTCATTCCTCTATCTGCAGGGATCCGCGCCATATTGAAGCCGGTACGTGACCCGCTGTGCCGTTAAGTATTTGTGTTGGCCGCGTCCGCGCACGATGAGTCGCGGCCGCCCACAGTGTGAGATTCATACTCAATTCGGAATCGTCAACGCTGAGACATCACCGCATTCCTCCTTTCCTAGGTCAGATCTGTCAATTTCCTACTCTCGGGAAGTCTCGCTCGACGCCGGCCTCCGCTGCCTGAGAACGTGCTACTGTATGCGCTACTCAAGCCGAGTGCGCGGAGGAACGACAGACCTGATATGGAGCGGCCTGCCCCATCATAGACGACCGTCAGTGTGCAGTGCGAACGCCAGCCCTTCATGCAGCCAAGCACCACTTTCCGATGCCTATCCTGTCCATCCGATACCTCTGGCGGTGGATATATGCTTCCCAAGTCTGTCCTTGTTTGACATCGGCCCCCGTTGATGTCTCTGAGCCTCGAAGACTGGTCGCTCACTCTTATCCGACATAAAGACTGTCCGACCTAGAAGACTCATCACAACTTGCTTCCTCCTCGACGGGATTTGGGAATTGGTCATGCTATCTTCGCGATCGTCCAGCCTACCGGCGACCCGCAAGCATTCCTTCGGTGAGGCCAGGGCTCGGTCCTCCACACCGCCAAGCGACGAAGACGACGAAGACGACGTCAACCATCGCATTCGCCCCAATTGGTGTGGTTACCGTCATATCTTCCAGTGCCGTGGATTTCGTCTCGACACGTGCCGCGACGTCAAGCAGCTATATCAACGATACTGGGAGAGCTTAACATCCCAAGGTTGTAATGTGTCGAAAGACTTGCCAGGCTATCTTCGAGCCTGTAGCGGGAGGAGTGACGATGAGTTATGTCCGGACGTTGGACTGGTCAGTAGCCGTGTGGTGCTCCTCGTGAGCGTCAGTGACTTACTCAGTTTTGCGCATACAGCCTGAGAATCTGTTTCGCGGCACGCGCTGCGTAGACGGTATGCATGTCGTCATCAAAGCCGTCCATCTACGTAGTCGTGAATACGATGTTGTACGATATTTGTCTTCTTCCCCCGTCCGACAGCATCCTATGAACCACTGTATTCGTATGTTTTCTTCTATACCGCGGTGTTGCAATACGTATTCACGCTTTACAGCTATACTGGGTCGAATCGAAATACCCGCCGACGACGTTGCCTTCATAGTGATGGAGGAATGGTCACCGCATCTAGATGCCGATCCTCCGTATACTCTGAGGGGCTTCCTCGGATTCATGCGCCAGCATTTAGAGGTGCCTTCCCCACCCTCGACAAATTAATTTTGGACTACTCTGACATTCATTTTGAATTTAGCATGTGGTTTTTATGCATGCTCACCGCATAGCTCACCTTGATATATCTATCCGCAACACGTTGACGGACAACAAGCAGCGCTATGCTTGTATAGACTTCGAACTGAGCCGCCGGTTCGACATGGCAAGCCCACGGATCCGGTGCTTGCGCGCCACGGAGCCACCTCCAGAGGTAGAGAGGGGCGAAAGTTGTGACCCATACAAAATTGACGTCTGGGCATCAGGCATGCTCATGTTGAAAGCCTCACAAGTGAGCGAACACGCCATAAGACTCCTGCTTGAGACTCACTTGACCCCAGTTAACCGGCTTACAAACTCCCGACATGCTGTCGTTCATCACGCGTTTACTAGACGAGGATGCGACACGGCGACCAACCGCGCGACAAGCACTGTCTGCATTCAACAACGTGTTCCGGAATAACGACGCAAAACACACGACTGGATGACACGGGGTATGACACACGATATGGATTATGCCAGAGACAGATAATCGTAGCCTACATCGCCCATACTATAACATACACGGAGCCGCGATGCAGCAATACAACGACGGAAATGTCCATCCCATCACAGGAAAAGTAAATACGGCGAGCCCTATGTTTCACCCTCAGGATTTGCAGTGGCCTCCTCCAATTTCCGCCGTTTGCGCTCCAAGTATCGCTCGCGAGCACTCATGACTGCCTCTTCCGTATTCCGTTTCGCAACCACTCTGTTGATGCTCTCCTGCTCCCGCTGCTCTTTCTCCCAGAGCAACCGCTCGCGTTCTTCTTCCATTTGCTTCGCGACCTCCCGCGCTCGTCGCTCGTTGATCTCTTTGCGACTCGCCGCGGTCCCTGCAGCACGATGAACCTGAGCTTGCTCCTCGTTCGTGGATGACTTCATCTTCTGAAGACCGAACTTCCGCGTGTTCGGCGCCGAAAGATTGAGGCCCGCAGAGAGCAGGTCCCGTTTGTCGACAATTTGGTTGTCGTCGTTGAGCTCGACATCTTTCCCCTGCTCCTTCGCGGCCTTTGCCAGATCCAAGTCAGACTTGGGGGCGAGGTCAACAGGTTTTGTGATCGTCAAATTAGGCCCTTGAGGGCCGATGACAGGCTTTGTCGTCGTAGCAGCGGCTACCGTCTCTTCGTGCTGTTGCTCAGACTCCTCGAGGAGCTTACGATAGAAGTGCGCCATCCCGGAGCCAGCACCCTTATTCTTCTTCTTCTCGGCCTCTGGATATCATTATGTGAGGAAGTAGGCTCATGGCTCATGGAAAGGCTTACCTTCCCGTTGCCGCTCTTCCTCTTCTGATCTCTTCATCTCAGCGAGTTGGTCTTTGTACGCTTGCGTGACAAAGGCTTCCTTGTCCTTGAACTCGTCGCCCTCAGCCTCGCGTTCTCGCTGAATCATCTTCTGTTCGGCTCGGAGGTGGTCGAGCCTACGAGTAGCAGCAGTCTGCAGCAGGTTGTTGATATATTTGGGCTGCAGAAATCTTCAGTCTATCAGCGCTCGTTGGAAAGATGAGAAGAACGACGGAGGAACTAATGTTCACCTTTCGCTCCTTCGAATCCACCTCCTTCGCCTCCTTCTGCTTCATCTTCACCTCCTGCATCTTGTCCCACACCGCATCGTACTCGAATACGGACGAGTCTACTTTCATCTCCTCCTCCAAACGCTTCTTCATCGTCTTCGACATCTCGAGATTCTGCGCAACCAGTTTCTTGTTGGCTGCGACTTTACTGTTGCCAGAGGCGGTGGGTGCGGCGTCGACCGGTTCGTCATCGTCTAATGATGCAAAGGCAGCGGATCGTTTAAGTGATGGTGTCTCTGCAGCAGGTTTAGCAGCAGCCTTGGCTTTGCTATTTGCAAGAGAGAATGAGACCTTCATGGGCGTGGATGAGGGCACTCCAAGGACCAAGGACGCCAGTAGTAGTAGCTTACAGCGCATAGACGCCCATGTCATTGGAATCGGGCGTCATGCTCACGTGCGTCGTGTCTCGCGTTTTGGCTCTGAAGCACTCGCCTTTGCACTGTTTCTTCACCCCATCTACTGTCGCCATGCAGAGCAACTTTGATCGTAGGCGAATCAACGGACCCGAAGAGAGCCTTGCTCCCGTCTACGACGACGAAGAGGAGGCTGAGTCCTCATGGAAGCCCGGGCAGTCGCGTAAAGGGCGGGCAGCAGGGGACATTCGACCCATATGTATGGTACTTGTTGTAACATGCTACTGCAGTACTTACTCTGAGTAATGAATTTCTATGTCTAGTTTGAAAGCAGGGCTCATAAGTCAGGCAAATGGGTCTGCATATATCGAGACCGAGCGTACGAAGATGCTTGCGCAGTGTCAGTTCTACCGACTGCTAGTGCCTTCTTTAACACGCTAACAGCTGTCAGATATGGCCCTCGACAATCAAAAACCACTGTCTATAACGAGAATGGACGGCTGAAGTTGAAGTCAAATTCGCACCTTTCTCATGTACTCGAAGAAGAGCTCCGATACGGGTGAGGGCTGTCGTGACCTGGGTTTGCTCTATTCATCTGTAACTCTCTCCAGGATGCAGAAGATAGATCAATAGCTGTACAAATACAGCAGGCATTGCTACCCGCCGTAAGGCTGGAGCTATTGCCAAAGTCCACAATAGACATATTCCTTACCATCATCGAGAACGATGGGATTGAAGGCTGCATTGCATCTGGTTCAGTGGCCGCAAGTGCAGCGTTGGCGGATGCTGGCATTGAAATGCTCGGCCTAGTCATGGCATGCTCTGCAGTGAGTACAGTGCCCCTGAAGGACCGCTCGCCACTGACTCCTTCCAGTCCACTGTAGGAGAGGAGATCTGGCTAGACCCGACAGAGCAGGAAGCTCAGGCAGGCTCTGGTAGTCTCATTGTCGCTGGTATGCCTGCACTTGACACCATTACGAATGTATGGCAGACTGGCCATATGGTACCCATACAAGTTGTGCAGGTCGGTCTTTCCTGTGGACTAGCATATGTCCGAGTATGAGCTGATTTGTCCTCTTCACAGAGCATGGAGACCTGTCAAGAGCGATTCGTAGAGATCCATACGATAGTTGCCCAGGCATTGCTCGACAACGCACAGAAAACATGACATTCTGATTTGTACGCACATTGCCTCGTTCATCTCACTTTTCTGAGGCCTTTTTGACTATGGTTCCCTTATGTTCGTGCCGACGACTCGCGGCACACATTTGGTAGCCCCGCTGCATGAGCGTTCAACGTTCAACATTCAACTTCAATGAAGATGAGTCTCATCGTCTGCGCGAAGTGTCTCACTTGCGTCGGCAGTCTTGATTGAGCTCACAAGCTATTTTTCTCCGTGAACAACTTTTGTATGCGTAGAATGTATGCCTCTGGCACTGTCTTTGTTAGTACGCTGCGCCCCCCTGGCACATGAGAGATCGGTTTCGCCCATGTCCGGACGCCAGATTAGACTCGGAGGGCGCGAAAGTATACATACAAGCTCCGGACACGTGGTTTATGTAGATCGTCGTATCATGCATAGACGCGGCGCTCCCTGAGACGAAACGGGAGGACGAACTGTCCATGCCGCTCGCTGTCATTGACCTCCCTCCGCCACCACGACTTCCTCGCTGTGAGTATAAGACCACGAACCACGATCTTGCCACGACTACGACATTGCACAAAACCCCTTGCTGAAGCTCGTCCGATTCTATGAGCCCGTCTCCCCCGCGCCTCTGTTCGATGCTCTGAAGTCTCCATCCAGTCCCACGTCAGCAGCTCCAGCTATAAGTTGGCAGGCCGTTCACCAAGAGCATCTGAAGACTCGGACGACTCCCTGCGAGAGCTTGAATACTCCGAGGGTCCGCTACTCGCAGACGGAGCCAGCACGTCTCGAGCGCGGGCATACTCCATTAGCGGATTTGACTTCCAAGCCGACCTCCTACCGCTCACAGCAAGTCTCAGCGAACCGGATACTCTCCGCGGAGAGTCGCACCCCAAAAACATCAGTCTAGTGAGTGGTGAGTGACAGGACATACTTCGTGAGACGTGGTAGTTCATGCGATCGCACGTAGGCATTGCACTCATTGTCGGCTACAATTGGCTCTGGCATTTTGTGAGTCCGTGTTCGAATTTCACTGTAGTAGCTGACTTTGCTGGTAGCTCGTCACCCGGGTCGTCGTCGCGAACACGGATAGTGTCGGCGCAAGTCTTGTAGTATGGTTAGCCGCAGGTCTGCTTGGATGGACGGGTGCAAGCAGTTTTGCGGAGCTGGGGTCGTCAATACCAGTGAACGGAGGTGCTCAAGCCTATCTCCAATACGCATATGGCCCTCTCGTCGCGTACCTGTTTGCTTGGACAGCAATATCTGCACTGAGACCAGGTCCGTCTCGGTTTATATGCGCGTCACGACTGTCCCTTCATATAGAGACCACAGGAGGCAACGCGGTCATCAGTCTCATCTTTGCCGAATACATGAACCGGCTCTTCTTCCACACCGCAAAGGCTGAGGTATCCCCGGATGACATTCCTCAGTGGGCCATCAAACTCACTGCGGTTGCGGCAGTCCTCGTGGTGTCTGTCCTATGTGTGGCTTCACCCAACCTGGGCCCACGGACAGCAGTCGTATTCACGTTTGTCAAAGTGAGGCGTTCCTGTTAGCTCGCGACTTGTACGAGCTCAACCTGCCATCTCCACAGGTAGCCGCATTAGTGCGTGGAGACGAAGATGCACTCCCTGCATGCCTTGCTGACGTCTGGCCCCTCTACAGCTCTCCATTACTATCTTGGGGATTATCCAGTTGGCTAGAGGACGTGCATCAACCTCCCTTACTGAGCCGCTTTTCGCTGGTTCGAGCACTAGCCCGTCCTCCTATGCACTTGCTCTATACTCCGGTCTCTGGGCATTTGACGGCTGGGACCAAGCCAACTACGTCGGCGGTGAGATGAAGAATGCGAGAAAAACATACCCCGCGCCATCCATTCCAGTATGATCATGGTCACGGTACGTATTGGACGCATCTCCACGCATGCAGGACATGGGGATTAACAGGCACACGTAGCTTCTGTTCCTACTGGCCAACCTGGCTTATTTCGTGGTTCTCGACAAGGTACATGCGCTTGCTAGTCTCGCGTCCTGCTGCTGACAGTGCTGACCGCAGGATACTGTGGGGAGAAGTAACACGGTCGCTCTTGACTTCGGACGAGCGTTATTTGGGCCAGTGGGAGGCGTTCCGTTTGCGTTGATGGTCGCCATCTCTTGCTTCGGTGCGCTCAACGGTAAGAACCAGATACTTGTTGGAGGATGGGGTGGTTACCTAACGTATCCCGAACCTACTGTAGGCTCATCTTTCACAGCTGCGCGCCTCATCTACGTGGCTGGGCGGGAAGGTTACCTCCCTGCGATGTTTGGTCGGCTCAACAAGCGACTCGGGACACCAGTCAACGCAATGTGTTTGCAGGCGACGTTGACCGTCCTCTTCATCATCATCGGTGGGGGCTTCCGCTCGCTCATCAACTTCGCGGTCGTAGCATCGTGGGCCTTCTACTTCCTCACCGTACGTGCTCGTAGGTTCGCGCAGTACACGTCGCTGAATGTAGCTCGTAGGTTCTCGGATTAGTGGTGCTACGTATCAAGGAGCCGATGCTGGAGAGGTAAGCGTGTCTTCTCATTGCGGTCCCGAGCAGGCTATGACGCCGCGCAGACCATATAAGACGTGGATTACGACCCCCTTGATCTTCTGTGCTGTAAGTCGGGAGCCCTGCTGCGGTGTAGAGTTTACTTGACAAGGGGACATAGGTATGCCTCTTCTTGCTATGCATGCCGATCATAGCCGCGCCACTGGAAGCAATAGCAGTGCTCGGTACGTCGTCTGGCCTCCTCTGGTGTGGTGCTTCATTGTGATCGTGTACCGTCATGCAGGGTTCGTGCTCGTAGGCATCCCGATGTATTACATTACACAGCAGAGCTCTGTCGCATGTAAGTGAACATGGATGTTCCGACCCGCCCGCATTGCTGACCAAGTTGTCGTGCAGCAGGCTTCACGGGCTTGTTCTCGCGAATACGTGGCAGGCCCACGCCCGGCGCGGGGTGGGAAGCCGTCGCGACCGAGGGAGATGAGCAGGTCGAGATGTTGAACGGGGCACGGACGTCTCGCTTATGATATGCACGCATGCGCACGGGACCGGTCGCGGCTTGTGGCCATTCTATGCGCGCGGGGGCCGTGTCGCTGGGTGTCGGACGACGCGTGAACGATGTACAGTACAGCTAGGTTCTAATGTCGGGGAATTGGGATGCATTGGATTCCGAGTGCGATCCGAGGCTGTATATCCGCCGCCGTCATGAGACTCGGACCACGACGACGTAACCAGGTTATAGAACGAGGATTGCTGTTCATGGTGATTCGTGGCTACCGGATAAGACGTTCAATACAGGTGCTGCATGCTGATATCGTTGCGTATTGCTCCCGTTGTACAACGATCTTCTCAGCGTGAACTGGTTGTGAAGTTGCCTGATGTCCTGCGTCGAGGCCCAAGCGCCATTCGTGCGCAATTGGCGCGCAGAATGCCGAGATTACCATCGTAGCAGTAATGGCCCGTTTGGGGCAAGTATGGTACAGATGGAGTGTGTTTCGAGCTTACTCAGCCTGTTGTCAGTTGGCGTAAGCAAGGTAAGCTGCGTGATTTGTGCGCGGCAACGGGTTCGGCGACGGTATAAGATCGCGCGGGCGGGGAAGCACCTCAGTAGTTCTCCCCGTATTCACCGCACCTCTTCCACCACTTCCATCCTGATCGTTGACCGATTCAAATGTACGGGCCCACCGGATGATGCGCGGATAGGCTGGCTGACCGTGCGATTGACGCAGAGTATACGATTCGAGATGGCCTCCCACACCTACAAGTTCGACGTCAAGGTACGCCGTTGCTGGCTGATCCGGGGGACGAGACGCTGAGGTAGTGTGCGTGCTGGATATAGATGACCTGCGGCGGTTGCTCGGGTGCGGTCGAGCGGGCGTTGAAGAAGGCGAACGCGGATGGTACGTCCCACCCAGCAGCACTATGAATAGCCGTGAGCCTCATACGCACCCTCCCAGGCCTCGGCGTCGAGAGCTACGACGTGAGCCTCGAGAAGCAGGAGGTCATCGTGAAGGGCCCGATCGCGTACGACACCCTCCTCGAGAAGATTAAAAGACGGGCAAGGAGGTGTGTATACTCGCGTCGATCGCGTCGAGGCGAGACTGACGGCCATGATTGCGTAGGTTCGCTCGGGGGAGACCATCGAGTGATTGCAACTGTGTCGTATGGAATAGCTTGTACGCTGTGTATTAGGATATAAACTCGGATATAGAAAGCGGTGTTCCTGGATGCGTAGTGCGCGTGCCAAGGTACCTGCCAGGATGATCGTACTCGGATGTGCCTTGCCAGCTTGGATTGGCAAGTTCGCTGCCCGGACACGGCGCCCCCAGGTCGTCGAGTGCGCCGCAGTCGAGGCTGTGTGCAGCAACGGGGACGAGGGAGCGCTCAGCCGCGGAGGATGTGAATTTGACGAGGAAGTGCCGGATCTGGGGGGATCTCGGAGGAGGGAAAGGGGCGACAGGAGGGCGCCTGTGGCAGCGGCGCACTGGCCGGGAGCCGTCCTCCGTCGACGCACGCGAACAGATCCTGCAGCGGGAGCCACTGCACGTCTTCTCGGTCTCGCTGGACGCCGCCTCTCACCCATGCCGCCCGCCGGCTCCCGACCACCTTATAATATCCCCAGCCTATTCCCATTCCTCGCCCCGCCCTGCCCCTCCGCGGCCGCCGCCTTAGCGACATCTGCAGCTGCACGCCCAGACCAACCCGCACTCCCGCCCAGACCCGTCTACCCGCGCAGTCCCTCGCGGCACACAGCACTTGGCTCTGGATCATCTCCCCGGCGCACAAGCGGATCGTCCGACTCCGAACGCATAGAGACCTGGCAGAGACAGCGCACCGCTGGATTCCTCCATGGCTACGCCCAGCACGACCTCCCTGACCGCCAACCCGACCACTCCTTATTTTGCAGACGACCAGGAGTGGATCACTGCCTACCTCACATCCATGTCCTCTCTAAAGACAGCATGGTTATGCCTTCGTTCTCTGGATTGCCTTCGCCGCCATTGTCGTCGTGTACGGCTCTTCCACCTCACCGGCCTCCGCGGAGGCTGGTTCGGCGCCCTCTGGAGCAAGTGGTCGCTGCGCCGGAGGACATGGAGGAAAAACATGCGCTCAAGCTTGCCCAGCAGAGAGGGGAACCCATAGGCACCCTGCCCCTTCCGTCCAACGCCCAAATCCTCACGCTCACTTTCCTCGTCTGCGCTACGCTGGCTGTATCATTTGTCGGGCCCGACTACTTCGCCCCGGGCTCTAATATCCTCACCGTGCACAACACCACCACCGTGCTCGTAGCAAGTCACGACCCTCGATCTCAGTTCCTGACGCAGTATCACCTGACTACACCATCCGCAAGGCGTGGTGGACGTCTGGCAACAGGACTGGTGTTATTGCTTTCGCGCTCTTCCCGCTGTGTGTTCTCCTGGCCCTCAAGCTGCCGCCATTCGCCATTCTCTCGCTGCCCTTTGTGCTGCACATCCACTTTGACAAGCTGGCCTGGCTGCACAAATGGATCGGCCGCCTCATCTGGTTCTGCTCTGCAATGCACGTCGCTCTATGGAGCGTGCAACTGCTTGTTGAGCGCAGACCCAGCACAGGGAAGGTTGTGTATGCATACGCGTGGGACTACACCAACTTCATCTACGGCTGGATCGTGAGTGTCTAATTTTGGGAGCGTTGTGCTGCAGTTGCTGAGTGTGGGCAGGCGTTCGGCGTCATGACCCTGCTTGTATTCTCTTCATTTCGACCCATCCGACGAGCACATTACGAAATCTTCTACGGCCTGCACGTCCTCCTGGTTCCGCTGACCCTCATCTTCAGCGCATTGCACCACCCGCCGGTCTGGTGGTGGTGCTGGGGTGCGCTGGCGGTGTGGGTGGGCGAGCGGCGTGGAGGTTCGTGTGGTGGCTGAACACAAACGGCTACTTCGATGCTATTCTGGGACCACCACCCAGCAAGACGCTCGCACACCCGCCGCCCGAGAACCTCGAAATGGCGCGCCTCGGGGCCCCGAGCTCACCACATCCGAGCCTCTATCCCAGCACGCCCACCAGTCCTGCGTTGAAGCTGGGCGCCGACGTCGCGTTCGCGCGGTCGGCGAAGCTCTCGTTCGGCGCGTCGGGGAGGTACGTGCCGCCTGCGGGCTTCGCGCACGCCGAACTCCTCCCTGGACGCACCATTCGTCTCCGGCTTATCACCCCGGGCTATCTGCCATGGGCGCCTGGGCAGCACTTCTTGGTGCAGTGCCCTGCCATATCCCGGTGGACGACGCACCCCTTCACGAATGCCACCATCTGCGACCAGGAGGCGCCGAATGACGAGGGCCGGGAGCTGGTCTTTCTCATCCGAGCGAAGAACGGGTGGACGAAGCGCCTCTGGGACGCGATTGCAACTATGATCGCGCGGGGGCAGAATCACGCACAAGGCGAGAAACTGCGTGTCAACACCATTGCACCTCCAAGAGGTGTGCTCCTCCGGACGCTTGTGGACGGCCCTTGCGGGTCAGCTGCCCGGGCGCGCTGGGGTGAGTTCTCGACGGTGCTCTTGATCGCGGGCGGATCCGGCGTGAGTTTGCCCTCTCGGTCCTGCAGTACATGACGCTCTGCATGTCCGGGCGGGACGGGCAGTATCTGGGTGGCAAGAAGGGCGGCTGGGGCCAGCCCGGCTTCAAGACGAAGCGCGTCCGCTTTGTATGGCTCGTTCGAGAGTTCGGTAGGTCTGCGCACCGGCTACATCGCGGTCTGGAGGGCTGACGTTTGGCTGCACAGGTCACATACAGTGGTGTGCCACGCTGCTGCGTCGCTGCATGACGATGATCCCCGCGCCGGAGCTGCAGGTCGACATCTTCGTCACGAACGTCAAGGCAGGTCCGAAGTCGGCGCCGGCGCTGCGGCGTGTGCCGTCCGACCACGATGTCTTCGCCCCGCCCGCACCTCGGTTTGCACGCCAGACACATCTTTCTCCGAACGAGCGCCCCGAGTCGGTCGCGTCTGTTGATAGCGACTATGAGTCCGAAATGGAGAGCTTTGTGGACCTCAGCTACTATACTGGCGAGTTTCATGAAGAGAATGGCGAGCTGGGGCACGAGGAGCACGTACTCGACCTCACGAACTTTGAGGGCGACGACGACACCGCGATGCCGGGCGAGTCGCAGTTCAACCAGTCTGTGAAGCGGGAAGGAAGGCTGCGGAGAGCTGCGTCGCAGCGGGCTGCTAACCTTCTGAAGTCGAAGAAGAAGCAGAGGCGCGACAGTCGGAATGACCACTATCCACCAGCGCAAGCGCAAGGCTCCTCAGTCCGCCTTGTCGACCGCAATCCTAGTGACGATATGTCGTCGGCATCAATACAGGAACAGCGTCGAGACGCATTGCTACCCATTTACACGGACGTCGAGCCAGCGTCGTCCTCCAAATCACCTGCGTCCGCACACCCATTCTTTTCCCCCTCGCCCCTATCCGTGCAGTCACCACACTCAACGCTCGTCCCGAACTCTTCAACAAGCACCCTCCCCGGCTTCTCAGACTCGCCCAACCCAAATCCGAAACGGTCGTCAGAGGTAAGCACGCGTGTGCCCGGTCCGTCTGGAGCGTCTGGACCTGTAATGACGCTTTTGAATGTTTCGCAGATGAGTGCGTGGTCCGAGGCGGGCAGCCTCGCGGCGCTGATCTCGGAGGTGGACGTGCCGAGGAGCAAGAGCGGCGAACAGATCAAGCTGGAGCTCGACGAGCAGGAGGTGCAGGATGTGGGCTTTGTGGCGGAGCATGCGCGCCCGGGCAAGCCGAAGCTCGACCGGATACTGGCGGACGAGGTGCAGCAGGCGCAGGGTGCCATCGTCGTTGGATGTGAGTTGTTGTGATGCGGATACCCTGGGACGTTCGCGCTTATGATTGTCGGCAGGCTGTGGGCCTTTAACACTCAATGCCGTCGTGCGCAAAGTGATAGCGGCGCAGATCGACCCTGGGCGGATACGCCGGGGAGACATGAGCGGGTCCATCACGTTGATCTCTGAGGACTTCGAGTATTGATTCACTGTTCCGTGCCTCGCCCTCGTGCCGACTTTATCTTTTCCGTCGGTCGCCGAGCACCATTCAGCCATTGCATATGTTTATTGCCAGTTCTTCGTCGTCATTAGTATGCCATGGACCCTACCCATACTGTATCTCTACTGCATCATTACCCTCGTAGACTAGTATCAGCTTCGCACCCAATTTGAACCCATTAGCATTGCTTTGGTAACTCATGAGCACAGCCACGATGAAACCGCGGATGTGAGTGTGTGCCAATCATGATGAAGACTGCTGCAACTACACAACTGCAACGGGCAAACGTGCTAAGCCGCGGTGTGTAGCTAGGTGAGTACCAGTCCCGTGTGCCGATCGCGTCGCGTCGCGTCGGGGTCAGGATGCCTGCGTCACGCGCCTGACGCGTCAAACCCACCAATGAGGGGCATCGATCCTCTCAGACTCAGGCTCGTTCTTCTATCTGCTAATCCCGCTACTAGACCACAACCCTGCATACATCGACGTCTGTGCTCAGGCATGACCACCGAGCCCGAGCCCGACCAAATCACCATCCCCGAGGGGTACACCCTCCACACCGAAAACACCGCGCGCATCCTCCTGCCGCCCGGGAACCAGGCGTTCCTGAACCCCGTCCAGGAGTTCAATCGGGACTTGAGCGTCGCGTGCATCCGCACGTGGAGCGAGCTGCTGAACGAGGAGAAGGCGGCGAAGTGGAGGCAGAACCAGGAGAAGCGGGCTAAGAAGGCGGAGCGGGGGCCGAAGGCAAAACGAGTGAAAAGTGAGCCTGCGCATGGATCCCGGTCGAAATGTACTCAGACGGGATTGTTAGCTGAGGGGGGCGCTACGGCAGCTGCACCGGCAGCTGAAGGTACTCCAGGCGCCGCAGGCGAAAGCTCGATAAACCCTGAGCCTTCGGAGCCTGCGCTAGTAGAGGCTGTCGCTGGCCCCAGCAACAACAAGCAACCAGAGGTATGTAAGTTGGTTCCCGTCACTTGCCAACATATATTAAGCGAGGGCAACGGCCATACAGTATCAGCCATACAGAAGTGTAATCCTCGAAGCACTCTCGGCGACAGGGCTTCGCTCCATTCGATACGCGAAGGAGATCCCACACGTCAAGTATGCATGCTGGGTGCGCTGTCTGCGGTCTTGAGGTATTGACCCGCACCGTAGATATGTCGTAGCAAACGACCTCTCATCCAGCGCGGTCGAGGCCATGAAGCGGAATGTCGAGATCAACGGGCTCGCAGGTCAAGACCCCTCAAACACAGAGGCCTCGGGTAAACGCGAGAACGGCAGCGCGAAGCCTCAGCTAGGGAAAGTCAGAGTGCACGAGTCGGATGCGTGGTATGGGTGATATTTCCACTACGGAGAAATTTCATTGACGTGAGCCAGTGCCTTGATGTATAATCATCGAACAGAGAAAACTCGCGTTGACGTCGTGGATCTGGATCCGTATGGGACTGCTGCACCGTTCATCGACGCCGCGGTGCAATGCGTGCAGGATGGAGGTTGGTTCTCAGCAATACAAGCACTTTCCGCAAAGAGATTACACTCATACTCTGCTGCAGGTCTCCTCTGCATAACATGTACCGATCTCGCCGTCCTTGCAACTGTGAATTATCCCGAAAAATGGTCCGTCACATTCACTCAATGCCTCTCTGGTCAGGTCTGAACCCAATGCGCCGTCTACAGCTTCTCGAACTATGGCGGCGTGCCTCTCAAGGCGGAATATTGCCACGAAGCCGTATGTTTGTGTCATTTGGTTTCGACGTACTGCCCTCTCACTTGCCAGATTGAAGGCCCTTCGTCTCGTGCTCCACTCATTGTCGACATCTGCGACAAGATATGGTCGGTATATCCAGCCTCTGCTTTCCCTCTCTATCGATTTCTACGTCCGCGTCTTCGTCCGCGTCTTCTCAGTACCTAATGAGGTCAAGAAAGCTATGAGGTAGGTGCGGCACACTCACTGTGTGCGAGAGTTAGGCTCACCATTTCTTGGCAGCAAGACATCGCTATACTACATTTGTTCAGGCTGTCAGTACTGGCACGAGCAGCCTATGGGCAGGATGACAGAGGTTGTCCATCAGCCTAGTGGAATGTTAACCTGCAGTTCAAGGCGCATACGGGACCGCCGGTTGCCAATAAATGTCCTGAGTGCAATTCAACTCTGCATGTAGGACGCGACCTCTTGTGATTCAGCGCAATTTGCTGAAGTGTTTAGTTGGCAGGACCGATGTGGTCGGGCCTATCCATGACCCCAGTTTCATCGGGAGGGTACTCGATCATGTCGAAGCCAGTGCGGACAGTTATGGGACTCTGGGCGCATGAAGGGCATGCTCTCCGTGGCTAAAGAGGTATGCTATCGACCATCCTGACAGATGGAGCTCTCTCACCGTCACACAGGAACTTCCTCTACCGTTCTACTTCACTCCCTCAAGGGTCGCAGGGCACTTCCACTGCATATGCCCGTCGTTGGATGAAGCAGCGTGAGCCTGACTTCCGGCCGTCTTCGACTTATTACCCGAAGCGGATTTCCTTCCAGGTCTGCCCTGCTGCATGCGGGCTACGAGATCTCACGGTCCCATGCGTCCGGCTCCCTCAAGACAACGCACATTCGCAGACGTGTTCGATATCTTCCGTCTGGATCAAGAAGAATCCTGTTCGGATGGACAAGGTCTCGCCAATTCACCTACGTTCCACCTCCTGAGCAAGGAGCCCAAGTGCGTTACGTCCCAGTGCCCGTGATTCAGTCTGCTAATCATATGTAGGGCGGAAGCAAACTTCAAGCACCATCCACAATCGGTCACCTCATCGTCCAAGATCAAAATCGTCCGGTATCAAAACAACCCAACGCCACACTGGGGTCCCGCGAAGAAAGCGGGCTCCGGGTCTGCTCCGAGTGGAAGAGAAAACGAGAAGGCGACGACGAATAATCATATTGAGATGCAGTAATGCAGCAACACCAGAAAACACGATGTGTAAGTAGGGCGAAGAATCTGTGCAAAGCATATATAGTCCCCATGTCACATCAGGATAATACGTGAATGTATACAGACGAGTAGACGAGAGCGAGCGGGCTAAGGGAAACGACAGGACGATACACCGGTCAATGGCCAAGCAGCGACTGATTCGCGACCCAGGGGTGTTTCAGCAGTTCGGCAGCGGATGGGCGGGCCTCGTGGTTCAGTTCGAAGGTCAATTGCAGGAAGTTCTCAGCCTCGGGGGAGATGTCCGCTGGGATAGTCGGTTTTGCGAAGAGCCGATCTGGGGTGAGCGAAGTGAATATGAGCTTGCACTGAATTCAGAAAGCGCAACATACCTTGAAGATTGCTTGCATCTGTGTCAGCTGCGCCCAAGGATGTTCGCCCGTCAACATCTCGACAACGAGACAACCGACACTCCAGATGTCAGCTTTCTGTGTGTAAGCGGTCTGCTTGACTACTTCCGGCGCCATCCAAAACACGGAGCCCTGCAGGGACGGCCGGTGTGCCCGGTGACCAGGGAGAAGATCTGACATAAATGTTGATGAGTCGGAGTGTCACGACAAGAGATCCACTCACTGTCCTCTACTTTCTTGGAGATACCGAAGTCGGAAATCTTGATACCACCCTTGTTATCTACAAGCATGTTGGCACCTTTGATATCCCGATGGATAATATCTCGCTCATGAAGGTAGTTGAGGCCCAAGAGGATCTGCCGGACCCAGTTGCGAACAAGCGGCTCCTCGAACGCGCCATAATTCCGAAGGACAGAAGTAACGGATCCACCCGGGACATATTCGAGGAAAATGTTGAGGTGATCATCGTCAATGCAGGAGGCTGGTCGAACGGAGAATCAGCGGGACGGCATTCCGGCGAGCAGATGACAACGCACATAAATATTGCACGATGTTCTCATGCTGCAGCTCTTGCAAGAGCTCGATTTCACGTTCGAGAGCACTCAGCATACTCTTTTTACGTTCCTCGTTCGGCGCAGAACCGGTCGGAAGTTCGACTTGCTTCACCGCCATGAGCAAGCCAGTGGACGCATCCATGCCGAGATAGACCTTGCCGAATGATCCCGCGCCGATTAAGGCACCTTTGATCCACTTGATGGTCCTCTCACCTGGAACAAAGGTCAGCATAGTCAGCAACCTCATTCAATGTCAAGTTAGTGCAACAAAAGGACGTACGTGTAGCAGAAATCGTCGTCTTGCCAGTCTCTTCCTCGTCGCTCAGAGCAGCTCCATCCTCGATAGTCCCATTGTCCTCCTCCTCGGTCTCTTCCTCTCTCCTCCTCCTCTTCCTCCTCTTCTTCCTCGTCCTCCTGTCCATGATACTCCTTTTCTCCGCATCATCCTCCGCATCTACCTGGGTCCACTCATCCGAGCCATCGCTGTCAGGCCGCAGAGTGCTCTCGCGCCTGCTTTCGACGGAGGCCGTAATCTCATCGACAGTCATGAGACTCGCCGTGTCCGAGCGATCACGCTTGCTTCGCAGCTCGGTAATATAGCTCATCCGCTTCGACGCAGTGGAGAGCGTCCTCGACTGGCGCCGGTTTTCTGGCTGACTAGCGTCAAGATTCAGCGACTCTGACAAGGACTCGGATGGGAAGGTGACCGGGGGGAGAATGTGCGGACTGGAAAGCCGCTTGTACGACTCGTCGGTCTCGAGGTCAATGGCGCTGCCATCGTCAGTGGACAGTGACAACCGAGGGGGTACGTTGCGACTCTTGGGCTCCGGGGCAGGAGGGAGAGCGGACTGCGTCCTGTCCGGGATCATAGGCGACGCACTCGCGGTAGACAGCCTTGCGGACCCGCGCTGCGACCCCATCGTACTGACACTGTACCGCGACTGCGGCGCGTTCCAGGACGCTACGCTATCGCGCTTGTACGGCATTCCCATACGCATCATACTCTGCCGCCGCGTGCGCTCGAGCACCTTCTTGTCTGCGTTCGGGAAGTATTCCGGCAGGTGCGTCGTGATGAGCTCGCTGGGCGGACGCTGTCCGAAGAAGTTGCGCAACTTGGCCGCTGGCCGCTGGCCAGTGGCGGGTGTCTCTGTGGGACTCTGCGTCGGCGTTGACGTCGAGGCGTCTGGCTCGAGGGCCTTCTCGGGGTTGGGAACACCGAGACCGCTGAGGATGCTGATCGAGCTAGCGCGTTTGGTAGCTTTCGTGGACATGGGCATGCGATTGGGCGCAAGGAATTCGTCGTCGTCGTTGCCCCGCGCGCCGACTGCGGGACTTCCAGATCTTGATGAAGGTGAGTGGCCTCTCCTCCCAATCAACCGGAGAGTCAAGCCGTTCTCGCGGGATGGGTCATCTGGCGGTGCGTGGCAAATGGAGAGTAGCTGCGCCTCAGTCAGAGGCGAACTTGTAGAACCTGTACTGTAGTTGGTATCCGTATTAACGGCCAAATCTGGAAACCTACCAGATACGTCTTCGCCGCCATTCAGATACACGCCCCAACCGTCAACGCTCAAGCCCCCATCCTCCGTCTCGACACGTTCACTCTCGCCATCCGCCCGTGAGCCCAGCTTGTTGAACTTCTTCAACGCCTTGATGAGCACCTCGACGCCTCCCGCGCAATCAGCGACGTTGATCGTCGCAGACTTGCCCTCGTCCGGCAGCGCGAACTTCACCAATTTGCGCCTGAGATCATCAAGGGAAGGCGTGCTATACGACCCGTTGTTCTGGGGTGTGTTCGGACGTATAGGACCCACAATTCCGTTCCTGTTGTACGGACCTGTGGGAGGAGAGGGTGTACTGGAGGCCATATTGTTCCGTTGAGAGTTGTAGGACTCGGCAATAGGTGATAGACTAGCCGGGGCCCCGTTCTGAGCATACGGATGCGTGTTGCTTCCTGTCGATGGCCGGGGAGGGAGCTTGACCGGGGGCGCAGGCTGTGGATTGTTGAGCGAGCCACTGCGGTTATGAGCGTTGTTCTGGGCGTTGTTGCGGTTCGAGGCCATGGACGGGAATGGCAGCTGGGGGGACTGAGACCGGAGAGGTGTTCGAGCACCCTGCGACCCTGACGACGGCGTGAGCAGATTGCTTGTATGCGGTGAGTATGGTGAGCCATCAGATGGGATGGGAGTCCGTCGGCCAGACAGGACACTGGGTGGCGGCTGCAGGTTATGCGGTGTCCGCGGGTTGGGCGGCAATGGCGGTTGGCCGCGCGGCGGTGGTGGGAGCGGAGGTAGGTTCGCGCGCACGCTGTGGGAGGTAGTAGGAGTACTGTGCGTGGAAGACCCGCTGCCAGGCTGCTGTGGCAGGGGACGAATGCCATTCACGTACCGCGACGACGAGGAGCTATTCGCGGGCTGCGTCGAGCCCGATGACTCTGAGCCATCGCGGATAATCCGTGGCAGACTCGGGTCCGGTGAACCCCCCGCGGGCGTGAGGTGCAGCGGGGCGGGCCGCCCGCTGTCGAGGCGGCGATGACCCAGCGCCCTACCCGGGAACGAGCTGCCGTCGCCGTTCAAGCTATTCGACCGACCGAGCTCGGATACGCGCGGACGGTTCGTGATTGATACCAGAGCGGCATTGGCGGACGAGCAGCGCTGCCTGAGGGACTTGACGCCGTTGAGGACGCGCAGGCGGTCTCCTACGCTGGTCATACCCATCTCCTTTAGGATGACCTGATCCAACTCAAGCAAAACATCTCCGCGGATGTCGTTCGCGCTGAAAGTACTCGCCAGGTGCCCGCACTTGATGTCTGAGAGCCAGCGTGCAACCAATGCATCATCCCAGGTACCCAAGAAGTCCGAGAAGGACGTGCCCGGCGGAGGCTCGAGGAAGGAAGAACCATTGGTCGTGCGAGACTGGCTGTGAGCTGAGAAGGTGGGTGAGTTCGGAGATGAGGAGTGCGAGGGCGGCTGCGAAAGGTCGTCAAACGGCTGGAAGGTGCCATTACCAACGACCGCTGCCATGTTGGCTCGAGGGTTGCACGAATAGAATGATAGGCCTCTGCAGGTGGTCAGCGCACGGCAGAACTGATGGGCGTGCTGCTAGCCCGGGCGGGGCGGGATGGTCGCGTAGTAACCCTTGTGGCGCCTACGTCGACGTCAACACTGGCTGCACAGCGTGTGTGGCGGGCTGAGGGCCGTACGCAGGACGCCCCGAGTAGCAGAAAGGCGAAAGAGGGGGAGGAGGTGAACAAAGGACTGCCAGTCGAGGCTGGGTTGAGCGCGACGCCCGCGTTCGCGTGAGAGATGGATCTCCCGCTTTCGGCGGCGACGCGCTTCAGCCCGCCCTGATCATGATCTCCCCTGCTTCTCCCTTCATGCTCCTTGTTCTCGGGCACACAAAACTGCTAATCGGACGACAGTGTAGGCAACCCCTGCTCGTCCGGACTCGTAGCCGTGGTCGATGCAACCCAATCCCAACTACTGTAATCACCAATTCCGCCCCCAACAGTCTCATAGCGCTGCAGCCAGCGTGCAACGGCGCTCGAATGATACCAAGAAGCCGCAGGTGACGGTTGTATCAGCTCTAATGGCATCGTTCCCGAGCATGGCCGATGGATGCTATGGATGATGACGCGTTGCTCGCCATGTTTACCAGCTCTGGCGCAGCTCGTTGTACGCGTATGACCGAGGATCACGGTGCGTGTCCAGTGTACGGTGTACGTACGTGGTGGTCACTGGTGAGCGAACGGATGCCGCCTGTACACTTGTGAATGCTGATTGAAAGGGATGGTCGCCTCGCTCAAATGATGATGGTGATCCTTGTGCTTGCGCGGCGCGCGCACTTGACTCACCGGCGTCGCGCGCGTTCTACACGTGAGGAGGAAGGCGAGGTGCCAGTGGACGCCGCAAGCTCAGAAGCTGGATCTCATATGGGACAACCAGGGACATTGAGATCGTCTGCAATCGGGTGAATTTGTTCTCGCATCTCGCTCTGGCGACACAAGTATCTTTAGGTGACGGCGGTCTTGGCGCCTCTCTCAGTGTAGCTTCATGAATTCGGTCATTCGTGGATGATATAGATGTGCGGTGATCCCTTTGTCAAATGCCAACAGCACAATGAGAGCGCGCTGTTCTTGAGACATCGCGTTGCAACAGCCTGTAAGTAAGAATAGCTCGCTGTGATGACTTATGCATTGCAGAGTGGGACGTCAGATTTTCAGTGGTTGAATCAACGATAGCTATACTACTTGGGAGGAGCTGTTGTTGTATATGGCGCTGTTGGGGTGGACGCATGCCGTCCGACTTACCGGTGCAAGCACGGATGGACAGGCGGAAAGCCGCTCGTTCCTGGACTGATGTGTCAGTCAAGATACAACTCGGACGGACTGTGTGAGGCCGAGCACGGCAGTTCATAAAAGTTCGCAGTGCTGCTACTTATTGTGACGGGACTTCCTGCGAACTTCGTCGTTACTGGGATTGTATACGTAAGAGGGGTGATCACGACATAGCTTACTGGAATACTCGCTGTACTTGCAGAGCGCACAGGTGCAACGACAACATCCGGGGTCCGTTATCTCCTCTTTGTGGAGAGATGGTTTCCAGCTTGGCCGCTTTCTGATGGTTCGAATGGTGAAGTACGGTATACCCGGCACCACAACCTGGGATGCAGATATGATGAGAACGCAAATGCCTATGCCAGAGTCTGACCTTCTGACCTTCAAGTCGGACGACTCCGATGAGCTGGGTCGACTTCTCATGCACAGAGTAAGACAGTGAGGGCATCATTCGTCGCGTGTCGACGTCGACACCTGTTCTGTGGATTGGCGTGGACTCCGAAGATTCGACATGTCGCGGTGGTGCGCCAAGGCAGTGTGGAATTTGCGTGTCGATGTCAGCTTGATGTCAGCGCCGTGGTGGCACTCATGGTGCATGGAGGTTGGTCGCTGCCGCCGCGCCGCAAACGCTATCATCTTCCACGGCCAGGCCATCAAGAGAAGTGGTAAGCTTGCGCTAGATATGCACGCAGAAAATGATGCTGCTGGTGCGCATTCGTGAATGAGAGCTCTGTCGCGGACGCTTTTGTGTGGTCTGAGACAGGGCAGTTCCTCGAGGAGCGGCCGACGGCTTGGGGCAAGTGCCTTTGCAAGAAGTTTAGGCCGAGATGGGCCCCTCAATGAAGGGAGGCGCCGAGGTGGGTGCTGCCCTAAAAGGAAGGGCTCACACTCCGCGGCTGTGGCTGAAGGCTGGGCAGACTCGATCAGGGACGTCGTCGCGTAGCCGACGCTGTGATTCCGATTCCGGAAGGCGTCTTGGTCAGCCAGGGCGGGGATGCATGGCCGCAGCGCACTGCGCAGGGCGGCGGGGGCGGACGGCGGGGCCGGGTTGCAGCAGCAGCTGTGGGCTGTGTGCGCACCAGAGCTGCTGGTGAACGAGGCTGGGAGGCGAGCAAGGTGGGCGTAGGACGGGAGGTTGAGGCCGCCTCCGCCGCGGCCGGCGTCTGGCTGCCGGCGCGAGAACGGCCAAATAAAACGAGGCGGCGATTTCTGGGCTCTCTCCAGCGCCTGTTCGGCTTCGTGTCCCAACATCCTCCCTCCTCCTGCACGTCCCGCCGTAATAGCCTCCCCGGCTCTCCTCCCTTTCGTTTCTTTCCACCCTCTTCCCTCTTTCAGGACGTTTACTACCACGGTTCTCGCTCGGTTCTCTCGCCCCGTACCATAGCATATCAGGTTCACCAGCACAGACTCGTCTCGTCTTTCCACCATGTGGGTGCGCACAGCGCTGCTGTCGCTCCTCACTCTCGCCCATCTGGGCACAGCATCACCATACCGGGAGGATATTGCGGACTACAACATTAACCAGAACAAAACTGCCACAAACGTCTTGGATTATTACTATCCCAAGCGCGATAGCTACACGGCCTCGCCCTCGAACTGGCGCGCTTTCCCCTTCTACACCATTCTCCTCGACAAGTTCGCCGATGGAGACCCCACAAACAACGACTTCTTCAAATCCGTGTACGAGTGGGACTGGCGGGAAACGCAACTGCGCGCGGGCGGTGATCTTGCGGGTATGGTAAATAGGCTGGACTATCTCCAGGGCATGGGTGTAAAGCGATCTACATCTCTGGCACGGCGTGGTTGAACGAGATATGGGAGGCCGACAGTGAGTTTCCGCGTTGCTCTATGCGTGCTGTCCCCCTCATCTCGACAGGTTATTCGCCCCTCGACCTCTCCGTTGTCGACCCCCATTTCGGCTCGGTCGCGACTTGGCAGAATGCTATCGACGAGATTCACAAACGGAACATGTACATTATCTGGACTTCACCGTCGGCACGATGAACAATCTTGTCGGCTTTAAAGGGTGCGTCCTTGTACTATTCGCTTTCCGGCGCAGGCGCTGACTGCCGAACCACCGGCCAGGTATACAAACGTTCGGCGCCGTTCAACATCGAGGAGTACGAGGCTACTTGGCTTGACCCGGCCTACGCACCCTGGAACTTCAGCGCTATGTCGATTTCACGGTAGTCGCTTCGTCGGATATTTGGTTGGCAGTGCTCAATGTCGTCTGCAGTTCAGCAATGAATACAATAACTCTGCCAAATGCCCGTGTTCTGGGGCGATGATGGAGCGATAGTGGACATCGACTATAACGGCGGTTGCTTGCGTCCGAGTTCGACCAGTATGGCGACATGGAGGCTTTCGGTGTCCATCCGATTGGCAGCGTCAGCTCTCGAAGTTCGCGTCCGTGCAAGATCGTCTGCGAGAGTGGAATCCCGATGTCATGGCGAAGCTCACCACCTTCTCCTGCATGGCAATCCAAGCTCTGGACTTTGACGGCATCCGTATAGACAAGTCTACCCAGATGACAGTCGATGGTTTGGTCCAGTGGACATCGACGACGAGGAGCTGCGCAGCGGCCCTTGGCAAGGACAACTTCCTCATTGTGGGCGAAGTGACGGGTGGTGACTACTTCGGAGCGCTCTATTAGTAAGTGGAGTTTGTTCGGTATATGCGCGTTGGCTCAGCATCACTTCAGCGGTCGTGGTCGTACACCCACTGAACGGCCGGAATACGATGTCGCGGCCAACATGACCGAGTCGCAAAATCAGTACTTCCTACGTGAGCAGGGTCAAGAGGGTCTCGATGGCGCCGCCTTCCAGTACTCCATCTACCGCGGCCTGACCCGCTTCCTTGGTATGGACGGTGATCTAGAGGACGCTTACGATGTCTCCAAGGACTTCGTGACTGCGTGGGATGAGCTTTTCGTCGACGACGACATGGTCAACCCGGGCAGCCATAACGTGGATCCTCGCCATCTGTATGGGACGAGCAACTTCGATGTATTCCGGTGGCCGAGTATAGAAAACGGGACGGAGCGCAGTGTCTTGGCGACGTTCATCACTACACTACTGATGCCTGGTGTACCACTGGTGGGTCTCGGTTTGTCAGATATGTCGGTATGGATTTTTAACGCGCATTTAGCTATTCTACGGAGAAGAACAGAATTTCTACCTGTACGATAATACCGCTAACAACTATCTATACGGGTGCGTGATGCCGTCTGTATGTTCGCTGTGCTATTGCTCACGTCATCCGTGACAGTCGTCAGGCAATGTTCAGCAACACCGCATGGAAGCGTCATGGATGTTACACTCTAGGATCATCACAGTACTACTACCTTCCGATGGGTCGCTCTTTGCTTGGCTGCAAGGACGACTGGAACGCGCTTGACCACTTCGACCCGACTGCTGACACACGCCGACTCTTCTCGCAGTACCTCCACCTCCGGACGCAATTCCCCGCACTGCAGGATGGTTGGGATCTCACTACCTTGCGGAACTGGACGTACTCCATTGAGCGCCCGGGATCCAACGGCACCTCGACCCAGATGGGCTTGTGGTCCGTTTCGCGGAGTCTGCTTGAGGACTATCAAACGACAGCCGGGAACACGTCAGAGAAGGTCTGGATGTTCTACACGAACCAGAATGCGACCACGTCGTGGGGGTTCGACTGCACGAGTGACCAGTACATCAAGAGCCCCTATCAGGGCGGAAACTCGGTTCGCAACCTCTTCTACCCGTACGAGATCGTCCCGCTCCAGGATTCAGCGGAGGCTTTCTATAACGATAGCAAGGCGCCGTACTTCGGATGCTTCCCGAACATGACCTTACCGCCGTTCGGGTTCAAGGCGTACGTGCTGGAGGCAGATTGGGTGTCGCCTCCGCCCGCGCTCACGAAGTTCACGCCTGGGCACGACGCGCGGCTGCCGTCGAACTCGAGCTCCATTCCGATCACCCTCGAGTTCAATGTGGAGATGAGCTGTACCAGCGTGACGAACTCCATCTCACTGAACATGTCGAGTTCTGGAACTGGTGCGACGCCGACCCTTGGCTCGGCTACCTGCGGCTCGGTCACTGGGACGCCTCCTGACGAGGTCTATGGAGTATCTGTCTCTACATGGTCATGGTCGGCAACGCTGGAGAACGTCCCTGACGGTGTGTTGGAAATCATCATAAAGAACCCGACCACGAACGACGGCACTGCGTCGACCAACGTAAGTTGGCCCTGCCACGTTGATTGTATTTGTGTGACTCACTTTCTGCGCTAGGCTACGGATCACCTACTGATCCGCAAGGGCGCAGCGGATAACATCGTCGTGTGGGATAATGCGAGCTACGACGCCGGCGCCATACAGTACAGTGACGGTCAATACACATTTACCCACAAGGCATACGGCGCGGACATGTTCCGGTATTCCACCAACTTCGCGCAGAACTGGACTGACTGGCAGTCGTGGGAGAACACTACGACGATCTCCGCGGATTCATTAGCGGCAGTGACAACTGGTGGGAGGGGCAGCACGTCATAGTCCAATGTGAGTCTTCGGAAATAGGAGGGTCTCTAGCCAAACGATGATGCTGATCACGAGGCGACACGCAGATTGGTGCTACCTCGCGCAGACGTCGAGCATGGTCGTGCATTCGGATCTGAACTACGACAAACAACGTCGTGTTCCCCAGTTCCTCGTCCGTGGTGCATACAACGAGTGGGGGTACGATCTTGGCATGCCTTACCGCATGTCTCAGGCGGACGACAACTACTGGCACATCAAGATCGCCGATAGCTGGCCTACCTATGTGCAGCTCAACGTGTTCGGCTTCGACAACTACTTCTACGGAGACGTCGACGGGATGGTGTCATGGACCGTCTCCCGCCGAACACGCTGTCAGCCAACTATCTGAACATGTCCAAGCCTCCGCACCCCTACGTCGCATGGGATCTGATAGTGGATGACTCTACGCTGACCTGGTGGCTCGAGCCTATCGGCGAGTCCTCTGTCGGAGCTATCACGTTCGCGCTCTTCTGCCATTCCTTTCGCGACTGCTCACTCGCTGTCGGCGTCTTCATCTGGTCGTTCTACGGCATCAAGTACAACAAGTGGGGTGTCAAGCCGCACAAGGACCACAGCAACTACTTCCCCATCCTCGGCGCCCTGGGCCACAAGTCGTCCGAAAAGGTGTCAGAACCGCACACACCGCTCACAGAGAAGATGTTTGGTCACAAGCAGACGATCTCATCGGTTGGCCTGAAGTGAAGGACAAACGCCGCAAAGTGCTGATCGCCACGCTCGAATACGAAATCATCGATTGGAAGCTGAAGGTCAAGATTGGTGGTCTCGGTGTCATGTCGAGTCTTATGGGGAAGGCGATGTCCGACGTCGATCTCATCTGGGTATTCCTAAGGTCGGAGACCTCGAGTATCCCCAAGGCGAACCCGCGGAACCTATCGAGGTCATCATCTTCGGCGAGCCGTACCTAATCGAGGTTGAGACTCACGTCGTCGACAATATCACATACGTCATCCTCGACAGCCCTGTCTTCCGCGCTCAGACGAAGGCTGACCCGTATCCTGCTCGCATGGACGATCTCAGCTCCGCCATCTTCTACTCGACTTGGAACCAAGCGATTGCTGCCACCGTGCATCGCATCCCTGACATCGACATCTACCACATCAACGACTACCACGGTGCTCTTGCTGCTATCTACCTCCTGCCGAAGGTGCTCCCCGTATGTCTCTCACTGCACAACGCGGAGTTCCAGGGTCTCTGGCCGCTTCGCACGAAGGAAGAGATGAAGGAGGTTTGCTCCGCGTTCAACATCAGCAAGGAGCATTGCACGAAATACGTTCAGTTCGGTAATACGTTCAACTTGCTCCACGCAGCAGCTTCCTTCGTCAGCGCCCATCAAAAGTCGATTGGTGTCGCCGGTGTGTCTGACAAGTACGGCAAGCGGAGTTGGGCTCGGTATCCCGCTCTTTGGACGCTCAAGCACGTCGACTCGCTGCCTAACCCGGATCCGACGGATATCGCCGCGCTGGACGAGAACCCTGTGAACGTCCGTGACATCCAGATTGACGACGTTGCGGAAGCGCAACGGCCAGAACACAAGAGGCAAGCGCAAGAGTGGGCCGGTATCAAGCAAGACCCGAACGCCGCTCTGTTCGTGTTCGTGGGTCGGTGGTCGAAACAAAAGGGTGTGGATCTGATCGCGGACGTTATGCCTTCCCTGTGAGTCGTCGCGCTGCCTCTTCGCATCCATACTTGTGTTGCTGACAGAGACGACAGACTCGACAAGCGTCCTGAGATTCAACTGATCTGTGTCGGACCCGTCATTGATCTTTACGGTCGATTTGCTGCTGAGAAGTTGGCGCGCTTGATGGAGCTCTACCCTGACCGCGTTTTCTCAAAGCCAGAATTCACTGCGCTCCCGCCATACCTCTTCAGCGGTGCTGACTTCGCACTGATCCCCTCGCGTGATGAGCCATTCGGTCTCGTCGCAGTCGAGTTCGGTCGAAAGGGTGCTTTGGGTGTTGGTAGTCGTCTCGGCGGTCTCGGACTCATGCCTGGTTGGGTAAGTGTCGCGTTTTGAAGCTCTCTGCGAAAGGTCTAACGGCGTTCCTATGTCAGTGGTTCCCTGTGGAGTCGATGTCCACAGAGCATATGATGTCGCAACTGACGAAGACCATCAAAATGGCCTTGAAGTCGACAGAAGAGGAGCGGGCGATGCTGCGCGCAAGATCTGCAGTGCAGCGCTTCCCAGTGGTTGAATGGCGGCAGCGTATGGAAGACTTCCACAAACGCAGCATCACGACCAGTCGTAGGATAGCTGGTCACAACGCGTGGCGACCTTCAGACGCGGAAAATACTCAGTTCAGTGGGCACTACGCAATCGCGGAGACCGAAGATTGGAATCCGGAGCATCAAGCCTACCCTTCGCAGCCAGACTGGGATAGCCGCAGTATGAGCGATAGTCCTGCACTACCGTCCTCCCCTGGCTCGCCAGGACAGTGGAGCCAGGATACCCTGACCCCAGGCGGCGATCCTCACCTAGTCGCCCCGCGATTCCTTGGGGAATCCCGTAGAGGCTCGTATAGGTCCGATATCTCAGCCTCGGACAGCGACCACGGTTCTCTTGAGAGAGGATCAAGACAAGATTATGGAGACTTCCTTGAGCGGGCAAATCGTACAATTGCTCGCGATCGGAAGCACATGCCTGATCCTTTCCTCGAAGCCGCTCCAAGCAGGCCGTTCACAGTCCATTCAAGAGTGTCGTCAGTGGAGTCGATCTCGTCCATTGTTGATGAGAAGCAGCATTCGCCATTGAACAAAGCGATTGCATCCGTACGTTTCAAAGTCTTTCATGGTAGTTCGACATTATTGACGACTCGTTCCTTGGCAGTTCACCGACGCCGACGGTGGTGTTGCGCAAGAATTCGTGCAGAAGCTGCAAGGCTTGAACGCCCATAACTCCAAGCACGAGCTCTCGATTGAGAAGTACCTAACAAAGAGCGAGGAGAAGTTCTTCGACAAGGTGAAACATGACAAACTCTCTGGTGCTGCGAGCATCCGATCGTCACGACGAGACTCGATATGGGGAACGCCTGCTCCCTCTTCGTTTGACCACTCTCGCCCGTCGTCCCCAAGCACACGTTCCTTTGCGGATGGGCTTCCACCTATGGATGACTATAGTGCGGCTCTCATGAATGAAGATGCTGTCGTCATGTCGGGTTTACAGGTCGCTATGTCTCGCGAGATCGGCGGTTGGCCGCTCTACACCATCGTGCTTGGTCTTGGCCAGATGCTCAGCGCCACAGGCTTCCAGATCTCGCTGCTCTCGGGATCAAGCACTCAGTCAAGCCTAGACCTGTATGTCATTGGCGGTGTCTTCCTGGCTGCGACGGCTGTGTGGTACCCGCTATTCCGCCTTAAGCCCTCAGTCTACGTTCTGTCAATGCCGTGGATCTTTTTTGGCATAGCGTTCTTCCTCGTCGGCTTGCCCTCTGTTGCCGCCCCTCTCCATTGGCTACACTACGATCTAGCCAGTGCGGCTACATGGTCATACGCGGTTGCTTCAGCGGCAGGATTCCTTTACTTCGGGCTGAACTTCGGAGAAGAAGCGGTATGTGCCCTCTATCTGTCGTCTCATTCTAACACTCACGTCATGTACAGGGTGCTGCGACAGAGACGTGGACGATGCGGGCCTGTCTCGTGCAAGGTTCTCAGCAAGTCTGGGTGGCCGCCCTCTGGTACTGGGGCTATCAGCTTGACGGCGTCTCTTCCGGTTACCTGATGCCTTGGTGGGTCGCGCTGATCGTCTGGCCTCTGGCCGTCATAAGCTGGCTCTTCGCCTACTTGTTACTGTACGGATTGCCAGGTGAGTCAATCCAACGGTTTGGCTGTCGGTGTCAGCTAACGTGTTGTGTAGACTACTACCGTCAAGCACCGCCCAAGGTCCCTCACTTCTTGAAGACTCTGTTTAGGCGTAAGATTGTGCTATGGTAAGCATTGCGCCTGACGACTAGAGAAACGAAATGAAACGTTGCTTTAGGTTCCTCGCATCCGAGATCCTACGCGATTTCTGGCTTAGTGCAGTGAGTAGACGTTGCAGTTTGCTTGCCTGCGCCGAGAGATTAACATACGCTCTCAGCCGTACGGACGGAACTGGACTTTCCTGTGGAATCAGAATATTCCGAAGTGGCACATCCTTCTGCTCGTCATTGGGTTCTTCGTCGGTGTCTGGGTCATTCTCATGGTAGGCCTCACGCAACTCAGCAAGACTCATACGTGGCTACTTCCCATCTTCGCTGTTGGACTGGGCGCCCCACGTTGGTGCCAGATGCTTTGGGGAACGTCTGCGCTCGGTCTCTATGTGCCGTGGGCTGGTCATGCCGGTCCCTATGCTGCCATCGCCCTTTGGTTGTGGCTGGGTGTACTAGATGCAATCCAGGGAGTCGGTTTGGGAATGATCTTACTCCAGGTATGTAAGATTGTGAACGGACTTGCTGCTTAACCTGACGCGAGCGGTATTCTAGACTCTATCACGTTTGCACGTGTGCGCAACGCTCGCAGCAGCCCAAGTCATCGGAGCTTCTGTCACTATGATCGCTCGCGCATTGTCGCCAGATGGCACAGGTCCAGGACATGTATTCCCAGATTTCGCATTATGGAGCTTCTCTCAGGGTCTGAAAGGTATGTGTACCGACTTCTTCGCTGAGTGATCGTCTGACATAAGATGCTTCAGCATCACCACTGGCGTCGTGGGCTTTCTGGCTCGGTCTGATTTGTCAAATTATCATTGTCTGCGGTTACTTCTGGTTCTACCGCAAAGAACAACTTGGTCAGTGCTCCTCGCTTCTACTTGAGAGATGGTCTCTTCTAACGCCTATACTTATCGCAGCACGCCCATGATCACGACTAGAGCCCATGAGTTCCTTAGACTTTGGTATCTGCGATGGACATCATATTATCTTCGGTGGTATATCTCTAGTAGCAAAGGGACTGTTGTTTGTGACGGACTTGTACTCTTTATCGTCGTTACGACACACGCTCACTCACTATACACCACGTATCATACTCTTGGATATCCGGCCACGGTAATGCAGCATAACCACTAGATATCTCTATATACCGCATAACATCTCGAGGCTCAGCAGCGTGAGCCGATGCGCGGCCGGTGGTCATTGATCAGGTGCGTCTGCAGTTCTGCAAGCCTGAGTGATACGTTCGAAAGGTTGTATGTTGTCGAAGCGCTGCTCGCCTTTGGTTCGTAACCTTTCGAGGAGACTGATGATGTCCGGAGACGGTTTCTATTGAACGTTGCTTAGAAGTAAAGGGCATACGAGATTGCTCTACGCGACGGTAACTAGACCTCTACTTGGAAATCATACTGCACTGTTTTGACCGACGATGTCAACACTTGTAGACTAGCAATCCCATCCCAGAACGAAGTCCTTGCCAGTGCTGATGGAAGCATTCGTCTGGTGATCGGTAGGTGGACAGATGGACGCGCCGAGCTCTTCTCGCAGGAGTAAGTCTACTGCATTACGTGCTGCAACGGTTTCCGTCTCCATGGTAGATATGAGACTAATGCTTGCAGTGAGCTCACTCCTACGATACCAGGAACATCCAGACACCTACGGTTCGAATGCGTTCACGTAGTACAGCCCACGCGCTAGTTTGATCGACGGGAAGGTTGTGGTGGGAGTCAAGACGGGGTATGCATCCCACTTCAACAGGAGATTAGTCAATCTGCTAACTAGTCGCAGCGGATCCACTGACCTCCTTCCTCAGTAGCCATCCGACTTTGCCGAACATACCTTCCAACCACTCATCCGACAATCTCTGCCGAGAGAAGATCTTCACTACATGTTCTTCACCGTGGACACCCTGGTATAGCTCTCCGTCCGCATTCTTCAGCTGCCCATGGAATGCCATGGCGACGAAGTCAGGATCCGGACTGACATGTTGGCGTACACCGTTGTACGACGTCATAATGTACGTGGGGACTCGGGAATCATTCGTGTTGAAACGCGCGGGATTGTGCGACGAAGACGGAGTGGTCAGCAACGTGACATGCAGACGAACGTAGGGCTGGGGTGGAGGGATCTCCGCAAAGCCTGGAGGAGAGATGTAGATCGCGGCCTGGTGCAACGGTGCCGCCAACACAACCGCCCGATACGCCTGCGGGACCGGAGCCAGACCTAGTGTAGATACATGCCACATCGCAGTGTCTGCGTGGTACGCGAGATATGACAGTCGTATTCAGGTGTACCGACGCGCCGCTTCGCTCCAGGAACTGTTCGAATATCTGGAAATTTCCACCCTTGACGCTTGACGCGCCGGTAGCTGCAAGTGAGCAAAGGCCCTCGAGAGCATGGATGGAGTCAACATTTTGAGCGTAGTTGACGCGTGTTGCGGCTTCCACAAGCTCGCGCGTCCATTGCGGGTTGATGTCCTCGGCATCGAGAAACTCGGCCGCGGTGCAACTGGTGAGGGAAGTCCAATTCAGTGCCCCAACTAGAGATGTCAAATCTCAAAGCGCGGTGCATCAGGTGCGTAGAGCTTCTGAATGGACTCGGCCATGGATTTAACGATAGCTCGAGTGCGCAACGGGGCTTTGTAGCCATAGCGCCATATCATCTTGACTTTGTCCCACCAACTACTGTAGAAACTACCGCCCGTCTGCAAAGCATGGAGTGTTAGCCACCGTTGATTATACAGGAAGCTAAGAGATTTGAGTCACGTACAGAGAGGACGAATTGAGAGCCATCCCAAATTCCCATGACAGTGTTTGCGTCTTTGTAGGATACCCTTTCGAGACCGAACTCGTCGACAGCACGCCACATGTTCTTGTTGACCTCGACGAAGATTGATGCCCCCAGTTCGATTGGTCGCAAGTCGGCGTTATTGTACGGGTGTAGAACAGTGCTGCCTACCATAGTTGTCAGACTTAACCTGGGTTCCAGTGAAAGAGTAACTTACGGCCCCAACATAATCATTACGTTCATAGAGATCCATCTCAACGTCTAGCCCGTACCGCTCTTTGGCTTTCGCGATCCAAAATGCGGCTGAAGAACCGCCAGCTCCCGCGCCTATGATGGCAACGCGCTCCGTGGGTCTGGTTGGATCAAGTCCTTGTTGACCAGGACGAGACGGATGTTTCAAGGGGACCTGAGGCCGAATCCCGATACTTAAGGACGCGGAGCGACGCGCACACGTGATCGCGCAGGCGCTGCGCTTCGCATTCTGGTTCACGCTCACTGGCAGGCCTCAGGCTTCAGCTCACGACCGTGACACCGACGTCCATCTCGCTCGCCTCAGGCAGAAAGGTGGGTAGATACCATGCTTTCCAAATGGACTTGCTGAGCTCACAACTGACACTCAGTACACCATGGCACCTGCTCCGACCACATTAACCAACTTCCCCATCGACATCCTAACAGAAATATTTACGCACGGAGTCATCCATGGGATGATTACCGACTCAAAAGACCATGACAAGGACAACCGCGACAAGGAAGACCGTGTAGTGCTCCGGGCCACTATCTCCGCAGTTTGTCGCCAGTGGAAGGAGATTGCAAATCACACCCCGATCCTGTGGTCAATGATATTCATCGCGTTCGACAATCCTCCTTCGCACGAATCAGTGAACCTGGCAATAACACGTTCTGGGACACGACCACTAGACATCACTATGTGCGCAGGAAGCTGCAATACCTACGAGGAGTTTGATTGTGCCACTCTGTTCATGGAGCTGCTGATTCCACACCTCCCCCGGTGGAGGCACATCTGTCTTTACCTGGAGGATGCATCTAATGCCCAGGCAGCAATACACATGTGGAGGGGGGTCGCAAATTCTCTGGAGGAGATCACACTGATTTGTGCAGAGGGTGCTGACTCATCCGCTGAGTTGGTTTTCCATCCCAGATTCACTGCACCCCGGCTCTGTGCAGCCACCTTCGCCGACATACCGTGCATTTCGGATGGCGGGAGGTTCAAAAATCATTTTCCCGCACTAGAGAAACTTCGCCTCATACGCACCTACTTCGACGAAGCTCCCCTCAACAACTCGCGGAAGCTGGTGCGGATCTTGGAGAACCTGCAGCATCTGCGGTACCTGGAGCTTCTCCCAGACTTTGGTGGCGAGGAGAGCGATGATGAGGATGATGAAGAGGATGATGAAGAGGATGACGAGGAGGATGAAGAGGATGAAGAACGAGGCGGCAGCAGACTTCGTTCGCTGCTTGCCCTCGAAGAACTCACCGTGCAGGGTATGTCACTACCTCGCGCTATCAACCGGCTTCTTGGTGCATTCACTGCTCCTCGGCTACACACATTCGAGATCGCTCTGTACGAGTCCCGTGGCAACGAGGAGGAGTGTCTCCCAGAGACCAGAGCACTTTTGCAACGATTCCCTTCGTTACACACTCTCAGACTCGACCACTCCGCCGGCGCGCTGACCTTCGAAAACGTACGATATCTGGCCGAGGATTTCGAGCGCCTCGAACTCACGCGGCGGTTCGACTTCGAGACTCTACTCCAGACGTTGACGGAGCAGACATCGCAATCCAATTGGCCCACACCTGGGTTGAAGCTCCTGGAACTGCACTCCGAGGGGTTCGAAGTCCAGGCAGCCTTACTGCGGAAGCTTGTGGAAGCCTCCACCACCACCGGCCACACTATCGAGAGTGTCCTCGTCCGCGCTGGGGCCGAGTGCTCAGAGGACGACCGCGAGTGGTTCAAGCAGAACTCACGGAACTTTGCCTGGATGTCGCTGTCCAACGAATATGGGCCCATCACCAGCTCCGTGACGCTGACATACGGACCCCATGCCTGATGCGCCCTCGTCCAATCGTCTGACGAATATCCTCAAAATCGGTCAACCTTTGTCACGGTACGGTACTGCCCTTGGTGTACTCCGATATCATGCGTTAATAAGCTTTCCTCGTAGCTCAGCATTTGCGCAAGAACCCCCGTCGCTCCCCTCCCCTCTCTGTCCTGTCATCCGACAGTGCTCAAATAGAATGAGACTCATCCGAGTCGTCTCTTGGCGTTTTCACGTCACTTGTGTAGCGTGCATTACGTGCTATACGCAGCTGCCGTGCTTTTGTCTATGATACCCTGCTTCATTGCAACAACTCGTTGTCCTGTACATGACCATGCTTCGATCAATGTACTTACGATGTACGACGTATGGCAGACCATGGAATGCATCCTATACCCTTCGTCTCGTCTAATCATTGTGCCGCCTTCTTAGACGGTCATCGGATTTCAACAGCAAATGTGTGTAATACTCCAGGATGGCTGAAGCCTGAGACTCGAGTGTCGACGACACAAGCCGGAGCTACTCTTTCTAACTCGCGTCTACGTGCGGTGTATTTAGAACAGGGGATAAAATTATGGACTGCGGACGGACGTACTGCGCCTTTGAAGTAGGATCAGGATACCTGGGTTAGACCAGTAAGTCATCGAAACTGGAGGGCGACACGCTCGCGGGCGAAGAAGCGGACGTCGCATTGCTTCAAAAGGGCGCACCCTTCAGCACATTCGGTAACAATAGCACCCAGTTGCGCTTAACAGTTCCGTCGAGCTCTTCGTCGTGGTATCTATCATACGTGGCGCAAACAAAACGCACCGCAGGAACTGCGTCAGGATACACACCCTACAGGTGCTGCAGAACATGCGTAGCGAGCTGACATCCGTCGAAAAAAAAAAAGGCCCGTCCCAAACGCGGTGAGTGCCGCTTTTCGCCAAGCAAAACCCTGACATCACGGAAGCGAAAGGCGATGGTCAGTTCCCTCGAGCCTGAACCACCAGACAAAGGCGAGGCTCGACTCCACGGTGAATCAGGTTAAGCAACGGACCCATCTCGATGCAATACCGCGGTGCCGTTCGGTGCGTCGGAAAATGGGCACTCTGGGGCTGGCCTGTCATGACGCCACGGGTCAGCACAGATTTAAGGATACGGACGGACACTGTGTATACCTGTGATGGAACGTTGTATCCCCAACGGGACACTCAACCTAACCCTCGGTTTCAAGATTCCTTGCAATGCGCCGCAGCGCGCGGCATGGACTCACATATATACATGATCCACCGCGCTTGTGATAAGAAGTAGTCACCGGAGAGAGCCTCGGGGTTGAGAAAGCCGGGGAGATGAGGAATGGGTAGTCGGTCTCATATCAGACGGAAGGGCGTATCCGCGTTGTCTCCAGACGCCACAGTTGCGCTGTGATGGTCATAGCCTGTAACAACGAAGTAATGTGTATATACGCAACACTAATAGAACTGGCGATGAGAAGCTGCATGAGCGCAAAAGCAGCGACCCGAAGACGGAGCTGACGACTCACCAGATACATTGCACACAAGCAGAATCGCACACCCTCCCCACTCACTGCCCCTTCGGCTTCCCCCCAACCACCTTCCAAAAGATCCGCAACACCAAGGTCCTCGGCAACCACACGAGCACCTTATACAACGCCGCCGGGGGCGCGACCATCACGGCCCTATACGGCCCGACCGCCCAGCCCTCCCGCAGCGCCTCCCGCACGACGCTGCGCGCGAACTGCTCGCACGACATGCCGCGTACGCTCGCGCTCGCCAAGACGCGCGCGAGGATGGCGTCACGGTAGCCCGCCCAGAGGCTCTCGGGCAGGAGCGGCACGCGCGGCGCGCCGTTCGCGGAGATGAGGGAGCGCACGGCGCCCGGGGAGTAGTGCAGGACGTGCAGGCCGAGCGGGCGGAGCTCCATGGAGAGCGTCTGGGAGAAGGAGGCGACGGCGGCTTTGGAGGCGGAGTAGGGCCCGGACCAGGGCGTCGGGCTGGGAGAGGAAGTGAGTTGGGTGCGGAGGAGGAAAAGACGGAACGCACATCTCGCCGACGATGGAGCCTATGTTCACGATGAGCCCCCGCTTGCGCGCGGCCATGTGGGGCACGGCGGCTTTGCAGACGCGGATGATGGAGAGGGTGTTCGTGTCGAAGACGGCGGCGATGTCCTCGATCGAGTTGTCCAGCGTTGGGCCTACGCCATGTGTGCTCAGGATCACTTACGCCCCGAGCTGGACCGAATGCGCGTACGTACCGTGGCACATGGAGCCTGCGTTGTTGACGACGATGTCGATGCGCCCTTCGCGCTCGATGATGGTCGCGACGACCGCGTCTACGTTCGCGTCGTTGGTCACATCGAGGGCAAGGCGCCCGATGTCGGGGTGCAAGCCCTCCATGGCTTCAAGCCTACGCGCGGTGGCGTAGACATTGCATCCCTTCGCGGCGAACTCCTCGCATCTGTATTATTGCGATGACTTGTCAGTACCTAAACTGCTGAGGCACCATCTGTGAGGCGACACGTAGGGCGTCTGAACCGCTTTCGTCGTTCGGAACCTTGACCAACACCAGAACTGCAAAACACCAGAGAGGTCATATTGCACTGGAGTAGAAACGCCGCCACAGTCGTGTGTTCTGCTTTGGCAGACATGAGGCAGAGTCGAACCGCCATTTGCCGGTCAAGCAGAACCGCACTCTTACCGCCGTGCACAAGCATCTCGCTCGGAACTGAAGGTCTGTCTGGATGAAACGTACCACACGTCCACACACTGCGACGGAGACACTCACAGAGCGAAACCGATGCCTCCCCTGCTGCACCCTGTGACGAGGACGACCTTTGCGTTGTGAGACATGACGACAATCGAGACGCAGCACTGGCAGTCACCAGGCAGGCAAATAGATCAGGTAGAGTCGGCGGTGAGGTGAAGAAGAGGTGCGGATAGGAAGCAAGATGCTTCTGGGTGTGATTCGCGCGCACTTATGTACGCGATTGGAGCGGGCTGGTGGTCCGTCAGACCATTGAGCGCAGCAGGACAGCGGCGATCAAGGTGCGTCGCAGGATGGATGTTGCAGAACGTGTGGAGGATGTGAGAGGTCGAGCGGGCGACACGTGGGGAAGACGTGGTGTGTACGCGTTGTTTGTGCGCACGGCGAAGCGAAGCGGGAGCTGTGCGTGGCTTCGCAACTCATCTGTGTTCAAATCCCAACCCACGGGCCACGTCTGCTCGCATCCCCGATGGCCAGGAACGAAGCGTTTGCACATCGCTGACGCACACGCATCCCCCGGCAACTCAGCGACGTGCGGTGACAGGTGGCAGGGAAGCGCGGCTGACGTCACGGCGCGTCGCACTCCGGTGGACGCGCCGTCCTCTGCCTGTGCAGAGTCTCGCGCACACTGTCCGAGCAGAATCGCAGAGATAGGCTCAGTTTCGGGACACAGAGGGAGTCGCAGGGCTGCCGGACACACAGGCACGCCGGGATCGCGGGACATGCACCCCGTTCCCGGACAGCACTCTGTCGACGCAGCTACCGCGTCCTTCGTACTCAAAGCGTCGCATCGTACACTACTGGCTGCCTGTAAGTACCTCGTCCTACACTCGAACTACGCCATCCCGCTCTCCAGACTCCATCCCACCCCGGCCGTCCTCTCGACCGCCTGAATGTCAGTCGCTACGAACATGGAAACCCCTTCTCCCCGAGAGCAGTACATCCCGTTTGTCGTCTCCGTCTCGCCCAGAACACGATCCGCCGTGTCTCCGACCCCCCCGCGAACGCATTTCCCTCGATGCCCTCACACATCGCCACCTCGCTTGATTTCGCCAACGATGGCAGACCCGTCGCTGGCCCCCGTCGCATGACCGAACGGCAAGCCTGTCCACCGAGCTCCAGGACCACACGTCCGCCCCAAATCGGACGTCAATTCTGTCAACGAGCAGGAATCTGTCACGTGCGCGGGAGCTACTTCCACCGTCCGTGCACAACCTGCTTACCTTGCTTCGCTCACTCCAGGACACAGGCTCCCGTTCCATGCCCCGGTTGGACGGACAACCTCGCTGGCAGACCGCGTCCGAGAACGGGCACGGGGACGAGACGACTGCCACACGGACGCTGGCGGTACGCGACCAGAGTGTGGCGCGTCAAGTCCAGGAGTACGGCCTGTCAAACGGAGATGATGGGTGCACGCGCTCGCCGGATTCCGACGGACCGAGCCGTCATCTACAGGCTGGAGGTGCACCGTCGATATTCCGGCGTGTGTGCGTCGACCAAGTCCACGACTCACTCGGGCTTGTCTTGCAAAACCGCAGCCTCGGACGAGTACTACGATGAGTGCAAGCCCCGGACATCGACGCACCGAACCCTCGTCTGCTAGCTGGACATAGTCTGCGAGCAGTCCGGCGGGAGGGCTGCGTTCCGGTGTGCTTGTCCCCCGGAGGGGAGACCACGCGTCGAGAGAACACGTCGCGCGAAGGACTAGCGTGTCCGCTCTAGGTACGTAGCCTCAGTGCGCATGGACTTGACGCTCCGGGTCTGGGAAAAAAAAAAGTGCGAAACCGCCGGGCGAGAATTACCGGCGGGAGAAATAGACTGATGGCCCACTTCTGCACTGGCTCGACGTGTCCGAGCGCGAGGATGTCGTCTCTTGACTGTCCGGGTGGTATGCGAAGCACGGCACGTCGTGTCGTCTCCAGGTGCGAGCCGTCCGGCGGAAGGTAGGCATCCGAGAGCGCTGTCCAGCGTAGGCCATGGAGACTCGAGTCTTGTCGCGGGCGTCGGGTGCTCTGTGTGTCGTAGACAATGAGACCGGGCGAACGCCAAAGATCGTTCACGCCGCCTCAATGAGGCAGTCGGAGGTCATCTTGACGGTCCGTGCGAGCCGGCCCGTTGCGATCTTCCGCGATCATTCAGAGGCTTCCGCGAACGCAAGTTACCTGTCCGACCCGTTAGAGTGCTTCCGAATATGCCGCGAAGTGAATGCGGACTCACCGACTGGACCGTGATCGCGTGCAATCACCGCGTATCTGTCTGAACAGTAGTATCCATTCTTGTTCCGCCCCTCCAGAGTCCAACGACCACGCCAGTGCACGAGACCGACGTGTACGTTCCCAGCACGTCGGTACGAGTCCGGCGTGGAACATCGAATGTGCGTGTCGAGATGACGGATGCATGCTGAGAGGTAGGTTGTGAGTGTGATGAGCGAGTTGAATGTAGTGTCCGGGCTTACCAGCTGGGCCTGCAGTGCATGCAGGGGCAAAGTCTTTAGACTTGCCTAGCTGCTTCGTTGTATTGTTGGCCTTTGAGGTTACTTGCATCATCGCGCGGGGCCTTGGGTCTGTCAGAGAGCTTCACATACACGAGAGAGCCAGGAAACTACTGTTCAGTGGTTCTTGAGTGAGGGGATGAGATATGGCATGATGGGTATGAAGTGAGGACGAGACGGAAGAGTCCTCTGACAACTCCCATGAGAAAATAAAATATGGCATGTTCCGGATCCTGGCAAATTCCGAAACAATGTCTGATGGGCAGTGATTGGCTGCTACTCCAAAGTTCCGGTCTCACCAAGACTTCTCTTGACAGCGGATCAAGACGCTTACGCTCACAATGACTCATCATGTACTTGGGCTTCATCCTCACTGGCAGGTGTGTACACCCTCTGTCCGTGGCTTCTCAACTCAAGCATTGGGAACCTGGTCTGTACAAGACAGGTTGTACTTCAAACAGTGCCTGCTCTTTGAGATAGAGCCTGTCCTGTACAGCACACATTCCCAGGGTGTTGGAACAAAATTCGGAGATCTGTTCATCTTCCCTTGGCCCTTGGACGGAGCACACTATGAGAAGTCATCTCACAATGTGCATTGCCTCAAACACGTTTTGCAGACACCTTCATCTACTCGAACAAGGAGATCTTCCTTTGGGAGATCATCTCGAACGCCTCCGATGCAACCCTCGTTTATGCGATCAACCGGCGGGCTGGAAGTCTGTCTCGATCATGCAGATTACCTCAGCATTCCTACAGCAAAAATGTTCAAGGCTTGCGGCGACTGCACGTATGAACTAGTGCATATGTCAGTACTCGCGCACGTACGATTGTTTACCTAGGATGAATGTGCGCGCGCAGAGCTGAGGATTGTGGCGAGGAGGAGGCACCTGCCCAATCCGGGCTTCTACCGAGCGCCCAAGTCGCCGCGTCGCGTCGATCTGAATCTCGGGCTCTGGCGCCAGAGGCTTCGCTCTGACCGTCACTTGCGGCAATTCTGTCTCGCTCTGCCGCCGTCCTCCCGCTTGCACGTCTTCGACAAATCACAATCAATTCTGATGTACGCGACGGAATCTACTACCAGCCGTCTGCATCACCGATAGGGTCCTCCGCAAGCTCACCCTGCGCTACCCGTCTGCCGCCCGCCTCCGCCTCAACTTCCTCGATCTCGGTGTCCATGCGCGCATCGACGGCTTCGTGAACATAGAGCGGCGTGATTGCGCCTCGGTGGCGGCAACGGCGCGGCTTCCCGGACGCCGTCAGCGGGTTTCTGTGGCTCTTGAGGTCGCACCGGCAGGCCCGCTGTCGAACGGTGCGCGGTTTGAGTCGGCGATCTCGTCGGGTGAACTGACGTGCATGAAGGTGAGGGTCCCCTTGCTCCAGAGCTGGAGCAGCTCCTCGACGGGACGGCGACCGCCCTTGAGATTGCTCAGGTTCGTGAAGGGAGTCGACGGCGGCCAGCCGACGAGTTTGTAGTGGAGCCGGCGCACGACGTGCTCCCAAAAGTCGTGCTCGTTGTAGCGCATACGCACGCGGGGATTCTTCGTGATCTCTCCTGGAGACACGCAGGTCAGTCGCGCAAACGAATTGGCAGGGACTCGCACATACGCAGCCCTTCGGTAAGGACGGAGCGCAAGAGCCCCCTCCTCTCGGAGAGTGTGGAGGAATAACGAGGCTTTCGGCGAGACGAGTCGACTGGACAGACGAGAACGACGCGTCTAGCCATCGCGGATGTGCACGTATGGTGAGTGACCGAGCTTGCGAGTTTGGGCGAGGGTGAACGGGCCGTCTGTCCGTGCTGTTTTATACCCCGGTGCGCATATAGCTACTTTCGCAGCCCGGGCAGCTCCGCAGAGCCCGTTGCCGTAGAGCTCGGGAGAGCGTGGACAAGGGTCCAACCGGCGCGTCCTTGAGTCGGACGTCCCCCGATCAGCAGTGCGAGTCGTGAGCTTGCCGGTCTGACCAAGCCGACGGCTACTCTGTGCTCCCATTTGTTGGCAGGATGCCTTTTTTGAGCCTGCGCGAGTCCCGCCTGTCTTCGCCGCCTGTCCTGTCCACCGTCCCTCAGGCTTGCTGACAACACTAGGGCCGCTTGGGAAAGCTACGTCTTACCCCGCCGTAGCCTGTGCTGTACCCAGAGTCGGTGTAATTCGCGATTCAGCTCTGCACGACACCGTCTGTGAGCAGGCCCAGGAGCGAACCCTGACGCCGTGCAACCCTGATCGGTTGTACTCGTGCATGGTACTGTTCGGCGTCGGGCTGGCGTCGCCAGAGACAGCCGCGTCTCAGCCTCCGGGACTCGCGTGAGGCGAAGCAGGCAGGCAGCGGGCTGCAGACAAATTCACTGACGAAGCGGACAGGCTTCGATGGCCCGTGTAAGCGGTGGCGTCGTGTCTCAATTGTTTTCAGTTTAAGCAGCAGTAGCTCATTGTCGGGACTCGGAGCAGAATGTGTATGTCTACGGGGATGACTGTTTGTACGGCCACGTCAGACCGCCGACCTGCGACGCAGAGTGGTGGTCTAACCAGTCAACTTGACTTGGATGTGAGGGCCCATTCCTAGTGACGGAAGGGCTATCGACACTGAGGACGGCCGCAATGGCGACGTACTGACGAAACGGGCAGAGCATCTCGTGTTACTCGGAATGGCCCTGGAGACAGACGGCGTCCCTTGCTGTCGCTCGCCGGCTTTGCAGACAGACCGAGAAACCTACAGACTCGTTCTATTGCCCTACACCATGCATGCACCGTCTACGGTGCATTCGATGTCTGTCGGGACGCAATAATCCCTACACCAGTATCGGAGGCACGTCGGTGTCCCGCCATCATTCAGGGTACGCCGTTTGCTTGATGCTTTACATCAGTCTGACACTTGGCGAACTCATCGTATCTGGAAGTTCCCGATGGGCCGACCGGCAGGTTGCAGCGCGTCCAGGCTCAGTGACATTCCCATGTACTGAGACTGTAAGCGAGGAGAGCCGACGGAAACCGGGGTGAGCGGGTCAGTACATTTCTGATAACAGTGACATTCCTCAGTACTAATGTTTGTTTGATAGTTCGCAATGTCGCACAAGAACCCGGCGCGCAATGCCCACGCGAGCGCACCCTCGACCAGAAGCGGGTACTACGACGCGAATGCAACAGTACAATGGTTTGGAAATGATTACAGGCTGCCGCTGCTGATGCGTAAGCCAATCGTCACGACGGAATACAGCTTTCAGTTCCGCCCAGGGTTGTAGTGGAGAATGCACGGCGGTATCCAAAGGATGAGTCTGTGAGTTTCCACGATGATTTACTCCGTTTTGGCTACTTACACATCAACTGGAAGTACACGCGGCAAACGGGATATGGCGGTATTCAGCTCTCCGCTTCCCGGAATGGCCGTCTCTGGAGCCGGGAGAACTTCCGCCACCTCGCAATGCACAGCCTCCGAATGTCACTGAAAATGCGGCCATGTAACCGTGTGAAATCGATCCGTACACGGCCTGTCAGCGCCAAAGCCACTGTTGTCAAGAGACGACGCGTGGATCGAATGGCGACTCGGAGGCGCAGATCAACTCAGTACTACTCCTTCCAGTAGAAGAACGTTGCGAAGACACAATCCGCTGCACGTCCAAGTCCGTACTATGTCCCTCTCAATTCCTTCTCGGTACTGTATCACTCAGCTATGAGGCTTCAAGTTTCCCCAGCAACCGCTTGCTCATTGTCGATTCCGCAGGCCTTGTACGGCGGACGCAACATGCTGACTGACATTCCAGAAGACTCTGACCTTGGCACTGTGATTGTGGGTGATCGAGCGACGGCGCTCGATGACCCTTCGCTTCGAATCTCGCCACGGCTTGCTTCGTCTCGGTGGCTACAGGAGAGGGTCTCTTCTCCCCGGAACAATGTCTCGTCGCAAGCCATCCGCGCTCAGGGACATCACCCGCTCGGTTGGTAGCGACTTCGCTTGGGCGTGAGCTGGCGAGCATCACGACGTCACTCCGACTCGCACGACTCGCGCAGAAGAAAAAGGAGGCGGTGGGGAGAGCAGCAGAGGCATGGTCTTGTACCGCCTCTCCTGCTCGTCGTACGTCGCCGTCCAGTCCTCGAGGAGTCCGACGCTGTCAATGTTGTTGGTACCGCACGGTCGATGGTGCGTATGTTGTGTAGGCCGTACAGTCCTACGCTGATGTCACTCACAGCGACCGCGTGACAATGTAACCCAGACGCACACGTACTGCCGTCCTCAAAGTACGTACAACGTCGAACACACCGACGTCAGCTTGCCCAACTTCGCACTGACCCGATTCGTTGCGCGGCAGGGTGCGCGACTGGGATCCTGCTCGTGCCAGCCAATCGAACTTCAAGCTCGGAGAGGACGGGCACCATTCCCTTCATGAAATTCTGATGACACCTACTGAGGATCTCGAGCGACTCTCTCGCCACGCCTTCATGTAGGTCGCGGTGTACTACATCGACGAGGGACTTGATGACATGACCTCTCAGGAACCGTTTGAGCATGCTGACGGCCGACTACGAGGAATGTAGACAAAGGTAATGCGTACCAGTCGGAACGGAGAAACACTGATCATATCATTGTGGATAACCATGTCTTTCATGCAGCTTATCCGTGACATCTGACTGCGTAATGAGGTCTGTATCGTGGCATCACAGTTCATCCTATAGCCCTCCCAAATTTACAGTGATGCCCACGTGAAACACGTCGTCAGAGTGAGCGGAACTGATGTCGCGTCGGGCAGTCGGACAGTAGGCGAGGTTGAAGAAACAAAGACAATCGTCGAGTTCTGACCCCGGCTTCCACGCGGGTGCTATCGGCCGTTCGATCGCAGCTTCATGTCTGCGTTTGTTCCCTTGACCGGACACCGCGGAATGTCCTTCCGAGATGTACAGTGAGTCGCCAGAGCCACCATCACTCCCGCAGCTTGATCAGTCTGTCGAACAGTCTCACACCTACGTGATGCCGTACCGCAGTCGGAACGAGTATTGGTATCGCGCGTGCGGCGTTGTCAGGTGGGTCGATCGCTCCATAGGATCTGCGGAACGGGTTCATATGCACATGTATACACTGTCGTCGCACATCTGGTGTATTCTCCCGCACAGTAGATAGTAAATCGATCGAGCCATTGATTGCCCGCGAGACGAGCTCACTCGCATTCATAGTCGTCTCTGCTCGCTAGCATCCCAATCATGTATTAGATACGCGGCTTGTTGTGAGCCGACCTAGCCATTACATTGTCCTGTCTACTAGATATATACCTGAATAGCACGAGATTCCCGCCCATCTACGTCTTCCGGTGTAACAACCTCCTCTTCGTTGCGAGTACCACGTCCGTCGTTGCCGAGGATGCATGTGCGCATGACGAACGGCAGGCTACGAGCTCCTACCCTCAGCATGAGCAGACTGAGTTCGTCCGTCGGCACAAGCCTACTGCCGAGAGACCCCTACACTGTCGTCGCACATCCATTCGTGCATCATTCTCGGCCTGTCGTAGCGAGTCGACCAAGCCATTACATCGTCCGTCCGAGCGACGGCCGGGAGCCTTGTTGGACCACGTTCTCGTTCGCCGGACCCGGGATAACTGAAGTTTGAAGCCTGAGACTCGAGTCAGCACAAGCTGAAGCTGCTCCATCTGACTCACGGAATTAGCCTTCGCCTTCACGCCAACCACCCGTGGCTGTGGAATCGCCTACGTGCGGCGGATAGAGCAGGTAAGAGATTTCGGGACTGTATCTGCTCGTACTGCGCCTGGCATGAGGCACACCCGATCAGACCAGTCAATGAAACAGAAGATCGCACACTTACTGGCGAAGAAGTATAGCGGCCGTGCGTCGGAGCGGTGCGAGGCCAGTAGAACTTGGAATGGTGTATCCCTGGCATGGCGGCGTAGCAACTCGCTGCACAGGAGCTGCGCCGCCATGCAACGAGTACTGCAGAGCATGCGCGGTGAACTGACATCCGTTGACGATTCGCTCGTCCAGCACCCGGTGCGAGTAACACCATTCACCAAGCAAAAACGCTGTCGTCGCGGAAGCGGGAGGCGATGGTGAATCCTCTCGGAGCTGGATCGTATATCAAGACTCGATTTCGAGGAAAATCACTTCAAGTGACAGACCCGTCTCGGTGCAGTACAGCGTTCAGTGCAGAGATACGGGCACTCTGGGTCCTGCCTGTCATAACGCCGCGAATCAACAGAGACCCTCGAAACACACCTGACGACTCACCACGAACATCGCACGACACAAGTCCGAATACACACCTTCACTCACTGCCCCTCGGCTTCCCCCCAACCACCTTCCAAAAGATCCGCAAGACCAAGGTCCTCGGCAACCACACGAGCACCTTATACAACGCCGCCGGCGGCGCGACCATCACGGCCCTATACGGCCCGACCGCCCAGCCCTCCCGCAGCGCCTCCCGCACGACGCTGCGCGCGAACTGCTCGCACGACATGCCGCGTACGCTCGCGCTCGCCAAGACGCGCGCGAGGATGGGCGTCACGGTAGCCCGCCCAGAGGCTCTCGGGCAGGAGCGGCACGCGCGGCGCGCCGTTCGCGGAGATGAGGGAGCGCACGGCGCCCGGGGAGTAGTGCAGGACGTGCAGCCGAGCGGGCGGAGCTCCATGGAGAGCGTCTGGGAGAAGGAGGCGACGGCGGCTTTGGAGGCGAGTAGGGCCCGGACCAGGGCGTCGGGCTGGAGAGGAAGTGAGTTGGGTGCGGAGGAGGAAAAGACGGAACGCACATCTCGCCGACGATGGAGCCTATGTTCACGATGAGCCCCCGCTTGCGCGCGGCCATGTGGGGCACGGCGGCTTTGCAGACGCGGATGATGGAGAGGGTGTCGTGTCGAAGACGGCGGCGATGTCCTCGATCGAGTTGTCCAGCGTTGGGCCTACGCCATGTGTGCTCAGGATCACTTACGCCCCGAGCTGGACCGAATGCGCGTACGTACCGTGGCACATGGAGCCTGCGTTGTTGACGACGATGTCGATGCGCCCTTTCGCGCTCGATGATGGTCGCGACGACCGCGTCTACGTTCGCGTCGTTGGTCACATCGAGGGCAAGGCGCCCGATGTCGGGGTGCAAGCCCTCCATGGCTTCAAGCCTACGCGCGGTGGCGTAGACATTGCATCCCTTCGCGGCGAACTCCTCGCATCTGTATTATTGCGATGACTTGTCAGTACCTAAACTGCTGAGGCACCATCTTGAGGCGACACGTAGGGCGTCTGAACCGCTTTCGTCGTTCGGAACCTTGACCAACACCAGAACTGCAAACACCAGAGAGGTCATATTGCACTGGAGTAGAAACGCCGCCACAGTCGTGTGTTCTGCTTTGGCAGACATGAGGCAGAGTCGAACCGCCATTTGCCGGTCAAGCAGAACCGCACTCTTACCGCCGTGCACAAGCATCTCGCTCGGAACTGAAGGTCTGTCTGGATGAACGTACCACACGTCCACACACTGCGACGGAGACACTCACAGAGCGAAACCGATGCCTCCCCTGCTGCACCCTGTGACGAGGACGACCTTTGCGTTGTGAGACATGACGACAATCGAGACGCAGCACTGGCAGTCACCAGGCAGGCAAATAGATCAGGTAGAGTCGGCGGTGAGGTGAAGAAGAGGTGCGGATAGGAAGCAAGATGCTTCTGGGTGTGATTCGCGCGCACTTATGTACGCGATTGGAGCGGGCTGGTGGTCCGTCAGACCATTGAGCGCAGCAGGACAGCGGCGATCAAGGTGCGTCGCAGGATGGATGTTGCAGAACGTGTGGAGGATGTGAGAGGTCGAGCGGGCGACACGTGGGGAAGACGTGGTGTGTACGCGTTGTTTGTGCGCACGGCGAAGCGAAGCGGGAGCTGTGCGTGGCTTCGCAACTCATCTGTGTTCAAATCCCAACCCACGGGCCACGTCTGCTCGCATCCCCGATGGCCAGGAACGAAGCGTTTGCACATCGCTGACGCACACGCATCCCCCGGCAACTCAGCGACGTGCGGTGACAGGTGGCAGGGAAGCGCGGCTGACGTCACGGCGCGTCGCACTCCGGTGGACGCGCCGTCCTCTGCCTGTGCAGAGTCTCGCGCACACTGTCCGAGCAGAATCGCAGAGATAGGCTCAGTTTCGGGACACAGAGGGAGTCGCAGGGCTGCCGGACACACAGGCACGCCGGGATCGCGGGACATGCACCCCGTTCCCGGACAGCACTCTGTCGACGCAGCTACCGCGTCCTTCGTACTCAAAGCGTCGCATCGTACACTACTGGCTGCCTGTAAGTACCTCGTCCTACACTCGAACTACGCCATCCCGCTCTCCAGACTCCATCCCACCCCGGCCGTCCTCTCGACCGCCTGAATGTCAGTCGCTACGAACATGGAAACCCCTTCTCCCCGAGAGCAGTACATCCCGTTTGTCGTCTCCGTCTCGCCCAGAACACGATCCGCCGTGTCTCCGACCCCCCCGCGAACGCATTTCCCTCGATGCCCTCACACATCGCCACCTCGCTTGATTTCGCCAACGATGGCAGACCCGTCGCTGGCCCCCGTCGCATGACCGAACGGCAAGCCTGTCCACCGAGCTCCAGGACCACACGTCCGCCCCAAATCGGACGTCAATTCTGTCAACGAGCAGGAATCTGTCACGTGCGCGGGAGCTACTTCCACCGTCCGTGCACAACCTGCTTACCTTGCTTCGCTCACTCCAGGACACAGGCTCCCGTTCCATGCCCCGGTTGGACGGACAACCTCGCTGGCAGACCGCGTCCGAGAACGGGCACGGGGACGAGACGACTGCCACACGGACGCTGGCGGTACGCGACCAGAGTGTGGCGCGTCAAGTCCAGGAGTACGGCCTGTCAAACGGAGATGATGGGTGCACGCGCTCGCCGGATTCCGACGGACCGAGCCGTCATCTACAGGCTGGAGGTGCACCGTCGATATTCCGGCGTGTGTGCGTCGACCAAGTCCACGACTCACTCGGGCTTGTCTTGCAAAACCGCAGCCTCGGACGAGTACTACGATGAGTGCAAGCCCCGGACATCGACGCACCGAACCCTCGTCTGCTAGCTGGACATAGTCTGCGAGCAGTCCGGCGGGAGGGCTGCGTTCCGGTGTGCTTGTCCCCCGGAGGGGAGACCACGCGTCGAGAGAACACGTCGCGCGAAGGACTAGCGTGTCCGCTCTAGGTACGTAGCCTCAGTGCGCATGGACTTGACGCTCCGGGTCTGGGAAAAAAAAAAGTGCGAAACCGCCGGGCGAGAATTACCGGCGGGAGAAATAGACTGATGGCCCACTTCTGCACTGGCTCGACGTGTCCGAGCGCGAGGATGTCGTCTCTTGACTGTCCGGGTGGTATGCGAAGCACGGCACGTCGTGTCGTCTCCAGGTGCGAGCCGTCCGGCGGAAGGTAGGCATCCGAGAGCGCTGTCCAGCGTAGGCCATGGAGACTCGAGTCTTGTCGCGGGCGTCGGGTGCTCTGTGTGTCGTAGACAATGAGACCGGGCGAACGCCAAAGATCGTTCACGCCGCCTCAATGAGGCAGTCGGAGGTCATCTTGACGGTCCGTGCGAGCCGGCCCGTTGCGATCTTCCGCGATCATTCAGAGGCTTCCGCGAACGCAAGTTACCTGTCCGACCCGTTAGAGTGCTTCCGAATATGCCGCGAAGTGAATGCGGACTCACCGACTGGACCGTGATCGCGTGCAATCACCGGTATCTGTCTGAACAGTAGTATCCATCTTGTTCCGCCCCTCCAGAGTCCAACGACCACGCCAGTGCACGAGACCGACGTGTACGTTCCCAGCACGTCGGTACGAGTCCGGCGTGGAACATCGAATGTGCGTGTCGAGATGACGGATGCATGCTGAGAGGTAGGTTTGAGTTGATGAGCGAGTTGAATGTAGTTCCGGCTTACCAGCTGGCCTGCAGTGCATGCAGGGGCAAAGTCTTTAGACTTGCCTAGCTGCTTCGTTGTATTGTTGGCCTTGAGGTTACTTGCATCATCGCGCGGGCCTGGGTCTGTCAGAGAGCTTCACATACACGAGAGAGCCAGGAAACTACTGTTCAGTGGTTCTTGAGTGAGGGATGAGATATGGCATGATGGGTATGAAGTGAGGACGAGACGGAAGAGTCCTCTGACAACTCCCATAGAAAATAAAATATGGCATGTTCCGGATCCTGGCAAATTCCGAAACAATGTCTGATGGCAGTGATTGGCTGCTACTCCAAAGTTCCGGTCTCACCAAGACTTCTCTGACAGCGGATCAAGACGCTTACGCTCACAATGACTCATCATGTACTTGGGCTTCATCCTCACTGGCAGGTGTGTACACCCTCTGTCCGTGGCTTCTCAACTCAAGCATTGGGAACCTGGTCTGTACAAGACAGGTTTACTTCAAACAGTGCCTGCTCTTTGAGATAGAGCCTGTCCTGTACAGCACACATTCCCAGGTGTTGGAACAAAATTCGGAATCTGTTCATCTTCCCTTGGCCCTTGACGGAGCACACTATGAGAAAGTCATCTCACAATGTGCATTGCCTCAAACACGTTTTGCAGACACCTTCATCTACTCGAACAAGGAGATCTTCCTTTGGAGATCATCTCGAACGCCTCCGATGCAACCTCGTTTATGCGATCAACCGCGGGCTGGAAGTCTGTCTCGATCATGCAGATTACCTCAGCATTCCTACAGCAAAATGTCCAAGGCTTGCGGCGACTGCACGTATGAACTATGCATATGTCAGTTACTCGCGCACGTACGATTGTTTACCTAGGATGATGTGCGCGCGCAGAGCTGAGATTGTGGCGAGGAGGAGGCACCTGCCCAATCCGGGCTTCTACCGAGCGCCCAAGTCGCCGCGTCGCGTCGATCTGAATCTCGGGCTCTGGCGCCAGAGGCTTCGCTCTGACCGTCACTTGCGGCAATTCTGTCTCGCTCTGCCGCCGTCCTCCCGCTTGCACGTCTTCGACAAATCACAATCATTCCTGATGTACGCGACGGAATCTACTACCAGCCGTCTCATCACCGATAGGTCCTCCGCAAGCTCACCCTGCGCTACCCGTCTGCCGCCCGCCTCCGCCTCAACTTCCTCGATCTCGTGTCCATGCGCGCATCGACGGCTTCGTGAACATAGAGCGGCGTGATTGCGCCTCGGTGGCGGCAACGGCGCGGCTTCCCGACGCCGTCAGCGGGTTTCTGTGGCTCTTGAGGTCGCACCGGCAGGCCCGCTGTCGAAACGGTGCGCGGTTGAGGTCGGCGATCTCGTCGGGTGAACTGACGTGCATGAAGGTGAGGGTCCCCTGCTCCAGAGCTGGAGCGCTCCTCGACGGACGGCGACCGCCCTTGAGATTGCTCAGTTCGTGAAGGGAGTCGACGGCGCCAGCCGACGAGTTTGTAGTGGAGCCGGCGCACGACGTGCTCCCAAAAGTCGTGCTCGTTGTAGCGCATACGCACGCGGGATTCTTCGTGATCTCTCCTGGAGACACGCAGGTCAGTCGCGCAAACGAATTGGCAGGGACTCGCACATACGCAGCCCTTCGGTAAGGACGGAGCGCAAGAGCCCCCTCCTCTCGGAGTGTGGAGAATAACGAGGCTTTCGGCGAGACGAGTCGACTGGACAGACCGAGAACGACGCGTCTAGCCATCGCGGATGTGCACGTATGTGATGACCGAGCTTGCGAGTTTGGGCGAGGGTGAACGGGCCGTCTGTCCGTGCTGTTTTATACCCCGGTGCGCATATAGCTACTTTCGCAGCCCGGGCAGCTCCGCAGAGCCCGTTGCCGTAGAGCTCGGGAAGCGTGGACAAGGTCCAACCGGCGCGTCCTTGAGTCGGACGTCCCCCGATCAGCAGTGCGAGTCGTGAGCTTGCCGGTCTGACCAAGCCGACGGCTACTCTGTGCTCCCATTTGTTGGCAGGATGCCTTTTTGAGCCTGCGCGAGTCCCGCCTGTCTTCGCCGCCTGTCCTGTCCACCGTCCTCAGGCTTGCTGACAACACTAGGGCCGCTTGGGAAAGCTACGTCTTACCCCGCCGTAGCCTGTGCTGTACCCAGAGTCGGTGTAATTCGCGATTCAGCTCTGCACGACACCGTCTGTGAGCAGGCCCAGGAGCGAACCCTGACGCCGTGCAACCCTGATCGGTTGTACTCGTGCATGGTACTGTTCGGCGTCGGGCTGGCGTCGCCAGAGACAGCCGCGTCTCAGCCTCCGGGACTCGCGTGAGGCGAAGCAGGCAGGCAGCGGGCTGCAGACAAATTCACTGACGAAGCGGACAGGCTTCGATGGCCCGTGTAAGCGGTGGCGTCGTGTCTCAATTGTTTTCAGTTTAAGCAGCAGTAGCTCATTGTCGGGACTCGGAGCAGAATGTGTATGTCTACGGGGATGACTGTTTGTACGGCCACGTCAGACCGCCGACCTGCGACGCAGAGTGGTGGTCTAACCAGTCAACTTGACTTGGATGTGAGGGCCCATTCCTAGTGACGGAAGGGCTATCGACACTGAGGACGGCCGCAATGGGCGACGTACTGACGAAACGGGCAGAGCATCTCGTGTTACTCGGAATGGCCCTGGAGACAGACGGCGTCCTTGCTGTCGCTCGCCGGCTTTGCAGACAGACCGAGAAACCTACAGACTCGTTCTATTGCCCTACACCATGCATGCACCGTCTACGGGTGCATTCGATGTCTGTCGGGACGCAATAATCCTACACCAGTATCGGAGGCACGTCGGTGTCCCGCCATCATTCAGGGTACGCCGTTTGCTTGATGCTTTACATCAGTCTGACACTTGGCGAACTCATCGTATTCTGGAAGTTTCCCGATGGGCCGACCGGCAGGTTGCAGCGCGTCCAGGCTCAGTGACATTCCCATGTACTGAGACTGTAAGCGAGGAGAGCCGACGGAAACCGGGGTGAGCGGGTCAGTACATTTCTGATAACAGTGACATTCCTCAGTACTAATGTTTGTTTGAATAGTTCGCAATGTCGCACAAGAACCCGGCGCGCAAATGCCCACGCGAGCGCACCCTCGACCAGAAAGCGGGTACTACGACGCGAATGCAACAGTACAATGGTTTGGAAATGATTACAGGCTGCCGCTGCTGATGCGTAAGCCAATCGTCACGACGGAATACAGCTTTCAGTTCCGCCCAGGGTTGTAGTGGAGAATGCACGGCGGTATCCAAAGGATGAGTCTGTGAGTTTCCACGATGATTTACTCCGTTTTGGCTACTTACACATCAACTGGAAGTACACGCGGCAAACGGGATATGGCGGTATTCAGCTCTCCGCTTCCCGGAATGGCCGTCTCTGGAGCCGGGAGAACTTCCGCCACCTCGCAATGCACAGCCTCCGAATGTCACTGAAAATGCGGCCATGTAACCGTGTGGAATCGATCCGTACACGGCCTGTCAGCGCCAAGCCACTGTTGTCAAGAGACGACGCGTGGATCGAATGGCGACTCGGAGGCGCAGATCAACTCAGTACTACTCCTTCCAGTAGAAGAACGTTGCGAAGACACAATCCGCTGCACGTCCAAGTCCGTACTATGTCCCTCTCAATTCCTTCTCGGTACTGTATCACTCAGCTATGAGGCTTCAAGTTTCCCCAGCAACCGCTTGCTCATTGTCGATTCCGCAGGCCTTGTACGGCGGACGCAACATGCTGACTGACATTCCAGAAGACTCTGACCTTGGCACTGTGATTGTGGGTGATCGAGCGACGGCGCTCGATGACCCTTCGCTTCGAATCTCGCCACGGCTTGCTTCGTCTCGGTGGCTACAGGAGAGGGTCTCTTCTCCCCGGAACAATGTCTCGTCGCAAGCCATCCGCGCTCAGGGACATCACCCGCTCGGTTGGTAGCGGACTTCGGCTTGGGCCGTGAGCTGGCGAGCATTCACACGTCACTCCGGACTCGCACGATCTCGCGCAGAAGATAAAAGGAGGCGGTGGGAGAGCAGCAGAGGCATGGTCTTGTACCGCCTCTCCTGCTCGTCGTACGTCGCCGTCCAGTCCTCGAGGAGTCCGACGCTGTCAATGTTGTTGGTACCGCACGGTCGATGGTGCGTATGTTGTGTAGGCCGTACAGTCCTACGCTGATGTCACTCACAGCGACCGACGTGACAATGTAACCCAGACGCACACGTAGCTGCCGTCCTCAAAGTACGTACAACGTCGAACACACCGACGTCAGCTTGCCCAACTTCGGCACTGACCCGTATTCGTTGCGCGGCAGGGTGCGCGACTGGGATCCTGCTCGTGGCCAGCCAATCGAACTTCAAGGCTCGGAGAGGACGGGCACCATTCCCTTCATGAAATTCTGATGGACACCTACTGAGGATCTCGAGCGACTCTCTCGCCACGCCTTCATGTAGGTCGCGGTGTACTACATCGACGAGGGACTTGATGACATGACCTCTCAGGAACCGTTTGAGCATGGCTGACGGCCGACTACGAGGAATGTAGACAAAGGTAAGTGTGCGTACCAGTCGGAACGGGAGAAACACTGATCATATCATTGTGGATAACCATGTCTTTCATGCAGCTTATCCGTGACATCTGACTGCGGTAATGAGGTCTGTATCGTGGTCATCACAGTTCATCCTATAGCCCTCCCAAATTTTACAGTGATGCCCACGTGAAACACGTCGTCAGAGTGAGCGGAACTGATGTCGGTCGTCGGGGCAGTCGGACAGTAGGCGAGGTTGAAGAAACAAAGACAATCGTCGAGTTCTGACCCCGGCTTCCACGCGGGTGCTATCGGCCGTTCGATCGCAGGCTTCATGTCTGCGTTTGTTCCCTTGACCGGACACCGCGGAATGTCCTTCCGAGATGTACAGTGAGTCGCCAGAGCCACCATCACTCTCCGCAGCTTGATCAGTCTGTCGAACAGTCTCACACCTACGTGATGCCGTACCGCAGTCGGAACGAGTATTGGTATCGCGCGTGCGGCGTTGTCAGGTGGGTCGATCGCTCCATAGGATCTGCGGAACGGGTTCATATGCACATGTATACACTGTCGTCGCACATCTGGTGTATTCTCCCGCACAGTAGATAGTAAATCGATCGAGCCATTGATTGCCCGCGAGACGAGCTCACTCGCATTCATAGTCGTCTCTGCTCGCTAGCATCCCAATCATGTATTAGATACGCGGCTTGTTGTGAGCCGACCTAGCCATTACATTGTCCTGTCTACTAGATATATACCTGAATAGCACGAGATTCCCGCCCATCTACGTCTTCCGGGTGTAACAACCTCCTCTTCGTTGCGAGTACCACGTCCGTCGTTGCCGAGGATGCATGTGCGCATGACGAACGGCAGGCTACGAGCTCCTACCCTCAGCATGAGCAGACTGAGTTCGTCCGTTCGGCACAAGCCTACTGCCGAGAGACCCCTACACTGTCGTCGCACATCCATTCGTGCATCATTCTCGGCCTGTCGTAGCGAGTCGACCAAGCCATTACATCGTCTCGTCCGAGCGACGGCCGGGAGCCTTGTTGGACCACGTTCTCGTTCGCCGGACCCGGGATAACTGAAGTTTGAAGCCTGAGACTCGAGTCAGCACAAGCTGAAGCTGCTCCATCTGACTCACGGAATTAGCCTTCGCCTTCACGCCAACCACCCGTGGGCTGTGGAATCGCCTACGTGCGGCGGATAGAGCAGGTAAGAGATTTCGGGACTGTATCTGCTCGTACTGCGCCTGGCATGAGGGCACACCCGTATCAGACCAAGTCAATGAAACAGAAGATCGGCACACTTACTGGCGAAGAAGTATAGGCGGCCGTGCGTCGGAGCGGGTGCGAGGCCAGTAGAACTTGGAATGGTGTATCCCTGGCATGTGCGGCGCGTAGCAACTCGCTGCACAGGAGCTGCGCCGCCATGCAACGAGTACTGCAGAGCATGCGCGGTGAACTGACATCCGTTGACGATTCGCTCGTCCAGCACCCGGTGCGAGTAACACCATTCACCAAGCAAAAACGCTGTCGTCGCGGAAGCGGGAGGCGATGGTGAATCCTCTCGGAGCTGGATCGTATATCAAGACTCGATTTCGAGGAAAATCACTTCAAGTGACAGACCCGTCTCGGTGCAGTACAGCGTTCAGTGCAGAGATACGGGCACTCTGGTCCTGCCTGTCATAACGCCGCGAATCAACAGAGACCCTCGAAACACACCTGACGACTCACCACGAACATCGCACGACACAAGTCCGAATACACACCTTCACTCACTGCCCCCTCGGCTTCCCCCAACCACCTTCCAAAAGATCCGCAAGACCAAGGTCCTCGGCAACCACACGAGCACCTTATACAACGCCGCCGGCGGCGCGACCATCACGGCCCTATACGGCCCGACCGCCCAGCCCTCCCGCAGCGCCTCCCGCACGACGCTGCGCGCGAACTGCTCGCACGACATGCCGCGTACGCTCGCGCTCGCCAAGACGCGCGCGAGGATGGCGTCACGGTAGCCCGCCCAGAGGCTCTCGGGCAGGAGCGGCACGCGCGGCGCGCCGTTCGCGGAGATGAGGGAGCGCACGGCGCCCGGGGAGTAGTGCAGGACGTGCAGGCCGAGCGGGCGGAGCTCCATGGAGAGCGTCTGGGAGAAGGAGGCGACGGCGGCTTTGGAGGCGGAGTAGGGCCCGGACCAGGGCGTCGGGCTGGGAGAGGAAGTGAGTTGGGTGCGGAGGAGGAAAAGACGGAACGCACATCTCGCCGACGATGGAGCCTATGTTCACGATGAGCCCCCGCTTGCGCGCGGCCATGTGGGGCACGGCGGCTTTGCAGACGCGGATGATGGAGAGGGTGTTCGTGTCGAAGACGGCGGCGATGTCCTCGATCGAGTTGTCCAGCGTTGGGCCTACGCCATGTGTGCTCAGGATCACTTACGCCCCGAGCTGGACCGAATGCGCGTACGTACCGTGGCACATGGAGCCTGCGTTGTTGACGACGATGTCGATGCGCCCTTCGCGCTCGATGATGGTCGCGACGACCGCGTCTACGTTCGCGTCGTTGGTCACATCGAGGGCAAGGCGCCCGATGTCGGGGTGCAAGCCCTCCATGGCTTCAAGCCTACGCGCGGTGGCGTAGACATTGCATCCCTTCGCGGCGAACTCCTCGCATCTGTATTATTGCGATGACTTGTCAGTACCTAAACTGCTGAGGCACCATCTGTGAGGCGACACGTAGGGCGTCTGAACCGCTTTCGTCGTTCGGAACCTTGACCAACACCAGAACTGCAAAACACCAGAGAGGTCATATTGCACTGGAGTAGAAACGCCGCCACAGTCGTGTGTTCTGCTTTGGCAGACATGAGGCAGAGTCGAACCGCCATTTGCCGGTCAAGCAGAACCGCACTCTTACCGCCGTGCACAAGCATCTCGCTCGGAACTGAAGGTCTGTCTGGATGAAACGTACCACACGTCCACACACTGCGACGGAGACACTCACAGAGCGAAACCGATGCCTCCCCTGCTGCACCCTGTGACGAGGACGACCTTTGCGTTGTGAGACATGACGACAATCGAGACGCAGCACTGGCAGTCACCAGGCAGGCAAATAGATCAGGTAGAGTCGGCGGTGAGGTGAAGAAGAGGTGCGGATAGGAAGCAAGATGCTTCTGGGTGTGATTCGCGCGCACTTATGTACGCGATTGGAGCGGGCTGGTGGTCCGTCAGACCATTGAGCGCAGCAGGACAGCGGCGATCAAGGTGCGTCGCAGGATGGATGTTGCAGAACGTGTGGAGGATGTGAGAGGTCGAGCGGGCGACACGTGGGGAAGACGTGGTGTGTACGCGTTGTTTGTGCGCACGGCGAAGCGAAGCGGGAGCTGTGCGTGGCTTCGCAACTCATCTGTGTTCAAATCCCAACCCACGGGCCACGTCTGCTCGCATCCCCGATGGCCAGGAACGAAGCGTTTGCACATCGCTGACGCACACGCATCCCCGGCAACTCAGCGACGTGCGGTGACAGGTGGCAGGGAAGCGCGGCTGACGTCACGGCGCGTCGCACTCCGGTGGACGCGCCGTCCTCTGCCTGTGCAGAGTCTCGCGCACACTGTCCGAGCAGAATCGCAGAGATAGGCTCAGTTTCGGGACACAGAGGGAGTCGCAGGGCTGCCGGACACACAGGCACGCCGGGATCGCGGGACATGCACCCCGTTCCCGGACAGCACTCTGTCGACGCAGCTACCGCGTCCTTCGTACTCAAGCGTCGCATCGTACACTACTGGCTGCCTGTAAGTACCTCGTCCTACACTCGAACTACGCCATCCCGCTCTCCAGACTCCATCCCACCCCGGCCGTCCTCTCGACCGCCTGAATGTCAGTCGCTACGAACATGGAAACCCCTTCTCCCCGAGAGCAGTACATCCCGTTTGTCGTCTCCGTCTCGCCCAGAACACGATCCGCCGTGTCTCCGACCCCCCCGCGAACGCATTTCCCTCGATGCCTCACACATCGCCACCTCGCTTGATTTCGCCAACGATGGCAGACCCGTCGCTGGCCCCGTCGCATGACCGAACGGCAAGCCTGTCCACCGAGCTCCAGGACCACACGTCCGCCCCAAATCGGACGTCAATTCTGTCAACGAGCAGGAATCTGTCACGTGCGCGGGAGCTACTTCCACCGTCCGTGCACAACCTGCTTACCTTGCTTCGCTCACTCCAGGACACAGGCTCCCGTTCCATGCCCCGGTTGGACGGACAACCTCGCTGGCAGACCGCGTCCGAGAACGGGCACGGGGACGAGACGACTGCCACACGGACGCTGGCGGTACGCGACCAGAGTGTGGCGCGTCAAGTCCAGGAGTACGGCCTGTCAACGGAGATGATGGGTGCACGCGCTCGCCGGATTCCGACGGACCGAGCCGTCATCTACAGGCTGGAGGTGCACCGTCGATATTCCGGCGTGTGTGCGTCGACCAAGTCCACGACTCACTCGGGCTTGTCTTGCAAAACCGCAGCCTCGGACGAGTACTACGATGAGTGCAAGCCCCGGACATCGACGCACCGAACCCTCGTCTGCTAGCTGGACATAGTCTGCGAGCAGTCCGGCGGGAGGGCTGCGTTCCGGTGTGCTTGTCCCCCGGAGGGGAGACCACGCGTCGAGAGAACACGTCGCGCGAAGGACTAGCGTGTCCGCTCTAGGTACGTAGCCTCAGTGCGCATGGACTTGACGCTCCGGGTCTGGGAAAAAAAAAAGTGCGAAACCGCCGGGCGAGAATTACCGGCGGAGAAATAGACTGATGGCCACTTCTGCACTGGCTCGACGTGTCCGAGCGCGGGATGTCGTCTCTTGACTGTCCGGTGGTATGCGAAGCACGGCACGTCGTGTCGTCTCCAGGTGCGAGCCGTCCGGCGGAAGGTAGGCATCCGAGAGCGCTGTCCAGCGTAGGCCATGGAGACTCGAGTCTTGTCGCGGGCGTCGGGTGCTCTGTGTGTCGTAGACAATGAGACCGGGCGAACGCCAAAGATCGTTCACCCGCCTCAATGAGGCAGTCGGAGGTCATCTTGACGGTCCGTGCGAGCCGGCCCGTTGCGATCTTCCGCGATCATTCAGAGGCTTCCGCGAACGCAAGTTACCTGTCCGACCCGTTAGAGTGCTTCCGAATATGCCGCGAAGTGAATGCGGACTCACCGACTGGACCGTGATCGCGTGCAATCACCGCGTATCTGTCTGAACAGTAGTATCCATTCTTGTTCCGCCCCTCCAGAGTCCAACGACCACGCCAGTGCACGAGACCGACGTGTACGTTCCCAGCACGTCGGTACGAGTCCGGCGTGGAACATCGAATGTGCGTGTCGAGATGACGGATGCATGCTGAGAGGTAGGTTGTGAGTGTGATGAGCGAGTTGAATGTAGTGTCCGGGCTTACCAGCTGGGCCTGCAGTGCATGCAGGGGCAAAGTCTTTAGACTTGCCTAGCTGCTTCGTTGTATTGTTGGCCTTTGAGGTTACTTGCATCATCGCGCGGGGCCTTGGGTCTGTCAGAGAGCTTCACATACACGAGAGAGCCAGGAAACTACTGTTCAGTGGTTCTTGAGTGAGGGGATGAGATATGGCATGATGGGTATGAAGTGAGGACGAGACGGAAGAGTCCTCTGACAACTCCCATGAGAAAATAAAATATGGCATGTTCCGGATCCTGGCAAATTCCGAAACAATGTCTGATGGGCAGTGATTGGCTGCTACTCCAAAGTTCCGGTCTCACCAAGACTTCTCTTGACAGCGGATCAAGACGCTTACGCTCACAATGACTCATCATGTACTTGGGCTTCATCCTCACTGGCAGGTGTGTACACCCTCTGTCCGTGGCTTCTCAACTCAAGCATTGGGAACCTGGTCTGTACAAGACAGGTTGTACTTCAAACAGTGCCTGCTCTTGAGATAGAGCCTGTCCTGTACAGCACACATTCCCAGGGTGTTGGAACAAAATTCGGAGATCTGTTCATCTTCCTTGGCCCTTGGACGGAGCACACTATGAGAAGTCATCTCACAATGTGCATTGCCTCAAACACGTTTTTGCAGACACCTTCATCTACTCGAACAAGGAGATCTTCCTTTGGGAGATCATCTCGAACGCCTCCGATGCAACCCTCGTTTATGCGATCAACCGGCGGGCTGGAAGTCTGTCTCGATCATGCAGATTACCTCAGCATTCCTACAGCAAAAATGTTCAAGGCTTGCGGCGACTGCACGTATGAACTAGTGCATATGTCAGTACTCGCGCACGTACGATTGTTTACCTAGGATGAATGTGCGCGCGCAGAGCTGAGGATTGTGGCGAGGAGGAGGCACCTGCCAATCCGGGCTTCTACCGAGCGCCCAAGTCGCCGCGTCGCGTCGATCTGAATCTCGGGCTCTGGCGCCAGAGGCTTCGCTCTGACCGTCACTTGCGGGCAATTCTGTCTCGCTCTGCCGCCGTCCTCCCGCTTGCACGTCTTCGACAAATCACAATCAATTCTGATGTACGCGACGGAATCTACTACCAGCCGTCTGCATCACCGATAGGGTCCTCCGCAAGCTCACCCTGCGCTACCCGTCTGCCGCCCGCCTCCGCCTCAACTTCCTCGATCTCGGTGTCCATGCGCGCATCGACGGCTTCGTGAACATAGAGCGGCGTGATTGCGCCTCGGTGGCGGCAACGGCGCGGCTTCCCGGACGCCGTCAGCGGGTTTCTGTGGCTCTTGAGGTCGCACCGGCAGGCCCGCTGTCGAACGGTGCGCGGTTTGAGGTCGGCGATCTCGTCGGTGAACTGACGTGCATGAAGGTGAGGGTCCCCTTGCTCCAGAGCTGGAGCAGCTCCTCGACGGGACGGCGACCGCCCTTGAGATTGCTCAGGTTCGTGAAGGGAGTCGACGGCGGCCAGCCGACGAGTTTGTAGTGGAGCCGGCGCACGACGTGCTCCCAAAAGTCGTGCTCGTTGTAGCGCATACGCACGCGGGGATTCTTCGTGATCTTCCTGGAGACACGCAGGTCAGTCGCGCAAACGAATTGGCAGGGACTCGCACATACGCAGCCCTTCGGTAAGGACGGAGCGCAAGAGCCCCCTCCTCTCGGAGAGTGTGGAGGAATAACGAGGCTTTCGGCGAGACGAGTCGACTGGACAGACGAGAACGACGCGTCTAGCCATCGCGGATGTGCACGTATGGTGAGTGACCGAGCTTGCGAGTTTGGGCGAGGGTGAACGGGCCGTCTGTCCGTGCTGTTTTATACCCCGGTGCGCATATAGCTACTTTCGCAGCCCGGGCAGCTCCGCAGAGCCCGTTGCCGTAGAGCTCGGGAGAGCGTGGACAAGGGTCCAACCGGCGCGTCCTTGAGTCGGACGTCCCCCGATCAGCAGTGCGAGTCGTGAGCTTGCCGGTCTGACCAAGCCGACGGCTACTCTGTGCTCCCATTTGTTGGCAGGATGCCTTTTTTGAGCCTGCGCGAGTCCCGCCTGTCTTCGCCGCCTGTCCTGTCCACCGTCCCTCAGGCTTGCTGACAACACTAGGGCCGCTTGGGAAAGCTACGTCTTACCCCGCCGTAGCCTGTGCTGTACCCAGAGTCGGTGTAATTCGCGATTCAGCTCTGCACGACACCGTCTGTGAGCAGGCCCAGGAGCGAACCCTGACGCCGTGCAACCCTGATCGGTTGTACTCGTGCATGGTACTGTTCGGCGTCGGGCTGGCGTCGCCAGAGACAGCCGCGTCTCAGCCTCCGGGACTCGCGTGAGGCGAAGCAGGCAGGCAGCGGGCTGCAGACAAATTCACTGACGAAGCGGACAGGCTTCGATGGCCCGTGTAAGCGGTGGCGTCGTGTCTCAATTGTTTTCAGTTTAAGCAGCAGTAGCTCATTGTCGGGACTCGGAGCAGAATGTGTATGTCTACGGGGATGACTGTTTGTACGGCCACGTCAGACCGCCGACCTGCGACGCAGAGTGGTGGTCTAACCAGTCAACTTGACTTGGATGTGAGGGCCCATTCCTAGTGACGGAAGGGCTATCGACACTGAGGACGGCCGCAATGGGCGACGTACTGACGAAACGGGCAGAGCATCTCGTGTTACTCGGAATGGCCCTGGAGACAGACGGCGTCCTTGCTGTCGCTCGCCGGCTTTGCAGACAGACCGAGAAACCTACAGACTCGTTCTATTGCCCTACACCATGCATGCACCGTCTACGGGTGCATTCGATGTCTGTCGGGACGCAATAATCCCTACACCAGTATCGGAGGCACGTCGGTGTCCCGCCATCATTCAGGGTACGCCGTTTGCTTGATGCTTTACATCAGTCTGACACTTGGCGAACTCATCGTATTCTGGAAGTTTCCCGATGGGCCGACCGGCAGGTTGCAGCGCGTCCAGGCTCAGTGACATTCCCATGTACTGAGACTGTAAGCGAGGAGAGCCGACGGAAACCGGGGTGAGCGGGTCAGTACATTTCTGATAACAGTGACATTCCTCAGTACTAATGTTTGTTTGAATAGTTCGCAATGTCGCACAAGAACCCGGCGCGCAAATGCCCACGCGAGCGCACCCTCGACCAGAAAGCGGGTACTACGACGCGAATGCAACAGTACAATGGTTTGGAAATGATTACAGGCTGCCGCTGCTGATGCGTAAGCCAATCGTCACGACGGAATACAGCTTTCAGTTCCGCCCAGGGTTGTAGTGGAGAATGCACGGCGGTATCCAAAGGATGAGTCTGTGAGTTTCCACGATGATTTACTCCGTTTTGGCTACTTACACATCAACTGGAAGTACACGCGGCAAACGGGATATGGCGGTATTCAGCTCTCCGCTTCCCGGAATGGCCGTCTCTGGAGCCGGGAGAACTTCCGCCACCTCGCAATGCACAGCCTCCGAATGTCACTGAAAATGCGGCCATGTAACCGTGTGGAATCGATCCGTACACGGCCTGTCAGCGCCAAGCCACTGTTGTCAAGAGACGACGCGTGGATCGAATGGCGACTCGGAGGCGCAGATCAACTCAGTACTACTCCTTCCAGTAGAAGAACGTTGCGAAGACACAATCCGCTGCACGTCCAAGTCCGTACTATGTCCCTCTCAATTCCTTCTCGGTACTGTATCACTCAGCTATGAGGCTTCAAGTTTCCCCAGCAACCGCTTGCTCATTGTCGATTCCGCAGGCCTTGTACGGCGGACGCAACATGCTGACTGACATTCCAGAAGACTCTGACCTTGGCACTGTGATTGTGGGTGATCGAGCGACGGCGCTCGATGACCCTTCGCTTCGAATCTCGCCACGGCTTGCTTCGTCTCGGTGGCTACAGGAGAGGGTCTCTTCTCCCCGGAACAATGTCTCGTCGCAAGCCATCCGCGCTCAGGGACATCACCCGCTCGGTTGGTAGCGGACTTCGGCTTGGGCCGTGAGCTGGCGAGCATTCACACGTCACTCCGGACTCGCACGATCTCGCGCAGAAGATAAAAGGAGGCGGTGGGGAGAGCAGCAGAGGCATGGTCTTGTACCGCCTCTCCTGCTCGTCGTACGTCGCCGTCCAGTCCTCGAGGAGTCCGACGCTGTCAATGTTGTTGGTACCGCACGGTCGATGGTGCGTATGTTGTGTAGGCCGTACAGTCCTACGCTGATGTCACTCACAGCGACCGACGTGACAATGTAACCCAGACGCACACGTAGCTGCCGTCCTCAAAGTACGTACAACGTCGAACACACCGACGTCAGCTTGCCCAACTTCGGCACTGACCCGTATTCGTTGCGCGGCAGGGTGCGCGACTGGGATCCTGCTCGTGGCCAGCCAATCGAACTTCAAGGCTCGGAGAGGACGGGCACCATTCCCTTCATGAAATTCTGATGGACACCTACTGAGGATCTCGAGCGACTCTCTCGCCACGCCTTCATGTAGGTCGCGGTGTACTACATCGACGAGGGACTTGATGACATGACCTCTCAGGAACCGTTTGAGCATGGCTGACGGCCGACTACGAGGAATGTAGACAAAGGTAAGTGTGCGTACCAGTCGGAACGGGAGAAACACTGATCATATCATTGTGGATAACCATGTCTTTCATGCAGCTTATCCGTGACATCTGACTGCGGTAATGAGGTCTGTATCGTGGTCATCACAGTTCATCCTATAGCCCTCCCAAATTTTACAGTGATGCCCACGTGAAACACGTCGTCAGAGTGAGCGGAACTGATGTCGGTCGTCGGGGGCAGTCGGACAGTAGGCGAGGTTGAAGAAACAAAGACAATCGTCGAGTTCTGACCCCGGCTTCCACGCGGGTGCTATCGGCCGTTCGATCGCAGGCTTCATGTCTGCGTTTGTTCCCTTGACCGGACACCGCGGAATGTCCTTCCGAGATGTACAGTGAGTCGCCAGAGCCACCATCACTCTCCGCAGCTTGATCAGTCTGTCGAACAGTCTCACACCTACGTGATGCCGTACCGCAGTCGGAACGAGTATTGGTATCGCGCGTGCGGCGTTGTCAGGTGGGTCGATCGCTCCATAGGATCTGCGGAACGGGTTCATATGCACATGTATACACTGTCGTCGCACATCTGGTGTATTCTCCCGCACAGTAGATAGTAAATCGATCGAGCCATTGATTGCCCGCGAGACGAGCTCACTCGCATTCATAGTCGTCTCTGCTCGCTAGCATCCCAATCATGTATTAGATACGCGGCTTGTTGTGAGCCGACCTAGCCATTACATTGTCCTGTCTACTAGATATATACCTGAATAGCACGAGATTCCCGCCCATCTACGTCTTCCGGGTGTAACAACCTCCTCTTCGTTGCGAGTACCACGTCCGTCGTTGCCGAGGATGCATGTGCGCATGACGAACGGCAGGCTACGAGCTCCTACCCTCAGCATGAGCAGACTGAGTTCGTCCGTTCGGCACAAGCCTACTGCCGAGAGACCCCTACACTGTCGTCGCACATCCATTCGTGCATCATTCTCGGCCTGTCGTAGCGAGTCGACCAAGCCATTACATCGTCTCGTCCGAGCGACGGCCGGGAGCCTTGTTGGACCACGTTCTCGTTCGCCGGACCCGGGATAACTGAAGTTTGAAGCCTGAGACTCGAGTCAGCACAAGCTGAAGCTGCTCCATCTGACTCACGGAATTAGCCTTCGCCTTCACGCCAACCACCCGTGGGCTGTGGAATCGCCTACGTGCGGCGGATAGAGCAGGTAAGAGATTTCGGGACTGTATCTGCTCGTACTGCGCCTGGCATGAGGGCACACCCGTATCAGACCAAGTCAATGAAACAGAAGATCGGCACACTTACTGGCGAAGAAGTATAGGCGGCCGTGCGTCGGAGCGGGTGCGAGGCCAGTAGAACTTGGAATGGTGTATCCCTGGCATGTGCGGCGCGTAGCAACTCGCTGCACAGGAGCTGCGCCGCCATGCAACGAGTACTGCAGAGCATGCGCGGTGAACTGACATCCGTTGACGATTCGCTCGTCCAGCACCCGGTGCGAGTAACACCATTCACCAAGCAAAAACGCTGTCGTCGCGGAAGCGGGAGGCGATGGTGAATCCTCTCGGAGCTGGATCGTATATCAAGACTCGATTTCGAGGAAAATCACTTCAAGTGACAGACCCGTCTCGGTGCAGTACAGCGTTCAGTGCAGAGATACGGGCACTCTGGGTCCTGCCTGTCATAACGCCGCGAATCAACAGAGACCCTCGAAACACACCTGACGACTCACCACGAACATCGCACGACACAAGTCCGAATACACACCTTCACTCACTGCCCCCTCGGCTTCCCCCCAACCACCTTCCAAAAGATCCGCAAGACCAAGGTCCTCGGCAACCACACGAGCACCTTATACAACGCCGCCGGCGGCGCGACCATCACGGCCCTATACGGCCCGACCGCCCAGCCCTCCCGCAGCGCCTCCCGCACGACGCTGCGCGCGAACTGCTCGCACGACATGCCGCGTACGCTCGCGCTCGCCAAGACGCGCGCGAGGATGGCGTCACGGTAGCCCGCCCAGAGGCTCTCGGGCAGGAGCGGCACGCGCGGCGCGCCGTTCGCGGAGATGAGGGAGCGCACGGCGCCCGGGGAGTAGTGCAGGACGTGCAGGCCGAGCGGGCGGAGCTCCATGGAGAGCGTCTGGGAGAAGGAGGCGACGGCGGCTTTGGAGGCGGAGTAGGGCCCGGACCAGGGCGTCGGGCTGGGAGAGGAAGTGAGTTGGGTGCGGAGGAGGAAAAGACGGAACGCACATCTCGCCGACGATGGAGCCTATGTTCACGATGAGCCCCCGCTTGCGCGCGGCCATGTGGGGCACGGCGGCTTTGCAGACGCGGATGATGGAGAGGGTGTTCGTGTCGAAGACGGCGGCGATGTCCTCGATCGAGTTGTCCAGCGTTGGGCCTACGCCATGTGTGCTCAGGATCACTTACGCCCCGAGCTGGACCGAATGCGCGTACGTACCGTGGCACATGGAGCCTGCGTTGTTGACGACGATGTCGATGCGCCCTTCGCGCTCGATGATGGTCGCGACGACCGCGTCTACGTTCGCGTCGTTGGTCACATCGAGGGCAAGGCGCCCGATGTCGGGGTGCAAGCCCTCCATGGCTTCAAGCCTACGCGCGGTGGCGTAGACATTGCATCCCTTCGCGGCGAACTCCTCGCATCTGTATTATTGCGATGACTTGTCAGTACCTAAACTGCTGAGGCACCATCTGTGAGGCGACACGTAGGGCGTCTGAACCGCTTTCGTCGTTCGGAACCTTGACCAACACCAGAACTGCAAAACACCAGAGAGGTCATATTGCACTGGAGTAGAAACGCCGCCACAGTCGTGTGTTCTGCTTTGGCAGACATGAGGCAGAGTCGAACCGCCATTTGCCGGTCAAGCAGAACCGCACTCTTACCGCCGTGCACAAGCATCTCGCTCGGAACTGAAGGTCTGTCTGGATGAAACGTACCACACGTCCACACACTGCGACGGAGACACTCACAGAGCGAAACCGATGCCTCCCCTGCTGCACCCTGTGACGAGGACGACCTTTGCGTTGTGAGACATGACGACAATCGAGACGCAGCACTGGCAGTCACCAGGCAGGCAAATAGATCAGGTAGAGTCGGCGGTGAGGTGAAGAAGAGGTGCGGATAGGAAGCAAGATGCTTCTGGGTGTGATTCGCGCGCACTTATGTACGCGATTGGAGCGGGCTGGTGGTCCGTCAGACCATTGAGCGCAGCAGGACAGCGGCGATCAAGGTGCGTCGCAGGATGGATGTTGCAGAACGTGTGGAGGATGTGAGAGGTCGAGCGGGCGACACGTGGGGAAGACGTGGTGTGTACGCGTTGTTTGTGCGCACGGCGAAGCGAAGCGGGAGCTGTGCGTGGCTTCGCAACTCATCTGTGTTCAAATCCCAACCCACGGGCCACGTCTGCTCGCATCCCCTCGCCCCTCCCCCGCTGTGTGCATCCCAGAGCCGTTGCAAGAGTGCGCCACCGCGTCGCGCGCGTGTTTATCCGTTGCTGTTGCCGCCACACCCGCCTTTTTGCCATTCCGGCTCCGATCGTGTCCCTCGGCCAGGGGTCTCTTGCCTTGAGCGTTGTCTACGCGACTCCCACCCCTGCTCCATCCCCCACTCCGGAGTGATCTCACTCTTTCTTCACTCAGCACTTATATCTGCTCTCCAGCCCACCCTTCCTCCTCCACTTCGCCACGACCCACCTCCCGCCATGGCCACTTTCTACTCTTCTTTCTTCTCCTCCGGCCTCCTCGCCCCCATGCCCCACGAGATTTCCGGCTCGTCCCCAACAACACCCCGCGCGTCGCAGTCTAACCTCCCAGGCGCACTCCAGGTCGACACCACGCCGACTGCCAATGACTTTGCCCCTGCTCTGCGTTCCGCCAACGACATCCTGCCTTCGCGCCCGCGCTCCGACTCCCAGGGCAGCTCCCGACCCAGCCTTCGCAGGCGCCGCTCATCCATCACCGTCGGCGCGTCGCCAGTGACCCCCATGAAGAGCAACGCCGCCCCTCGTGGAGCGCGCAATTCCTTCATGGCTGCCCGTGCCCGCTCTGGGAGCGAGTCCCGTTCCCAGGATAACACAGAAGGCACCACCGCCGCAGGGCGCATGCGCAGCGGCAGTCTCGGTGGCCAGATGATTCGGTGAGTCCCCTAGTGTGGCCCTCCTCCGAACCTACCTGAACCGTCTTGCCTCCCCTCGCAGCAACGCCCGCCGCATGTCCCGCAAGCCCGCGCCCCCGCTACCAGCGCCTGCGCCGACCGCGCCCCTCCCCGCGCCCCCGTCGCCCCTCACGCCGCGGTCCGCCGCGCTGCCCCTCCCGATCCCTATCATCTCGACGACGCAACCGCCGTCCACGCCCCGGCGCCCGCTCGCGCGCCGCGCGCAGACCACAGACAACGCGTTGTTCCTCTCGCCGTACATGACCCCCGCGGAGGAAGAGGCCGGCATGAACTTCGGCTTGGGCGCAGGCGATGCGGGTGTGCCGAGCAGCCCGGTGTATAGCGAGCCGGCGGTGTGCGAGCGGCTAGGTATGCAGGTCGACTATCCGAGCCCAGTGGACGGACCCGGCTTCGTGTGGGAGAGGCCGGACGAGGCGATGAAGGAGAACTGACGCGATGTGCTGATACGAAAAAATGATGTACAAGAATATCGTGCGTACCCCCTTCTGTCTTGCACTCATTGCGGTGCTGACGTCCGTGTTCTCGTGCTCGTGCAGTTGAAGGCGACCCCCGCCGGCGTAAATATGTGTACGAAGCCCGACATAATCCCCTACTATACGGCGCGCGCTGCTCAGACGCGTAATGCCTTCTTGCAAGACCCAAGAACCCCGAACCGCATTCCACGTCTTTGGCACCCCGCACCCCGCTTCCGCAGCCCGCAATCATCCCCTCATCGCCACATCCCTTCCCCCTCCCCCTCCCTATCCCCCACCCCCAACACATCTTGCACATATTTCGTTCCGCTGCTCCATCTTTAATGTTAATGCGCCCCCGACGCAGGTCCACGTCGGGGCTTCCCTTTCTCCTTCCTCTTTTCCCTGGTGCTTAGTGATGACGACGATCATGGACTAGACTGGCTGTTGCTGACGCTCCGGGCACGGCGTGCTTCGCGCATACGTAGGCGTTGCGTGCGTGGCTGATGTACAAGCGTATACGTAGTCCGGCGGTGCGGCGGCGGGGGTGGTGCGCGCGGCGCGCGTGCCGGGCTCTCGTCGTCCCGCTGCTGGTTGTGACAGAAGAAAATGTGTGTTTTGTTTGAGGGGTGGGTGTGCGATGCTGTGGCAGTGGTTGACGGTGCATGTGCGGTGAGTTCGGTTTGTGGACGTTGGGATCGTCGCTGCTCTTTCGACTGATGATGATGCACGTTGCTCCATGGTCCTCTCTGACATACCTAGAAACTGGTCTCGTCCGGATTCCCAGCCAGTCGAGACAAGATCACTAGGCTCCAGGCCTGGACAGCGGCGCCGTGGCTCTATCTATGCGCACAGACTCAACTTGGAATGCGGCGTGCCCTAGTATGTGTTCATAGAACAATGCGAGGCTCTAAGCCTCTGCAAGGCGCTGATGTTCCTAATAACGCGTGCTAGATTGTGACACACACTACCTTTGTTCGGTTCGGCAGCTATGCGAGCCTCGTGCTGTCGCCCTATAAAGCCCGTGCCCACTGTCTTACGGCAAGTTATTTGCGTGTACCACAGCATCGATTCCCAGGTGCGAGTGGCTCATGATGAACAAGCTTCCATTGTCAGGCAGCGGTGCGTAACAGTGATTAGTATCTGACACAATCGGCTCATTCTCACAGCCTGAACACGCAGAGATAGAAGAATTTTTCGCCCGAGCCTCCGAAGAGGACGCGTATGATCTTCTCTGCAACTCAATCCCGACGCACCACAATGCGTATGACGAAGAGCAAGAGGCTGCTCGGCCCTTCCTACCTCTAGGCACGCCCCCCGAGGCCACCCTCGGACTCCACCCCTCCGCCTTGGTCGAGACCGTGGACAGGAAGCTGAAAGAGCTCAATGACCAGCGACTCGCCATCTCGCGATCCATCTGCGAATACAAACGGCTGCGCAACTCCGCCGCGCGGGTATCCGCCTCCCGCAAGAGCTGCTCGTCAAGGTCTTCCTTTATGCGCCCGAGCGCATCCTCGCCGTCAGCCAGGTCTCCGCGGAGTGGCGCGCGCGAGCGCGCGCCACTCCGCGCCTGTGGACGGACATCCCGCTCCGGCAGCGCCAGCTCGCGGAGCTGTTCCTCGCGCGGTCTGGCGACGCGTGTGTGCGCTACCAGATCAGAGAGCTCGCTCTGTCGGCGGCCTATCCTCGACTGGAGGATCTGCAGCGCGTGCTGTTGTTGGGGCGCCTGAAGAGTCTGCATGTAGAGCTGGGGGACGTGCGGGAGCTGCAGCTTTTGCTCGAGGCCCTTGGGGGGCCTGCGCCGCATCTGGAAGAGATACAGCTCCGGTTCACTGAACCCGATCTCAGTTGGCTTATGGGTCCCGCTGACACCCTCAGCAGACCCACGCTCTTCGACGACGTGACGCCAAGACTGCGAGTGCTTGTGCTGGATTCTATCGATGTCTATTGGACGTCTGGCGTCTTCGCTAACCTCACCAAGTTGGACGTCGGTCGCCAGCTGCGCCACTTGCACCCCGATGTGGACGACTTTCTTGATATCCTCGAAAGATGTCCGCTCCTGGAACAACTGTCGTACCGCTGTTGGATCCCCAACTTCAACATTGATCGACTCCAACCATACTCAGGCCCTGCGCCGAGGCGACGACAATCGCGCTGTGGAAGCTCGATAGTCTTACCTTCGAATATCTGCCTTCCAAATGGACAGCCTTCGTGCTGGGCAACCTGGAGGCTCCTGCTTGCACATACATGAAGATCGCTCGTGCCACGAAAGTGGACATGTCGATTTTCCTCTCGATATGCTGCCCCCGGACACGAGTCGCATCCCAGCGCTTTCGAACATCCGTTCACTCGACATCGAACCCGCTCTCCCCCATCAGCTCAATCTCCATCTCGGCCCGAACGCGTTCAAGGGATGGATCTGGTCCAGGCCCTTGTCATGCACCTTGAGGTTGCTCGGCTGTGACTTCGTGTCGTTCGTGTATCGAGACGTATTCCAGAAGCTCGACATACGACGACTGGAGTCGCTGACGATTCGTGATCTGGAAGTGATCTGGACAACTGCGGAATCGAGCCGCATATCTGGCCGCTCTACCTGCGCATGGCCAAGAATCTTCGGTATCTGCGCCTGATCGACGTCTCCTCGCCCGATATACTCACCGCCCTACGCACTGCACCGTCCTGGGACGATGACGTGTTCTGTCCATGCCTGAGTGAGCTGGCTCTCGTAGGAGGGTCGGGTGGGGATGGGTTAGTGCCCGAGCTTGAGGCGTACTTACACTACCTTTCTAAGGAAGGGAGAGCGTTGACGACAGTGACATTGGTTGGTGCATTTTCTGACGAAGCTGTTCATCGGCTGGCGTCCATAGGTCCTGAGATCGATATGTGGCCTTCTGCTGGCAAGATCATCGTGTCATAGCCGTACTCTGGCACGTACCAGTAGTGCTTACGGGTTGGTACCTTGTATGTAGCTACTATGACACTCATTCTACGAGTGTCTGACTCAGACGTCTCTGGTGCATGACATATATATCCACAGGATTCATGTTGCCTCATTGGTCAGAGCGCAACTGTCACCTTTCCTCCTCAACGTACTCCGTTGGCTACTCGTCGCAATCCCGGCAACGTGGACCAACAGCTGGCTCAACGGTTACATCCAGAACAAGTTACTTTGTGACGAGATCTTACATAATTCTGGAGCGGGCTCTCTAGACGTGATGGTTACGTAAGCATAAACAGAACTCGCAACTTGAATGTTTGAACCTTGCTTCAACCTCACTATAAGTCCAGCTCCATATGCGTCCGACGACTCGGAGGCCGTACTGTATATGTAGTCTTTGAACTGCCTGCCATCTACCGCCAGCACGTCGGTGCTGCTAGAGACTCAGACTGAAGTACTATTCTGTCAAGGCCTGCCATCGAGGTGTGTCTTGGGTGTGTGCTATTGATTTCAGTCGCTCGCAACCTGACGTAACCTGCGAACTTGTAGACACGTTCAAGTTCAGGCTATCCCTCCCTACCGCTACGCACCGTTACAAATTCTGCGTCCACTTGCCTCACTACATCATAGACCATGAGCCACTACTCCACGTATGATGAAGCGAGAGAAGTGACAAGGCCATTCCTACCACTCACCCCGCCTCCCGAGGCGACTCTCGGGCTCGATACCTCCGCCCTGCTCGAGTCTGTTGACAGCAAGCTCAACAAACTGATCGACGAGCGGTTTCACATCTCGCGACAGATATGCGCGCTGAAACGGTTGCGCAACACGGCCGCGCTCGTCCACCGTCTCCCTCTGGAGATGCTCGTCGAGATCTTCTTGCTTATGACGGAGGGCGGATCGAAACACAGATCCGTTCTCGTCGTGAGCCACGTTTGCGCCCACTGGCGCGCCCTCGCGCTCGACTCATCGTGCCTCTGGACACACATACCGGTTCAGCATTGCAATCTCGCCAAGCTGTTTCTCGCACGCTCGAAGAATCTGTGCGTGAAGTACTCGATAGACGAGTTACCCACTCTGGCCATGAGCCAGGCGAGGTCGCACAATCTACCATTATTACCGCTGGATCGATTGCAGAGCTTGCGTGTTTTCATTCGGGCGCCGGTGAACATGGACATCTTCAACCTTGTGGCTCTCACGGGGCGGGCCCCGAACCTGGAAGATCTCGATTTGCAGACCAAGCGGGGATCGTCAGCGTACGGGCTGCTGGAGGAGCTAGGACATGCGCTCTTCGCCGACACCACGCCCAAGCTTCGTACCGTCGCACTGTCCAACCTTCACGTCAATTGGAGGTCTTGTATCTTCAACAACCTCACTCGGCTGAGAGTGGTTGACGAGTACCGCCTCATTCCACCGCTAGAGGTGTTTCTTGACGTCCTAGAGAGGTGCCCTCACTTGGAACAACTGGTGTACCACGTCGACTCGGCCGTGAGGAGGCCAGATCTAGAGCGTGCGCCCACCCGTTCGCGACCAGTGACGCTCTCGCGACTCCAGGAGCTTGACCTGATGCGCCAGCCTTCCAAATGGGTGGCAACTCTGCTGGACAACCTGGACATTACGGTTACCCATGCATGCGTGCAACTCACTGCGTCCGTCGAAGAGGATCAAGCCGAAAGGCCCGAGTTGTCTCTTGACATGCTCCCTCCGGACATAAGCCACATCATGACGCCGTCATCCATCCTTTCACTCGAGATCACCCACGAGATCGATGATTTCAGGCTCACTCTCCTTCCGGCCCTTTCTGACTGTTGGACGAACTCAATGGGCATTATTGGCATATTGTTGCAGGTTGCCTGCACCCAGACTTCGTACCCCTCGTATATCGGGCTGTGTTTCAAAAACTCGACACCACACGGCTCGAGGAGTTGATCATTGGAGATCCAAGCCACGAGTTTGAATATTTCATGCTGCCTGCAGACTGGTCGTTTTGCCTTCAACGCGCGAAGAACCTCCGCCAGCTTCATCTGGCTGACATCGCCCCTGAAGCAACCACTCGCATACTCTCGTTGTTATTCATGCCGGCGATAGACATTCACGATGATGGCGACATCATTTGTCCACAGCTGTCGACACTGGCAATCCATGCGGCTTTTATAAATGACGATGAAAAAATCACAATCGAACGGGTGTTGGCGGCTTGCATGCGACGAGCCTCCAATCAACAAATACCTCTGAAAATGGTGAGGCTGGAGGGCATAGAATGGCCGCATCAGTCCCTTGAAGGTTACAGTGGACATGCCCTGCTGTATTCGAGTGCCCGTGATTGTCCGCCTGGATACTGGGGGGAATACGCCGGAGCGCCGCCGAGTATGGACTGTAATACTGTATGCTTTTCAATATTCGCCAATTTCTTTTGCCATTCGTTACACTACGACCTCGGACCACGCCATCAGATACGACCCTGTGCAGAACCTGACTCTTTTTGCCCAACAATCACTACATAGACGTTATGCGTACACCCTGCCATACTACCCTCGAACCGGACGCGGGTCTGGGTGGCGCGACTAAACGCCCACACTTATCGCGGTTAAGTGAGACAATAAATATAAATGCTGAGTTCATCATCATCATCATCATTACAGGTACATATGCGTTCTCGACAACTCAGTCACTCGGAGGACGTACTGTATGTGTAGTCTTTGGACTGTGCCATCTGCCGCCAGCACGTCTATTAGCCTTGACTCGCATGTTCTGACGGTGGACACGAGTGGATCAGTCAAGCTGCCAAAGACTCAGACTGAAGAAGTCCTGCGAGGTGTGTCCTAATCTCAGTCATTGGCAATCTCTCAATGACGCGATCTGAGCACTTGTAGAAACGTTCACCTGCAGGCTGCAAGCCATCCCGCCCCGCTGCTACGCACCACTCTTAGGTTTTGCGTTCACTTGCCTCACTGGCAATACAACATAGACCATGAGCCACTACTCCGCGTATGATGAAGCTAGAGAAGCGGCAAGGCCATTCCTACCCCTCACCCCGCCTCCCGAGGCGACTCTCGGGCTCAATACCTCCGCTCTGCTCGAGTCTGTGGACAGCAAGCTCAACGAACTCACCGACGAGCGGTACCACATCTCGCGACGGATATGTACCCTGAAGCGCTTGCGCAACTCGGTCGCGCTCGTTCACCGTCTTCCCCCGGAGATGCTCATCGAGATCTTCCTACTCGTGACAGAAGACAAGTCACAGCTAGAGCACGAGCACAAACCCGTCCTCGATATGACCCACGTCTGCGCGCACTGGCGCACCGTCGCGCTCGCCGCGTCACGCCTCTGGACGCACATCCCCTTTCTGCCTCTCGACCTCGCCAAGCTGTTCCTGGCACGCTCCAAAAATATGTGCGTGAAGTACTGGATTTACGAGTTACCCGCGCTATCCTTCGAACGGGCGAAATTACGGGACCGACTACCACTCCAGCGGTTGCAGAGTTTGCGTGTCTCTCTGTTGGAGCCGGACGACATGGAAGACTTCCTTGATGTGCTCACGGAGCCTGCACCGAACCTCACAGTTCTCTGCCTACAGCCAGGGGACGGACCGTTCCCGGACCCGGACAATAGGCTAGAGGACGTCACAAGGGACACGCTCTTCGCCGACGCTACCCCCAAGATTCGGACCGTAGAACTCACCAGCTTCAACATCCATTGGACGTCTGGGATCTTCAACAACCTCACCCAGCTGAAGCTTCGTGATCAGGACGGTCGCGTCCCACCGCCGGATGTGTTTCTGGACGTCTTAGAAAGGTGCCCTCACTTGGAACAATTGATGTACTGCTGCAGCTTGCTCAAGCTGGCGCGAAGAATTTCGGAACATCCGTCCGCGCGTCCGCGGCTTGTAACGCTCTCGCGACTCCGAGATTTGCACTTGGTGTACCAGCCTTCCAATTGGATGGCAACTCTGCTGGCCAGCCTGGACCTCACGGCCACCCATGCCCACGTGCACCTCGCTACCATCGTCGAGCGCGGTCGTGACGACTTATCTCTTGACATGCTCCCTCCGGACACGAGCCGCTTGATGCCGCTGCCGTGCATCCGTTCACTCGACCTTACCCATGATGTCGAGGAATTCCGGCTCACTCTCCGTCCAGACCTCTCCGAAAGTTGGTCGGGGTCAGTGGGCACCGTTGACGTGGCCGTACAGGGCGGTCGTCCGGACCTCTTATACCTCCCATATCGGACTGCGTTCGAGAACCTCGACGTCTCGCGGCTCGAGGAGTTGACTCTTGAAGATCAAAGCTGCGAGTTCGGGACCATGCCGCATGCAGACTGGTCGTTCTGCCTTCATTCTACGAAGAACCTCCGTCTGCTCCGTCTGATCAACATGTCTCCCGAAGCGCTAGCGGTGATACTGTCCTTGTTGTTCACGCCGGCGACAGGCGGTCACGACGACGGCGACGTGAATTGTCCACAGCTATCAACGCTGGACCTCATCGGGGTGTATCACAACCTTGAAACCAAACGGTTATTGGTAGCTTGCATGCGGCAAGCCTCCAGTCGACAAATACCGTTGAAGACAGTGAAGCTGGTAGGAATAGGATGGCCGCCTCAGCTCCTCAAAGGGTTGCAGTGGGAAGGTCCTGTCACATACGAGTGCATGTAAGCATCCGCCTGGGCGCTGGGGTATGTTATCATTTAGATTTGACACAATGACTACCTGGGTAGGACTGTTGTTACATGGGTGTTCGCAACCACCATTGCATTTGCTTTCACCTCTTCCTGAAAGTGACGACCAAGGTTCCATAAGGATACTCGAAGATACCCTGACTCTCGTCTGTCCACTTCTTGCCCTCTCCCTTGCGCAGGATCTCGTCGATGTCCTGCACAACCTTCTCCTTCTCGTCCGGAGGCAGAACAGCTATGTAGCTTTTGCTTAACGCGCGGTTGATGACGATGTCGCGCGAGCCCGGGAGGGCGTACGTCCAGGTCTGCTCCTCGTGCGGCTGGAAGAGGGACGTGTAGGATGGCGTCGAGAAGAGGGCGCGCCAGAGGTTCAGGCGGAACTGGGGCGTGCCAGACTCGTGCCTCTCGATGCGGTCGCGCAGCTGGGCGACCCACGCTGCGCCGTCGCGATCCTCCAGGTTCCAGATGAGCGCGACTACGCCGCCCGGCTTGAGCACCCTCGCGAACTCCTTTGCCGCCTTGTCGTAGTCGGGGCACCAGTGGAAGGCCTGCGCGACGATGATCGCGTCGGCGGACGCATCGGGTGCGCCGGTGCTGTCGAACGTGCCTTCGCTGACTGTGATACGCTCGTCCTTGACCGAAGACGTGAAGACCTCGCGCATGCCCGCGCTGGGTTCGACTGCTCTGAGGGCCTGGATAGAAGTGGAGAAGGCCGGGTGTGCAAGGAAGGCACGGGTGAAGATACCGGTGCCCGCGCCGATCTCAATGACGTTGAGAGATTGAGCACTGGCAATAGCATCTCGGATGTGCGAGATCGCGGCAGGCTGGTAGGAAGGCCGGGCACTGGCACATCCGAGGACGTGTTCAATGTGTGACACACCTGATGCGTGTTCTGGAGACCCACCGATCGTAGAGCTCATTCGTTCCGGATCCAAAGCCCTCCTGGGCCATCTTATGCACCGTAGCCATACTGCGACAGGCCCTGGCGGAGACGGGGGAAGGGATGGAGATGGCACGAGAGAGGCAGGAAGACGAGGGTCTTATAGCACGCAGAGCTCCGGGAAATCGAGCCATTCTATCCTCCTCCTATCGGCCTAGTCGCAGGTGCGTCGATGGATACGCAAGCACGTCGTGTCTCCTGACCATTGCGATTTCCTGACTGACTCGAGTGGTGGATGGTGAGAGTGCGAGCGCGGTGCCGACCACGGCAGCTAGCTCGATAAGATGGGTTTAATTATAGAGTGCGTGATAACCCCTTGTCTGATAAGATGGCCGTGTTTTGGTGTTCCGGTCCCGCGTCGCTCAGCGCGCCGAACACGGTCTTGACACGGTCAGAGCCGCAGCAAGGGGCTTGCCAGACTCCTCTCCTTCCGTCCTCTCCTCCCAGCTCGCCGGGTTGTAGCATACTCTCTCCCGACACGGTCCTGTGCCAGTCCACGATGTGCTTTCCGTGCGGGAAACGCAGCGCATCGCCGCCACCACTGCCTTTGAGCAGGCCAACGCACTCAGACGCCAATACGCTCATCATAGGTGCACAAGGCCGGTCGACTGCTGTCACGCTCACCGGAGACTCCTTGCTTGTTCAGAGAAATTCGGACAGTAAGTCAGCGTGCCTCCTTCTGTGCGCAGTTGAATGGATAGTACTGGCCGCTTCTAACACCGCTGTCAATCTCGCTTCACAGAGCGCTGGCCTCGTGTCGAGAGCAATGTACATCATGTCCTTTGGGCTGAGCTCAAGGGAGGACTCTTCAACCTTTCCTTCCTCGCTAGGCGAAATGCGAAGTCCCCCCTCGCCCTTGTGCATGTCTCAGGTAGCGTACGGATGGACGAGGTAGAGCATGCGGCATTGTTCGCGACAAGGTTGATGGACAAGGCGTACGCGGGTGCGTGTCCCTCTGACTAGCTGAATGGTTTGTCTGAACGCATGTCCTGCAGGTGTTAAGCGGCATAAGAAGCTGAAGATCTTGATAAATCCCAAGAGCGGACCGGCGAGTCTCAGTCACCTGCGGTGGTTCAGCTCACCTACTCATACCCGTCATGCTAGGGCAATGCAATTGCTCATTTTAATGAGCGCATTGAACCTGTGTTTCACGCAGCACGTTGTATTGTTGACTCGACATGTGAGCCTGTCACTAATTGGATCACCATTCACGCTCACCCTACCAATAAGTCACGAGCTACGGTGGACATGCCCGTGAGCTCATGAGGGAGCTTGATCTGGATCAATACGACGCAGTCGTAGTCGTCTCCGGGGATGGTTCAATCCATGAGGTCATCAATGGTTTCGCTGAGCATAGAGATCCGGAACGAGCCTTCCGCATACCTATCGCGCCTGTGCCGAGCGGGTCCGGAAACGGCCTTTCATTGAATATCCTAGGAATGCAGGTAATATGGATGCTTCTCCTGCGTATCAACAACCTGACTTCCTCGTGTCTTAGGATGGATACGACGTATCTGCAGGTGCCTTGAATGCCATCAAGGGTGAGTAATGCGCAGACTTGATAAGCGCACCTAAAACATTGTCTTCTTGTCAGGCCGCCCGATGCACATTGACTTGATGTCTGTCGCGCAGAATGGTCACAGAACGTTCTCTTTCTTGTCACAAACCGTCGGTCTGTTCGCAGACTTGGACCTAGGAACGGAATGGATGCGCTGCTTGGGCGCAACGTTAGTCCCGCAAATATCAGTCGGTCTGACCGTCTGCTCACGCATGTCTTCAATAGGCGTTTCGTGCTTGGGTATATCTTTGGAGGTACGCGATCTAGGCTTCCGTAGAGCAGACCAAGGCTAAAGTCTCTCAGTTCTCCGGAAGACGCGCTGTCCGGTGCAGCTATCGTTGAAGGTCGTAGAAAGCGATAAGCGCAAGATGGTTCAGGATCTCAACGCATATCGTGCCAACGCAAAAGCACAGTACAGCCAGCACTCCTCATTACCGCCTTCTTCCCCGGCTCCTACACCATGGACAGCAACGACAGGCTACGAGTCGACGATTGGAGGGACGACTGTCAACTCAACCACACCTCTCGAGCCGAAACGACCATCAGTGGTGTCGGAACCGGATGCGGATGGCTGGGTGACGTTCATGAAGCCGCTGTCGTTTGTATACGCAGGGAAGGGCTCGTATGTCTCGAAAGACTTGATGCAGTTCCCGGTGTCTATACCGGACGACGGGCTGCTTGATGTCGTCGCCCAGGAGCTTGTATGTTTCTCGGGAGACTTGTCATTCTGCTCTACTCACGCGCCCTGGCCAGTCCACTCGGAAAGTGATGATCGACGCCATGGCAGGCTCGGAGAGTGGTGACCAATTCTGGATGGACACGGTCAGTACAGTTCCTGCCACTCTGCACTACCACTGATCCCGCATACAGCAACATTACTTCAGGGCGACCGCCTACCGTGTTGAACCGTACAAGGCGAACGGCTGCTTCTCCGTCGATGGGGAGAGCTATCCCTTCGCGAGTTTCGAGGTGGAGTGCCACCGCGGGTTGGCGACTGTTCTCAGTCCGTGTGGCTATTACCAAGCGGAGTTCCACCTCCCGGAAGACGCGCCGAGGAAGTGACGAACTGCTCTCTGGTTGGGGCTTTAACTTATCTATAGGTGTATGTGGTCGCGTGTGGGACACACTGGTGTCGTCTCGGACTCTGCTTTGCTGTGCTTGAGCTGTCACTCCTTTCGTTGTTGTTTTGCTTAGGTAGTGTACATTTGGGTATTAACGCCGTAGGCTGGATGTATAGATCCGTTACAGCAGGACTTGATGTCATAGATGTGTGGGGGCGAGACATCAGATGGCGTGCGCCTGGCATCTGCACACCCCCGGATGGTATCGCCTCCGGTGGCGATCCATTTACATTGGAGGTGAGTTTTCTCTGCATACGCTCGTTGCTGGGGTTGGTTGACTGGATGCTGCGGACAGGAGCTCGGGATGCTGTATACTACCTACAGGCGGAACGTCGTACAGTCGCTCTTCGCGGGCGGCAAATAAGGCCTTCATATATTACAAGCGCTACTTAATGAATCCCCACAAGCACCCTGAGGTTCGAGCCGGTCTGCTGAGACAATGCGACGAGAGATCGGTACGATGAGTCAGCGCTCACCGGCACCATCAGACAGATATAAGATCGACTTCATCCGACCGTGACTGCATTCCGAACGCAGCGTACCGTACGGTACCATGGCTCAGAATCGATACTTGGCTACTCCTGACCCCGAGTACGCTGCGCTGCTCGCCCAGCTCTCGCCGCCTCCGCCCATCGGGGAAGACATACAAGCGTGGCGGAATTTGGCGAAAGACATCGTCGTGCCTGCTTTGAAGAAGATACGAGGTGCTCGTCTGCCTGCGGGTGAGCGGTCTGACTCATAGACATGGAGATATACAGACTGAGCACTCGCTATAACTTGCAGAGACGGAGTACCGCGTTGTAGACCACGAAGTGGCGGTGGACGGTGGCAAGATCACCGCCAGATGCACGATCCCCACGAGCGGCGGTGAAGTCTTTCCTCTGATGGTCTGGGTTCATGGCGGAGGTACATGTTAGAAGCCACGCTTCTGTGTTGACCAACAGGCTCACGCGTCGCATCGCACCGGCGTCAGGATTCATCACTGGGTCCCTTGATACTGATGATTACCTCCTGCGCACCCTCAGCGTAGAGTTGGGAATCGTCACTGTCAATGTCGAGTACAGGTACGAGGACCGACCACTGCTCGTGGATTAGATATACTGGCATAACGCATTGTACGATCACAGACTAGCCCCAGAGTTCCCGTTTCCCACTGCATTGAATGACTGCTATGCTGCACTGAAATGGGTATGTCGCACCGTCTAGCTAATCCAAATTTTGAACCTTACTTTGCAATCATGGCCCAGGCGGCAGAGAGTGCAGCCTTGCTTTCGGCTTCCGTAGCGAGAGGTTTCCTGCTTGGTGGACAGTCGTCCGGTGGTAATATTGTAGCAGTACTGACACACCGCGCGCGGGACGATCCGTTCTTCCGTGGGCGCCAACTCACTGGGCATGTTCTGCAGTATCCGCAAGTGGTACATCCTGACGCGGTTCCTGCAAAGTGGGCGTCCTGAGTGCGTGTTAGACACCTTGGCGGGACCTCATGGACCGACTTCATAGACACGAAACGGAGCTGCTTTCCATGGAGGAACTGAAGGATGCACCTATCCTGACGCGCGACGACCTACTCTTCTATGCCCGTAAGTGTCACTCTTTCTTCTCAGTTGGGTTCCCTATGGCTGACTGCTTTTTACGCATCTCTGACCCAATCCAGGGACGATACAGGCAGACCCGTTCAATCCGGAGTTCTCTCCTCTCCTCTATCCCTCGCATGCCGCCCTCCCGCCGCTGTATATTCAAATCTGCGGGTGGGATCCTGTCAGGGACGAATGCTTGCTCTACGAGAAAGTCCTACACGAAGCTGGCGTGGAGACCAAGATTGATGTGTGAGTCGGATCTCAGCAGCTTTGGACCTGCGTGATGCTGACTTACGTTCAGTTATCCTGGTGTACCGCACATATTTGCGACAATGAATCCCGAATTGACTCAAGCGGTCAAGCACGACCAGGACTTGAGGGCAGGGATTCGATGGCTGCTGGAGAAGACTACAAATTATTGACTGGGCGGCAAGTTCGAGGTTCCATTACACGAGTACAACCATTCCACTTGCCCAGGACGTATTGGTGAAACGAGTCGTGTACTATTGTCAATGTACAGAGCCCCGCAACGGTATACGATCGACAGGAACAGGTGCATGTGGTACGGACCGCTGGCCTGGAACAATACTACAAGACATGGGCGAGACCATTAGACCGCCAGAGCACATTAACAATGTCCACAACCCAGCGCAACAAATGTCCTACCAGTGGCAAGACAGTGTGTGTAAGGTACTGCAAGACTAATCAGTAGTTATGACAAACTCAATCATCAATCGCACAGTCCAGCATACATCAACGACTCATCCGACGACGAGGTCATCAAGCTCGCGGCCCGTACACCAACGTCACAGAGGAGGCCCCTGCATGAATGTCGGACACCGATGTCCAAGAAAACTTTTGCACGTTGCGCCCGAACCAACTGTTGTCCTTCTGGGGGCACTGGGATGCCGTGTGTACTGCAACGCTCTCGATAGCATGGCCCGCGGTAGCACATGCTTCAACGAGACCGCGTAGTGCAGCCACCGGTACTTTCTCCCCAAAATGCATCTCCATAGACCGCAACCTAGGGATGGGCCACTTCGACCGCGTAGTCCGCTTCGTCAACATCTGGAACAGAGGCTCGAGGTCGACGTGTGTGATTTCGAGGCGCTCGAAGTCTTCGGCCAGGTACTTCACGTTTTCTAACTCCATGGCGTCGACGGAGTCGCAGAGTCTGAGGGTACGCAGGGATGGGAAACGATTCAACAGCTTTTTTGTTTTAGGAAGACGCTCCTCTTCGTCATCTCCGGACTCATAGCTTGCGATCTCCAGCTTCGATAGCCGGGGAGCAGTGAACGTGCCGAGAAGTTTGTTGATGGCGCTTAGCGACATGTCCATGACGATGAGTTCTTCAAGGGCGGGCAGAGAAGGGAGTGAGCTGACGTCCGGCACGTTTTCATCGTCCTCGTCCTCGTCTTCTTCGTCTTCGTCCTCGTCGTCATCATCGTCGCCTCCGTGTTCGGGCACAAAATTGAGAGAGCGCAAGTGTTTCAGGTTCTTGAGTACCTGCGCCAACCTCGGCCAGCTATTACCCGTGGTTTCGGTGAAGGTGGAGCGCACGAGTGAAAGCTCGTCCAGAACGGGGAAGTGCTTTGGCAGCCTCCCGCCGCCTTTCATGATGGGAATGTCGTAAAGCGCGAATACTTGAAGTTTCGGCGCGGTGAATGTCGGGTCCAAAGCCAGCTCAACTTCGATATCGCTATCGCATTCTGGTTCGCTGCTTAGGAATATCTCTTCCAAAGCATCGGCCGTCCCTTTCCATAGAGACACGGCAGCCTTGACGTTTACCATGTCGTCGAGACTGAGATGGATCAACTTCCACCTCCGGATGTGTGGAGTGAGCAGCTGCATGACGTGGGTCACTGCGCTCAACTCCTTTTCAAAGGGACAGCCTCCTGAACGGACAGTGATGTCCAAGGGTTGCGTCCCAGATCGCGCCATGGCCAAATCCCATGACTCGCGAGAAGGAGGCCTGCCGAGAGTGATGTAGACCAAGGACCAGAGGAGCGGTGTAGCGTCCACTATCGTCTTCCACTGGTGACACACCGCTGAGAGGGTGGCACGGAGTTCCACGCGCTCTCCCTTGTTATTCACGGTCATACCGTAGATGACCCCATGGGTGAAGACCTCTCTGAGGATATCGCGCGGGGCATTGGCCAATGTGGGGACGACTGCCATGGTGGTGGCTAAAGAGCTTGCATGCACTAGCTCAGCAGGCGTATTCATTAAGTAGCAGAATGCCTACTTATCGATTCTGCGTGGAGCGAACGAACCAGCGTAGTGGGCGTTACGGAAGCGAGCGAATTAAGAGCGTTGCAAGTGATGCGAAGCGCTACGCCTACGCGGTCACGTGGCCGCGTCACTCCGCGTACCATTACACGAAGGTCTTTCTTAGACACAAGCACATTGTGAACGAGACGAAGGAGATACCACGTTCAACGTTCACCGATGCACACCTTAGAGTGAAGAATTCCGCCTCAACACAACAACGCTACTGTATACCGGGGAACAGTGAGATACAGCTATGCATTGATTTTCGTTGTGTATGCGCTATGTGCACTACATTAGCGTCGTATGATATGGTCGTGAAATGCGAAGACAACAAAGCCCAAGCAAAAGCTATGATACACTACAAGGAGCACGACAGCAACAGACCCGGTCCTTCTACCGAACACCCCATCTAGTCGATCTCCTCCATGGCAGACGTCGACGCGCCCTCTGCTACGGGTGCGTCGTCGGTCGACGCGAGGGGTGCCGACTCTTCCTCGTCGACGTCGAGGCCGAGCGAGATCATGCGGTGGATGCGCTTCGCGAACGACGTCGGGTCGTCGAGCGAGAAACCAGAGGTGAGGAGAGCGGTCTCGAAGAGGAGGTACGTCAGGTCGCGCACGGACTTGTCCGCCTGGTCCTCCGCCACCTTCTTCCTGAGCTCCTTGACGATCGGGTTGTGCGGGTTAAGCTCGAGCGTCTTCTTCGAAGCCATGTACGACGACATCGACGAGTCGCGGAGCGCCTGCGCCTTCATGATGCGCTCCATGTTCGACGACCAGCCGAACTGACCGGTGACGAGCACGCACGGCGAGTCAGAGATACGGTTCGAGACGACGACCTTCTCGACCTTGTCGCCGAGCGCATCCTTGACGGCCTTGCACAGGTCCTCGAACTGCTTGGCCTCCTCCTCGCGCTCCTTCTTCTCCTCGTCGGTCTCCTCGAGCTCGAGGCCCTCCTTCGACACACAGATGAGCTTGTGGCCATCGAACTCCTTGAGCTGGGTGATGGCATACTCGTCGATGGGGTCGACGAGCAGAAGGACCTCGAAGCCCTTGCGCTTAAGCACCTCGAGGAAAGGCGAGTCCTTCACAGCAGAGAGCGACTCGCCAGTGAGGTAGTAGATGTTCTTCTGGACCTCGGGCATACGAGTGATGTAGTCTAAGGGGGATCATTAGCGAATGAGCCATGAACGTGAGGTCGACGCGACTTACCCTTGAGCGAGGTCATCTCCTCCTGCGACTTCGTCGTGTAGAAGCGGAGGAATTCAGCGAGCTTGCTGCGGTTCTGCGCGTCCTCGTGAACACCGAGCTTGAGGTTCTTGCCGAAAGACTCGTAGAACTTGTTGAAGTTGTCCTTGTCCTCCGAGATCTCAGTGATCAAGTCGAGGCACTTCTTAACAATGTTCTTGCGGATGACCTTGAGGATCTTGTTCTGCTGGAGCGTCTCACGAGAGATATTGAGCGGCAGATCCTCAGAGTCAACGATACCCTTGACGAAGTTGAGGTACTCGGGGATGAGATCCTCGCAGTCGTCCATGATGAAGACGCGGCGAACATAGAGCTTGATGTTGTTGCGCTTCTTCTTGGTCTCGAAGAGATCGAAGGGTGCACTGTAAGGCGACGGTCAGTCACGCATTCGCCTGACATACCCTAGTGCACTTACCGCTTGGGAACGAAGAGGATGGCCTTGAACTCAAGCTGACCCTCGACGGAGAAGTGCTTGACAGCGAGATGCTCCTCCCAGTCGTTCGTCAAGCTCTTGTAGAAGGCAGAGTATTCCTCTTGAGTGATCTCGCTGGGGTTACGCGTCCAGATGGGCTTCGTCTTGTTGAGCTCCTCGTTTTGAACCTCCTTCTCCTTGATCTTCTTGGTCTTCTTAGGCTTCTCCTCCTCATCAACCTCCTCGATCTTCGGCTTCTCTTCATCCTCCTTCGCCTCCTCCTCCTCCTCGTCTTCAACCTCCTAAACAACGATTCGTGTCAGTCGACGCACTGCAACAAGTGACATTAGACGTGTACGTACCTTCTCGACCTCCTTGGTCACGGCCAACTGAATGGGGTACGAGATGAACTCGGAGTGCTTCTTGACAATGTCCTTGATGCGCTTCTCCTCGAGGTACTCGAGCTGGTCCTCCTTCATGAAGAGACGGATCTCGGTACCACGGCCGAGAGGAGGGTTGATGTTGTCGGAAGTGATAGTGAAGGTGCCACCCGCAGCGGACTCCCAGATGTACTGCTCATCGTCGTTGTGCTTCGAGATGACTTGCACGCGCTCGGCGACGAGGTACGAGGAGTAGAAACCGACACCAAACTGGCCGATCATGGAAATGTCGGCACCTGAGCTCAATGCCTCCATGAAACCCTAAGAGCAGATCGTCAGATGGAAAATCTCAGGTGGAGGCTCATCGCTACAAACCTTGGTGCCGGACTTGGCAATGGTACCGAGGTTGTTGACCATGTCGGCCTTGGTCATACCGATACCCGTGTCGATGAGTCGGAGAATCTTGTTCTCTTTGTCGGGGATGATACGGATGTAGAGGTCCTTGCCGGTGTCGAGGGCCGACGGGTCGGTGAGAGACGCATAGCGGATCTTGTCCAGGGCATCGGAGGCGTTCGAGATGATCTCCCGAAGGAAGATCTCCTTGTTCGAGTAGAAGGTGTCTGCAAGGACGCGTTTGAGGCGACGCGCGTCGCGAGATGAAGACGAGCATGCTTACTGATGATCAGGTCGAGCAACTGGCTGATCTCGGCCTGGAAACCAAAGCTCTCGGTAGCCATTTTTTGAGAAGATAAGGGTGGGATGTGGGTATAGCTGGGGATGTGGGCGTGGATGTCAGAAGACGAGGAGGGGAGGGCGGGCAGGAGAGGCTATTTGTACGGCTGCTCTCTTTTCATTCTCGAACCTTCCATCCGCATTCGACAAGTCTCGCACGCCGGAAGCGCGTTCGCCCGCCTTCCATCCCCTTCCACACCCCTTATCCGCCACACCGGCGCTACCACACATCCAGCGCCTCCCGAGCCGATTCTTAACTATGATTAAAGCATGATGTTGCTTGCGGTTGACTTGCGGACACACTCCGCACCGAGCAGTTCATGTCGAGACATAGAGTACAGTGTATTATCGCATGTGACTACATTCCAACCATCTGGGATCCAGAGACTGCACCCATACGCCGCGGGACGTACCGCCACCGGACATCAACATTCTCGAACCGTCGCCTCACGTTGCCGCCACACCCGCATCTCCCGCGGGCCACAGGGTCCCAGAGCCTGACCGCGACGTCCGGCCACTGCCAATGAGCCCCTGCCTACCACTGACCGTCGCCTTCAAAGCCTCTACCATTGCTTTGTGCTCCTCGAGCTCATCACGTAGATCATCTTTCTCCTCTCGTAACCGCCGGTTCGCTGCTGATAGTTGCTCGACCTCTTCGCCTGCTTTAGACATTCTTGCCAGGCTTGACATTTTCCGTGCGCCTTCTAGCTGCTTCCGCGTAGCACCCAGCTGGCTTTCGAGTGATCGGACGTGTTGACGCTGCTTCCTGTGAACATGACAGTCGTCAATACTTCATGCAACGCCACTGCTCATCGTCGCGTACTCTAAGATTTGTGTCAGATCCGCATGAGTCTGTTCGTACGTGTCAAGCCTAAGCTCCATTTTGCCGTATTTACTGTTGAATATTTGCAGATACTCCGTTTGGTCGTTCAGCTTCTGGACGTCTAGTTCCCTATGTGACGCGTTGAGATACCACACTCTAAGGCCAATGCACAGACGTACCATAGGCGTTGAAGTGTAACCAGCTGTTCAATCTGCTTTTCGTAGTCATGTAACCTATCGACCTTCGGGGCGTTCTCCCTGATTTTTGTCTCCAGCTGGAAGACCCTCTGAAGTGCTTCCTCGAGTAGCTTCCCCTGCGCTGCGAAAGTTTCCTGCGCACATGCCACGTTCAGATACCTCATCTGCGCTCCTATGCGCAAGCCCCGAACTGACCTTTGCCTCCTTGTCCGCTGCGCGCATGACAGCCGCCTCCTCCATCCAGCCTTTCTTCTCGTTCCTGAACTCTCGCAGCCTTTCTTGCGCCTTCTTACTGTGGTCCTGCAATTGGTTCTTCACCGCGTTGGACTGCTCCTTGTGCTCCTTGAGCGCCCGCTGCAGACGCATCACCTCCGTCTTATACTCGCGCAGCTTGTTGTGCTGCAACGCCGACGGACACCAATCAAAACCCGTCACCGGTATCCCAAGCGTCGTTGCACTCACCAGGCCCTGTCGCTCCATCTCCGCCGTCTTCGAGAGCACCCTATCCTGATACAACCTCCCGATATGTTTCACGTTCTCTCTCGAGCTCCACAACTCGAGGTTGAGCTCGTTCCTCAACAGCAATACGTCCCTCTGCAACCTACCGAGCGCCTGCCGGACGTGCAACGACACCTCCTGCCCACTCGCGTCGCTCGAGCGGTCGGGCGTCCTCTCCGCTTGCTCGCTCGTCTCACGCGATGGGGAGCGGGATCGTACGGGGGGAAACACCTCGGCAGACCACGAGGCCGACGGGTGCACGATCTCGACGTCCAACCCCGACTTGAGCGCGACAGACGTCGCAATCATGTCCTGCAGGGATACGCGTGGGCGGCCGGGCGTACTGGCTGTCACGGGCGTGGACAGGCCCTCGTTGCGCACTGTCGGGCAGGGCAGCGCGTACGCGGACGCGGGGGAGTCGGCGAAAGTGCGGGTGGGGCCTGGGGATGTGGGGAGGACGGACAGTTCGGGCGAGATGACGGCGGGGGCGCGCTGCTGCATGCCAAGCGCGGCGTTACGCACGTCAAGCATCGTGCACTCGCCGAGGATCCCCGCGGTGTCGTAGTCAGCCCAGAAGTCAGGCTTGGACAGCTCTTCTGCAGGGCCCCGCCAGATGAGGTGTGGGTGCAGGACGTGTCCACGCATCAAAGGCTTGTAACCAATAGTTCAATATACAGACGAAGAGAGAGCGAGGAAGGTGCATACCTCACTCCTGCTTCTGATTTGCGGTTCGTCTAGTACCACGTCCCATTCCACAGCGTATGGGTTCTGGCTCGCAAACTCGGTAACGTACTGGATGGGGTACCGCAAGAACCGGATAGTGTTACACGGGTACAGATAATATAGCACTGTGAAATACCGATGGGGCGACGGCGCAGACGACGCCCCACCGAGGAAAGTCTGTTCCAGCCGCTCCCATGTAATGTCTTCATGGATCGGCGGTGTGTATGCACCGTCAGGCAGGCCCCCCTCGACATCGCTGTCGTTTCCAGACTGGCTCGCGCCTTCTGCGTCTGGAGAGAACTCCGAGGGCGTGGGGGCCTCTCGTTCGCGCCAACAGACGATGCGCGCGAGCACGAGCACGAGGAGCGGAACGTAACGTTTTAGCTGCTCTGCAGCCTTCACTGCGAAGATGGGGAGGAGCTTCGTGAGGACGGTTAAAGCGACGATCGCTACGGTTGAGGAGTTGTCGAAGAGGAGGGAGTACAGGATTGTAGTGGTGAGCCTATGGGAGGCCAAGACGGCAGCGACGTCTGGGAACTTCTGCTGGGACGTGTATGCGTTGAGGAGGATGAGGAGCTGCAACCGCGATGACGGCAACGTGAAACAGTGGAAGACCTCTGTGAGGAAGTCCTGTCAAGGGTTCATGAGTGTGATGCTTCCAAGTAATACTGAGACGGTCTGTCCAGCATCATTCCGGCGTAGCATCGCTTGCGCCCTTCCTCATGCGATGCCAAGCAAACATACAAGGATTTGCGCTCACCTCTGGCCGTTCGAGACCCACTCGGATGAGAACGTCCTCCAGGTTCGTCTTCCAGCAGCTTTTCTTCTCTCGCTGCTCCACGTCCAGAGTCGCCCACTCCAGGACGTCATCTCCAGAGCTCTCGTTCAAAGCGTCCAGGAGGTAGAGGTCCATCAGTCGCCGCCGGAACCCGCTGACCTTCTCCTGCTGCTTCTCGCGCTCCTCCTCCCCCTCGTCGGCATAAGACCCAACGTCGAGGGCAGCTATGATGAGCCCCTTCGCATACTCTACGGAAGGCGTAGGTAACCTCGGCTCTCGGAGCGCTGGCCGCAGCGTAGGCTCGAACCACGTAGAGATTAAGGAAGACGGTGGTAAGATCGGGCGGAGATGGTACAGCACCCGAGGAAAGGTTCCGCCTGCGTGAGGGAGGCATAGTCGATGACCGGGTCGTAGATCGCCTGGAGCTCGTCTTCGAGCGCGGCGACGATTGCCGCACGGTGAGGGGAGCCTCGCACTCCCTCAGCAAAGCTGTCAGCCTGTTTGAAGAGGTCGTCGAGCGAGGGCGCGTCTGGTGCGGACTCGAGGACGAGGCGGAGGGTACGGCAGAGCTGGGAGACGTCCATGGCCGCTTGTAGTTGTAGCCTCGGGCTGGCGCCCGTCGGCATCTCTTCCTCTCCCAAATCCGTGCTTCGCCTGCTTGTGAACGCTATCGCGGCTCTTGACGGACTCCTAGAACGATCATCAGTTGCAAGAGCAAGTACATTCCTGACAGGTGAACGTGAACCCAGAAGACGAATACTATACAACCTACGGCGCATTGTCGATTCTGGCTCGTCAGACACGGGCAACTGGGCACGCATGCACGCATGGCTTCCAGCAGTGCTAGTTTCATATAGCGCGACCATGTACGAGGGGTGTGATTCTGTTACTTGTGCGTGTTTTTCCCCATGCACTTCCATTCTTTACGCAGGGCCGAGTCTTCATTCGCGACCACTGGTCAGCCGTTCACCCTGCAGTTGGACAGTCGCATGGTAAGCACATTGCGGCTGCTCACTAGAGCGGTCGAATGTACGCATGATTCTGATTGACCTAGGGTGCCTGTAAGTGGCATTGCCAGTGCTCCACCATTGTCAGCACCGCTGGTCCGAATCACAACATTCTGTGACTACCAGTCGATTCTACCGCTACTGCTCTTCCCTCCCCCGTCATTCCGTCGTGACAGTCGTAGAGCATCCTAAAGCCTTCAACCTTTGACAATGCTTCCGTCGATGATCGCTCTGCCCTTGTCTCTCTTTTCACTGGCCAGCCGCAACGCATCTGCCGAAGAGACAGTCACCATCTCCTACGACACCACCTATGACAACTTCTCTGCCCCATAACGGACCTCGCTTGCTCTGCCAACCTTACCGACCTCGGCTTAACGAACCTCGGCTCGCTGCCAGGCTTCCCATACATAGGCGGCTCTGCCATGGTCTCTGCTAACGGCTCTACTGGCTGCGTGACCTGCTGGGAGCTGTCGTACAACGAGAGCAGCGTCAATGTCCTGGTTGTTGATTACGCGGAGGACGGATTCAACTTGGCAAAGGCGGCGATGAACGGTTTGACGGGCGGGGATGCGCAGAAGCTCGGTATACTCTGGGCGACGGCGGTGGAAGTCGATGTAACAGAGTGTGGGATGTGATCAGTTCCTGCCTGGAGCAATGTGAACAAATCGCGTCCACTTCTCCTTTGCGACGATCCGACAACTACCTGAAATCCAACTGTTGTTAAGTTGCTCGTCATTGTGCTCGACTTCTGACATGCCTGTAGATCTCTGAGGTACCATTCAGCCTCCAGCATCATCCAATAGTCAACTCTTTGAACATAGATATTGGCATGTACATACCTGCAAGCAGGCTCTTGCATGCGTATTGACTGATATCCACAGCAATTGCTCCTCACCAGGCCTGGGACTCAGCTGGCATGAGTTCAACGACGGATAGACATTAGGACCTGCCAGTGGCAACTGAGAATCGGAGACTCGGATGTGCTGCATCTCAAGTAGGAAGATAAATAGTTAGCTGTCATACATACATACAGTCTACATAGGACACAGCCTTCAGCAGACAATCAATGGGAGTCAACAATAAATAGCTAGCTGTGATCTACGACGCTAGCATCGGTGTGGTCTACATTCTACTCGTGTCATGGTGATCATGAATAAATAGTCCAGAATGCCAGAACCCCAGCAAGATAAAACACGGACCACCGCCTTCACGAAGCACCGTCCCCATCCACTTTCACTGTGCAGTATGCACGCAGAGACCCCCAGTCTATCGTCACGCCCGGCTCCTGCACCAACTCCACCGTCTCCAGCTTGCCATCCTCGCTCAAATACCGTACCGCTTTCTCCAGTGCGTCTCGCAACAGTTCGGTGAAACCTCCCACAGGCCGCACAATCACAAGTGTCGCCAGATACGGGAGGAGCGGCAACTCGCGCTCAGGAGGCGTACACGGGCCCGGGGAGGACAGCGTGGAGACAAAATCCTCAGCGTCCTGCGCGGCGATTTCGACGAGGCGTAAGGTGCGCAGATTTCCCGTGTGCTTCCCGATGAGGAGGTGCCGCCAGCGCATGCCTGACATATTGAGCGGGGTACCACGGACGATAAGTGTGTGCATTGTGGGCTCGCCGGGCTGCCGCGTGAGTCCTGGAGCGAGGCAGGACAGTGTGGCGACAGGATTCACATCGAGGAACTCAAGTGTGAAGGCCGGCTCAGAGTCTACGGTCGCAGGCGAGTCCACCATCACTGGGAGGTTGTCGGTCGTGTAACCCTTGACGACGAGCCGACCGGAGGTGGCCACGCAAGCCTCGAGGATGCGCAGCGATGAGAAGATATTGGTAGACTCGCAAGTTCCGAAGAACATGCCAGGGTCCAGGTGCGCGACAGGAGCATTGTTAACCATCATGTGGAATGCGCACTTTGTGGGACCAGGGATGGAGACTCGCGCGAGGAAGTGGCTAACATATGAGACAAACTGACCAGCGAGAACGAGGCGTCGCAGAGCGGGCAGAGAGACAGCGTCCTCGTCTGCGCGTCGGGCAACGGGGGGTTCTGGGTCCATTTCCATCGGTGGGTGCAAGACAGGAACATATCGCATGGTAAGAGATTCGAGCTCGGAACATTTCTTGAGCACGTCCAGAAGTTCATCAACAGCTTCGTAGCGGTTGAACATGTCATCCAGCGTCAGGTGGTGCAAATTCCCCACAATGGACGAGGGAAACGACACAGACGACAGGTAGAGAGAACGCAACGCAGGGGTGTTTCCGCCGAACAGCGTAGATGCTACGATGTGACAGTATGGCGCCCGTGAGTCGAAAGCCGTTGCCAGTGCATCGACCCAGGACTCAGGCTGGACGAGGCCGAGAGTGAGCTCTGCGAGTTGAGGGGCAGTGTTTGTGAGGCGGCTGATGACGTTCTCCATAACCCAGCTGTTGTTCATTTTGACGAACAATCGTTTGATGCGATGCATGTGGGGTTGAAGGCTCACAATGCAGCCACGGAAATCGTCGTCCAGGATGTGTAGGGGCGTGATGATGATATGGATGGGGTATGCGCACGATTGTCGCAGATACTTTGCTAGACGTGACTTGTCGTCGAGTGTCGTGCCGCGAATGAGTATCGTCGACCACAGCCTTGCATCCTGGTCCGCTAGTCTGTGCCAGTACGAACAGACGTGGCTCAGTGTGATGATGTCCTGAGAGACATCAATAACACCTAGTCCGGGTGACGTGGCCGAGACAGCGGTCGACAGAATCTCCGTCAGAATCTCGTTGGGCAAACTATGAATTGGTACGGGATGATGATACGATGCCGGGGTCCCCTGTGGTAGCACCAGATCCATGTACTGGTCAGTGAGGTTCTGTCCTACGGCATTAAGTAGAGAGATTGCTGAAGCGACGTACACGCGAGATCATGCTCACTCTTTGACCTGATACATCCAGACTACTCTCGATGCCGTCGGCATTCATCCTGCGGGAAGCGGCGCTGATAGCTAGACAATAAATTCTGCTGTAAGACGTCGGGGGTAGACATATGTTGGCGCAGTGTGCAGGCGAGAAGGCGGTGCCCTAAATATTTGCGAGCGAAGCGAGCATACTTCGGCCTAGGGGGTGCAGCCAGGCAACAAACAAGTACAAATTGTCGATTCGCAAACGATTATTCCCGCCTCTGCTGTATAGAATGTGCTTCTGCTCGTTCACAATCCCTATAAATCCGATTGAAAATCACTCAAATTTGCGCGATGGGCCACTCCTCCGGAAGATCTACTTGTGTCCATATGAGCGTGGTTGATACAGGTTTACGGCTCTGACAACGTCCATTCGAGCGAAGTTGGACTTAGGCGCCCGAACTCCCGCCGCGGCCACACCAATTTCTGACGTCGCGCCGTGGCCCCAGGCCACTGGCAAAGCCTTTTCGCAGCCATTTGCTGCTGTGGATGTGAGGCCATTGTCAAATGAACAAGCTCACAATGAGTGCTGCTATATAAGTTTAACTGACCACCCACTGTCCGACTCTTGCTCGCCGACTTCAACCATGGATCAACATGAAGTGGTGCCGGTGCAAAGGACATGTGATGTACTACATATCCACCTTCACCGATCTGTAACATATCTCAACCCCACGCAAGCAGCCTGTGTCGCCCTTGCTTTGTAGCGAGCCCCTCTGTGTCACAGATCGATGTTAAAGTGTGGCGTCGGCGCTTGTTCTGTTCTTTGGCAATTGGCGAGAACGCGTCTTGCCTCAGACGCGTATGTACGTGCGCGTACTGATCTCAGTCTGAGCACGAACGTGAATCGCCAGCCTTCACTAGATCGCTACGTGAATCATTTCAGGAGCAAGGCCCTTCAACCCGTTAAGACGATATGAGTACGAACACTGTGGCGACAATGATTGCCGCAGATACCTTCGAGTGGAAGCCAGGTACATCGGCCAGCTCTCCTCTCGCGCCGATGCTGAATTCATGATGGAGTCCGCAGAGTATGACGAGCTCCTTGAAGAGACCGCGACCATGGACACTGTCGAGTAAGTCACAGTAGTCGGATGGGCCAGAGCAAGTGACTGATGTCTCCTTCCTGAAGCCTATCCAAGTGGTCGCTCATGCGCGATATCATCAAGTACAAACTCGACAAGGTGCGAGGCCACGAGACCGTAGTAGCACCGTTCGTTGACGTGATCGCGCAGAACATGGCGCTCTTCCTGTCGGGGGACGTGAAGCGCGAATACAGCAAGTCGACCGTGACGGCGCAGCCATGTCAAGGCGGCGCGAAGTTCCCGCCTTTTCAGCCTCGCGAGCGCAATGCAGCGAATCCAAATGAGGCACCGAAGAACGCTCTTACGGAGCAGGAGGCGGCCGAATTCAAAAAGGTGATACTCGCGCAGTTTGAGGAGTTCCAGCAGTAAGTAGGACGCAGGGATCGCGCCACAAGCCATGTCTCACCTCACGCTAAGGACCCCACCATTTACCATTCAACGTTTATGTGAACTGTGTTTGCGACCTACGGATCACTACAAGCATCTGGGCAAGTATCTACGCGCTGTCGAACGGACGCTTCTCGTCACGTCGACTTGGGATGCCTTTCCCGTATCCCCCGACAAGATCACCAGCAAGCCAAGCGTCAGCACTGTCCACATCAGTATCAACGCCCTTTCCGCACCCACGACGCCCATCTTCTCCCCCATCCCCTTCCTGCACGAAGACGCTCGACGCTCAAGCTCCCGCAGTCCACCGCCGAGTCCACTGGTCCTGCCGGCAATTCAGTCTGGCGGAACCGCGACGACGATGCCGCATGTAGGAGCAGAGGGTGCTGCGCCACAAGCATTGGGGCTTGTGGATGAGCTTGACGATCCTAGTCCGGGCCATTTGAGCGACATCCGCAAGCTCTTTCTTCGACGACGGATGTTCCGTCGAAGCCAATCTTTGGGAGCCTGGAGGAGCGGTTCACGAAGGCGGAGACGAATGCGGAGGGAAGCGCCGCCGGTCCGGAGGAGAAAAAGCAGAAGATAGAAGGATGACGACATGCTATGAGCGTAGATCAAGGCGTGTATTGCTACATTTCGACTGAGACGATAATTGCGTCGTCTCGCACCTTGCGATTGAAAGTATGGACCGAGCCAGGTGTTAGAGGAGATCATGTCATGTCTCGTTTGATCTTTTCGAGCATTGCATTCATGCGTAAGCGCATGTCGGGCTGACCTCGCCCACGGCCCCTAGTTTGACCACGACCTCGATTCGGGGAGTTTGCGCCCCCACGTCCACGGCCTCGACCTGAAGTTGTTGAGTGGCCACCTCGTGGCGCGTCGGATGCCCAACGGCGGGGTAGAGGACCGGATTTGTGTGGATGTGGCGATGTCTTGGAATAAGTCTGTTTCTGGAGGTTTCGTGAAGGAGGATCCGCTGCAGTGGTTTGTGGATGTGCGTGCTGCTGCCTCCTCGACCGCGATGGTCCAGGCTTGTCCGAGTGCTGTTCGTCTGCACTGCCATCGACACTTCCGCCGTCTTCATCGTTAGATTCCTGGCCAGAATCTCCGATGTCTGTCGAGGGGGACGCGCTACGGTCTTTGCGCGACATTTCTTCCCCGTTTCCGCGCCGCTAGACGAGGACGCATCGTCTTCGTGATGATCCGCCACTAATGCCTCGATCTGACTGCTTTTGGTTACAATGCCCTCCTTTCGCTTCTGTGCCTTCCACTGGCTCTTGATCTTTTGCGTCTCGACCCACGAGTGCTTGAGCTTCTTGGCTAGAAGTAGCGAGAATTTAGTTGGCATTCAGTGTCAGTGTCAAGGTGGTTCGCACCGCGATTTTCTGGGAGGTGGCGGAACGTCGGCGGCTTCCTCTTTTTTGAGCCGTCCGCGGTCTTCATGGCGTTTGTAAGGATGTGGTGCGTGGTATGGCTGGGGCGGGCCTTGTGAGAGGCGGGGAACGAGAAGAGATGGACTGGGATGGGCCGGCGCTGCGAAGATTTGGGAGGCGCGGATTACATAACTGTGGCTATAAGATGGCGGGGCCGCTTCGAGTCCTCTCAGCTCAGACCGTCGCACTCCCCACTCGATCTCTCTGTACCACCACCACAGCAGCCAACCCCACTCAGTCCATCTTCCACCACAGTTTCTGTCTCTTCACGACCGTCGCATGAGCGTGCAGAATCTTAACACCTTCGGTACGTCCATCCTCACCGCCTCTCAGCACGCGCTTATCGATCCTGTGCTGTGCCTCCTTCACTCGGTGCCTTTGCTGACTGGCCCATAGACCCCTTCGCAGACGAGGGCGACCCGCTCGGAAGCACCCAGGACGTTGGATCGCAGCAGAATTACATCCATATCCGCATTCAGCAGCGGAACGGTCGTAAGACCTTGACTACCTTGCAGGGTTTGCCCAAGGGTGCGTTCTTTCATTTTCTTTTGTGGCGAAGCGGCTTTACAAACCTCTCACGTTACAGAGTACGATGCTAAGAAGCTCCTGAAGGCATTCAAGAAGGTACGTCGGCTCGGCTGTGAGTAAGCATAGGAAGTGGCTGACTGTTTCTTTAGGAATTCGCTTGCAACGGCACTCTCGTTGATGATGAGGAGGCTGGCCAAGTCATCCAACTCCAGGGTGATCAGCGTCTGAAGATTTCCACCTTCCTCACCGAGGAGGGCATTCCAAGACCACCATCAAGATTCACGGGTTCTGATTTGTCTTGCGCCGAGGCGGAGGTGTAGAGCGTTGGCATAATGCGGTCTTTTACTAGTACTTCCATCATCGTCCCGCTCGTTCCTTCCTCGATTCAGCTTCACGACACACCTGTATGCGCCGTTCTATGGCCTTTCCTGCCGATCCTCCATTTCCGTTTGTACCATATGTCGAATGTCTACCGGACTTGCATGGCGTGTGTCGGGCACGTTCACGACCGCCAGTCAGCATTAGATGCCGCTTGATCCTCTGTGGTGCAGGTACGGACACATTGATATCGTGAGCAGTGTCTCTGGATCACACCGAAATACAGCCTGAGCAGCACAGGCTTGGATGGGGTATACACACTGCGCTGATCGGCCAACGATGATGACTGCATAAGTAATCAATGGTATTGGCCGAACTCACATCGGGCAGGACAAATGTGCGTCATAGATTATGTAGAAGCTCGTAATGATACAGTGACCGCGGCCCTGAACATACGTGTAGTAGTATTGTTCTCAGCACAGAAGGCAAGGCACGACTCAACTGCAGCGCGTTTGACCGACATTTAACCACAATGGCAGAATATGGAGCTTGAATACGCGGAGATGGACTTTACTTGATCTTGTCCAAAGGCCTGGAGACGTATGAGCGCAGGCCCAATTCCAATAGAGGGCGACGTACCGGTTGAAACCTCCGCGCCTGCAGATCGAGAGCAAACATCTCGTTGAGTTCATGACGTATATGCACTATGCAGCCAAAACGTACCTGTTCATGTACTGACGCCATGTGCGCATCTTTTTGACGTCCACTCCCCCCTCCTGGTTGCCATCTACGTGCTTGCCCTGATATGCGCGAAATGAAGATCTCCAATGACCAAGAACGACATGGATGCATACCTTGGTGGTCCCGAAGCCGGACATGCCCATCATAGCCATCATAGCGGTATCGTCTTCATTCGTAGCATCCATAGCCTCACCTTCCTCTCCATCCTCAATTGGCATCTCCGAGGGCTGCCGCGAGCGAGTGTCCGGGATGTCGCGGGACACGGGAGCTGGACGACATGAACATGCTATAGCAAGTAAACAGCAAGGACACCCACTGGCCTGCGAGCCACTCGCGTTCGCAACTGCTGGATCTCGCCTGTCATCTGTACGGCCGTCTCGGTCTCCTGCCTTCACGACGTGGTCTCGCGCGCGGTCACCATCTCGAAGGCTCTCCCTTTCTCGGGGAGGAGGATCTCTTCTGCCGTCGCGGTCACGACCGCTGTCTCGCCTGTCGTCCCGTCTTCGGTCGTCCCGCCTGTCCCGCTCCCTCCTGCTGTCGTCTTCTCTGTCACGGGCGTAGTCTCTACGGTCTGTATCACAATGAACGAACATTGGCATGTGCAGAACTTTCAGCAATACAGAGGCCGTACCGTATTCCCGTCTGTCCCGTTCGCCTCTCCTTGGTGGGCTCCGACTCCTCCTAGCGTCTCGCGGTCTGTCATAGCGATCACGGTCGCGGTCTCGTATAGGACTGCGCTCTTTCTTCTGAAGTCGTGTCGGGAGGACATGGTAGGGTGGTGGTAGCCGGGTGGTCGTGCCGCAGCCGCTCAAGCGTGGCTGATCATAACTTCAGTTTCCTGATGCGGATGCCTCGTGGCTACCACACGCCGCCCTATAACGTTAAGTCTTCCAGCAATAAGTGAAGGTGGCAAGCCCACTTATGTTGTACGCAATACAGTACAGCCTTCGAAGCAAAGCAAAGCACTAGGTCTTTTGTACATCTGATCATTTGCTGATTCGGATGCTTTTTCCAGGCAAATCTAGCTAATACAAACTCGGAGGTAGCAGTACAATGTGGTACCCCAGTTGCAAGAACTGCCGAGAAAGCACAACATCATGTAATAAAAGGGTATATATGTACGGTAGCGCAACGCAAAGGGGGTCATGAGCGAATCGTAAAGCAACGTAAGTAAACATGACAGAAGAGGTCATACGCGGCACCTTGGCATCTATACCAGATGAGTTGGACTCTACGCCGGCGGAGCAGACTTTTCTCCGACAGGGGCGGAAGGGGCAGCGGCGGCGGGTTCAGTGTCGGTGTACTTCCCCGACGCGAAACCGAATGTCGCGTAGTCGACGTCCATGAGATGCCAGAGGTAGAAGAACAGGAACACGGGGCCGGCGATAATGTCGAGAATGCCGTACCAGATCATCTCGGAGGAATTGGAGATGACGTTGCCACCCTCAGAGCACGCCCAGCAGATCGGGTACGTGATGAGCATGAAGGAAAGGAAGCTGGCGGAGCGGAGGTAGCCAGTGCGGAGGACGCCGCCGCCCGGGAACGCCGTCCTGGTACCGTGAATAAGGAGCGAGTACCTGCAATAGCAAGGTATTAAATGAACTGGCTGGCGTCTGATGAGCGAACTGACCAGACGTAGATGAGGGCAGCGCAACCGAAGGAGAAGTAACCCCACTTGTAGGTGCTGTGCACGAGTGCACCGACGAGGCCACTGATGACAACGACGATGCACATGAACAAGGTGGTCACGATGTCCGAGAGCGAGAGGCCGGTAGCAAGCAGCACCTCCAAGACGAGGAGGGGGAAGGTGATGAACCACTGGATGTAGCGGACATACTGGAGAGGACGTCAATGGCTGGCCATGCTCTCTAGTTGTGCGAATCACATACCCAAATCTGACGAGTAGGGTAGCTACCGCGTCCGCGGAACTCAACGGCGATGGGAGTAGCACCGAGATCAGAGGCCATTGAGTAGTAACCAAGGGTGAACGTAGCCAAGATTATGATGGCGAGTTGGTGGAACAAGCGGGTGCCTCTGGCGCGCTGAACCATAGTTATGAATCTCAAAGACTCCGCATGACGACAGACTGGGTCTCACCAGCAAGTCCAAGCCGACCATCACCAAGAGCGACAGACCAAACACGGAGAACGCCGACCACAACCAATCCGAGGCATGAGTGCTGATGTGGAGGTCAGCGTTGGGAGGGTTGAGCTGCAATGCCCTGTTTCCACCCATTGTGACGGAGCTGCACTGGCGAGGTGTAGTTACGAGAGATGTGGTGAATGGCTGGGAAGCCGATTACAGCTGGTCCTCGAGACTTGGGTAGCTGGGGTTCGGACGGGGCGAGGCGTGCGCGGGTTTTATACGCGAATTGCCTGCCATGTGGTCTCATCTGAGGGAATCGAACACCCCGGTCATAGCAGCAGAACAGCCTGGCGGCTAGACCATTAGTCATGGGGTCGTGCAGAGACATGTTTCGCTGAATGTTCTGGTCTCTCATGGACAGAGACGCGACCGTCTTCGTGAGCGTCTCGACGCACCCGGAGGCCGACGTATGTGAGCTCGTTGCGTCAGTGCGCCGCCTAACATCGCCCGAAGGGAAGCTGATCGACGCTGTGAGAGGCCCCAGACTCACCTAGGAACTCACAGCGCCGGTTCAGACATGAAGCCGGTATGCATCCTCGTCTGTTCCGCAGCACTTCTCAGTATTCTGGGCCGCGAGGATATCAGGTGTTGCATTGGAAACACTCACCTTGTAATCAAGAACCTCGGCCGAACGTGCGCGACAACCGCGCAGGTGTCTCGCGTTAAATCGAACTACACAAGGCGGTCAAATTGTCAGTACTAGTAGCTCACGTCACTCCCTTACATGGAAGCGCAACGAGCGGTCATGTACATGCTGGAGCACCGATGGAGGAAGTGCGAATGCGCCGGTGCTCGGAAGCTTCACGTTCTTGCATCGCAATGCAGTCCGATTGGCCAAAGGCTAGAAGCTGCACACGTTGCATCCATACGTGCGTATTGAAGATCACCTGTGGCAAGAACCGGGAAACGTGAGAGCTGATTGTGCGGTGAGTGGGAGCAGCGAAGGGTGGACTGAGAACGGGAAGAGGCTCGAATCTCAGGAGACGCGACGAAGACGCGACGGGGACAGTTGTAGACGCCCGTCAGACCGCCTGAGTCTCCGACGCGTCGGTCTCGTTTCCCACGCCCTCGTCCTCTGCCACCCATGGCCAGCGGCGTCGTCCAGAAACAACTCAAGGCGACCGCAGACAGGGCCTTGCGCTCCCAAACGAGCAGTGAGTCAATCCACTTTATCCGGTGATAACAGCGCACTGAACATGATATAGCCCCGAGTGGTTCATTTATCGTAGTAAAAATGTGCCCCGCAGTGCAATACCTGCAGACATAAAGCGGGTGTGTGTCAAGCACAAGATCATAGACAACATCTCTGATGGCAAGTCTCGCAGTGTGGATTCATACACTGGTTTGGCTACTCACAAGTCCATTTGCAGTTGTGTTGAACTATGCTCGCTTCTCGCCTTCTGGCAAGGCGTGGCTTACCCTCACCTCGCCCAACTTCTCACCCCACACTCTGAAAGCACTGAACGGCACCGTCCTCAGTGGAAAGCTCCTGGAAGTAACTGCAAAAGACCCGTGGAGTGGGCTCGAACCTCGCGCGCGTGGAGTGAAAGGCCGCTTGGAAGCCGCTGAGCGGGGCGTACTGAGCGGCAATGGACCAGGCGGCGGGACCTCTAGCCATGGAAGAGGCGTCGCGATATCCGGCTTTCCGGGTAAAATCACCGCGGAGGCTGTACAGGCGTACTTGGGCGACTTCAGGCTCGCATCATATGAAGGTGGGCAAAAGGAGGTCGTCAAGCTCGGTGTTCCGTACGTCTTCTCTTTTGGTCCGAAGATTTCTGCTGTTGATCGTCTTCGTAGCCAACGGAACATTGCCATGAAGGCACGGCTGTATGTTCGGTTGGCATCCGTTGCAGAGGCCCACCGCCTTGTCCGCCAGTTCCACATGACGTTCTTCGAACCCAAAGTGTATGGTACCAAGTATCCATTGCGAGCCCACGTTGTATACTAATACATCGACACTTACCTTCCACTCGCGATCGACATGTTCCAGCATATGATGCAGGACACTCGGCCTCGTCATTGTCGGTTGGACCTCTACGACGATAACTGGTCATACATGTTCATTGTCTTATTGTAGGTAACCAGGTAGGTGCACATATCAAAGCTAGGTGGACAGAATGCGACGAAGAGTCGCCGTGCCTATGTCCCTTCGTGTACTGAGCCCGCGCAGGAAATTATATTACTGATAATTGCGGTAAACGGATTGCTCTCTTCTTCAGTTCCGGGACTCTTGAGAAATCTCGTAGTCAATGGGCCTGACTTCGAGTGACTTTAGTACGGACGGACCCAAGCTTCCTGGGTTAATTCTCTGTTCCCATCGTTAGACCCGAGTCACTGACAGGGTATCACCGTTGTCCTTGCGTCGTCTGAAAATGTTGATGCCGAGAACTCTGTGCAAGAGCGGTCCATTCAGAGGCTGATGAAAATACAGTACAAGCAGAGGGCGATCCTTCACATCCGCGCATGGTCGTCGTCCATGCGTGCACGAGCCCCCTGTTGATTGAGACCGTAAGCAAGCAGGTCGAAGTGGCACTCACAATACATACCGCTCTCTCGTTGTCGCCCTGATCGTCCGGTGAACGAGCACGCTTAAGTGGGTTATCCGCTGTGCCTGCCTCCTTCCAGTCACCACCTCCACCGGCAACAGCACCAGGGCCCTCCTGAGCGTCAGCGTAACGCTCTTCGACTTCCCTCCGGCGCTCGATCTCCAGTCTCTGCGCCTGGGCACCCCAGCCTCCGCGGCCAGGATCATAGTCCTGACGATGCTCATCGCGCACCTGCATCGTCCGCATAAGAGCGAGCAACAACCCATGGGAGTACAACGACGCGCCTGCCCACCGCTCTTTCCGCGACCGAATTGTCGCCCCTCCCGGTAGCCAAGGTCGAGGTCGCACCGGATAATCCGCTCATCGAGCTTCGTCCCACTTACGTACCGTAGACATGCCAGCGCTTCCGCATGAGTATAGTATTCCACGAAGCAGAACCCGCAGGGTGTTCTGAACAGACCAGGCAGTCAGGCAGCCGGTCATGGCGCGTGGCAGAGCGCATGCATTCACCTTGTGTTTCTGTCCAATCCCATGATGATACGCTTGATGCCACCGCCCTCCTCCGGGCTGGTGCATTTTGAGAAAATCTCGTAGATCTGTTCTTCCGTCGTATAGAAACTCAAGTTACCAATCTGTGCACAGGGACGTCAGTGAGGGCAATGGTAAGACACAAGAGGCTGTATGCACATATAGGGTTGAGGACCTCGCCAAAAGCTCATTTTGCTTTTGACGGTCGAGCCGTGCTTGCGAGTCCTTGTAGTTGGATGGCTGGTCGAGGGGCGTTACGACGTGCGCCATGGGTCCTGAATGTGCTCCTCGTCGCTGTAAATTCCAAGGTCCTGACCAGAGTTAGGCGCCCGAGGAGCGGTAACTCATTACACGTGATCACGAAGTCGCGTCGAGCCGCGTCAGCGCAAGACGCGACAGTCTCTGGACGAGCCTTCCACCAGTGTCCTCTGCCCCAAGTCTGCCGCAAACATGGATGAAATTGGCATTGAAATCCAGAAGCAGGTGCACAGTACAGTCTTACGCGTTTGTGTCGTACCTCACCATGTCCACAGGAGCCAACCTTTGAGCATGTCGTAACCGAGAAGGCGGCACTCTTCCAGGAGCTTCAAGAGGAGGACTTGTACATCAAGTACAAGAAGCTGGCACGGCATCTAGAGATGCTAGACATCCAGGAGAGCTACATCAAAGATGAGCAGGCGAACTTGAAGCGCGAACTCATTCGCGCACAAGAGGAAGTCAAGCGAATCCAGTCCGTTCCTCTGGTCATTGGACAGTTCCTCGAGCCCATAGACCAGCAAACTGCTATCGTCGGCTCAACAACAGGGTCGAACTACGTCGTCCGCATCCTTTCGACTCTTGATCGCGAGTTGCTCAAGCCGTCTTCCTCCGTCGCGCTCCACCGGCATTCAAATGCCTTGGTCGACATCCTCCCACCGGAGGCCGACTCGTCGATCTCCATGCTCGGGAAGGAAGAGAGGCCAGATGTGGCGTACCAGGACATCGGTGGTATGGACTTGCAGAAGCAGGAGATTCGGGAGGCAGTCGAGCTGCCATTGACGCACTTCGATCTCTACAAGAAGATCGGTATTGACCCACCGCGTGGTGTACTGCTGTACGGTCCTCCGGGTATGTGTCTCCTGTCAACAAGTGATGCACCATGACTAAAGGCCCGTTTACTGCTAGGTACCGGCAAGACGATGCTCGTCAAAGCCGTGGCCCATCACACCACCGCATCCTTCATCCGTGTAGTCGGCAGTGAGTTCGTGCAAAAATACCTTGGTGAAGGTCCTCGCATGGTCCGCGACGTCTTCCGGCTCGCACGCGAAAATGCCCCCGCAATCATCTTCATCGACGAAATTGACGCCATCGCCACGAAACGTTTCGACGCACAGACGGGCGCCGACCGTGAAGTGCAGCGAATCTTGCTTGAACTGCTCAACCAGATGGACGGCTTCGACCAGGGTAGCAATGTCAAGGTGTGTGCTGCTCAGTCATTTCCCATTGGCGTTCCTCAAATCGCCGTGCTTTTCTAGGTCATCATGGCGACAAACCGAGCCGATACTTTGGACCCTGCTCTGCTCCGTCCCGGTCGTCTGGATCGGAAGATCGAGTTCCCGCTACCTTCGCGGCGCGAGAAACGTCTCATCTTCCAGACATGCACAAGCAAGATGAACCTGGGCCCGGACGTTGATCTCGAAGATTGTCAGTAATTATGGTGCCCGCTCACCGAGACTTATACTGACATTCCCATAGATGTCTCACGACCGGAGCGTTTATCCTCCGCAGAGATTGCGTCCATTGTTCAATCCGCAGGTCTGCACGGTACGTACTGAATTGAGAAACGGTGTACAATGTCAAAGATCTTGATGCTATGGATGATATAGCTGTCCGCAAGAACAGGTACGTAGTGCTACCAGCGGACTTCGAAGACGCGTGGAAGGTACGCGTTATTTGGCTTTATTTGTTCCCTGTCCGCGTGTCCATAAATTCTCATCTCTTCCTCTTCCCACCCACCAGGCGAACGTCAAGCGTGTCGACGAGACATTGGACTTCTGTACGTTCTTCACTTCTCTGCATGTATTTTTAGCTCGCTGATATCCCTCAACAGACCGGTGATTGTGTTACTGGTAAGCACGCCCCACTACCAGACATATCACACGACGTGCTGATACCACCGCGTCGACAGGCTCTCGTCTGTGTATCATTGGACAATGCAATTTTCTTCGCATCTTCTCTCTAAAGTCTTCTGTGTGCACCCTGGAGAAGCTCCTTCACTTTAGCGTCCCACCGCCGTCCCACGGAGTGGCGCTCATTCTTCCGAGCGAGATGTAAGACAGTTGTCTATCCCGTGTTTAGTTTTTCTGCCTCTTTCTCCGTCGAATACGTGGGCAGGTCCCAGACCTGCTCACATGGAGGAGCGGTTCACACGCGGGACACATTTCTTCGCGTGCTCTGACTATGTTTGACAAGCTCACCTGCGCAGCAGGTTCTGGATGTATATATGGTGCGTACCAGCATGTTCTATCGCTTTTTATCCCCCATTCATCATCGGATCTAGGTCGGAATATATTTAGTGTTGTGGGTACGTGATGTCAGTACGTGCGGTCGTGATCAGACTTAGTTCGCGCGCTTTTCCCCGGTCATCGCTCTCCAACACTCTGGGTGACGTTCATGTCTCACACGTTCATCCTCATTTTATGGGAGCAAGAGAGATATGTGCATCTTTCGCAGGATGTATTACCCGTTTCATTTACGATCCCCCAACGTGAGGGTGATCGAATACATTTGACGGTGACATCCATTGTCGAATTCTTTGTTTTCTTCGAGTACGTACGTCACTCCTACAAGTCGCCGTGTGTATGTAGAGTACATTGAATTATACATTATGCATCTGCTGGCAAACTTCCACTGGCTAATCACATCCACCGACTATCGAGGCTGATGGTGGCTAAGATTAGTGTTTGGCCGGTTGTCCCAATTCTGAGGCTCTCTCCGTGGCTACCTGTATGGCACGAGCGATTGTGGAACGTACTCGGCCGTCCTCCATGGCAAGCAGGCCTGCAATCGTACAACCTCCAGGAGCTAAAGGAAACTGATGTCATCCACAGGTCTAGCGATGCTGAGAAGTAGCAGGCGTACTGGTGACAGAATCCTTCAACTGGGCCGGATGCATGCCCAATTGAAGCGTCATGCGCGCAGCCCCTTGCAGCGCTAGCAACGACATCAATCAAGGTGACCGCTACGAGACCGGACTGCGGGACTCACTCTGTGCGGCGAGCTCCAGCGCCTCCGCGCGCGGCAGGCCCATCATGACGCCTCCGTCGGCCATCGCCTCTAGGAAGATGCAGGCAAAGGCGGGGCCCGACCCCGCGAGCGCCGTGCATGCGTCGAAGTGTTTCTCTTCCAGGATCCGGCAGCGGCCGATCGAGGAGAAGATGTTGAGGATGATGGACTTGTCTAGCTCCTGGGTCGAGGACGGGGGGAGGGTGCTGACGACCGTCATCCCTTCTCTAATCTGCAGGCAGTTAGGGCGTTCAGCGATACACGGGCGGTTAGAGACGTGAGCAGCGCACTTTACACGGCGTGTTGGGCATCGCCCGGATCACCTTCGTCGAGGGGAGGACCCATGCTGCGATCTGGGAGATGGTCACTCCCGCGAGAATGCTGATGAGGAGCTTGCCGTCTAGCGCCTCCTTCACCCCCGGTTCATTCAGGATGTTGTGTGCCTGCTGCGGCTTGCAGCTGCACGATCGAGCGCGATCTGCATGAGCCCCGCCAGACGTCTCGGCCGCGAAACAACTCACCAAAGGATGACTACGTCGGCTGACTGCACTGCCTGCGCATTTTGGCCTTTCACGATCTCGACCTGGTACCCGAGGGTGCTGGGGGAGTGGAATGCTGCGCGCAGCTTTTTGGCGCTGTCCTCGCTGCTGACGCACGCGAGGAAGCGCGAGGGGAGCGACTCGTCTTCAGGCTCGCGGGGAGTGAGCGTGCCCGGCGTGTGTGATTCCCACTTCGCGGCGGGGAGGAAGCCCGTCGCGGCCTTCGCGTCCAAGCTGGCTCGGACGCCGGAGATTATGGCGACGCCCATGGTGCCGCATCCTGGTCAGCTGGCCGTCAGTGCACAATGCAGCGTGGAGAGGGTGATGGGGACCTAGAACCAGAGAGTGTAGCCCATCGTGGGTGGCGCCGGGCAGGCAGATGCAGTAACGGTGCAGCGCTGTCAGAGGCACTAAAAGCAGGGATGAGGACAGCGTCCGACGCAGAGGGCACCGCAGCCATGTCTGACCCTCCCAGCACACCTCCGGCCGAGTCGGGCCCCCCGCCTGAGTCATCTCCGCGCAAAAAACATGCCTTTGTGACTGTCGGCTCTACCCGCTTCGATGCGCTCGTCCAGGCCGTCCAGACGGACGCGGTGTTGGCCGCGCTGCGCACGCGGGCGGTCTCAGGCGTGACGGTGCAGGGCGGCGAGGCGGTCAGGGAGTTCAGCCCCGAGCAGCTGCAGGCGGCGACCACGCGTGGCGCACGGTACGGGATCGACGTGGAGGCGTATGCGTACCGGCCTCGCTTCAGGACGACTACGAACGGGCGGATCTGGTGATAAGCCATGCGGGTACGACCCCCGCGTCCACCGCGCAGTGTGCTGGGCTAACGCGCACACAGGCTCCGGCACATCCTCGACGTCCTCCGCCTCAGGAAACCGCTCATCGTGGTCCCCAACCCCTCTCTGCTCGACAACCACCAGCAGGAGCTTGCGGACGCACTCGCGGACCTCGGTCATCTCAGAACTTGCACGGTCGAGTGAGCTCTCTTCGTTCTCTGCACACGACCTTCCCACCCACACGCTTCTGCAGCACCCTCGCGCACACCCTCGAGTCGCTCGACGAGGCTTCGCTTGTTCCGTTTCCCCAGTTCGACGGCAGCAGGTTCCGCGAGATGTTGGATGAGGAGATGGGCTACCCGCCCGACGACCCGCCGGAATGATGGTGTGCGCGTCCGCGACGCGTCTTCCCCGCCAACCCCCACCACTGCTTATCCGTGCCACTGCACACTGGTATTTTATCTGTACGACACATATATCACTGCCCGAGCATAACTCTATCAGCAATACATGCCTGCTGCCACCGCCGTCAAGGCTGTCACCGTGTCGGATGACCCGCAGGTGTACGAAGACGCGCACGTCCACTCGGTGTACGACGAGATCGCGCCCCACTTCTCGTCCACCCGTTACAAGGTATGTTTTCCGAGTGTCCAACCGCTTCACTCATGGAGCAAAGGTAATATTGGCTAGCCGTGGCCCATCATAGCACAGTTCCTCTCGTCGTTGCCCGCCGGGTGGGTGGATTGACTCGGACAGGTAACGGGAAGTACCTACCACTGCCCAAGACAGGCCAGGAAGCGTATGGACTATCGGACTCGACAGGAGTCGGAACCTGCTGGAGATCGCACAGGGCGCGGGTGGCACGCGTCGGGAGTGGTATGGGGGAAGTCCTCGAGAGACGTGGAGGGCAGGAGCATTCGTTCGTACGCTCGAGGTTATGCATACTTGTGGCTGGAGGACTAATTTGTCTGGAGTAGGACTACGCCATTTCGATCGCGACATCCATCACCTGTCCACTCCCGCAAGGCGCAAGTGGCAGTACGGTGCCTCTATGCCGTCTTTTCTGTCGTAGAGGTTTATAGCTCTGCAGCGCTGATGAATGCATATCGCCCTCTCATGGTCGTGCTCTGATCTACGTCTGGGCCATCGAGCAAGACGAGTCTCAAGCGGAATATCCCAACGACTCTAGTAGCGAACCACCAAGCTGATGCACAGGCGGAGGGACAAGACGTCTTCGTCCATGGGTCCTATCCTCCCAGACGGCGAAAAACAAGCCGCACCTCCCGCCGGAGGGGACAGCAAGCCGTCCCAGTCTTCAACAGTACTATCATATGTTCGCCCAAGGAGAACTGAGGCACTGGTAGAGAAGCAGCGCAGGACATGGGTCTGGTAGTCGGTAGTAGGGTGAGGACAGGGTCGGAGCGGCGGTCTTGTTCGTGGACTGGAGTCGTCCAGGATGGCTGGGAAAGGTCAAACTACTACGTAGAAGTGAGGCGTTGGGAATGCATCTCTTGATGTCTTGCAATCCGCTGCCATGTGGCAATTGAGTCGTCGTTCCTCACGAGAATTTTGCAGTCGCACTCGAAAGACTGCTGGCTTTGCGCACCAGCATATTCCATGAAGATCCATGCGGGACGTTTTGCGTGGTGTAAAGCAATGTAAATGCGGGATAGTATACAGCAAACTACGCATCCGAGCCTACTCGCTGGCCGCCATGACTGTTCGCGCACCGCATCAGCTTCCGACACCAGCAGACCAGACACAACCACTCACTAGCATTGATGAGATCGCCACCGCTCTCCTTCAGCACACGTACGGCCTTCGCGCGTGAGCAGCCGACCTGCTGCATGACGAGCTCGATGTCCTTCGGCTCCACGCCCGTCTCGTCCACAGGACCCTCCTCCTGCACCTCCTCGAGCTCGGGGATGTCGTCGTCGTCGTCATCGTCGCCGCCAGTCACGCCGGAGGCGTCGAGGCTGGGCACGCCCGCGCCGCCGCTCGCGAGCTGCTGCGCGGCGGAGAGCTGGGCAGCCTGGTTCATGTCCTCGATCTAGTGGGAAGGGTGTGAGCGTGCGGGAGAGCATGATGGGGATGGGGCGTCACCTTCGCCTCGCCGAACACGATGTAGCAGTCGCTGTTGGGCGACTTGTACACGTCGGGGGTGGCGATCACGAACAGGACCTGCGTCGCGCGCGCCAGACTGTCAGCTTTGCACTGTAAGTCGAGTGCGCTGCGAACGTACGTTTTTTGGCCTCCGGAGCGTCACCCGCGTGATGCCCTCCACCTTCTTGAGGCCCAAGCCGAGCAGCGCCTTGCGCGCCTTGCGCTCGGAGCGCGACTGGATCTTGTCGAGGGCAGCCTGCGAGGTCGGGTCGTCGTGGTCGTGGTCGTGATCATGGTCGTGATCGTGCTCGTGCTCCGAGTGGTCGGAGGAGACCTCTTCGATGGTGGCAGACATCTGGGGGAGGCGACGCGTCAGACTCGGAGCGTGTCGCGGCGGTACATCCAGGTCAGAGGCGAGCCATCCATCGTCAGATGCGACGGCTTCTCGCTGAAACTGCACAGACGAGACAGAGGCGTGCAAGACGGACTCACAGCGATCTTTTCTTTTGGGATAAGTCGGGGGCCGAGCTCGATGCGATGGACGACGAAGAACAGGTGCGCGACGTGGTAACCCTAACCTCATAGACACCGCCACCAGGGCGCTTCGACGTCGCGGAGTGATTCCGAATTCGCGAACAACATCTTCCCTCAACGCTGTCTTTCTCAGTTGCGATCTTGTGAGTCAGAAAGCCTTGGGCTGCGCCTGTCGTTGTAATATATCAGGCAAGTAAGGTTCATTTGTTCATTCACAGTTCTGGTAGCAGTCGAAAGGACGAATACTTACTTGCTGGGCTTCCACATCCGATAGCGATATCCTTTCTTCCTTCTCTCACCCAACTGTCACCTAAACAGACATTCAAAGTCTTACAGCTTGTCGTCTAGTCATAATCCGCGCCTCACAGGATGAATCCCGACGGTATAGAGAGTAGTCGGGATGTACCAGGTCAAGAGGAAGTGTGCATTGAATCGCGTGCCAATCTTCACGAGGTACGCAGCTGCCAGCAATCTTATCGATACTGCAAGACATAACTTCACTGACCAGTACACGGATCTGTTGCTGCTACAGGAGACCCCGGCTTCGTATCACCCTTCCGCCTCAATTCGTAGTCTGCCCCCCGAGATACTGACGGAGATATTCTCAAACGCTGTCTCGGCCACGTCGCCCGAACTAGGTGTCATGGATGTTTCTCAGGACATCACTACGCTGAGCCACGTCTGTTCGTACTGGCGCGGAGTGGCCGAGCACGACGCGAGGCTATGGTCGACCATAGTCATCCGCGGAACAACATCCGGTGACAAGTCTCGTCTGGAAGAGCACCTGCGACGATCGTGCACATGGCCCATCCATGTCATCATCGCGCCCCTCCACATCCTGGACGACGATTTCCGTGGCTGCATAACGGGCTTACACCCTCACATGCACCGTATCAAGCGGCTGTTCGTGAAGATGAAAAACAGCTGGGTTATGGAAAACGTCATCGACTGTCTCACAAAGCCTGCCGTCCAACTCGAAGAGCTCACTCTCGGCCTCGTGCGGCCTGAGCCCGATGTCGACGCACTCGCAACACCCTTCGACTTTGAAGCACCATATTGCTATGCCCCGGAACCCAAAGCGGCAGCGCTCTTTGACGGGAACACCCCCGCATTGCGTTTGGTCTGTCTGATATCCGTATCACTATCCTCACATCCACCCATTATGCGGAAGCTACGGCACCTAACGTGGAATGACGAAATAGAATGCTACCCCTCCGTTTATCCTCGACATTACGAAGTAGCGCCAGGAGCTCGAACAATATTCGATGTTCATGCGATATGACCCCGACTGGCTTGTCGGGCGGGACGTAATGGCATGCACCGACGCACCGACGAGGGCGCGGTCTCTCTCCCTGTCTGGAACCGCCTTGTCTATATCGCTCAGCACATGTCGTGCGTGGACCTCTCCTTCGCGCGACTCTCCGTCCCTGGGCCCACCCAGTTCACCTCCCACTTGCTGGTTGCGAACGCTCGTGCCTAGAGCTCGGCGTTCTTCGCAATCTGCTCAACCACCAATATCCTCTCGATGCGCACCCTCGGTTAACACGCGTCCTCCCCCGCTCGGCTCACCAACAAGGAGCACACCACTGACAATGGAACAATGACGGAGGACTCCGCGCACCTTCTCACCCGCGACTGTGGAATCAGAAGGCCGCAAGCAGTTTGTCATGCTTGGAATTGCCGACCTGTCGTCTGTCCTTGTGTTGTTCTTCCTCGAGCCAGGACTGCCCGGCTTAATACCCACACCGCACACTCATTATCCATGGCATACCGTTCGATTTATGACGCGAAAGCTCCGGCTCCTCCTCTCGCGCTTCACCCGGAACGCGCACACTCTGCGTCTCGTCGACCTCGCTGCGCAGAGTGTCGCCAGATGTCTCTGCGCTCTCCTATCCGCGACCGTCTGTGCAAGGTCAGCGCCCGTCGCCAATCCTTCCGCACCTGGCGACGCTTGCGATCGTCCGGCCCGTGGGAGGGTACGACAAGCCATCGCGGAAGTACATGGACCAGCATAGCAAGTCGGAGATGGTGAAGGTGGTGGGCGTGCAGGGCTCGGGCCTGACGATGCATTGGGACGTCTGCGCACCTTCTGCACAGCGAAGGTGACTGAAGATAGTGTGCCGCGACAGGGTGCCTCCTTCCGCCGAGTATGTCGAGTTGATCTCTTCCGTGGTGATCCGTTTGCATGATCCCTTAGTACCCTTGTATTCATAGACGCGTCTGGCACCGCCGCCGACGTCTGCACAGTGTCAGAGACGAGACGCTCTTTCATCATTCACCAAAATAATCAAGTACTCGCTGTGTAGAGTCGCTACCGTATCTTTATCTTCTCGATTCGTGTTCATTATGGGAGAGGCCTCCCTGAGCTACGCCAGACCGTGCCTACGCATACGTATTCCTACGTATTCGCATTTACTTGCTAGTGTAGTGAACGTTTGAATTTGAACGTTTGAACCGCAATCTTCAATAAGTAACGATCACGTGCGCCACGCGCACTACTCGAGGCCAAAAAGCGCGTCGCGTCACTCAGATATTCACGCACACAGTTAGTCTCCGTAGCTGACCGCACACAGTTGATCTTGAACTGCCTGGAACGAGGCTTCGACTCATCTATATTCTCTTCATACAATACTGTGTTTTCTAGCTGCGATCTGGTGCGCTACAAGCTCAGAAGGCCTCATATCGTGCTTGTTCCACCACTGTCTCAGGCAAGTGAAGTTCCGATGTCGACTTGTTCAGTACCGGTGCCAGCAGTCGAATGGATGATCACATGGATGCCCTATGTGTCGGGAATGCTAAGGACTGGCGTACTGTACATAGCCGCGCAGCGGCGCTTGCTGGGCTTCCACGTCGATATTGAAACTCATTCCTCCTTCTCTCCTCTGATCACGACTCGGAGTCTTACCGCAGCCTCATCGTCTAGTCACTACCTGTCCCCGCAGCATGGATCCCGACGGCGTCGAGAGTGTTGGATTCTATCAAGTCAGGAGAAAGTGCTCGTTGATTCGAGTGCCATCTCCACGAGGTACGCAGCAATTTCTTCGATGAGGCAAGACAGAACCTCACTGACCAGCACACGGTGCTGCTACAGAGGACCCCGGCATCGTATCGTTGCCCCGTCTCAATCCATAGGTTGCCCACCGAGATTGTGACGGAAATATTGTCAACTGCTGTCTCAGCCACCTCGCCTGGGCCGGTATCATCTACATCTCTCAGGACATCATTACACTGAGCCACGTCTGTTCGTACTGGCGCGGGGTGGCCGACCAGGATGCGAGGCTATGGTCGACGATACTCGTCCGCGGCACGACGTCCGGTGACAAGACACGTCTGGCAGAGTATCTGCGACGGTCGTGCGCGTATCCCATCCATGTCATCATCACGCCCCTACACGTCCTGGACGACGATTTCCGTGGCTGCATCGTGAGCCTCCAACCCCACATGCATCGCATCAAACGACTGTTCGTGAAGATGAAGAACAGCTGGGTTATGGAAAACGTCATCGGCTGTCTCACGCAGCCCGCCGCCCAGCTCGCAGAGCTCACTCTCGGCCTCGTCCCGCCTGTGTCCTGGGTCAATGGATTGACAACGGCCTTCGACGCACGGGCGCCATACTGCCACGCCCCAACATCTACGCTGTTCGACGGAAACACCCCTGCATTGCGTTCTCTCTGCCTGTCGTCCGTGTCGCTGCCCTCACTCTTTGTGCAGAACCTGCGGCACCTGACACTGCATGTCAGTTTCCAAAGCTATCAGTCCGTTGACGAGGTTCTCGGCGTGCTCGAGGAGTGTCCTGAGCTCGAGTCCCTTACTGTGCGATACTCTCCTGACTGGGTTTTCGGGCGGGTCCCGACGAACCGACTTATACCCCTACGCGCAGATGAAGTCAGAGTCTCTCTCCCTGCTCTAAGACGCCTCGTTCTCACTGGTCAGCTCATTTCATATGTTAGCTACCTGCTCGCGCGACTCTCCATCCCTGGGCCCACCAAGTTCACCTTCCACATGCTGGTCGCGGATGTTCGTGCCAACCAATAGACCCAGGCGTGTTCTTCAAAACCTGCGCGTCCACCACTATCTTCTCCTCGCTGCGCATCCTCGACGTTTGCGCGTCTTCTTCCCCCCTTCGGCTCGTCGCCAAGGGTTACAACACTGACATCGGCCCGATGTTGCAGAAACCTGCGACCATAGAATCAGAAGGCTCCGAGCCGTCCCTCACGCTTCAGTTCCTCAATTTGCATCCTCTCGACGCGCTCGCCTTGCTCGCGTTGGGCCTCGCGCGGCAACGCGGCACACCCACGATGCACACGCTCATCGTCCGTGGCACCCCGCTCGACGTGTCGACTCACGTGCGCTGGCGGCACCTCTTCCGCGCTAGGCCCGCACGCAATCTGTGCACCCTGCGACTCATCGGGCTCCCCACGCGGAGCATCCAGGAATGTCTCTATGTGCTCTCCTACCCGTTGAAGTCCGTGGAAGAGCTACGCGCTGAGCCGCTCCTCCCGCATCTGGCGACGCTTGTGATCGTCCGGCCCGTGGGGGTGTTCAACAAGCAGCTGCGGAAGGTGCTGGGGAAGGCGGTGCGGTACATGAGCCGGCAGGGTAGCTGGAGACGCTGGAGGTGGTGGGTGTGCAGGGCCGCCTGAAGACGGCTTGGAGGCGTCTGCGCACATTCTGCACAGTGAAGGTGTCTGAGGATCATGCTTTGTGAAGGGGCCTTGCAGTATGTTGAGTCGATCTCTTCTGTCGTGATCCGTCTGCGTGATCCTCATTTTCCTCCTTGTAAGCGCTGTCTTCGCATCTGTGAAGCCTAGGGAAGCGACAGGCGGGCCAGGGCTGTAAAAGACACGGTAGACTGTTTCTATGTGATCGGAATCACTCACCTCGCGGAACGGTGGAGAAATAATCAATCTTGGTCGAGGAGGAAATTGATCAATCACCTTCCAGTTCGTCTCACAGTAATGTACACTCGACCTGTGCTACTTGATGCGTCCAACCCTCAGCCATGCACCTACTTCTGCTGCCCCGGATACGGCTTGTAGTCGACCTCCTTCGCCTCGAAGACGATCCCCTTCTTCGTCTCCTCCCACGCATCCGCGTCCTCTCGCTTTTCATACGGCGGCAAGTAGCCCTTCCTCAGCTCGCGCTTCCTCTTTGTGTCCATGCCCGAACGCTCGTCGCGCGCCTTCACCATCTCCGGGGGCGGGCCCTGGCCGTCGGCGGTGTACGAGGTCATGAGCTGGGGCGGGCCGAGGGGGAGGTCGGGGTGGATGTCGACGGGCCAGGTGTGGATGGTCTTGCCGTACGTGCGCTGGATCTCGAGGATGGCGGGCTGCTCCGCGAGGTCGGTGACGGCGCCGTTGAGGTGAGTGTTCGCCTGCATCTGGAGGAAGCCGGACTCGACCTCGTACTTGTGCGAGTGCCAGAGCGGCTTCTCGGCGGCGGGGAGGGCGTCGAAGAGCTGCTCGGAGACGATGTACTCGATGCCGATGAGCTTGGCGGAGGGCGCGTCGGAGTCGTAGATGATGCATTGGTGGAAGTCGGGCGAGAGGTGGGTGCAGTAGTGGTGCGCCTCGAGGTGGCGGGTGCGGTCTTGTCTGGAAGGGCGGAGTCAGTGCGAGACAGCGAGTGACTATGTGAGCGAGACTCACGAGTAAACATGGAATGCACAGAGGTGCTGGTGAATAGCGTTGATGGGCTTGAAGGTCATCATTGCGGTGCCCGCTGCGCTGTACGGCGCGGAGTGGTAGAGCGAGTGCTTTGTTTCCGTGTCCATGTTGTGCGTAGTAGCTGGAGAGGTGGTGGGATGGTTCTGAAGTCAAGAGTAATGTTCGCGCGAGGTTGACCTAGTATGTAGTGCAAGGAGCTCCAGCCACTACCATGACGTCGTGCAGACATCATCCTGGGCGTGGATGTAGCGGCTGCCGCGTCGTGAATAGAGCATGGAGTAGGAGCACTGGCCTATTTCCGGGCTACATCTTGGACAACGCTAGGTCCGACTTGGATGTAGCAGGGGCGATTGGCAATTTGGCGGCAGCCGTTGTACGTCGTGGACGTAATGATCGCATGCGTGCGTCAACGTACCGCCTAGAGACCGGGAAAAGGAACTCGCAAGAACCGTCATTTGAGCGTGTCGCTCTCGTGCACGGTCGTCGGGCTGCGCCAAGAGCAGGCTGAGGGTGAGAGACAAGTGAGGAGGAGGTACGGAGAGCTGTGGACTTGGACCGGGGCTTAGCGCGCCATCGACCCTGCTCGATCGTGATCGCGATTGAGGCACCTGGCAGCGGGAGGCAGCGGGCGGTCGCAAGACAGAGCCATGTGCTGCTGTCCCCGTCCACACTGTCCCCCACTGTCCCCCTCGCGCTTTTCCACCTGCCGCAGTCCATCCACACGCACATCTTCCCAGGTATTCGCCGCCCACATACCCAGGCGCCGATCGCAACTGCCGACGCGCGTGGTTATTTGTCTTCGCCACTAGAACTTTACCAGAAGATCTCCCGTCTGCATCACTTCGAATTCCTCCAGCTTCCTCCGTACCCGGAGCACTTCGCCGCCATGCATCAAGACACCGCAACACACGACCTATATAGCCCAGCCTACCCTCTCGCGACCGCTCACGGATGTTTCATCTTCATCCCCTCCTCCTGCGCGCCGTCCTGGGCAGCCATGGCAGATAACCCAGAGATCTCCCAGCTCATCTCGGTCAATCTTGCCACTGTTTGCATCGAGAGCCTCCTCTACGGCATCTTCTTCGTCCTCTATGGCGCCTCTACCTACCTCCTCATCCGCCAGAGTAGAGCGAAAGTGGCTGCCGAGGGCAAGCACTCCAGCAAGTCGGTGTACAGGGCACCCATGTTCATCGCGGCAAACAGCATCTTCCTCACAGTGACTGGTGTGAGTGCTCGCCGTCCCTGCACACCTCGATTATAACCAACTGAACGTCACTTGAAGCACTGGGTCCTCACTGTCTACAGGCTATTTGAAGCTTTCGTCAACTTCCGCGGCGGAACGGCCGCGCTGTTCTTCTACGCAGACATTGCACTCCCCTCCGAGGTCGCTAAATCCGCTCTTTTGGTCGCTACTGTTATTGTATCTGATGCAATGATTGTACGTGGTTATTTCGCTTACACCCTTCTCGAATTCACATCGTGGCGCAGATATACCGCCTGTACATCATCTGGGGCTACAACAAAGCGATCATCGTTCTCCCCGTTCTCACCTGGTTTGGTCTGATTGGTAGGTGCCTCTTCGGTGAGCTCTTCGATGCGAGTGTCTGATGGTACGACTTCCAGCCGTCGGTGTCGGTGTCTGCTGGCGTTTCTCCTTGTACAAGCTCGGCGACAACGTCTACAGTGGCCAGACCGGACGATGGATCACCGCCGACTGTTTCTTTACCCTCGCGTATGTAGCCGTTCGCCTATAGTGCCAGTCCTTGCTGACATTGCGCTTACCCACATAGTACGAACGTGTATTGTACAGGTAACGTCCCCGCCCTCCTCCCCTCACCCCTGCTCCTGACCCTCCCCACAGTCTGCATCTCCTACCGCGTCTTCCGCACGCGCCTCCGCGCGCGGAGCCATCCCTCGCTCGCCTCGCCCAACCTCCTCTCCGCGCTCGCGATCCTCGTCGAGTCCGCCGCGCTGCACACCGCGTGGAACGCGACCTTCCTCGGCGCCTTCCAGCGCGCGTCCGCGTTCCAGTTCACCGCGATCGACGTCTGGTCGCCCGTCGCGGGCACCGCGTTCATGCTCATCAACCTCCGCGTCGCCCTCGGCTGGGCGCAGCGCGCGCACACCTCCGCGTCGTCCTCGGGCTTCGTCGCCGGCGCCGCGTCCATCGGCACCTTCTCCGGCGGCCGGCCCCTGAGCGGCGACGGCGTCGGCCGGGAATCGAAGTCGAGGCGGCCCTCGTACCCGTACGGCGCGCCGCCCCCGCCGAGCGCAGCGCACACGTACGCGCCGCGCGCCCGCGGTTCTCGTACCGCAGCGAGTGGGAGCGGGCGCGCGCAGAGAGGGAGGGCGACCCGTGGCAGGACCAGCCGTGGGTCGTCCACGCGCAGCCGCACCCGTACGCGGCGGCGGCGGGCGTCCCGCTGGCGGTGAGTGTGACGAGGGTGGTGGACCGCGTGGACGACAGGGCTCGTCGCTTGACGAGGAGAAGCAGAGGTGGGTCGTGGGCGAGGCGGTGTAGTACCTTCTATAGATGAGGGTCCCAGTGAATTGATGTTGTAGAGTACTGTACGCCTCGGATTCATGTTCGTTCAAGGTTGGTGTGTTACGACTCCAGAACTCGGCTCGAAGTGTCCTCATGCAAACATCACATGTATTATCATCAAACCACTTGAAGCAAACATTGACGGAGATCCACAATCCACAGTGTACTACTACTATGGATACGAAAGACGTCGTTTTTAGAGTCCGTCTACTGGAGACTAGATTTGAGTACAAATCCCATCTTTGAATCTACCGCACCAAGGCTGCGCACACGCAGACCGTCACATACCTGCAAGTTCGGGCCCGCAAGGATTCCGGAATGCGCCTCAACCCTAGACAAACTCCACTGTGCAAAATTGGCCCAAAACTTCTTCGTTCACCTCCGAGCGCTGATCTGCCAGGAGTACCAACCTCTTGAGCCCCCGTCGACGCTGAGACGCTGTACTGTTTCTCCAACCTAGCCTTCATCTCCTTAGCGAACTTCGACCCACTCAGAATTTTTAGATCATGCAGCCCTGGGCATGGCAGGAGCGGCCAGCGTTACCGAGCGCGTCATCCTCCTCGGTGCCATCCTCCTCCACTGGCAACGGGCAGAGGGCGCGAAGACATACGAGTACATGTGCGGGGTAGACAGCAAGATGGAGGGTGCGCAGCTGGGGCATGGCGCTGAAGAGCCCTGCCCAATCAGCCTGCGACGATATCCCAATCTTGCGACCCCCAACTGCGAGCGTATGCACCAGACTGAACGGGGGTCTGCCTCTGTGCGTTCGTGCGAAGTGTGCGACAAGACATTCCGAGGACCGCCGGCCGCACAGCTGTATTGTCAGCGCAGGCTCAGAGCGAATGTGCCCGTTATTCGTCGGCACCGCGTCCAGGCCAGTGTACCAACTGAAGGAGCTGCCCATCCTTTTGCCTGTCACCCGCAGGGTGTGGGCGGAAGAAAGTGTGTGGATAGAGTCGTGGCCCGCAGGGGGCAACAGCTTGTCGTCCGCACTCAAACGTGCGTTCCAGATGTTCTGATCGGTGTCGAGACCGTAGGTGATATCGATCTTGGTTGGCCCCGGAAGGCGAAGGTGCTTGAGGAGGTGGCCAACGAACATGGGCTGCTGCCACTCAAGGGTAAGGGACAGAAGGGCGGGGAGAGTAATCGCCCTGTCCAGATGGGCCGGTGGCTGGGGCGAGGACAAAAATGTGCTGAAACTGCTCATGGACAGGGTCTCAAGACCAGGGCAATTTCCAAAACGTCGAGGAATGCGTCCATATGAGTTATAGGCATAGTCTGCCTGACAAGGGTGAAATGTCGCAAGTTCCGTAGTGTGGTAGGAATCGACAAGTTGGATACTTCGGATAGATAGAGGGAGCGCAAGAGCGGAGTATGGCCACCAAACAGGTCGCACGCGTGTGACTGGAAGGGTGAGACGGAAGATGCTTCAGAGTCAGAGTCGTCGGACTCGAAGGGATCGACTTCGAGGCGTAGATCCTCGAGTCGGACAGCAGCCGTTCGGAGGCGAGTCAAACAATGGAGCATTTGGTCGACGGTTTCCGTTTGTAACCAAAACGTCTGGATGCGATGCAGGTGAGCTTGCAGGGTCTCGATACACGCGAGCATGCTTGACTGTGGAAGATGGCCAATGTTGACGAACAGGGGATGTGATCGTGATCGGCGTAGGTATTCCGTCATACGCGGAACACAGCTAGTCTGCAGTGTATCCGATTCGGGGTCACACTCGATCCATACTGTGGCCCAGAGTCTCGCATCGTCTAGGGCAACCGCACGCCAGTGTGTACAGACGTGAGTCAGGGAGATGAGGCGAGCAATGACCGTAGGCGAAGATATGCGCCAGAATATGTCTGCAAGGAGCTCGCTCGGAAGGCGGTTGATTGTCACAGAACGATTCCGCAGGGCCCGCATCTTCTGCATCAGCGCAGCGGTTCGTTTCATGGAGTCTTCAGCTTGTCGGAGGGCATCGTCTATAGCGGGGCGTACAACATCGCTTGCCAGTGAAGATCCATCTAGAGTGGCAAGTAATTCGGCGCAAGCTTGTTCCTGACATGGATTGGGCCTGTAGATCTGAGCCACTGCAAGGCCAAGGCTTTCCGCAAAGTCAATATTACAGTAAACTCCGATATGACAAAAATTGCAGCGAACCTGATCAACAATTCATAGGGGTCTGAGGCTGACATTCTCTATCGGCCGACTCTTACTGCCCAAGTACCGGTAGTATGCCGACTCAGACTGAGTGGCGCAGTACAACACGTCAGTGACAAAGGGAGGTCACCTCGTCCTGGAATAGGTTCAAGAACTTGTAAGGTTGGAATAAAGAAGTATACATTTGTCTCACTTACCAGGACTCGATTGTCAGCTCCCTGTGATAGCTTGGAGTCGCAGACCAACGAATCCCAGGGTGGTTCGAGTCTTCTCGCTACCCGGGCCGCCTGAGTTGCGTGACGAGGTTGAGCGTCTGACGCGACGTGCCCACGCCACAAACGCGTCCAGGACGCGTCGCGCGTTCACTTCGGAATCCTCCGAGCCGGTGCTCTGAGTCGAATACGGTGACTTGTTACAGAGATATAGTAAGTACGATGTCTGCGTCAGGCATGACATTGATAGATCGCGGACACACATCTACGACAACCTGCCGGTTAGTACTGGCTATAAGAGATACAAGTGTGTAAATGTGGACCAGCAGCTGCGTCTATTAAGTGTCACCTACAATGATCTCTACCGTGCAGAACTGACCCACGAGCTCCTCATTCACCTTTGGGCGTGCCCTAGGCTTTCTGACCAATTGCAGCCTCTCCAGTGCGCCCTTCGCACTCAAGTGCTGCAAGGTCCGCTCCAGTACTGCCCTCAACTCCTTATCAACAAAGTTGCTCTCGTGAACCTTCATAGTTTCCAACCCAACCAGGAGTTGTGTGCCGTCCCCAAATGCCTGATCTTCTGCGACCTCCGACGGGCAGAGCGCGCGAAAGCATGACAGCAGGGACCTACGTGGTATCCGGAAGAGATGGAGGGTCCGTAGCCTGAGCATGGCGCCGAAGATATGTGCCCAATCATCAGACGACAATGTCAGGTCGGTGCAGTCGAAAATCAGCGTGTGGACCACGCTGAATGGGACGGCGCCCCTATGTGCCTGCATGAAGCTTGTCATCACATGCGCGAGCGAAGGACGCCGGCCGTCCAGCGTGATAGTCAGCGCGGGCTCAGTGCAAGGTGACAGCCCGGGTGAGACAGTGATCGGGTCCCGGTCTGTTTGGATGTACCCTTCGAAAGAGATATTGGGGTGGGTCATGATCCGCAAGGTGTGGATGGAGGAAAGGGTGTAAATGGAGTCGTTCCCCGTAGGTCGCAGCAGTCTGTTGTCTAGTATGATTAACTGCGCGCCCGGTCCCTCGGCTTCTAAATGTTGATCGACATCTACAATGAGGCGAAGCTTGGTAGGCCGTGGAAGGTGAGCGTGAGCGAGGAGGAGGCTGGAAAACATGGGCTGTTGCCAAGCGATAGCCAAGGTCTGAAGAGCGGAGAGAGAAACGACCCTGTCTGTACGGGTAGGTGGCAGGGGGGAAGACGGGAATCGGCCATGACTCTGCACGGAGAGCATCTCAAGATCCGGGCAATTGTCCAGGACATCGAGAAATGTGTCCATGTGGGTGATGGGCATATTCTGCTTGTGGAGAGTAAGGTGTCGCAGGTTTCGCAGTATGACAGAGTTTAGCGGGATAGTCACAAGCGATAGGCGGAGGGAATGTAATAATGGAGTATGTCCCTCAAAGAACACATGCCGTGGCGGCCACAATGTCAAAGAAGTATATCTTCTTCGAATCAGTGACGTGTGCGAGGCATCGAGATCCAGTTCCTCAAGCTGTGCGGCGACCGTCCGGAGGCTCGATATGACAATTCGCATGATACTGTCGGTTTCCACCCGTATGCGTAGTTTTTGAATGCGATGCAGGTGAGGATGGAGAGTCTCGATACAGCCGTCCGCATTGGATTCTGAGAGTTCGTGGATGCGGATATCGAGGGGATGTGATTTTGATCGGTATAGATACTCCATTACACGCCTCTTGTCGTCGAATTCGTCCCACTCGTGTTCTTCGGGGCTCACAATCCGGATGGTCGCCCATAGTCTCGCAGCATCTAGAGCCACTGTACGCCAGTGCCTACAGACGTGGGTTACACATATGAGCCCATAGTAGTGCTGGAACCGACGGTGTTTTGCCCTCCAAACCAGTGCGGCTACGCGCCAGAATATCTCGACAAGGAGCTCTGCTGGCAGGCGATTGATACGGACAGATGAGTTCTGCAGGGTCCGCATCTTCTGCATCAGCGCATCGGCTCGTTTTATGGATCCCTCTACTAGCTGTAGGGCGTCATCCATGGCAGGCTGTACGACATCATTTGGCAATCCATCGAGGCTGGCGAGTAGTTCAGCACAAGCCTGTTCCTGACCTGGATTAGGCCCGTAGCTTCGAGATATCGCAAGGCTAAAACTGACCATGAATTCAACATCATGCTAGGGTACAACAAGAAGTGATGCGAACTTAGCCAACTTAGAATCACCATTCTCTATCATCGATCGACCGGTACACGCTTCAGTGGCTTGAATATGGCCGGCGACTCAGCGACGCGGTATAGTATGTCGAGAGCTAAAATTGGCTGGAGAAGTTGTAGGATTGTGAACAAGTATGAGAAAAGCACTTCGCTCACCAGCAATCGCCAATTGTCAACATGTCAACGCTGCGGGGGCAACCAAGGGGCAGCTCCTCAATTCAAGCGCCGACTGCATTTAGGTTGGCGAAGGCGCCCGTCATTGTACAATTCACATGTTCCTCAGCCGCTCCGAGTCGCTCAGAATATATCCACTCGAATTCGCTCGTGTTGCGTGAATCCGAGTCTACGTCGGCGGGAAATTGAACTCTCCAATTGCGTACTCCCAATACACTCCGCCTGACGCTTGATTCGGAAACCGACCAAGAGCTTCTTGCAATTCACCACCTCACAATCTGGGTCCCGCTGGTCCGTACTTGCACTGTAAGAAAGTGCGGATCTCCTGGCCTAAACATTCAATCAGTCTCCGCGTCGGTTGCATCAGCAACATGACATCACGAACAGATACTCACCCAGCTCTCGAGGAGTTTCCTGCACGATCAGATGCCCCGCGTCAGGGAAAACGACATTGGACGAGTTCACTGGTCGCCGCCAGACAGTCATTTCGCGTATCCCATCCTCTCTGAACAATCAGTGTTAATGCGCCTTCGTATGATGCACTGTAAGACCAAGGGTGCACGAACCTCTTGCCTTCCTTTCCCGAAACGACGAAGCGGAGCTCGATGCGTTCGTCCAGCTCGTCCATAAGGTCCCATGTCTCATACATAGAAAGAACATCGGAGTATCCCAGTGCCTCCTAGCGCGGTCATCACGATCGATGGATACATTACACATCGCATGATGCAAACTTACCTGTATAGGGGGTGTTTTCAGCTTGACACCAAAGGAGTCTTCTGGACCCGTGCACAATGCGTGCTCAACATAGTTGTCGAATACCTGCGGATCCCATGTCTGGAAAAAAGACGATGCGCGAAAGGCTTTACGAGCAGCCTCCCTGGGCCATGCATGAGCATACGCACTATACCATATCGATACGTACAACAGCTCAAAACATACCGCGATGGCCACCTACTTGAGCGCTTGAGCGCATTCACAATGTAAGGGAATGCGCGCTCGTCGACGGCGGATCCAGTACGAGGGTAGGGTACAATAGCAGGCTCGATGAGAATCAGGGAGGAGAAAAGAACAGGGACATCAACCGCGGCGCGGGCTCTATAGGCATCTTTCACAATCAGACTGCTTGGACGGACTGCGGCTGGTCCCAGGAATACTCACATTGAACAGCCGCCGAGCGAATGGCCAACACCGACGAGAACCCGCTCTTGGAAGCCATGAGATCGTCGGTACTGGGAGATATGATCAGGCACGCGAGGTAGATGTGTAGGGAGAGCGGGCAAGGAGGAGTGCTCTGGCAAGTAATGCAAGAGGAACTGGAGTAAATCGCGCGCATTATCCTGACAATCAACTGCGACTAGTCAAATTCCTGTGGGCTATATCGTCTATTGCGACAGAGACTTACAGATACTGCTTAGATTCTGCTCGTTGACTAGAGCCGCATCGCCGTGGTTAACAGCTTCCCAGGCCCAAATTTCGTCCACGAGATTTTGAGAACTTATATTGGCTTGTCTCTGAGCTTGTATGAGATGTGAGATCACGGGTTCCCAGATCTGCAAAGCTCCTGAATATCAGTGATTGCCACAAAGACTATGTCGGCCACTAGAGGTAGTACCTCCTTGGGAAACCCGTTGGCAGCCACGAGCAACAACGTTGTACCCTTGTTCGCGACGTTTTCGATTGCCTCCCGTCTCACATACCGATTGAGGCATACCGATAGCGGTCTCGTACTATTCGGTGCTGTGAGCTCTCCGTTCCATTGCGTGTATCGCATCGCTACAAGCGCGTTCGCGGTCTCGAACGCAGCTGCATCCCGCTCCTTTTTGTCCATGGATGGAGGAGGAGCGACCGGTAGAGGCATGTCTGGGCTTGATCTAGGGAGAGCGGCAAGTATAAGATGAGTCGTCAACACAAATGATGAATGGGGGAGGGCCTTGGGGGGAAAAGGAAGAGATGGTAGATCGGCTGACGCTTGGAGGGCATCCTGCAGCGGAAGTAATTTCCGTATACTTTCTGGTGGACAACGGCGACCGGACGAGCTTCTGCGCATTGATGAATTGGACCGTGGTGCGTCTTCCATACCGCGCTTCACTTGGTTGGTAACTGTGGGGCGTGCATAAGGGTGGTCGGCGGCAATACCGATACCGATAGACAGCCTGGACGTCCAAATCAGGTTTCTTTGGGCCATGCAGGAGAGGAGTAGGAATTGCCTACGTACTGGATATGAGACTGGTAGAGTGCACAAACGAACATCGACGTACCATCCGCGCAGATACATATATCATTCTCTAGCACGGACGTTGGACTCTTCCGACGGGGCACAACGAGCACCGAAGCATGACGAAGGATTTCGCGGTGCCATCTTGTGTACGCCAGCCGAGCTTCAGCCAAACCTCAATTCCGAAGAAAGAGAACCGAACTCAATTCCCCGAGGCTGGTGACGGCCAGTCGCGAAAGACCGAGAATGGTGCAACACGGCCGAGCGCGGGTACTAATACCGTGGCTGTCAGCCTGTTCCCGGCCAGTGGTCGGATCTGGCGCGTCCTGTCACAATCCCGTGATATCGGAGTCGTGTCAAGTCACATATAATCCTGACGCGTCTCTGATGGGCTTTGACAGCTGTACCGTCTTGCTCAGACCAGAGCAAAAGAGAGTCGGTAGAACTTACCAGGTTAAGAATGCAGAAGAATCGTACGCCCTGGTCATGAGGAGGCATTGAAAGATGCCTGTCCAAAGTCAAGCTTGATCTTGAACCCGACCTGACCCCAAGTTGCGACGACCCATCGCTAGTTGCGTAGCGGATGGATTTATGTCACCCCCCTGCGAGTGAGATGTATTTAAGATGACGTCGCACGCCTTCCTGTAACTCAATCGACAATAAGTGAGATTGAAGAGATCGGTCGCCCGGTCTTCGACATAAGGTCTGGTTCACGGGATGGTATCGTGAGCACACCCACGCTTGGCCTACCTATCCTGAAATTTCCGCCGCCTTCTTGAGCTTGTCCCACACGATGTCATCATTACGGGTATATAGTTCTCACATACATCAAAGTTTTGATTGCAGCGAACTGTACTTGCGCTCTACAAAAGCGAAGAGTTCTTTGCCTATGAGAACAAACGAACAGATGGGGGTCATACTCCGAATACCTGTTACCACGAATCACTCACCTAAGTCCTCAGGTGCTTCCATCACAATCAGATGGCCTGCTTCAGTGAACACGACATTGGAGCAATTCATCGGTCGTCGCCAGGATGTAGTTTCCCTAAACCATTCCTCTCTGACACACGTACAGATCAGGCTTGGCTGGGAAGTTGAAGAATCGGACCGTGAACCTCACCCTTTACCGATTTTCCCGGCGAGAATCCACCTGATCTCGACTCCCTCATCGAGCGTATCTATCATGTCCCATGCTTCGTACATTGTCAGCATGTCCGTGTAGGTCATGGCCTCCTGGGAAAAGCATAGAGTTCATTACTGATAAAACTACGCCACAATGATGAAATAGACAAACCTGAGTACCGGGCATCTTCAGCGTGATCCTCCCGTTTAGATCATCACACAATCCGCATTCTACGTAGATGGATAATGCATCCGTGTCCCACGTAGAGAAGAAAGGAGAGGCCGAGAGGGCCCTACGTGCCTCCTCACTAGTGGATGACCTGAGCACATCCGATCCCTGCATAGTAGTTATTTGACTTACCGAGAAGGCCACCAACTCTCGCGTTTTATAGCGTAAACAAGATAAGGGACTGTCCTTTTGTCGACCAGAGGTCCCGAGCCTGGGTAGGCCACAATACCTGCCTCTACAAGGATCAACGATGAGAATACAGTCGGCTCTGCGATTGCGAGACGTGCACTGCGGTGACAAAACACCGTCAGCGGGGCGGTTTCCCTTGCGATCATCACATACATTGAGCATCCTCCGAGTGAGTGGCCTACGCCAACCAACTGGCGGCCCTCGAATCCACGCGATCTGCGGCTCGCGGCCACGCTTTCCGGTAGTCGCTCGAGGTGGACTGGCAACGCTGCGGACGATGGTTGCGACGGTAGGTAGTATAGAATGAATTGCAGAATGTCACGGGCGTTATCCCTGCCATCGACTGCAGCACGAAACTTAGATTAGCCTGAGAGCATGGAATGACGATGTTGATTTGCGCACACAAGCATGTGGCGTCCCTTCCATTGATCAGGGCCGCGTCGCCATGATTCCATGGCTCCCAGGACCATATCTCGTCTACCCTGATATCGGATGACGAGTTCCTCTGCGCATGGATCATATGGAGAATAGTAGGCTCCCAGATCTATGTAACGGTCAGCGGAATTGTCCGGCCTGTGAGACTGCGAGATATTACCTCCTTGTGGTATCCGTTCGCATGCGTGAGCACAAGCGTGATACCCTTGCTGCCGTCCGCGTCGTTCAGATCCCGTCTGACATAGCGGTTCACGCAAGCCCACAGAGGCTTCGTGCTGTTAGGTAGATCCAGCTTGCCGTCCCAGTATCTATCCCTTAGGGCAATCATCTCCCTGGCAAGAGAAATGGCAGCGGCATTTGCCACTGGCCCGCGTGCCGGGGTATCTGGTTGAGGAACCTCTGGAGTGGATCGAGGTAAAGCAACGGGCACTAGATGTGTCGTCAGTATGTAGGACGGATCGGAGAATGTCCGCGGAGGCGAAGACAGCGGTGGAGGGGCCGGTAACTCGGGTAAAGGTTCGAGAGGGAGCAAGTCTCTGAGAGGACGAGGGCATCGTCGTTGAGCCGAATGCTCGGGCCTAGGATAAGAAAAGGTCTTCATGAGTCGCAGACAGCTGCAGACGTTCAGTTGAGATGATCTTCTAGAGGTGACACCTGAGAGAACGCTTATGCCTGGCTCAGTCAGGATTAAGTACGAGTTATAACTTAGTAGCTGCGCACCTCGTGTCAATGCGAGCGCACACCGCTCCCGCAAGAGCTCAGGACGTGCGTACACTACAATCCAGTGTACCGGGTCCGTGGAGGCAGATCACACACCAGCTGATTTCTTCCCTTTTCTTCCACGGTCATGCAGCGGGACCATTTCGGTCGGGCGAAGCGCGCCTGAGACGTCGGCATCTTATTCGGCAAAACATCCATAGTCTAGGTCCATATGGGTTGATTCTATCGCTCTTCAGAGCTTTTGAAGGCTTCAAGCCAGTCAGCAGCGTACACACCGAGTTCACATCTTCCAAACCTTCATTCGTACACACTAGCCGTCCTCGCGAATTTGAGATGAGCATAGTTTCTGAGCTCCTATGCCAATCACTACCACGATGTCAGTCCATGGCGCGGGATGTCTCGGAACGTCAGCAACTCCGGTCGGTTTCAGTGGCCCACAAAGATTTAAGACACTGAAGACACATCCAAGACTGGAAGTCAGCGAACCTTAGCCATGTCGCCGATCACTGACAAACTCACATGTGGAAACGAGGTCGTTCGGCCATGTGCAACAGTGACACGACGGATCTCAAACCAACTCACGATTGAACCTCGTCACGCAGCCGGGACAGCTCTGGCTTTCGCGAAAGAGGCAAGGCGGTAGGTATACTACACCCGATATCCTACAACACTTTAGATGTCAATGCAGTAACTTGATTAAGCCTGTAGATAAATGTTGAACCCCGCAGGAAGGCAGCCTAGCTTGAAGCAACCCGAGACGGCTACAAGCGCGACGTGACCGAACCATACTGGTGCTGCAAAAACGCATCCACTTCTTCAGCTGTCCCAAACCCCAAAATCAGTTCTATCCCGCTTCGCCAACGCAAGAGCATGAGTCCATCTACTCACCAAGCTGCAAGGGGGCCTCCTGCGCGATCAAGTGACCCGCCTCCCGTATGATCACGTTGTTCGCGTTCTCTGGCCTCCGCCACGCGGTTTGTGCGCGGACCCCGCCGTCGCTGCGGCGGCCGTCAGCGCCGACATACGGAACAGGAGCGAGAAATTGCGCTGACTTCTCTACGTCCTTCCCCGGGAGAACCCACTGCAGTGGGATGCGCGGGTCAAGCGTGTCGATGAGGTCCCATGTGTCGTACGTCGTCATCACCTCCGTGAAGGTGAGCGCTTCCTGGGCGAGGGGTCAGAGTTTCGACGGGTGAGGGCGGGATGATGTGATGCGCACATGGATGCCGGGCATCTTGAGCGTCACGCCGCCGTTGGGATCCTCGGTCAGCCCGCACTCGACGTAGATGTCGAGCACATCAGGGTGCCACGCGGCAAAGAACGGTGACGACAAGAACTTTTCCTTCGCTTCCCGACTTCGGCGGTCTGTCAGGTACCGCGTGCTGAGTCTCATACACATGGACGTACCGGGACGCCCAGCGACTCTGGCGTTGGATCGCACCAATGGTAAGTTTCATGGTCGCAGCTCCGAGCAGTGGGCCCTTGCTTGGGTAGGGACGGATGATAGGGTCCACGAGAACGAGCGAGGTGAAGAGGGCTTGTTCTGCGATGGCGGCGCGGGCGCTATACAATCCACGAGCACCATTAGGTCGGGTGATGATGGAGAAGGCAGATGAGCTTACAGAGTACCCCCACCGAGCGAGTGGCCAACACCAACCATTGTCCGCTCGGAGAACCCACGCGAGCGTCGTTCATGGGCAATGCTGTCAGACAATCGAGGAAGGTGCGTTGGAAGCTCGGAGGACGATGCGCGCGAGGGTAGGTAACGCAGTAGGAACTGCAATACGTCTCGGGAATTGTCCTGCCAATCGTCTGTCCGAAGTCAGAACTGCGCACGACGAGAGCCGTCCGGACAAACTCACAGATTCCACCCAAATTCTTTTCATTCACGAGATAGGAGTCACCATGGTTGACCGCCTCCCATGCCCACACCTCTGCAATCTGGTAGCTCGAATGAGATGCTTTGCGCTGCTCAAGTAGACCAAGGAGGGCAGGCTCCCAGATCTGCAGCAGGCAGAAGCGTGTAAGAATGCTGTTTGCAGTACGCAAATCATGGCCCACACCTCCTTGGGGAACCCGTTGGCATGCGTGAACAGAAGTGTGACACCCTTGGCCTCTTCCTCCTGCGAGAGATTTCTTCTCCTGTACCGGTTAAGACACACCCAGAGCGGTTTGCGGCTCCCAGGCTCCTTCAACTCGCCGTTCCACTGCTTGTACCGTACGCCCACGATCTCGTCTGCCGTCTTCTGTACCGCCTCTTTCCACTTCCCCTTGTCTGCAGTCCATGCAGGCAATATGACTGGCGGTATGTCTGGTGTAGTCCGTGGCAGCGCAGCAGGGACAATGTGCGTTGAGAGTACCCAGGACGCATCAGAGAATGTTCGCGGTCGAGACGGGAGAGCCGGCGAGGCCCCCCAATCCGCCGTATCATCTATAGGTACCAGCTGCCTCGGTGTATGCGGGCACAATCGACCTGGAAGTATGGCTGGACGCGGATGGAAGGGTCGAGCCATGGCTGCAGCGTTTGCAATACTATCCAAGTCGGTGTCGGAAACGCAAGAGACGTCGCAGACAACATTAGATCATACCTTCTAAACGTAAGAGTCTTCAGCAACCGTATGATGGAAGCACCCACTGCCGTCGTACCTTCGATGAATGCAAATGGATGACCGCGTGAAAGACGATACCATCCCCCTAAGTCGCGAGGCTAGAGCCTGTGGCTGGGAACACGCTCACGCTGGGGAGCAGCATCGCACGATGGACAAGTGTGCATGAGATTTCGCGGGACACGGGAGTTCTGCCTCTCCGGACCAGCGCGCGCGGGGCTCGTGATCGCCTGAGCATCGCAGACGCGACGCGACGCGTCGACGGTCGACCGTGTCTTGAACTCAGCCACCATGCCGCCTCCGAGCCTCACCATCCTTCGCAGCTACGCGCGACGCGCGGACCCAGGGTCGCTCCCGCCTTCAATATTGCTCACCCACACGGAGCACACGCTCACAATCTTCGACGCGTATCCGAAGTCGATCTTTCATTTCCTCGTCCTTCCACGCGTCATTCCGCCTTTGACCGCCTCGGACCTCTCCAGCTTCAAAAGCGTCCTCAAAGGGGACAAGTCTCGAGCAAAGGAAGTGATCGGATGGCTTGCGGAGGACGCAAAGCAGGTGCGGTCGATGATTGAGGACGAGATGATGACGCGGTATCACTGCAAGTGGGACGTCTGGATGGGCTTTCACGCAGTGCCTTCCATGGAGTAAGTCTCCGTCTCCGGACGAGCGCGACACCCAAACCGTGCTCGTACTGACACTGAGTTCTCCAGGCACATACACTTGCATGTCCTCTCCGCGGATCTCTGTTCGCCTTCCATGAAGAACAAGAAGCATTACAACTCCTTCCATCCAAAACGCGGGTTCTTCGTACCACTTTCGGTTGTCCAAGAATGGTTGGAGGCCGAGCCGTCTTACTTTGCCACGGTAAGTGGTCCCTCCAAACCCTATCACCACCACGAGGATTGGCAAGGCAACATGCCTGCCTGCTCAAGATACTGTAATAGCACTGAGGTGCCCCGCTGACTTTCATGCAGATGTCGCAACTCAAGCCGAGCCAATATGAGCCTCTGCTGAAGGAGCAACTCGAGTGCTGGAAGTGCAACAGGGAATTCAAGACCATGCCGCTCCTGAAGGCGCACCTGCAAGGAGAATGGGAAGCAGAGGCGAAGCAAGAAAAGGCCAAACTGGAAAGGAAACGCAAACGAACACCCGATGAACAAGAAAACCTTGAAGGGAACGCGGATAGTAAAGAAGACGAGCCGAACCACAAACGACAAGCACAGGCACACTCTGGGTCTCCTGTCGCTTCATCGTAGCTTCCTTCTACGTCCTTCAGCTGTTGGTCCAGGTCGAGTCGGATGTCAGTTCAGAGATAACGTCTATTGTTCTCATGACAGTACATCAGTTACACGGCAGCACCTTGCCACCATCTACACGCTTTTTACGGTATTTGTATTCAGAGATCAGTTATGCATGCTCCATTCCCTTCTCCCTTCACTGCGGCTTCGGCTTGCGATTGTGCTCCGTCGACTCACGGATGGCCCAGGTGAGCTGGTACGTCCTGCAAGCATCTGCAGGATACAAAAGCGGTCAATGGCAAGAACAACACTACGGGACGACTGGACGTACCCTCGAAGGTGCTCAGGATCGTCGAAGTCTCCGGGTCCTCCTCAATGTCCTCGACGTTGTCGATCAACACGGAGATCTAGATTGGCGTTCATAGCCGATGAGATGCAGAACATTGTACACTCGACTGTGAGGAACGCACCTCGGAGAAGAATGGGTCGTCGTCGGGGAAACGATGCGACTCTTCGTGGTCGCTGCCCGGCTTGCGGATGTACAGAACCGGCTGCACGTATGGGTTGACGAGCCTTCACGGAATACTGTCAACGACGAGGTCGACGTAGATATGAACGTATCCCAACTTACTTGAGCTGGTACCCGTCCGCGTAGACTTCGAGCTCGCAGCTGTAGTCGTGGCCCTGGAGCGCGACCAGGTGAGTGAAGCTGCCTACAGCACCGCTCTCGTATTTCCTACAAAGTGCAGCCCAGTCAGCCTCGTATGTGCGGGGCCAGCTGGTGTGAGGGGGACGCACCAGGTTGCGGATGTGACACGGGGGATGCGGTTCTCAGGCGGGATCGCGGTCTCGTCGACGACCATTTTCGAGAGGTGGCCGGCGTTCTCGTCCCACTCGAGCGAGTGCGCCTGGACGGTCGACATGTCGACATCTCCGCCGAAGTAGCGCGACAGGTCGCAGAAGTGCGTGCCCTGCTCGACGATGGGGCCAGCGCTACAAAGACGGTCAGAGAGCGAGTCCGAGACTGCCAGGGTTAGACATACCTCTTGGACTTGTCCCACCAGTCCGGCTTGGCGATGGCTTCGTACGCGCAGGCATAGCGCGCGATGGTGGCCATGACGGTCAAATTGTTCTCCTCGATGATCTGCTTCATCATCTGTACGGCCTTCAAATACCTCAACATGTAGCTACCAACGCCGACATTGTGGAAGTCAGTATACTCTGTTTCGTGAGAGACCGTCTGCGCGAGACGCACCCAACGGAGCAGACCGTCTGGCTATCGGTGATAGCCTTTGAGACCTTGAACGCCTCCTCAATCTCGCTCGACGGACCCGTTGCAACCGGTTTCTCCACAAAGAGCGCGACGCCGGGGAAGTGCTTGAGCACCTGAAGCTCAATGTCGCGCCCGGACTGGGTGGTCCCGCGGAACATGGGCGGGCTGCCGATGACGACCGCGCGGGGCATGTCCTTGCGGGTCATGTTCTTGACGAAGTCATCGAGCGTCTTGAAGACGCGGGTGTGCTCGTACGCGGAGCGCACGAACGTGTCGCACTTCTTCTGGAGGACCGCCGTCGCGCGGTCGATGGCGGGGTCGATCAGCGCGACGACCTTGAGGCGCGGGCCGAGTTTGCTGCGAGGATGCGGGTGAGCGTCACGCTACGGCTAGTTCGGTGAGTCGACCAACTGTTCGAAGCGGAAGGAGTGGTTCCAGGGGCCTTCATCAGAGCCTGCATGAAGTGTTAGCTGTCTGAATAAGCGATGCTATCGAGAGGGAGGTGTGCGCACCGAACATGATGTTCCCCGCTCCGACGAAAAGGACGTTGAAGTCATCGGGGCCGGCGAGATGCGATGTCCTGCAATGCGAGAGATCAATGTCAATACAGACATCCCGAGTCTGAATGGTAGGAACAGTCTAAGATCGCTTCTCTGGATCGCAAACGGGAGTGGCAGGGCAAATCAAAAGTCCCGCAACGAGGTGAACGGCGATCGCCCGTGCCCTCGGTAGCAATCATTTCGAATAGCAGAGATCAAGGATCGGCGAGGGAACGCATACTGAACTTGTCCATGGGCATCAGCCTCGACGGGTCAATTGAAGGGCGGCGGGAGGACATCTCGGACTGCCTCCTCTCCAGGATGGAGGGTCGCCGGCTGCCAATGACCGGGGAGTCGAGGATGGCGGCAGAGGGGCGACGGGAAGCCATGTTGGTCGCGGTTCGTTGAGTCTGAGGGGAGGCGGCGAAATGGAGATGAGAGCAGGAAGCAAAGGAGCAGCCCGCGCCTGTGGTGGAGGTTGGTGTGGTAGCTTATATGCCCAGATGATGGAGATAAGATTCAGGGATGATGGGGACGGAGTGGTCTGTACGTCGACGGGCGATCCACTCGCGCCTGGAGCTGAGCATGGGACGCGTGCGATGCGGGTGGGCAGCGTGCACTCGTGTCCCCACTGTCTCAGCTCCGGGATTCGTGCACAACAGTCTTCTGGGCTCGGCACACAGGCTAGCTCGGATTACAAGGGAACTCCAACTTTGTTCAAAGACCAGACGATTCATGCAAGTGTGCCAAACTATACTCGTAGACTTCCGTAACGTACAATTACCACTGTGAGAAGCGAAAAGGCATCCGAGGGAACGCGCCGGATGGGGGTATGGAGCGGTGGATTCAATGCGCTGCAGCAGCGGCAAAGACGGGGGACCAACGTTGGGGGTGTGGTCATGACGAAGGGGGATTCCTTTCCTGCTCGCGCGCGGCTCTCTGCGCCAGCTCCTGCTGCCTGCGCTCAGCTGCTTCCAGCCGCGCCGTCATCGCACGCAACTCTGCCTGCAACTTTTCGTTCTCCTGCGTGAGCTTGAGGACGTTGCTCGCGCGCTTCTGCACGATCTGCATCCTATGAACCGCCCGTGTCAATCCAGGTGGACGAGACGCGTTGGTCGCTGAGACTTACTCGGCTGGCTCGTCGCGCGACTGCGGCTCGGACAGAATCGACTCGAACGTGGTCGTGAGGTCGAAATCCGACTGAGGCAGGTCGAGGTCCGGGAGATGCGGCGACGTCTTGGGCTTGGTCGTATCCGTGGTCGGTGCGCCGGCAGGTTCACCGCCGCGTTGTGTGAAATGCTCCCTGCGAAGTTAGGCATGAACGCCACGACGTTTCCAGACAGATCCAACCAACCCCAAATCATGTTCGACGGTGCGTGCAGGCTGGTCGCGGATGGGAGCCATGGCGGTGAAGGCGGATGGTGTCAGAGTGCGTGAGATGAGTTGGTTGTCAGAGTTGCCATTGCATGTCCGCGACGGTCTGGGGAACGCTCGCGGCTCTGATCATGATGAGATCTCCTTGCTCGGCCCGTGACTCAACCAGCCGACGCGTCTGCCACTTCTTGGACCACCAGCTCCGCGGATTATGCATTAGGCGTACTTACGAACAAGCAGAGCGCGCAAAGTACTCGACGAACAGTCTAAAGAAACGAGCCTGCTTCCTTGTAACTTAGTGAATGAAGGACTACCCCGCATCCGCAACCGCGGTGCTAACAGGAGGTACAGAGATCCAAGCGCACTGGACCCTGGGGACAGTCAGGACTGGGATGTAGGGACTAACATGCAGCACATCTTGTAGTCGACTCGTCGTCGCTTGCCGGTCTGTACAGGCAACTTCATTGCTGTGACATGTTCGCCGGCGACAACACATTCTCGGATTTGATGGCTTGAGCGGCCATTGCGAACAAGCACTCCGAGATGGTGATGGTGTACACCGTGTAGCGGAATGAGATTCGTGACCGAAGAACAGAACAATGATACAGCGATGTAAGTGCGACGCATATGGAGTCTACTTTTGGTATGACCAGGCATTCCGGAGGACTGCAAGCTATATTAGCACAAGGACAAGGGAAGTGAGTTGGTAAATACGCACGGCCCGCCTTCGTCGCCAATCGATTCAGCGAGTCGTCGCTCTCGCCCATTGCGCGGACCTGGCCGCACAAGGCGAAGGTCGTGCCAGTCTGGAGAGCCCGGCCGTCCTGGTCGACGTCGCAGATCGTGAGCTGCACGGACGCATGGTCCTTGGCAGTAATAAGTCGGTCTAGAGAAATGCCAGTTAGGCTACACAGAACACTTTAGAACGGTGTATGAACTCACTGGTCGCCGCGCACTTGCGGGGGACGTAGAGATCGACGAGAACACCCTATTCGATGCGGACTCCGTTAGAACAATGGATCCAGCCGTTCGGAAAGCTACAACGGACCTGGTCGTTTTCCATCTTGAGTTGCGGCGCGTCGGCTGGGCTGAACGGTACGGCGGGTGTGCGCGACGATGAACGGTAAAATTAGAGTTACGAGCTGTACAGTTGCCACTTCCTGCTTGGCTTCATTTGTCCTCCTTCCCTAAAAGGGCAGGAGGGACGAAGAACCCCGTGATTCTGAGTCATGTGAGGTGACGCGCCCCTACCTCTTTAGACGCCCGGTGCGCTCAATAGCAAGGCTGCCGTTGCGCAGGAGTACTACGACTTAGAAAGGGTCCTCACGTCCCTGCTCTGCACTCGCGGCGCTGTTTGCTAGCTCGCCCATTCTGCTTGCAATTGAACTACCACGTACCATTGCGGAACACTAGCTTATCCTACGGTCATCTAGACCCGCGGCCGCGAAGCTGCGCGGCAACTGCGTACGCAGCGCACAGCGCGAACACTCCTAGTAGCACATAAGCTCGAACAAAGCCTTCATGGGCGGTGGTCCTCAACCAGTCTCCTTCGACGGTTCTCTATCCACCCTCTCTGTCCGTATTGGCCATTTACGCACGTTACTCCTCGCTTAGACGTACTGATCACAACAGGTCGACTCCATGGTTGAGATTAAGCACGAGCCTCCGAATAGCCCTGGGGTGCAGAGTCCTAGCACTCCTGACGACAGCAAACATCGTCTGATCTACAGCAAATCCAAAGTCTATGTGAATCCCACGGCGTACGCTAGAGACAACATCGCAGGGTTCGTCGCGCTTGTCAAGCGGGTCTGTGCATTCTCTGTGCCGCGAGGACAATATCTCATTGAATGGCCAGGAAGCAGTAAATCCGAGCTACCTTCTTGCTTGGATACCAGAAACCTTGTTATATGAGAAGGGCCAGAGCGAGTGGGACAAGTTCACCAAGATCGAGGACAGTACCGGCGTGGACGATGAGGATGAAGGTGTGTACACACCGGCCTTTCCGCACCACACTTGCTCAACCTTCTCCTTGTGTAGATGCTGTTTTGATCGACCTCCCAACCCGTCCAGAGTCATACGCGTTCTCTGTGCCGATTACCTCGATATATTCCCTAATCGTGCATTCCCCCTCTTTGTCTTCTTGGCGTGCGTATACCCGCGCCACATCTGACTTGTTGTCTGCCTAACCTTTAGAACAGATGGATCTATCTCAATCAACCTCATCAATGGGTCTACGCTTCCTACGCTCTATTTCCATGATGACGAGTCCCGTTCGTTCACCATGGCCGCGAAGTCTCCGACCGAGAACCAGCCCAGCACCTCCACGTATCCTCCAGCGCCGTCAGAGGCGACACCTGCTCCGAAGTCGGGTGTGTCCTGGGGTGGAGACGACTTATTGAGCCGCATGCGTCACTACGCGAATATCATGCGTTCGAATATCGAGCCGACTCTGCACTTGGTAGATCCGTCTCGCGAAGACATGGAGACCCACTCGACGCAACTGTTCTCGGACACAGCCGTCGACGACATCCTCGCTCAGTCATCCTACGGCAACTCTCACTCACCGGTCCCCGCTCATCGCCGCCCACGGCCCGTCTCCTCTCCTAATCCGTACTCTGCTCGTTCTTCAATCCTGCATCGCTCCCTTCCGTCACCCTCCTCACCCACCGCGTCCTCTTTACAAGCGCGCATGGCGCTTTTACAGTCCTTCTCGCACATCACCCGCCACGCCGCCCACGCTGCACAGCAAATCCTCTCTCACCCGCTCGCTAAGCCGATTGTCCCGCACTTGCCCGACCCCGTCAAGAGCCTCGTCAACGCGAACGGCGAGTGGGAATGGGGGAGCTGGGTCGAGAAGGGCGGCGTGGGCGAGTTCGAGAGCGCGCGGGTCTACCTGGCGCGCTGGGCGCGCATCGTCGCGGAGGAGGGCGAGCGCTCGCGGAGGCGGGAGGCGCAGACGTTGTCCTCGTCGGAGATGGAAGAGGAGTCGTCTGATCTGGGCGTCTTTGAGCTCTTGCAGTCTACGGCGAACCTGCCCGTGCCGAAGTCGTCGAGGGAGCCCAAGCTTCCTGTGGACGGGAAGATGTGGACGAGCTGGTTTGACGCGGAGGGCAGGCCGAAAATTCGCATCGAGGAGATGAAACGCGAGGTCTTCCGGAGAGGGATTAGTCCGAAGGGTACGTTGAGGAAGGAGATATGGCCCTTCTTGTTGGGAGTCTTCCGGTGGGATGTCACGGAGGCCGAACGAAGGCGGCTCTGGGAGGAGCGAAGGTTGGTAGCGATAGCGATATCCATGCGCAATACTAACACGGGTCTTGCAGAGTACAATACCACAGAATCAAGAATGAGTGGTGGGGTGTCCCGGAGGTCTTCGACCGCGCAGACGTGATCGAGGTAGGCCAACGATTCTCTACCTACAGGGCATTGCGACGTTCTCATACTGCAGACTAGGAACGGCATAGGATTGACGTCGACTGTCGTCGAACAGATCGTGCACAACCCATGTTTGCTGGCCCGCCGGATGAAAGCACGGACGACGAGAAAGGCACGCATATGCGCTACTCGACTATATCCCCGCAATTGTACGATATTGGGGCGCAAGCACCAACGAACGAGCACATTGAGCGCCTGGGGACCATTTTGCTCACGTACAACTTCTACGAGAAAGAGCTTGGTAAGTGTAGTGTCACTATCTATGATCTGCCTGATCCAACTCACATTACTGTGAAGGGTATGTACAAGGGATGTCGGACCTTTGCGCACCGGTCTTTGTCGTTATGGAGGGCGACGAGGAGCTCACGTTCTGGTGCTTCGTGGAGATAATGGATCGCATGGTCGGTATGACGACTTGCCTGCGCTGACATGCACTGACCGCGTTCCGGTGTTCGTCCTTGTTCACAGAAGCAGAACTTCCTTCGAGATCAGAGCGGGATGCGGGAGCAGTTGTCTACACTACAACAATTAATTTCTGTCATGGACCCGGAGCTCTATCGTCACTTCGGTGAGTCGGATGATCCGTAACAACCGAACACGCCTGAACGGCCTTGCAGAGAAAACTGAGGCGCTCAATCTGTTCTTCTGTTTTCGGTGAGCTGCTGTTTTCAATTAAGATGAGATGGGCGCTCACGGGACCGTTCAGGTGGATACTGATTCACTTCAAGCGTGAATTCGCGTTCGAAGACGTTCTGCGCCTGTGGGAAGTACTCTGGACAGACTACTACAGCAACAGCTTCGTTCTTTTCGTAGCATTGGCGCTTCTCGAGTCTCACAGAGACGTCATACTGCGATACCTTGTCGAAGTATGTGTCTTATCGAGTTGCTCGTGAATTATGTTGACGCCCATGTTATATACTACTAGTTTGACGAAATCCTGAAGGTAGGTTGCCCGTCAGAAAGGTGGTCCATAAGCGTGCTGATTAGTTTGGATGTTACCAGTACTGTAACGAGCTCAGCATGACTATCGAGCTCGACAGCACCCTCGCTCAGGCGGAAGTCCTCTTCCTTTCCTTCGCACAGCTGGTGGCAGACATGGATCGCCGCGCGGCGGACGACGAGTCACGAAGCAACGGTAACGTTCGACGGCGCACTGCTGCCAGCGGGACAACGAATGAGAAAACCGATGCCAAGGCCGCACCGAAACGACCAGTATTGAGTGAGGACCTTCGGGGCCTTCTTGTTGCAGGGCGATGACCACGTCGAGGACATTAATTGTAGCATCTCGCTTGTATCATACATGTAAGTACGTGCACAGCTGTAATCCCGGTAGACGCTTTTGACTGGTTATAACCTCCGCATGAGAGCACCGAAGAGACCCGCAGACGCAGGCGGCATGACAAGAGTACTTCCCACATCTTTCTCAAGGACGCTGGCCTCTCCTACTCGGCATAAGTTCTGACAATCGGACCCCGATCATGACAAGTGCTGTAAGCCATATGTACTCATCCAGCCTCGACTCGGAGTGGCAAGTAGTTTCTGCCCTCTCTGGCAATGCTCATGGCAGAAGATACGGCCAGTGGGAAGCGTGGCGGGCAGTGGGCAAGCGTACTACTCAAGTACTACTTGTAAGTATGCAGGACTCAAGTCGGCATGTGCCAGTCCCAGCCAGTCCCGCTGCCGCGACGGTTGACGATGATGTGATGCTGGGTTTCGGTGGGTAATTGAAGCCGATCGTCGGGCCCGGCGCTTCCGCACCCGCGATCACTGTTGTCGCCGACCTTCGTGTCTTCTCTGACCCGCGGAAGGGCATACCCATATGCTCTTTCAGATGGCGAGGAGGAGGATATGGCGTTTGGTCTGCAGCTCGAAAGATACACGACCCCTGTGGAGCCAAGAGCCTCACATATGCCTGCAGTGAGCCTTGCAACTTGGGAGCACTCGTGACGGTCTCGTGGTCGTCAAGCAACGAAATGAGCTCTGGAGCCTGAGTGCCTCGATGTCCTATCTGATAGTCGGCGTCGCAACGCTGCGAGTATCCAGCACCTTGGCAGCACCCAAGGAAGATCTTGGGAAGATCATTGAGGAATCTGCCCGACGCTCACGGGCTTTCGCGGAGTTGAGGCAAGGATAAAAAGGTCGAGCTTAGCAATGATCCCCCCCATTGTCGCGTGTTCTCGTACACCAGCCAGTCTGGTTTCTTTGCATTTCAAGTTACTCGGTGAGTCGCCCCAGCTGTAAGGATCCGCGTTCGCGTTCTAACCTAGTGTCCCATGTAGATTCGCAGGTCGCCGGCCGTTTCATTCATTTTGACCTCAATAACGTTCATTGACTGATACAACAAACTCCTTTCCAATAACTCTTCTTCGCCATGTTGTCCCCCAAGTACATTGCGCTTGCGCTTGTTGCCACTGTGTGGGCGTTGCCGTTCAAACGTGAGGTGCCTCAGGGTGAGTATTGACGTGGATAGATTGTGTCTCGCGCTCACGATGATCTATCAGAGCACTCGCACGCAATTGTGCTCGAGTCCGTTGCGGCTATGCTTGATTTGAACAACCCTCAGGGCATTCAGGACCCCGTCTTCGCTCTTCTGGGTAATGCTGCTGCTGCTGCCGGTGCTGGCTCAGTCACGGTGCGCGATACTATACTTACCTGGAGTGACTTTGAAGGCTCATGTATCCATCTAGAACCTCGACTGTCTCCAGCAGGACGTTGCCGACCAGGCCTTTACGAACGCAAAGGCCGCGGGCAACACCACTGGCATGGTGTACTCTTTGATCTTCCGTGCTATCGAGCGCAACACCGCTGCCGTTGGTACCGCCTCTGTAATTTGTAACGAGACTGCCACGAACCCCGAGGTCGCAGCCCTCACGCAGCACCAGGTCCGTCTCACCTTTGCAATGCACCGGTGACCACATCTGACAAGTGTACATAGGACCCCGCCTCTGATAACGCGGCTGCCACGAACAAAGCCATTACGCTCGAGCTGGCGAAGCAGATCGCGTCCGTTGGTGGCGACCCCACACTTGCCCTGATGTCTGGCACGTTCGCCCCGGGCACGATCGGTGATCCGACCGCCGCTGGCAACACCTGCGACGACGCGAACGACCTGCTCGGATGCATCTTCACACAGAACCTCCTGGTGAATGACGCTACGGCCGACGAGATCAACGCTGCCGTTGCCGGTATCAGTGGCTCTGGCTCTGGTTCCAGCGCCGGCTCAGGCTCCAGCTCAGGCAAAGGCTCAGGCTCAGATTCTGGCTCCGGTTCTGCAACTGCGACGTCCGCTGCGAATAACGATGCTGCTGCGACCTGCGCCTCTGTCGGTGAGTAGTCGTGGTCCCCATATTTCATCTCCTGGCCGCGAACTGATATGGGATGCCGTAGTCACCGTGACGGTTACAGCTACAAGTGCTCGCGCCGCGAAGTCCAACGTGGCTATCGCCTCTGCGTAAGTTCGCTACACTCGCATTCGCCGCCATGCACCTGACGTCTCCTTCCCAGCGCGGCCACGGCGACCGCTGCTGCGGCTGCATCCGGCGGCAACCTCCAGACCTTCACCGGTGCGCTCGGCGGCATCGCGGCGCCCGCCGTGACCGCGGGCGGCCGTGGCTTCGTCGTCGCGAACAACGACGACTTCGTCAACGTCGCCGCGGCACTCGGCCGTTCGTGCGACGTGCAGCACAACCAGTGCGCCAACGCCGCGAACTCAGGCGGGGCGTTCGCCGCCTCGGACTGCGACGCTCAGGACACGCAGTGCAAGGCCGCCGCGGCGTGAGGGCCGGTGAAAGGAGAGCGTGTGGACGTGTGAGCGCGACGGACCCGGGTGGAGTTAAGTTATCCGCGGCCCACTGGATCTTTGGGCCGCGCGCGGAAGGAGGCGGGGAGGTGCTCGCCTCCCCATGCTTTGTGTCGTTTACCTTTTTGTTGTTGTTTTGTTGTCATCATGCCCCGGCCGCGAATCAGATCTGACTTGACTTGCATATCTGCTTGTGGGATGCCTGTGGTCATCGCGTCGCGATGAGGAATGAATGTCGTCGCGTCTTCAACCCGAGGTGAGTATAAATAATATGCCATAAATACGTCCGCCGTTCGATATCTTTACACTTCTCGCTTTGATTCCGCTCATGACACGTTGTCTCTCAAGCTCACCCTCTCCGCCCCGTCGTCGTCCTTCCACAACACCCTCCCCTCCTCGTCCCTCCTGATCGTCTCCGCCGCGAGCTCCCTCTCGGTCTCCGTGTCCGTGTACTGCTCCGCAAGCTGCACCTCGCGCGCGTGCATGGGCAGGCGGTCCTCGCGTGGGATGCGCGGCGAGTACGGGCGGTGGGCATACGGGGAGGCGAGGCTGGGGTAGTATTGCCGGTAGGAGAAGTAGGCAGCGACGAACCCGAGGAGCGAGCCGGTGAGCACGTCGGTCGCGTGGTCTGGCGGGGTGGGGGCGGTCAGGAACGGTGTGCGATGGGCGTGAGTGGGGAGCGCGCTCACGTCGATAGTCCATGGTACGAGATATGGCGATCAACGCCGCGGCAGAGAGCGGTGTAAGAGCGGCCCACGCTTTTGGCTACATACGAGTGGCCCCATGAGTCAACTGTCTACGAATCATAGGTTGTGCAAGGCTCACGGCGCATCCCCTCTTGTCGAACAGGTGGAGCTTGCCCGCAACGTAGAACGCCAGGAAACCCAGTCCTGCAAAAGACACTGACGGGGCATGATAGTAGTCGCGTCAGTTCGAGAGCCACCAACGGAGCCAGGGAAGCGTACAGCTTGAGTGCCCACTGGGGAAGCTTCTCCACCCGTCCTCCATCATGTAGTGATCCGTCTGCGTGCAGATGCTCGCATCGGATAGGCCGTATGTGGGGTCAACTGCGCCCGATCTAGGGATACATCGAGAAATAAGGTCTGTGACGCAGATGAGTAAAGACTAGCCAGACTAGCGCGATGGGTGATGGGATATACCAGGTCGGGGCCGGCCTACGGTGACCTTGGTGAATTCTGTAATGGCCGCAGCTAGAGCAAGGCTCAGGACCACTGCATTCGTCGTAAATGAAGTGGACAGTTGTCAAACATCGGATAAGAGGACCTACGCCCAAGCGTGCTGTTGTGGACGTCCCACCAGGAACGCACGGTGAAATAATTCAGGATAAGCTGCAAGACGAACGGAGCAACTCCGCAGAGCATGTACAATGCAATTGGCTAGCATGGAGTTGGTCACCTCATTTCGTGGCAGGACGCGAGGGGGCATACCGGTACTCGTTCGTGAACAGCATACCTGTCTCGTAATTAGACGAGGATGCGTAGATGTCAAGTGCACGCTTCTTACGGATGATACAATCTGATATGTATGCCTTCAGTCTCGAGAGTGCCTAGTCAGGAATAAGACGTACGTTCGGTCCTCGAGGGAGAACTGTCGTTTGAAACCCGGTATGGTTTCCAAAACTAGGAATATAAGTCTTCGGTACCAACGTTCGTCAAATCGTGCACACGACCAAGCGTACATCACAGCGCGCACCCTAAGAAGATCGTCACGATCCTGTCAAGTGCGCCGGTACTGTCAGCGCCTGTCATTCTGGTATACGTACCGTGTCAAGCGACATACCAGTCGGCCGCATAGCTACGGATGAGCAGTTTCAGGCGGTTTCGTTCGATCATGGCGGTCGCTAGCAAATACACAGGCGGTGCTCGCTGAGTGCCCCCGAGTCTTATATGAAGGGTAGGGCGTAAATTCCCAGAGACTGGGAGGCGTGGCAGAAACGGAAGGCGGTTCAATCAGGCAAGTGCCATCGCGATGACCTCGCTCGGCGTCACTTGACGCGCTCTTGGCCGCGCGCCACGAAGCATACGGGTTACGAGGGGAATCCGTCGTTCTACAGCCCGCTGCGAGCGATCTTGAACACCTTCCTTTTCACGACAGTCGGTGATGTGCTCGTTCCGCAGCCTCAGCTGGCCTGCGTGTTTGCCTGCAGGCAGCAATCTCAAGATCCCGAGGCCTAGGATCGACTACTTTGGGGCCTACCCCACGTGCCAGTGACGCACTAGTGCCAGTGAGAAGAGTCACAATCCGTACTTATGTACTGCGTTGCAGTGTCGCTCGTGTATTTGCGCAATGCGCACAATAGGATTTGAGTACGGCGTATGTATCACAGCACATGCCAAGTTGTTTACGGTGCAATGGTCGTGTGCCATTCACGGCCTACATTGATGGTCCACCTTCCGAGGCATCTCGGGCGAGATATGGGACGTTCATAGCTTGCATAACCTCACTGTCGTTCAATCCACAAGAGCGGACAGCATGATGCGCCTGCTGCTCTACAGGGACCGAGACTGGGTCTCCAAGTCAGCGGCAGTTGACAGTAGTTGTGACGTCTATGGCTTACTCAAGATTAAAGGCGATGCAGACGCTGCTCGGATGTGCTGTTAATCGTCTCGCCAAGCGACCTGTCCTGCGGCCCAGCGATCGCCCCACATAACGCGCTTATGATAGACCTTGCGCAGCTCTTTGAACTCGCGCACGAAGTCGTCGATATCCTTGCCGTTCGCGGCTATAGGCACTGGTTCTGCAGAGGACGCTTGGACAAACTCCGATGCACGCGCTTCAGATAGATCGTCCTGCGCAATGGTAGCGTGGCGGAGACGCATGAGGAGGAATTGCGGGGTGAAACGCTTCGAGAGGGTGATTCGTGAAGGTCGGACTAGAATGCAGTCGGGCAGGGCGTACCTGGTAAACCTCCTTCTGCTCCTTCTCAATCTCCTTCCATCGTGCTTCGAGGCTGTTCGCCTCGTCGAACGCAGCTCGCGTGTCGTTCCTGAGCTGGTAGAGGCTCTCCTGCAAAGCAAGGTTGTTCTCTATCGCTTTCAGCTTTCAAATTCCGTGGGCAACATGAATTGATCGTACTAGCTATAGTCTCATTTGCGTTTCCAAGTTCTGCTTGAGCCTGATACAGCGACTGGACCTGGTTAAGGGAATGGAAGATCGCCTGGAAGTACACAGGGTCGACGAGAAGCTCCTGGAGGTCATCTCGTCTGCAGCAACAAGGTCAAGATAGTTCAGAGACACGGTGAGCAGTAGCCTTACGTTAAATGGGACAGTTCTGGGAAATCTGCAACCAAGGGAGTAGTCATGGCGGGCTACATGTCGCGCGCCTCCTGGGCAGCCACCGTTATACAGCATCACGATGCCGTGTAATGTGTGACAGACGCGTGACGCGACGCGTCTGGAGGCTCTGCGCCACCGGCGACATCATCCTGCTCACAGCGTCTCGCTGCAAGTAGGTTGGCTCCAACGCCATTGAGTACTGCAGTCGCGGTCCAGTCTCCCTGCCTCGAGGCGTTAATCACCAACATGACGTCGCACTCCTACAGCATCTCAATAAAAGCGATGTGCCCAGTCTACACACGACCATCTTCAATCATCTCTTGTGCTCATAGGATACCCAACGCATAGCTCATCATCATCCTAGTATTTCTTCTTCATGGCATACGCACACTATCAAACAACGCAGCAGAGTGAAAAGTGGGGAACCCCGGAGGTATGCTGCCCTCGTCGTCGATGGGAGATAGGGCTCACTCCCACCATGACTCGCAGTACAGGTTTGGGCAACCGCCAACGCCAGGCTGGGAGCCCCAGGGACATTGGGGCGGCCAGGACTACTTCTCTGCACATGCGCTCAGCGGCGATCAGTAGGTATCTTCAGCCACGTCCCACGATTCGTGGCTGAACGACGTTCACTGGTCACAGAGCATTCTACCAATCCGTCATGGGACAGATGTCTGCGGCAACAGGCATCGGCTTCAACGAAGCTAGGTATTGGCATCGTCGTGTATACGGTGGCTTAGTACGTGTGCTTCCACTCACCGTTGTAATCTTGCTCTGATTGCGCCCTTGCAGGTAAACCTCTCGCAAGTCCTCCCCGCGGATATCGGCGCCGCGGCCGCGTACGAGGCCTACCGCGTCTGCAAGTACCGCCGCCAAAACGTCTTCGACCCGCTCGGACAAGACATCGAGCGACAGCGCGAGGCGCTCATCGCCATGGCCATCGCGGAAAGTGCGTGCATCTGTCCATTTCGGCCCTTGTCCGCATTGACTGACCGGGCCCTGCAGCGACACAGCTCTGGCAGTTCACAGGACGAGCGCTGGATTCGTACGGGAAGCGGGATGCTGCAGAGGCAGCAGCTGCGACGGCGTCGCGCATCGCGAGAAGGGTGCTCGTCCAGGAGGAAGCCGGAGGCGGAGCCATGGGGGCGGGCGTGATGCCTGGTGCGGCTGGCATGGGTGCTGGCGTGATGCCTGGCGCAGCCGGCATGGGCTACGGCGGTATGGGAGGGATGGGCGGAGGAATGGGAGGAGGAATGGGAATGGGAGGCGGAGGCATGGGGGCGGAGGCATGGGGGGCGGAGGCATGGGAGGCGGAGGCATGGGAGGCGGAGGCATGGGAGGCGGAGGCATGGGAGGCGGAGGCATGGGAGGCGGAGGCATGGGCGGAGGAGGGATGGGATACAACGGCATGGGAGCAGGAGGTGGAGGCATGGGAGGAGCAGGCATGGGCATGAGCAGCGCGCAGGGAAGCCCCGGCAACCCCGTCGCACGCGACTTCGGCAACGGCGTGGGCGGGCGGCCGCGCGGACTCCGGCGCGTGAGCTCCGCCTCCGTCGTGGGCGGCGCGGGGATGCGGCCGGGGATGGGCGGGCAGATGGGGATGGGGGACAGATGGGGATGGGGGGAGGGATGGGATCCTCGTCGGCGGGGTCGCCGATGCTCGGTAGTAGCAGGGCGGGTTCAGGCATGGGTATGGCAGGTGGTATGGCAGGCGGTCTACCGGGTGCGGGGCTTGGAGGAGGTGGGGGAGGTGTAGGGTTCGGAGGTGCGGCGGGAATGGGTGGCGCGGGCATGGGGGAGGGGCAGGCATGGGGGGAGGCTACCCTGGAGCCGCAGGCGCGAATTACACACCCAGCGTTGCGTATGCTGGCGCTCCAGGCGGGGCGGGCCTCGGGGGTGTGTACGCGCAACCCGCCATGGCCGGTGCACCTGTTGGCGGCATGCCGGCTGCCGGTATGGCTGGTGCGTACGGCGGGTATGGAGGCTATGGGTACGGCCAGAATGGGCTAACCGTGCCGCAGGGAGGAACAGTCATTATTGATAGGGAGAGGAGGCCGAGGTCGCACAGGCATCGTGCGAGGAGCGTTGACACGCGGTACAGGAGTTGAGAGAGTAGTTTGGAATGCAAGGCTCGCAGATATGGGTGCGAGCTCGTAGTTCGAGCATTGGTAGATGACAGTGATACGGTGACATTGCGCATACTAGGATATACCTCATGTACACGATACCTTACGGAACATGGTGATGACATGCATTTAACTCGGTTTCTTGCACCAATAGACGTACTGAACAGTTGACGACTACTTTCTGTGGTACGCGGCCCAGATGACGCCTTGACAGCACCTCAGTATCGCCCGCGGTGAATCGAATATGAAGTGCGCGATTGACACCGACAGTGCTTGTGTAGCGACCAATGATGAGCTCTTTGCAGCAACCGTAGCAGCGAAACACAGGCACCAACCAGTCTTGAAGCTTGAAATTTGAACCAGGCTCTCCCAGACACTGTGAGGCCTGTCTGATGAAGAACGGACCTCAAGCATTGACAGAACACATGGATTTGGAAATGAAACGGTCATCACTCACATTGCGCTCACAGAGAACATGCCGGATTCTGTCACCAAGCAAAAACGACCACCCACGTCTCTAAAGCATCGCACTACAGCCAAGTGCTCGTGTGCATAGTTTGAGCAGTATCCTGCGGCCGAGATTACACGTCGCTCCCTGTCATATTTTAACATTCGAGCGTTCCATAGCGCTTGCGAAGGGGCATCCCCGTGCATCACCGTCCAGGCGGTCACGCCCAATTTTGTCTCCGCCCATATCTCCATGACGTGGCCTGTCTTCCCATGTCATCGCGTCTTCTTCGACTCGGGCGGTGTTGGCGTGCCTTCTCGCGTCGTCGTCAACTCGTCGCCGTCCTCGACCATAGCCTCGCCTTCCCCGTCCTCGTCCGCCTGCTCCGCCCACCACCGCCCTGCCTGCAGCAGGATCACACCCGTGAGCATGACGCTGCACACGAGGTGCGAGGACGCGAGCTGGAGTGTGGGCCCGCGGAGATAGGCTGGGAATGGCGGCAGGGTTGTTGAGGACAGGGAGGCTGAAGGGGATTGGGAGGGGAAGGAGAGGTACGTGAAGTTCGTGGAGAGATCTGTGCGCGCAGTTAGTGCGAGCTCAGACGCGCGTGCGTAACCGGCACAAGTACTCACTTGGTAGGACGTCATGAGCATAGACATATATTCCCGCCCCGTACAGAACTGCACAGTGTCAATACTTATACGGGAGTCGATATGATGTGAATGCCCACAGATGCTTCCCCCGTCAAACATCAGATTCCCCGCGCGTCCGTCACGCAGGCTCCATAAAATTGTGAGTGCGCCGACCCCCGCTACGCCAGCGTACATGTAGGCCAGCGACGCCGGCATGCGTGCCAGCACGGCGTAGTACGCCGCCGCCGCCCAGAGATGTGCATCCGTCTGTGTGTCGGGCGACTTCCAGAGCGTGAGCGAGTCGGCGGTCCAGTGGGTGAAGAGAAGGCCTGTTGGGCGTCAGCGGTTGGTCTGAAGCGCAGAGCGAGCGCGGCTGCTCTGCGCGCACTGAGCTCGGACGCACCGAGGAGAAAGGAGGTCGCACAGAAGACGACGCTCATTCGGAGGCCGCCCATGACTGCGGGGAGGGGACGTGGCGGAGGGAGAGGTGTTGAGCGCAGGGAGCTGCCAGTGCTGCCTGAGCGCCGAAGCGAAGAGTGTCCAAGTGGCCGCGCGATGCTTGTGATAAAGCCCTGTCAACACCATGGACGTAAGTCTCGGCATCCTTCAGTATTTATTTGCCCCATGGTCAGGATGCAGGCGATTGTGTATTAATGGATGTATATAGTGGCTCTGAGCCCAGCATGTGTACGAGGTAGAGTAGTCGTCAGTCCATGACCCATGCATGCCCTTCAGGCACCCTGTGCACGATCGGCAGAGTAAATGGGCGCTAAGTCGAAGGGGCCAGATCATGTGCCTTCGTTTTCTACCTGGTCAAACAACCATCTCAACGTACTGACACGCAACGTACATCAGTACTTATACATACTTTCGCCACACTCGGGACTACACCTTCCTGCACTTCAACGTCTGGCGGCATTGACTAGCTGATATGCAAGCTCTGCGACTCGGTGCCCGGCGACGCGTCTGCCGGCTCAGGACGGACCTCCCGCGACGTGCTCTATCTACTCTTCCTTCTGGACCTTCGTCTTCGCCTGCTCCTAGCACCTTGCCATGGTTTGTGGACCAGTCAGACCTTCCAGGATCCTCGTCACGACAACCCAACGCTACCCAGTCTCCCGCGAGACCCTCACTCCAAGCCCAGCAGCCACCGCTCCCCGCCGACATCCCGCCAGAGAGTCCCATCGCTCAGCTCCATGCCGCCCTGAGCAAATCACCACATCTCGAGCCAGGCATGCTCCGGGTCCGTGAGCCAATTCCAACAGTGCTGGGCCCGCCCTTGCCGGATTACCCGGCCAAGGGGCGCCGCAAGCGGGGACGGACGTACGCGGGCGAGGGGGTCTATGATTACACAGGCGGCGTCTGGAGTTGGATAGTGGTAGCGCAGGTCAGTACAGGTTACTTTGCTTCATCATAATATTTACATCCATGCTCGTTCAGGTGAAGGAAGGTACGGAGAAACGTGGTGCAATCGAGTCTGTCGTCAGAGTAGTCCGGAAAGTGGTGCGTACTGTCCCCTATGCATATGATTGTGGCTTTCTCAACTCTTGCCGCAGCTCTTGACTTCTCAGCAGCCTCTACCACTGCCCCCGAACTCGAAGCGACAGGTGAATGGCGGGTGGGCTATGATCGACGCTGGCGAGTTCGCGGTGCACGTCGTGAGCAAGGAAGCGCGAGAGAAGTTCTTCCCGGACGGCAGGCGCGAGTGGTCGCGGTAATTCATGTGTACGTACCGGACAGCTGTACTCGTCCGCGCGGCGGAGTACTGCTCCGTCTTTGCTGTCGGTGTCGCGAAGTCGGCTTGAAGTTGCACAGGCGAAAGAGGACTATAGTAACTGTCCCCTACGTAGCGAAAGGCTGTCAACACTGCGAGAGGGCACAACGAAACTCGCTGGTGCGCCGGACGTTGGGAGCGCCCTCACCCGCAGGCAAATTGTCTATGGCATGCGAGTTACTCAGACGCACTGCATGTGCCTGGGGCAGTGTTCACCACCGTTCATTAACGTTCACCAGCACCTATATATGGGCCCTGCCTTACGCTCTCGTGCAGACGTACGACACTTGTGAGAACGGATGCCGTCGGCTGAGGCGCGCGGTCTGCATCGCCCCCGCACGAACAAAACCCGTTGTCCATGGTCAAACCTAAACTCCAGCTATCTCTCCTTCACGCCCACAGTGAGTGCGGTTCGTCCTCCTTCAGCAACGCGTAGTATGCCGCTGACTGCATATTGTCAGCCAACAGTACCATTATGCCTCGCACGCTGCCGCCAGAACTCACTGACCGCATCATCGACTTCGCATGGGAGGACCCACCGACTCTGCGGAGCTGTGCGCTGACGTGCCGGGAGTGGCGAGCTGCGAGTGGGCTCCATCTGCGGGCCTACCACAGCTTACAGATTTCCAACGTCGCGGATCTGGCGCTGGTATCGAAACGCGTCGCCCGGCCTGAAAGCAGACGTTTCCTCAGCGCCATCCAGCACATCGGTGTCCGGGAGTGCCCGGACAGGCCGTACGTGCACATAGTGCCGCTGTGCATCCCCTGGCGATTCCTCCCGCGGCTTAAAAGCATATTATTCGGCGGCATTGGCATGCGGATATCCGGCGTCACAGTCGCACCGACAGTCAATTGGCATCCCAGCTTCTTCAGGCTCCTCTCGTCGTACAAGTCGGTGACGAGTTTGTATATTGTTGGTGGTCACTTTCGTGACTTGCGCCGGATCGTCGAGGCGCTTCCGGCACTAAAGGATGTCCATTTCATGCAATTACGCTTCCTAGGCGCATCTCCTGGCGGACAGCCGAGTCTGATCCAGGAGCCTGGACGTCCTCGAAGACGACCGTCACTGCGCTACTTGCGATTATGTTACGCGGTGCCTGACTTATTGCTTTATCTGCACTTGTTCTCTGGGGCTGAACAGATCATCACCGATGCAGAATGTGGGACAGCAACGTTTCCACGAGGAAACATGGCTGTGGCTCTTTTCCCTGTCTCTCGACTTGAGCTTTGGGGCATTGACATATACCATACCGTACCATCCTCGGGGCTTCTCGTAAATACAGCAGGCGAGTGATCATCCGTATCACGCTCAGCGGTTGTGCATGATGCTCATGATCCGAGTTTGCTGACGCGATTCTAGATGCTACAAGCCTGGTACGCAACATACCTCTCGAAGAGATCGCATATACCTTCTTTATTCACAAAGACTACGCCGATTTTCGGTCAACAATCCAAGCAATAGCGACCATGCTCTCTCAGGGCGTAGGCGAGAAAGTTACCAAAATACGCATCGAGCTTGCCCTCTATTTCGATGGTCTTGATAATTTCCTGCCGTATGAACCTGACGACGGCCCCGCTCCCCCCTTGACCTCGCCACTGTACGTTTCGGACTGCAAAATGTGATCGCGGTCGAGCTGGTCATCGAGTATGTCTGGGGCCGGGACCTGAGACCTACGCTTGTCACCGACGCAGCGACCAGGATCATCTCGCCGTTGTTCGCGCATTGGGACGCCCGCGGAATGCTCTTGGTTATAAATGGCGGGCGCCGTAGCGACCAAGAGCATGAAGGCAAATTCTGAGACAGGCTGGGTGATTGCAGCGTAAGTTAGTGCCGTTCTCATCGCCACAGTCACATCAGCTCATATCCTCGCAGGGAAGGAGGGGACAAAGAAGCTCGGGACCAGGGTTTGATTGGGTCTACAGTGAGAGTCCTCCGGAAGATGTGTGGGTTTTTCGTCGTGCGTCGTCGGGCCAGTCGCTCATGTTGTGACGTAGTGACGGGTCGGCCGCATCTACTCTTACTGTAGAACCCGAGATGGGGTCTGGAATTTTATGGGTGGGCTATAGCCACTTTGGAGTACACGTCGTGACTAAGAGCAAGGGAGCACAAGTGCGACGTGTCAATGGACGGCCGGACTGCTCATGTATATGTACCTAGGTGTACTTGACGGTTTCTGCGCTCAAATTCTGGCTAGAATGCGAAGTTAATGCCTGCTAGTTGCAGCTCGATATGTCGGCTGCCCCATTGGCGTTCACCTCAACGCTCATGGCCGTCCCGGATGCGGTCTTGGGCCTTTCGAGAAGAATCGCGGATGATAGAATGCCGAAATGAGCATAGCCATGCTATCGCACCACTTGCGGGCCGCGTACGTGCGTGTCCTGGCACGATGAATCAGATAGAAGATATTCTGAACAGCATCTTCAGCGTTAGAACGTCTCGCACTCTGAATGCGGCCTCGTGCACCAATTCACTGTACTTGGTCTGGGATTCGGAAGGACCAAGTTCACGGCAAGCACCGCGATAGTGCCTATCAGGTCCCAGGAATCTGTAACGATGGCTGTGATCGCCATCGACAGTCTCTCGGAGACGCACACATATGTAGCTCTGCCATATCGTGGGTGCTCCCCCGAGACTCTCCGCCCACCAACACCAGTGAGTCAATACCCTCCTGCTTCGTTTTGCGTGTACTGATCTTGACTGGCGGTAGCCAGCCATACGATGCCTTGCGTCCTGCCTGCCGAGCTCACCGACCACATCATCGACTTCCATTGGGACGAGCCACCAACCTTGCGGAGCTGCGCGCTGACCTGCCGGACATGGCGGTCTGCGAGCGAATATCATCTCAGGGCTTACCATTCACTCAACATCAAGAGCGTCACGAATCTGACCATGCTGTCGAAACGTTTCGCTCGGCCTGAAAGCAGGCGGTTCTATCGTGATTTCGAAGAAATGAACATCATCGAGAGCGTTGGAAGACCCTTCATACACATTTTGCCGCTGTGTATCCCAGGATCATTTGTCCCGAGGCTGAAATCCCTAACAATATGGTCCTTGAGACGGCAGGGGCTTCCAATTGGCAACCAGTGGCACCGCAGTTTCTTCACTCTCCTTTCGGCGTACAAATCGGTGGCGTTCTTGAATTTGTCCAACAGTCAATTCCACGATGTGGAGGAGCTACTGCGGATCCTTGAAGCGCTTCCAGCACTGGAGGCGATATTGTTTAAGGACGTAGACATCCCCCATCCTTCCCCGAGCCTGGTCACTCGACCTGATTCTGGTCGCCGTTCACAGAGGCGACGTCGACTTTCTCGCCTGACCCTTCACTTTAGTCATTCGACCCCCGATTGTCTCCCTGCATTGTCGTGCTGTGGGCAACTGTTCTCTGAGATCACAGAGCTCACGGTGGATGCGGCAATTGCGATGGCACCCTTATACGAGGAGCACATGTATATGGCTCGTGTCCCCATCCTCCAACTCACAGTTGTGTACATTGCCCTCCCTAGCATAGATCCTAAGCTTGCAGACCAGTGGTATCGCGGACTTCAACTAGATGTTGAGGAGAAGCACGACTGGAACCATCGCTGTCTTCTCCCACAAGACGTTTCTGGGACCTCTGCAGGTAAGTTGTCATGCATCGAGAGGAAACGAGTGCGCATTCATACTTTGGGCTAGACGGCGCTGCTACCCGGCTAACGCACATCATGCGCCTGGAAGAGGTTGACTACCTGATACACGCTGGGAAAGACTACAAGAATCTCTCTTTGACAGTCCAGACCATCGTGGCCATGCTCTCTCGAGGCGTAGGCCAGCACGTCAGCAAGTTATGTGTCTCGCTAGTCTTCATTCATGACGACTCCCTGCCGTATCCGGACGGCTCTAGCAGTGTCTTTCCGTACCCGCTCTCGCGCGAAGCAGCACTCGTGCTCAGTGCACTGCAGCATGTACGGGAAATCAGCCTGGACATCGAAGATCCCCTAACGCCTGTTACGAGCGCAGCGGCTAGGATTATCCCGCTGTTATTCCCACACTGGGCTGCCAGTGGCAGGCTTTCGGTTAAATATCCGACGTCCGAGGGCCGACTGGCAGGATGGTCAGCCGCGCGAAACCACCGACTTCCAACAAGCGACTGACGGTGATCTGTATCTACGGTACGGACTATAAACATGGAGAGCAAAAAAACAGACTAACAGCGATCCTAAAAAGGCAGTCCCCGCACCATATATAGGCAGCAATGCCTGACGTCACGCCGCTGGGCCACACCGTGGGCAGCCCCAGCGACTGGACACCATTGCGTCACGCTCCCCGGCAACTCCTTCACCATGATGCTCCTCCCCCGCCCCTCCTCCAGCGCTCTGCACTCATATATATTCTCCACCCACCGTTTGACGACCAAACTTGACGACCCACATTCACGACCACCAAACTCGCTCATCAAAAACATATATCGCAATCATGTCTCTCAACGACAAGGATGTCACGCTCGGCGGCAACAAGGGCATCGACCTCCACCCCGGCGTCGCCAACCCCACCAGCTCGTCGACGCACGCCGATCCGCTCGCCGCCAACTTCGTACGGGTTTCGCGATCCCTCGCCATGTCGCTCACAGGCTGACCGTGGCGTCGTGCAGGTCACGGACCCGACGTCTGACGACGTCGGCGCAGGCGCGGGCCCCGACTTCTCCGGCGACCGGGAAGCGGCGCGCAACTTCAGTAAGACCTCCGGCGTCGTCGAGGGTCGCCCCGGCATCATCGAGTCCGCCAACATCGACCCGCTGAACGAGAACTCGAACAAAGGTGCGCGGCAGACTCGCCTTCTCATGTCTCCCTTCCGACTAATCGCCCCACTTCGCAGAGGACGGCTGGGCGAACGCGACAAACGCGCCGTCGTCTACTGGTGCGACCGCAGGCCCCACCGCGTCGTCATACGCGTCGAACGCCACCACGGCAGCGGCGAGCGCAGCATCCGTCGCGGCTGGTGCAGCGAAGCTCGCTTACGGGCACGCAGCTGGCGACGAGGCGACGAAGCAGGCAGGCAAGGAGGCTGTCTGGGGCAAGGCAAACAACTAAGTGGGGAAGTCTGACGTCGGAAGAAACATTGTACAGTATACCATTGGGGACGCACCGACAATATTTGTAGCGCTGGATTGTACCATCGTGGACCAGTACCAGAGATCAGGGTGAACCATAAACGCCGCTTACGCATCTAGTATGCATTTCCTGAATGTGATGATGTTTGAATCGGGCAGGGCGGCGCAGAGACAAGCTGAGGCCATCCAGAACTGCAGCAATGTCGACAGACTTTGGGTTTAGTCTTTGTTGGTTCGAAGACGAGTGTGACCAGCAACCAAATATACCCGGGAATGAAATTCTCTGCACGACAATATACAGCAGTCGAGGATGCCAACATCGCGACCTGCTAGACCACTGTGTCAAGGTCCATAGCCACGCCTGACATTTTGCAAAAAAGACTTGCCAGTGTCAGCTGGCTGCTGCGTGGTTCATTACTCTTTGACCAGCACCAACATCTCCATCACTCTGCTGTTGCTCAGCAGTGTCCTCGACGTCCTCCTCCTGCCCGCTCTGGCTCTGGCTCGTTTGCGGGCCTCGCTTCGGCCGCGCCGCCTCGACCAGCTTCGCGAACTCCGCCTTATGCGCCGTCTACACCCAGCCATCCGCACCCACGCGAGCCCGTCAGTCACACCCACATCCGCAGCGAGTCCCTCACGCACCTGATACGCCACGAGGTCCTTCACTTCCCCCGCCTTCTTCCTCCCTGCGCCTCCGGACCCGCCGCCTGCACCACTGGCCTCCCACTTCTGCAGCTCGCGCCGGAGCTGGTCGGGCGTGTGGCGGTCGCTGGGCGCGCGGTCGAGGTTCGCGTTGTAGAGCATGACCCACCTGCATACAATAACTGTCAGCGCTCGAGCCGTGCTTCGTACTCTCGCATCCGAAAAAACCCGTGGATGAACGTGAATGCGGGCGGATACACGGATGTGGTTGGAGTCGTGGATGTGAATGCAGATACGGAGAAACGGAAGCGGAGGAGTGGGCGATGAGGAAGGGCAGACGCACTTTTGGTGTCGGCGGTCCCACGCGTTACGGTCGCCCGTCGTGGGCAGGCCGTGCTCGTGAAGCAGCTCTTGTATGCGCTTGTCCTTGAGCGTACGGTACGAGACTGTCGGGAGATACTCCGGTTCGTCATCTGGTTGCGACACAGGCGACTTCAGTCTGCATGTCGAAGTCCACCAACGAACGAGGACATCACCGCAAGCGACGAACGGTGAACGGTCAGTACCTCATGCACCACCGGGGCGCACTCTACGCACCGTTCGCCGTCTCGCTCTTTGTGGCCTCGACGGCCCGGCCCTGCGCCCCCGCCGAGGATCTTGGACCACTCCTGTTGCGCCTTCCCCTTCGGTTTCCGCGGGGAGAGCGGCGCGGCGGCGCTGAGCTTGCAGCTGCTGTCGATGTGCTGGTTGATGATCTGGAAGGGCACGCGTCTTTGGCACATCGGGCAGTCGACTAGGTCTGTGCGGGCCGACGTGAGTGTGCATGTATGCGGGGGGAAATAGGGAAATGGGGCGAGGATTCAGAGAACGCGTACCATCTGAGGAGCTGGGTGTCGTCGGGGTGGAGGGCGTGTCAGGTGTGCGTGGGGACTTGTTCGGGCGTTGTTCTGCAGACGGTTCATGGGCCATACGAACGGAGCGACAGCGTTCATGAGACGTACTTTTCTGGCTCGGAGCAGGACGTCTCGACGTGGACGACGAAGGCCCTTCCACAATTTCAACCTCGTCTGACGAGCTGCCTCCAGACGACCGAGTGGACCGCCGCCGCTTTCTTGGTCGTGAAGATTCTTCACTCGCGTTCCTTGCCAGACGGTTCGCCTCTTGCTTGGCAAGGCGTAGAGTGAACTCTCTACACCGTGCCCAATGTTGTTGAGCCTGCGGTGTGTGTTACTGTAAGAATTGGCGCGCGCACCTAGCAGCGGCCCACGCCCTCACTGCGCTCTCAAGTGCAACGTTTTTCCGCAATTGCGTGTCCGACGCTTCCTTTCGACAACTCGGACATTCTTTCTTGTCTTTCAGGTAGTTTCGCACACACTGGTGTCAGAACGCGTTAGCACTTCGACACGGCGTTATAAAATGGTACACACCAGTGAGCAGAAGCAATGCCCACAATTGAGCGTGACGGGCGCGTCGTAGAGTTCATGACACACGCTACATCGCAGGGCCTCGTCGAGGAGGCGGAGGCCGGGGGCGACATCAGATGGTGGAAAGTCGGTGGGGTCGGGGACGTCTGCAGATAAAAAGTCAAGCTGTGCGTTGTCTGCGAACGCGTTCATGCTGAGCTGATGTGGCTAGTGGAAGGCAAAGACATGGAGCGCGAATGTGGAGGAGCGCGTCTGGGGGGGCGTGACGTGACCGATCGCGACGCGTCGGGCACGTGGTTCAGTGCCAGGGTGGCCCGGGACTGGGCTCTGGACGACCGCGGTCGATCGACAGCTGGGACTTGGAGGCTGCCATGGGAGTCTCCCTGCTCCTGCCAGCCTGGGCCCTGTGGCTGGCGGGGCGATGCAGCCAGCCAGTTCCAGTTCAACCACCAGCTCCGTCTGTGGCTGGCAAACACAACACGGCCAGCCGCCCAGTTCTTCTATCATATTCTGAGGTGCCAACCGCCTCACGTCGACTCCCCCCCTGCTTCCTGCGCACTCAACCGGCTTCTCACCCGAGCGAAGATGTCGCAACTCCCAACCTGCGTCGCTCAAGCACATCAAGGCCCATCGCGCGGCGCGGGTCGTACTAGTGGACAGAAGCGCCGGCAATGCATGACATCCAAGTCTATCCAGCGAGCTATCGACCGGATTGCGGTCGCTTTCATGGCATCCATGGTCTTCTTCGTGTTCTACGCATTATCAGCTCAAGTATTTGGGACTTCGCCGCCAACCGCAACGCACGGCGTCCACCCAATTCCCGCCGCAGACCTCCAAGCTAGCTCACGCCCAAGTGGACGCTGGGAACTCTGGCAGAAGGCGCTGGTTGATGCAGATGTCCTCTCCGACGTTTTCGAGTCACTATTCGACATATCCGGGCTACTGGACCTAGATGAGGACGCGCCGCACTTCGAACTGCGAAGAAGAGAGCTCGCACCGGATGACTCGCCTCAGCAGCAGCTTCACTTCACCGTCGACTCAGCGCAAGACGACGCCCTTGGTCGCGACGTGGCAACGAATCCCGAAGGCCTCGTAGGCGCGTTCCGTGCCTTGTCGCAAGCACAGAGGGAGGAGGCCCAACGCCGAGTTGGAAGCAAGTCGAGGCAACGCGTCTAGGATCCGAAAGGAACATCCCTGCCTTTCCCTGTGCCCTACCATAATCGCACCAGACTCGGGAAAGCCCCGCCCTCCCCGTCGAACTCGGAGAGAAACAGACTACATCCACAGGACAACTTCAGCCGGGCGTCGCTTCAGTCGGTCTGGGCTAGGTCATCTATCGGGACATGATTCGCTTAGTTCATACGAGACACATTGTAGCGTCTTCGAGATCGGACGACATATGTAACATACACACATTTGTATCATACTCAGGCTTCTGCATCACTGTATGTCCATTGATCCATTGTCAGTTTTACACCGTGTCTCCATCTTGCCCCGTCCGCCGCTCAGTACTCAGTGTTACCCACGCGTCGGCTTCACCGCCTGCATGCGCTGCATCGTCTCCCTCAGCTCCGCCTCCGCAAACGCCGCCTCCTCCTTCGCCACCACCAGCTTCCTCTCCAGCTCGTCCGCGCTCATCAGCCTCATCAGACTTCCGTCGTGCACCACACCGAGCTGGTCGAACCGCACGAGCGTGTTCCCCACCTTCGGCAGGCATCCGCGCGCGTCCCAGCCGCTGTCGTTGAACGAGAGCACCGCGCGCACCGCGGCCGTGTTGATGTCCCGATGGAGCTCCTCCAGCTTGCTCAGCTGCACCTCCATCCAGCGCGCGCGGCGCTCGAGCGCGAGGGTCAGCGCGGCGACCTCGTCCTCGCGCACGTGCCCGTGCCCGTCCTCGCCGCCGTCGTCGAGGAAGTCGTCGCCCTTGAGCATCTCGCGGAGCACGCCGTCGAACGACGAGTTGTCGTCCCACGTCTTGCGCGGCAGCAGCCGCAGCAGGTCCGAGATCGTCTGCGTCAGCGTCTCGAGCAGCTGCTGAAAGCTCGACACCGCGTTGTCGATCGCGCCCGACGGCATGTTGTTCGCGAACGAGCCGCCCCCGACGGAGAGCGCGGAGAGCGCGTGCACCAGCGGCCCGTACTCGAGCGGCATCTTCGCCGCGGGGTTGATCTTCGAGAGATCGAAGAAGGGGTGCTTGTGGATGTTCAGGTGCTGGAACTCCGAATCGAGGTCATCCAGGAGCTCCTGCACGGACGCGCGCTGCAGCGGCAGTGTCCTGTCAACCGACTGCGCGCGCGAGACGTTGGAGCCTGTCTGAGGCACACGGACATCGGGCAGCCCAGGCGCCTCCGAGTTCGTCGAGGATGGGAGGCCAGAGGACGGATCAGCGTTGGAGTCCTCCTTGGGAATCTTGATAGGCTTCGTATTCGGCTTGTGCTTCTTGGGCATCTTCGAGAGGATAGGCACTTGAACCTCAGGCTCAGGCACAACGATCGGGGCCGTCTGCTTTGGTCCTTGCTTGCGCCCAATAGTCTGCTCCGCGCCTTGGTCAGCTAGCGCAGGAGCCGGAGACTCAGCGTCTGCCTGCGTGCCGGGCTGAGGGTTTCCTGACGTCTTCGCGCTGGCAGCTGCGGCTGCTTTGTTGGCCTGGGCGACCCGCTCCTTCTCAGCTCTCTCCTTCTCCAGACGCTCCTTTGCAGCCCGGTCGCTCTCTGCCTTATCTTTCTCCGCCTTCTCCCTTTCCACCCTCTGCCGCTCAGCCTTCCCTTCCGCCGCCTTCTCTCGTTCCGCCTTCTCTTGCTCGGCCTTCTCCTTCGCCGCCTTCTCCTTCTCTGCCTTGAGCGCAGCTTGGCGTTCCTTCTCAGCGGCCTTCTCTTGTGCGAGACGCTCCTTCTCCACTGCCCGAGCCGCAGCCTTCTCCGCTGCTACCCGCTTGCGCTCAGCCGCACGCTCCTCGGCCGCGGCCTTCTTCGCGGCCTTGCGCTCGGCCTTGGCTCTTGCAGCGTCGTCGAGGGTGTCCGCACCAGCTTCAGGAGCGGGTTCGGTAGACGGCTGTTCGCGACGAAGCACAGGCTCAGTCGCAGTCGCTGACAAGGCTGGAAAATCGGAAGACGACAAGGCGGGGGAGGGGACAGCGGAGGGCTCAACAGAGGCAGAGGGGGATGCGGAGACTTCATGAAACAGGACAGAGTGACCGGTAAAAACAGATGGGACAAGGACATGTCAGCGTCGAGGCTTACTTGGGACACCCTACCGGAAAGACACATGTAGAGCAGGGCGGAAGAGGGGGAGGAACCGGGCCGTGGCCACCAGGCATGTTACACATCAAGGTCGGAATAGCTGTTTCCGCACTGAAAGCACGGCACTCGGTACTCTGACCTGGGACCCGCCCTTGAGAGGAAAGGAAGATAACTCACCATGCACAGACCCGCTCGTTTGAGAGACCTCAACGCTACCCAGGGACCCATTTGGCATACCGTACGCACTATGGTTCATCGAGCTTGCGATATTGCCTAGCGAGCCATCTTGGAAGGACAACCCCGGAGGAGGTCCGAAGCCCATACGGTGAGAGGAGAAGCTCTCCACCGACGGCGAGTTCGGGAAGACGTTGTCGTGTGTAGGTTGCGTGATCGCCGGAGATGAGAGCCTTGCAGACATTATTGCAGGATCATTGAACGGTTGATTTGGTATAGGCTTGTATGACGAAGGATCTGGGTATCATAATGATGTCGAAAGAGCCATAGAGTACAATGGTCCGATGGGGGTACATATGATCAAAGTCAACACATAGTCAACAGATTACACAAGCAGAAGCATCCTACCGGGCGGTCCGTTGCGATACTGAGTAGCCCGTTCGCGTTCGCGGCTGGAGTTGATCAGTTCGCGCAGTTGCGCCTCGCTGACGCCATTGTCAAACGGCTGGAACCGGCCAGGCTGCTGCTGCTGATGTGCCGCATATTGGGGCTGGGCCTGCGCTTGATGGGCCAAGGGGGAGCCCATCGCAGAGTGCGGTCCATGGATGAACTCCTGAGGCTGGTGTCGGTTCTGGTACCACTGCGGGGTCTCACGACGAGCCGGCGAGACCATATCCGAGGAGTTGTAGTACGGCACATTCGCGAAGTTATCGGTGTGGTTGAGGGGCGATGACGCATGAAGGGAAGAAGATGTTGATCCTTGCCGGCCACGAGCGAAGGTGAAGCGCGATACCTGTCGCTCTTCATCCAGCGGCGAATACCGCCTCGACGACAGATCATCACTGGTGTCCGTACCAAACGGATTGAATGATCCCGTGTACCCGGAGCTCCCAGAAGGTTGCCGGTCCAGTATCGGCTGACGGTGGCTCATAGGCTCGTACGCAGGGCGAGCCGGGTGTGACAATCCAGGTGGTCCCGTCAGCGGGCCCGAGACCACGTTTTGTCTCAGCCCCGGGAATGCGTCCAAGAACGTACCGGTGAATGGCGTGTTCGGCGTGGCATCCAGTTCTGGTAGCACAAGAGCCTCGTCAGCCCCTTCTGCTGCGAGCGCGGGATCCAAGTTGAAGCTGAAACCGCCAAAACCACCATCGTCTCCGCTGAGCGTCTGCAGCATTCGGTCGAAATCGGGGAAGGGGCTCTTCTCCATGACGGTTGGTGCAGGCATCTCACGTCGGGCACGAAGGTCCTCCATGAGTGCTTGTGCCTGAGTAGACATTTGGTACGAAGACTGCGATGGTTGTACGGTGATTGAGAGTGGTGATGACATCGTAGATGCGGTGCGAGATGGCGGCGGTAGACCAGGGGGTGCAGTGAGGCCGGGAGGAACCGCCGGCAGACCGGGAGGCGCAGGTGGTACTTCTGTGGATGCTGCTTGGACGGGCGACTCCGCGGGTAGAACATCTTGGCCTGCTGACCCACTCTCAGACTCGAGGGTAGACGACGTAGGCGAGCGAGGTGGTGGAGGGAGTGGAGGTGCAACTTCTTTCGGCCTCGACGCTTTGGTCATGCTAGGTGTAACAGGCCTCGCAGAATGGCCAGTGCTCGCGGGGGTTGCGGGACGCGAAGAAGAGGCCTGAGAGGACGCCTTAGCTGCGTTGGCACCTTTGCGTTCCCTCCCTGTCATGCGCGTCTCCGCTGCACTGGTTACTGTTGCACCCGCGCGTTGTTGTCTCGCACCTGTTCCACCACGCCTCGTCTGCCGCGTGGACGTCTGAATAGTCGTAACAACGTTGGTGTTGTGCAATGCTGTTGTAGCTGCCCCCTGTTTGCCCCAAGCGGCTGCACGAGGTAACCCTGTGGGAACAGAATATCAGTACACTGAACGCTAGGCACACGTAAATACCAACCGTCCGCCTCGTCGCCTTTCCTTGTGATGATAGTTGATCTTGGTCTGTTCTCTGTGTCCTTCATGGTGTGTTTCCTACGAACGGAGATGAGTCAATGCGAACAACACGGATGGAAAGTGCAACAAACAGAGTCGTAAGGTCTTCCTTGGTGAAGCAATCCTTCTCGTCTCCCCATTCATGCAAGTTCATGCAGCCATGTTCGGTACACGAAACGCCGCGCAAGAACGCCATACAGTACTTCGTCGTACCGTGGCTCGCTCGCATGATCTCGCTGCCACCTCCAGGCGAAGGCGCGCCGTCGACTGCGGCAATTGCCCTGGCTGCATCTTCGCGACGATGATAGGTGATGTACAGCCCAACGACCGGAGCCCGGCCACCGGGAGGAGTACGCTTGACAATGACGATCTTGGAGATCTTACCGTATTGCCCAAAGTACTCGCTCGAGCGTAGCGTAGGAATCAGCTACAAACTATGGCTCAGCAATGACAACAAGGACCGAGGGGATGGCACGCACCTCCTCTTTCGCGAATCGAGGACCCATCCCGACCACATACACTACGTTGCGCTGTACGACGCGCACGTTGGCAAGGTGTCGCCTGCCCAAGGCATCCAGTTCCTTCCTTTCGCGCTCCCTCTGTTTCTTCTGTTGCGTCAAGCGCTTGTGACTAAGACAATGTGAAGGGACGGTGAGACTTGCACGCGCGTAACACAAGGGCACTCACTCCTCTTTGTTGATGGGCTTGAACTGGACAGTCTCGTCGGTATACTCTCTCCGGCAAGCGGGACAGCGCCGGTTGAGGTTCTCCTTGATATGGTGCCAGCAGAACCGACAGATCTAGTCACGACCATACCATGTACTCAGTAGTTGCATGAATGAAGAGGGCATATAGTCATACCTGGTAACCGCACGGACAAGGCTTGAAGTTGAGATCTGAAATGTCCATCTCCTCCAAGCAAAGTGGGCATTCTGCGTCCTCCTATGGAGGTACATTTGAAGTCAGTTTCTTGTTGCTGGCAGTACCTCGAGATGCGCACCGCTTCATCATCGCTCCAGTACGCGTCTTGTACTCCAGCGAGCACATGCGACTTGGACTGCGTGGACGGATTGCTCGCGTGTAGAGCGGGCGCGGGAAGAGGGGAGTGCGGGTGCATTCGTGTAGACATTCCAGACAGATGTTATGCGCGAAACGGGAGATGCTCAAGCACAATACAAGGGAAGACGAGAGGCGGAGGTTGGGGAGTGCAACATCGAGGCGCCCACGCGCTTTTCATTGTGGCACAAGGACAACATCGACAAACAACGGACACTTGAGCGCTTGATGATGATCAGCACGGCCTCTTTGGGGATTGCTTGGGGACGAGACATGCATACCGATCAAGACCTGCTCTGGATTTACATCGCTGGCTGCTATGGATCATTGCGAAATCGAAACAGTCTACTGGACACCTTGACATCCGCTCCAGCGATGGAATATGCCAGCAACGAGAATTGACGACATTGTCACCAAGATTAAATGCACAGACATCCATTGGGTCGGCACTTCAGCATGGCGCATAGGATAAGGCAAGACAGCCTCTGGATCTCCCACACCATTGCCCACGAGACGGGCTACGTGTTTGTCTCGTCGTTCGCCGGCGCCGGCATTGATATTGAATATTGAGGCCTGAGGCCTGAGGTCCCGCGTGATGCCAGAGACGGACACGCTCAGGCCTTATGTCGGCGTCGTAGCACATCACACCGATTGCATGTTCCCCAAGCGATTGGTTCTGTGTTTCGCCGTTAGCAGCCCGGGTAGGTTCCAAGGGACATCACAAGCCAAGATAGCAAGTCCATAGTCAGGAGAGCATGGTGCAACAAGCTAACAATACATGTCATAGGTCGAAGTCATCGTCGTCGAATCCCCCCTTCCGACGTTGGAACTGGCCCAATGAAAGTGTCAGGGTGGTGTGTGGCAAATATTAACCATAAACGCACCACTATAGTACTCGTCTTTGTGGCCATCTTGGATTGTGCCTCGTCTGCCTGTCAAGCGTTCGTTCAGTGCGTTGTCAACCATGAGCCAGTCAAACCGAAGGGCGAACCTGCTCCAGCAGATCTATGAGCTGGCCCTCTGTTACCCTCCCTCGCAACTGGCCCGTTTGAGCCATGCGCAGGAGGATAGCCTCGATTTGCTGTGATCGCTGAGGGCTGACGAGAGCAATGCGGGCCACTGAAAGAGCAAGCGGCGCATTTGCATATCATCAGCATTCAATGCACAGGGAATCAGACAACGATGCATACGTCGTTCTCTCGCAGAGTTATCCAGCACAGTAGCCAGCAAATCTCTGCGCATCTGTTCCTCCGCTGCCCGCTTGCCCTCATCTTCTCCACCTTCGCCTCCTCCTCCAGTGTTCTGCTGGAGTTGGCTCATCCTAGCCGCACGAATTGCGGCAAGCTCAGGGTCTGCCATGACTGTTTCGTGGAAGTCGTCTTATTCAGTGGACCAGATCACTAATAGGCGAACCCTATGTGTAGAATTCGAAGTCGACAGGGTATAGTGATACAACGTAGGTCTCAAGAGCAAAGGACCTGCAGCTGAAGATGTCGCGCCGAGGAACCGACTCAAGTGGCAGTCGCGCACGTGAACATCTAACCTTAGACGCTCATCAACATTTCCTTGAGACCTCGACTCTAAGAGGGGCGGACAATATGCCACGTACGACGGTAATTTAGCACCGGTATGCTTTGACAACCACAAATGCTTCTTACACTGGCGATTAGGCGAATGATTCGTTTTGTCTTCGCGGCATCGGGACTCAGCAGGTCAAAAATATGGATAGATGTCGATATATAAGCAGCCCTCCTACTCGCCCTGGAGAATCTACCACTCCTTCACCGTAGCAGCTAAAGAAGTTTGAAGACACCCACAGAGTCCTCCTTCTCCCCGGAAGCTGAAGCGCTGACTTGCGGCTGCCACAACGCGTCGCGTCGCGCCCCACGTGATTGTGACGACCGGGTCGCGTGGGGTGCGCGTCTGTGAGTGTTCCGTCTGCCAACTGCTCCGGGGCGTTTGACTCGACATTGTCTCTGCAGCTCTATCTCCGATCACTCGTGCCCACCGCACCGCGTCGGTTTCCCAGTCATATTGCACTCATCAGGCAGTACGGGTCCCGTACTGGCGGAGTGCAGTGGCGGTGAGGCGTGGACTGCCACACCCGGCGGCTCTTCGTCTCAATTTGGACTACAAAGGACGACGCTCGCATGTCTCCGTCGCGACAATACACCAGCCCAACCGTACGCCCCTTCAAGAGCAAGGGCTGCAGCAAGCCGGGATGCCTTCACTCCCGTCTCTCTTCCACATGCGACGCAAGTCCGATGCCCCGCCCAGCACACGGCCCTCTGTGGAGAGCCCAGATGAAATCGCCAGGAAGCTGGGCTTGATGAGTATCAGGTCGCAGTCACGGCCGCCAACAGCACAAGATGACGACTTCGTTGGTGGCTTCCACCCCGCCGTTGGTGGCAATGCGCCGTACGGTAGTCCCGGGCGACCAGTTCCCCCACCCTTCCCCACACCACACCCTGGTCCACCGCCTATACCACCCAGGATACCGGCTATGGTGGTCACGCCGCCTGCAAAAGAACAGGGGATGTCCAGGACCATGGAGATGGCGTTGTCCCCTCCTGACTTCGGTGTGCCCGGACCCTCGAGACGCGGTGCGGGTCTGCAGCGGCCCCCATTGGACGCGTCTCCGCGGCCGCGCTCTGATCCTGTGGCATCCCCGCGCACCCAAGCTGAAGGGTCACGTTCAGTTGCCGTTCTCCCACTTCTCCTCGACGCCAATGACGAGCCATCCCTCTCAGCTCCTCCGAAATCATCGAAGTCGCAACGGCCATCCCTGACTGTGCAGCCCTCCATCTCGCACCCTCCAGGGCGCTCGTTGTCTTCACCCGCGGCGACGACATCGTCTTCGTCAGATCTCCCGGAAAACGTAATATGCAGCGGGTTCACGAAGTCGAAACCTGGCGAACGATGTACGCGTCGGACAAAAAGATCGCCTCGCCTTGGCAATCCGTTGTGGTATTGCTTCCAGCACTTGCCAGAGGTGAACAAGCTTGAGAAGTTTCGGGCGCAAGATGGAACCCTCGTTCCCTACAAAAGTGCCGCAGTTTTGACCCCTGCGAAATCTTCTGAGTTAACCGATGCCTCAGCTTTCATTCCAGAGTACCTGAGCCCCATGGCACGGGCGAACTTGCGACATCATATGGAGACAAGAATCAGCAAGGCGGATGGTCTGGGATATATCTACGTAAACCAGCTTGAACGTATGTTTGGTCCTACAACTGGACCGACTTCGGGTTGCTGACCGTTCTTCCGATAGACAAGCACAAATCACATCCAGGCGTGCTGTTGTTCAAAGCGGGACGCACTGTCAATCCGAAGCGTCGCCACGGCGAGTGGTCAGTCAAGTGCTCCTCTTACGAGTGGCACTACGTGTACCTGCATCCACGGCCGGAAGGCGCAACAAGTTTGATGGCTGCCAGCTTGAACCCGGGGCCACCGGGTATCTGTTGCCACCGCTTGGAGGCGCTGGTCTTGTGTGAGCTCGCAGACCTCTCGTTGTATGGGCAATATCTGCATCCACAATTCCGAGATGATACGTCTGCGTTCAAGTGGGAGGACCTTGACCAAGCGGTACGTGATAGGAAGCCGCCACCTGAAGTTCAATGCGAAGATTGTGAGTTGTACCAGACACCTCTCGTATCGTATCGCTAGGCTTACTGTAGGGAAAGGCCGTACGGTCCACAGGGAGTTGTTTCCTTTCCTTCGTGCGACGTCGGGGCCTCTCGTAGGCAAGGAACTGGAGAGAGTCATCATTCCTATCATCAACCGGTGGGCGAACTTCTTGTTAATTCACGCTAAGAGGGACGAGTTGGAGTAAATGCGACCAACATCTAAGTATGGCATATACCGGAAGAATCGTTTACGTAGACTTGCTGCATTTTGATACTTGTGTGTAATCCTGGAGGACATCGAACACTGTATCATGGATCCGAATTGTCTCACACCTCTTCCTCTATCTACGGAACGTTAATTTAAGATGTAACAAGTGTATGTACGACGCAGATGGACGTTTCAGTCCATACACGTATCTTTAGGGGCTTGCAGCGATGGACACACCGCCCATTTCATACCGCAGCCCATGCTGTTTTCTTCAACGTTTCAACGTTGACGACGAGGCCTTGAGGGCTTGTCTCCGGATTCTTGGGCAGAGTGGACAAATCCTTCAACCTCCGCGCGCTCCCGATTCTTGTACGAGGACGCTCTCCAAGTTGAAGCTTGACGTCTGGCGCACCAGCGAATTTCGTTTAATTATGCCCTCTCGCAGCGTGGAAAGCCTCTCGTTGATACGTAGGGGACAGTCACCACGACCCTCTCTCGCCCTCTGCAACTTCAAGCCCACTTCGCGACACCGACAACAGAGATGGCATAGCACTCCGCCGGGCCGACGAATACAGCTGTCCAATATAGACGCAAGAGTGCACCGTGACCACTCGCGCTTCAAGTTGCTGTCTGGGAAGAAATGCTGTCGTGCTTCCTTGCTTGTTTGTTTGTTTATTCCATTTAGTGTCACTGAGGGCGAAGCCCTATGTAGACTCGGACATGACGTATGCTACTCTCGTTGTGTGTATCGTATGGTCCGTGGTCGCTGAGCATCGCCGTTCGCCGGAGCGTAGGGCAGGTATAGTACTAGAGTGTTCTGTAGTGTAGTGAGAGAGCTGAAATGGGAATGCGTCGATCTGAAAGGGTTGTGGATATGGGGGATCTCGGTTCTTTGCGTGTCGGCCGCTGTTCATCGTCAACGCCCCCTGGGCGCGGTCTCTCGCCTTCGCATCTTTCAACTCTAGGTCTCCGTAGGCGGCCGCTTCGCGGCCGGTGTCGTGTATGTATCGGAAGAGGGGTCTCATGGTGCTCGCTGAGTTGAGGAGATCTTTCATCGAGCGGGCGGCTGGGCCCGCGTCGCGTGCAAGTTGGTCTCGCTGTTCATTGAAGGCGGGACACTCCATAAGGTAGTGGTACACAGTCTCGCGTGTGGTCCTGCAAGACGGGCATGTGGGAGTGTCCTCCTTCTGGATCCTAAATAGAAACTTCTGCAGCGGGACGTGTTCGGTACGCAATTGGATCAAAATACTCGCCTGCCTCCGGGGTAGCCTCTCCGCCACCTTCCCATAAGTCTTCGACGGCATATCCGGGTCGATTCGATCCATCCGTGCAGCCCGCGGGGACGCCTTCCATTCCTCCTTCGCCATCCGCGCCAGTCTCTCGTTCTGGGTCTGCCTAACCCTGGAGAGACTCGCTGGGAGTGTCCCCTTCAGCCAGCCCGGGAGGTCCTCGACCGGGCTGCTGTCTCCTCTCGCCGCCTTCTTCGCCTCTACGTCCGCCAGCTCGTTCCCCTCGATTCCTTTGTGGCCTGGCACCCATCTTAGGGTGAGGTCTACGTTCGGGTGGCGTTTCTCAAGACGTCCAATCGCCCGTAGGAGGTGGTCAATCATGTAGTGTGCGGGATGTGGCTTCCGATTCTTCGACGCGTGGAGGCACGCGAGGTTGTCCGCCGCTGCTGACGCTTTCGCGCACGATAGTTCCCGGTGGAGCAGCTCGACTCCAAGGTTAAGTCCCACGATTTCGCCCTCGTATACCGTGTGTTTCGTCGAGGGTCCTAAGTGGTATCGAAGGACTCTGGGTTCGCCTTCCGGCATGACCAGGACGGCCGCCGCTCCGACTCCGTCATCGATGTCTGAGCCGTCCGAATATATCCTCCACCCATCCTTCCTCGCCCAGACCTTTTCCTCGGCTGCGGCATCCTCCTTCGATGGCGCTATGGAGATCTTGAAAGGCGGTCTCCAGCTCGGGGGAGCCGTACCGCTTCTATGGTCTCTATCTCCTCGGGTTCGAGCTCGTATGCTCCTAGGACTTCGTGTAGGGGGCTGCGATGTTTCTTGACCCATCGCGAGGCCTGTTTGACGTGACGGTGGAGGGGATGAGAGGTGGGTAGGGTGCACAACCTAGTAGCTTCGTGCATTATCATCTTATCAACGAGAAGGTGGAAGGGAAGATGGTTCAAATGTGCGGTCAATGAGTCTGTGGGCGTCGATCTCATCGCTCCCGATATCATCAGGCATGCCTGTCTGTGCACCCTCTCGAGCTTGCGGATCACTCCGACTGACCCGGTGCTTCCTTGCTCACGACGTACACCGCGAACTCGCCCGCGTCGATCCGACGTGTGTTGGTGAGGCTATGAGCGAGTTTGATGGTCGTCAAATGGTGGGAAAAGGGCATATAAGTGCAGAGCGTTGGAGTAGGGGAGTTGTCGGGGAGCGTGGTGACGCAATGGTTTTCAGTCGGTGTTTTCGCGTGGTTGACTATCCTCTTGCCCGTCGAACGTCGGATATCTAACCGAAAGCCTGCCACTGGTAGCCCAATGCAGGAACAACGGCGGGATGATCCTAGCCGCTGCGCTGGTAACAGGTGTTGGCACGTTCTGTCCCGGGCCGATGCGAAGATTTCGGATGTCCAGACTGACTTTCCGTACCTGCGGCAGTGCGCCGCGCACGAGTGCTGCTTCGCGCGAGAGCGGATGCGGAACGACACTCCTAGAGTCGTCTGGATACGGCAGGAAGTCTTCCTTCAGGAACCATACCGAGACACATAATTTGCTGACGTATTGGCCTACGCCTCGAGACAGCATGGCCACGATGGTCTGGACTGTCAAAGAGAGATCGTTGTAGTCCCTCCCGACGTGTATCTGGTATTCAACCTCTTCCAGGTGCATGCTGTGTGTTAGCCGATTCGCAGCGCCGTCTAGCTCAAAGCATGAATTCGCACTCAGTTCCACTCAACGCATGACCACTTACCTGCAGAGGTATCAGAAACGGCTTTTGGGAGAAGACAACGATGTATCCAGTCATCCTTCCCATCAACATCCAATTGGAGTCGGCGATACCACTGGTCTGCGACATCAGGAGGCACGCTCGGGATGGTGTGCAGAACTCTGAGTTGGAAGATAGGGAAACGAGCCATATACATGTTTTCCTGGGATAACGCTGTGATTCCGTGTTCCGCATCCACCGTGAGCTGTCCGATCTCAGAGAACAGTTGCGCACAGCACGAGAACGCAGGGAGACAGTTAGAAACCGAGTGATAGGGATGCGGAGATAGGCCAGGACGAAGGGTCAGGCGAAAAAGTGGACGTCGCCCCTGCGACTCACGGCGACCAAATTCTAGCCGAGTAGCCAGGCTCGGGGGAGGATGAGGAAAGTCTACACCCGTTAGTTCGATCTCTTCAAGTGCTGGAAGCACTTTGATGATCCGTCGTAGCTCCTCCACATTGTGGAATTGACTGCTGGTCAAAGCCAAGTACGTCACCGATTTGTACGCCGAAAGGAGGCTGAAAAAACTGCGGTGCCACTGGTTGCCAGTTGAAAGCCCCTGCCGTCTCAAGGACCATATTCTTAGGGTGTCCAGCCTCGGCACGAATGATCCCGGGATGCACAGCGGCACGATGTGTACAAAGGGTCTTTCATGGCTCTCCAGGATGTTCATCTCCCTGATATCACGGTAGAACCGCCTGCTTTCGGGCCGAGCGAAACGTTTCGACAGCAGGGTCAGATCCGTGACGCTTTTGATGTCCAGTGCATGGTAAGCATTGAGATGGTATTCGCTCGCAGACCGCCATGTCCGGCACGTCAGCGCGCAGCTCCACAGGGTTAGCGGGTCGTCCCAATGAAACCCGATGATGAAGTCGGTGAGCTCGGCGGGCAGGGCGCGAGGCATCGTATGGCTGCTTACAATCAGTCAAGGTCAGCGGTATGCGCAAAACGAAGGGCATTGACTCACTGGCGTTGGTGGGCGGGGAGTCTGGGAGCATCCACAATATGGCGGGGCTACATATGCGTGCAATCACAGCCATCAACGCAGGTTCCTGGGGCCTGATAGGCACTGTCGCGGTGCTTACCGTGGAGAGCAGCTGACTCCCAGATCAAGTACAGTGGTTTGATGCATGAGGCCGCACCCAGAGCGCGAGACGTTCTAACGCTGAAAATGCTGGTCGGAATGTCCTCTATCTGATTCACCGTGGAAGACACGTACGTACGTGTCCCGTAAGTGCCAGTGCGATACAGGATGGCTATGCTCATTTCGGCCTATGAACACGACACCCGTGATTCTTCTCGAAAGGCCCACGTCCTGGACGGTCATGAGCGTTGAGGTGAACGCCAATGTGGCGGCCAACATATCGAGCTGCAACTGGCAGGCGTTAACTTCGCATTCTAGCCACAATTTGCCGCTAGAAGTCCCAAAGCCGTCAAGTACACCCATATGGGCTGTCCGTTGACATATCACATTTGTGGTCCCTTGCTCCGAGTCACGACGTACACTCCAAAGTGGCCATAGCCCACCCTTAAAATACCAGGCCCCATCTCGGGTTCTACAGTAAGAGTGGATGCGGCTGACCCGTCAACTGCGTCACAGCATGAACGACTGGCCCGACGATGCACGACGAAACACACACCTTCCGGAAGACTCTCACTGTAGACCCGATCACACCCTGGCCGAGTTTCTTTATCCCTTCCTTCCCCTGCCAGGATATGAGCTGATGTGACTACTTCGATGAGAACGTCACTCACTTTCGCTGCAACCACCCAGCTTGTCTCAGATTCTGCCTTCATGCTTGTGGTCACTACGGCGCCGGCGATTAACCGAGAGCATTCCGCGGGCATCCCAATTCGCGAACAACGGCGGGATGATCCTGGTCGCTGCGTCGATGACAGGCGTAGATCTCGGCGGGCCCCGGAGCATCTGGATGACCAGCTCGACCGCGGTCACATTCTGCAGTCCGAAACGTACAGGGGCGAGGTCAAGGGGGGGAGCGGGGCCCTCGTCGGGTCCATACGGCAGGCAACCATCCAGTTCGCAGTCGAATAAAAGATTGATGTATATCTTGGTAACTTTCTCGCCTACGCCCTGAGAGAGCATGGTCACAATTGCTTGAATTGTTGACCGAAAATCGGCGTAGTCTTTGTGAATAAAGAAGAAGTATTCGATCTCTTCCAGATGTATGTTGCGTACCAGGCTCGTAGCATCTACAATCGCGTCAGCAAGCTCTGATCATGAGTACTAGCATCATGCGCATCCGCTAAGTGATACGGATAATACCTCACCTGCTGCCAAAGTTTCGAAGAGCGGCGGAACTCTCGAGGCATGGTCAGAGCGCGTGTCCCCGGCTTGCTCCACATCGGTATCTATGCGAAACCGATGCAGCGAGAATGGCACGGTGCGGCCTCCCACGATGGCCAGAAGTGCAAGTCGTGAAACAGGGAAACGAGCCACAGCCATGTTTTCTCGGGGAAACGCTGTCGCCCCACTTCTGGCCTCGGTGGTGATCTCTTCGGCCCCAAAGACTGATTGTAGACAATGCAATAACTCAGCGTGCTCATGAGGCACCAAGTACAAGGTTAGGTGAAGCAGCGACGGTCGCCTTCGAGGACGTCCAGGTTCCTGGATCAGACTCGGCCGTACGCCAGGAAATGGGCCTAGGAAGCGCAGTTTTGAGAATACGACATGCTTTAGTGCTGGAAGCGCGTCGACGATCCGGCGCAAGTCACGAAAGTCACGAAAGTGACTATCACCAACATTCAAGATTCAAGCGCGTCACCGACTTGTACGACGAGAGGTGAGTGAAGAAGCTGTGATGCCAATTGACTGTGACGTCGGGTTTCTGTAGACCAATGTTGTAGAACGCTATCGATTGAAGATGCGGGACGAATAGCCCAGGGATGCACAGCGGCACTGTGTGCACGTATGGCCTCTCCGGGCATTCTCGGATGGTGATATGCTCGATAGCGCGGAGGAACCGTCTGCTTTCAGGCCGAGCGACGCGTTTCGAGACCAGCGCCAGATCAGCGACGTTGTGGAGTCGTAATTCGTGGAAGGCCTGCAGCTGGAGCTCACTCGCAGCTCGCCACGCCCAGCACGTCAGCGCACAGCTCCGCAGAGTCGGTGGGTCCTCCCATGCGAAGCCGATGATATGATCGGTGAGCTCTGGAGGCAGCACGCGAGGCATAGTCGTACTGTTGACCGACAAATGCAGTCAGCGGCATACTACGCGTTGCTGAGGAGGAAGCGCACTTACTGAGGGTGCGAAGGAAGGATATGTGGTCCTTTGGGGCACGACTCCCGAGTTTGTTTGCCCGGGGGCGATGCAGGCCACTGGCACGTGCCTATTCAACGACGCCCTTTTTCGCAGGAAATTCACGGGTGCCATACGTCTGCGAGGTTCTAAAGACGAGGTCGTAAGGAGGTGAACACTGAACAGTGCCACGGTGGTGGGCACCGCCCCACAACACTTGCCTAATCAGGATCGAAGGCGCCTACAGTGTCGTCGGCGCTTATGAACAAAGAGACCCTTGCGAAGCGGCCGCGATCTTTTGTTCGGACACGCCCCATTCAGTTCCTTACGCGCTCACTGAGCCTCAGAGGCATATATAAAGAGCTTCCGAGCGCTGCAATGAGCCACATTGTCCCCCTCTGCTGGCCGTTCTGAACTATACCTGCCGTTGACCGGCCGTTTTAATCTTCTTCTCTAGTAATATTGAAGCCCTGAGCTGCTCCTCGAAGTCACGACTAGTCTAGCACTCACGCCCTCCATTTCCGCGTCCTCCTTACACTAGATCTCTATTTTCAAGCAAGACACGATGCGCACGACCGGTTCATCCATTATCATCGCCGCCATTTTGTCTACTGTGGCACGGGCAACAGAATTCCAGGTTACTGTTGGCGGACCAGGAGTGTTGCGATTCAACCCCGAGTATGTAGTGAGTACAGAGTTGGCAACACCTGACATAGCACCCGACGCTCACTCAAGTTTAGAATGCCACCTCCGGTGATACTGTCGTATTTTCTTTCAGACAGGAGAATCATACGGTTACGCAGTCCTCCCTCGACAGCCCATGCCAGATTGCTGACGGTGGCTTTGATTCTAACTTGTGAGCTCTGTCGCATGCTTTGACTTGTCAGGAACTAAGACAGTATCTTTCAGCGTCCCTGTAGCAGCAAACAACACTGATGGCCCCTTCCCGGCCGCTCAGTATACGGTTACGGACGGCAGCCCGGTCTGGATATTTTGTCGCCAGGCGAACCACTGCCAGCAAGGGATGGTGTTTGCAATCAACCCCGGCGACAATTTCACCATGTTCAAAGCAAATCTTTTCGGAAACAGCACAGCTAACTCCTCGATGCCTGCTACCATATCATCTACGAGCACAGCCACAGCATCTACCACCGACCCTGTCTCCTCGTCTACCTTGGTGTCATCCTCCATCGTGACTACCGCTCCCGGCTCCGCTTCAGCTGTCTCTACAGACGCGGCCGTGGCCAACGTCACGACCACAGTGACCATCTCCGAGACGGCGCAACCTACGTCAACCGCATCCACGACGAGCTCCGCTCCAGTATCGTCGAGCACATATTCGGAGCACATCGTGGTTGTGGGCGCTGACGGAAAGTTAGCCTACGAACCCTCGAATATCACTGCGGCCGTCGGGGACGTCGTCACCTTTTTGTTCATGCACGCAAACCACACGGCCACGCAGAGCAGTTTCTCGGATCCTTGCAAGAGTTTGACGAAGACCAGTACGTCAGGACAGGTTGGATTTGACTCCGGATTGTGAGTGACGTGCGTTTGGGGACCCTGATTCATTGCTCACATTCGCATGTGCCCAGCATGCCCGTCGCCAACGGCACCTCAAACTACCCCACTTTCACTGTTGAGGTCAATAACGTGCGTTCACTTCTCTCATCGCCTTTCAGCCTCTGGATCTCAACCCAATTTTCGCAAAGACTGATCCAGTCTGGGTATACTGCAAGCAGACGAATCCACAAGACCACTGTGCAGCGGGCATGGTGTTCTCCATGAACGCTGTCGCATGTGGTCTAGAGGACTATTCAGCTTTCGTCGATGCTGCAAAGCAGAGCAATGCTACGTCGGGGACCTCGCATTCCGGTGGCAGCCGCTCTACCACGTCCAACCGCAATGCAGGCGTTGCGTTCACGCTCTTTGCTCTTATGATCGGACTTGCCTTGTAGACGACCGCAAGGACTCCTCATGGACTAACGACCACATGAATTATGTGTACTGATACGAAGGGCTCGTTGTAGCGATAGTATTCCACTGGGTTATTTAGCTGGGCTGTAAATTGATCTTCACATCCTTATCTCACCTGTGCGTTGTGACGATCGAGTGGTGACCCGCATGTAGTTGCCTCGATCGATCGACGCGGTCTGTGCCCCGCAAGCCGTCGTGAGTGGTTGGCAGCACATCTACCTTTCCATCAAGCTCACATGAAGCTTCATCGACACTAGCTTATATTGATGCAAACGTTGCGCCGCGATGCTGCTCGTTCGTCGCCGGTGGGTCGGGACCAGAGCTTGCCTGAAGGCCATGAGAGCTACAGGTGCTGCCATGCATTCCCCTCCGATTACGTTCTCCGTGTGAAGGATACCTGTTGCTAATTATGTAAGTTCAAGAAACATCTGATCGGGGCGTACGCTGAAGTCTCAATATCACAGGTCATACACTGTTCTACGAAGAGGGCTACACGTCAAATGTGTTGTGTCGATGATCGTGACATAAGCGAACGGTGAGGCTCCTTGTGGTTGAACCTGGTCTTCAGAGGTATCCTCAACCCTCGTCTCCTGGTTCACAATGTCTGCGTCTCAGGACACTCCCGCCGCGAACAACGTTGCAGATGATTTTTCTACAGAGACACATCACGCAGTGTCTGCGTGGTTCATGGGGCCTAGAGCAGAGAACAGTGATGTCATGAAGAAACTGTTAGGCGAAGTCGTCGACCGCGTTACTCGAGATCGCGTAGAGTACTTTCCAGGCGACCCAGTAAGCTTTGCCCGTCCTGGACTTTGACCATGACATCTTGATCATTGATGTCGTGCACAGGCATTCATCACCGCATCGACGCGGGACTCTGCACCCTACAAGCGCGAAGTGGACGACCTGCAGCGCTACGTCACCCTGCTGGCCGACCTCATGTCGCGATACTCCCTCCCGTTCTTCTCCCCGCGCTACATGGGCCACATGTGCTTCGATAACTCCCTCCCGGCCACGTTGGGATATCTCACGGCCATGATACACAACCCGAACAATGTCGCCGTCGAAGCGAGTCCGCTCACGAGCTATGTCGAGTACTGCGTCGGCCAACAGCTATGCAAGATGCTCGGATACCGCACGACCGAGGATATAGCCTCGGAGGGAACGAAGTCGACTTACAAAGGGTGGGGCCACCTCACTTGTGACGGTTCAGTCGCAAACTTGGAGTCTTTGTGGTGAGTAATGTCTGTACGTCTTGACCGTCAACGGTTCACTCACGTCCCGCACGACAGGGTCGGTATGTATAACATCCTCTCCTATTGCCCACTGTCACGGAGCTCATGGGTGTTTAGCGCGTAACCTCAAATTCTATCCACTCTCTTTGAAATGGGCTATCGAAGAGGGGAATCTGGGCTTCGTCGCTTCATCCTTCACCGTACCCCTCACGCGCAAAAACGCGGGGTCTGTCCTCCTCGTGAAGGCCTCCACGCAGGACCTACTCAACCTCAGGCCCGAGGTCATCCTGGACATCCCGTTGCGTTTGTCGAAGGAGTATGGCATCTCGCAGCAATTCATCGACGCAGAGGTGGAGAAGTACCTTGTGCAGACCATCGGACGCGAACCATTAGAGACGAGGTATTGCATCACGCGGGCGCCCAAGGTTCTGGTGAGCAAGATGAACCATTACTCGTGGCCGAAGGGCGCAGGTGAGATATGTCCTCCGTTCGCATTGTTGGGTGAACCTGACACCTTGTGCCAGCCGTGCTGGGAATCGGAAGGGATAACGTCCACCAAGTTGACGTCGACTCACACGCTCGTCTAGACAGCGATGCACTAGAGGCGGATCTCCTATCCCTTGCACAGGCGGGACATCCCATCTACGCGGTGGTCGCGATCATGGGGACTACAGAGCACGGCGCGGTGGACCCCCTGAACGACATCCTCTTGATTCGGCGTCTGCTCCAAGACGAGTACGGGATCTCGTTCCTAGTCCACTGTGACGCCGCTTGGGGAGGGTACTTCGCTTCCCTTCTCCATCCAGCGCCTCCTGAGTATAAGGGCGGGAGGAAACCGGACGACGACGGCGAGTACGTACCTCATCAAGCGCTTTCGCCCTATACGGAAACACAGCTACGTTCCATGCGCTACGCCGACTCTATCACCCTCGACCCCCATAAGAGCGGCTATGTCCCGTACCCTGCAGGCGGACTTTGCTACAAGGACGAGCGGTCCAAGTACCTCATCACCTGGACCGGGCCTTATATCGACGGCGGCGCTAGTGACGTCGAGTCTATGGGCGTGTACGGTCTCGAGGGCAGCAAGCCCGGCGCAGCACCTGTAGCGGTGTACGTCTCGAACGAGGTTATTGGTTTGCATCGTGGCGGATATGGCGGGTTGCTCGGCGAGGCGATGTTCACGTCCGTGAAGTTGTACGCGCACTGGGCGACGATGACGCTGGAGTCGGACACGCTGATCGTGACGCCGTTCAACATGCTCCCCGCAGAGCGCGATGAGAAATCCGTTGAGGAAGTCGAGGCGCAACGCGCGTTCATCAAGCGAAACATCGTCGACCGCCCGAATCGCGAGCTGGTGCGAGACGCGGAGGCGATGTACCTGGTCAGGATGATGGGCTCGGACTTGTCCATCAACGCATTCGCATGCAACTTCCGGCTGTCGAGGGGCGGGCCGCCGAACAGGGACGTGGCAGAGGCAAGCTACCTCAACGCGCGCATCATCAAGCGGCTCGCGGTCAACCGCGTCGACGACGATGCTCGAAAAAAGCCTATTTTGCTCATGGGTACCGAGCTAGACGACGAGCGGTATGGATCATGCTTGAAGAGCTTCAAGCAGCGGCTCGGGCTGAAAGCGGAGGATCCGGGGCCACTGGCTGGGCTCTGTAACGTGTCGATGTCTCCGTTCCCTACCACTGGGAACTTCGTACGTGAATTAGCCGATGCATTCCGCAAGGTCGCGGAAGAAGAGGTGCAGGTAGCTTTCTTCGATTTGTCTTCTGTTTGCTTCCTGAATTTGGACCCTGTCACAGAATTGCTGGAAGCGAGTCAATGTCGCGCCGGCGATCCACAGCTTCGTCATGCAAGGAACGAAAGATCTATTTCTTACTTACCTCCCGATGTTCAACTGGGGTAGCTATCGACAACAGCTGATTCTGTCCGCGAAGTTGCCATCCGAGGTCATGGAGGCATATGTACGTGCCCAGAGGGAGGATCCAGAGGCTGTCTTCAGCCTACACACCTCGTCAGAGGAGCTGTTATCGTCAATCTTGCAGAAGCGCAGTTGCGTGGTGGATATACACCAAGGGCTACCCATGCTGCACGGGTGCGTGCGTCTTTACATTGGCGTGCATAATGATTGACCGACCTGGCAACACAGGGTTGCTGGTGATCTCAATTCGTTCTCGCGATCGCGGGTCGAACTGACGGAGATCACTGTCGTCAAGCACACCAAGCTGGCGCCCAGCGCACTCGCCGATGACTATCCTCCTGTCATGTCGTTCTTCCTCTACGGCTCGTCGAAGGAGCAACACATCGAACATGTGCTGCTCAAGAACGACAATGTTCAGCTGAATTGTAGTCGCGTGGAGCTTGACTTCGGGCCCAGTACCGAGCGCATCCTCAACGAGATTGATTCCAGCACCGGATTCGTCCTCACATTCGGCGACCTGCGTGAGCAGGCCATGCAACCGTTCGGAACACGCCACAAGCCGGATTTCTTCGCTCCCAGTAGGACGTTCCAAGTATCCCTTCACATGGATCCGTGCGCAAGCCAAGGACTGGACGCTGTCGACATGCATCAGCTTTTCGACCATCTCCGGCTAGAAAGTCCAGTAGCTCAGGGTACTATCACCTTGGGAGAAAGCGTGTACGTGGACTTCGCCCATCTCAACCGCGACACGGTTCCGCAGCTATGTATCACCCCCACGGAGAAGCTGACTCGGGACCAGCTGCTCTCGTCGGTCATAAACGATTACCAGAACATTGTGGATGGCATTTCCCGCGTCGTCGCGAACGAGAAAACTACTATCGCGCCAGACATCGAGGAGCATATCCTGGCACGAGCCACGTTGCCCTCAAAATACTCCCTGGGCAGGTTCGGCGAGGCACAAGACGGTCCAGCGACCGACAGCAAAGTGCATGTCAGTCGGTTTACGGTCCCCCATCCCAGTGACGATCATAGTCGTCAGATGATGGTTCGTACTGGCTGGAAGGATATGTTCGACGAGACGGTGGCAAACTGTAGGAGTCAATGTGCGGACAGTCGAGCATAGGTTTCGTTGGTAGACAGTCAAATAGTGAGCATCGCAATGTGACAGGAAGAGTAGACTGGTATTGTCGTCAGATGGTGGAAGGGAAGGTCTCGCTGTACTTAGGTGATCGACACGCACGTCGCAGAACTGGGCAACGACGCGGGCGAAAATGTTGGACGCGTATCACATGACACGTTATGGAGCGCGACACGTAACGCGTTACGTCGCGCTCGAATTGGGTAAGCGCCAGGTGGCGGTAACTTGTCCCAATCCGTCACAGTCGTTCGTCTGTCGTCCATGTCGGCCTTGGTTGCGCCGTCGAATTGAGCTGCAATCCCGCCGGATCGTCCGCTCGGTTCTCAAATTGTCGCCAAGATCAAGTCAAAGTTCTTTCACGAACACCAACTTGTGATACTGGACATACTCGTCTCATGAGTTGCGGCAAGTGCGCGGAATGTGACGGACCAACCGAATGGGACGAAGGCGTTGGCTCTGCTATCTGCACCGAATGCGGGACGCTTGCAGACCCCACGCAGAGCGTTCTCACTACTCGTTATGACTTCGCACCAAACACTACAAACGAACCATGGACGACTCTAACGACCACACTGAAGAGCCGGAAAGGATGGGCTCTTCCCGGCCAGAGCCAGGATGCTTCGCACACGAGGAACACCGTGAGTAAATCTATTGATGATACCGTTTTATATTCTGACTGGCAAAAAACCAGCTGGCTATACGTGAATTCATCCAAACTTTGGCTATAAGACTCTCGGCTCGGGGTGCCGCTGAGCGTGCGCAAACGCTCTTTGACCAAGTTATGACGAGAGGTCAGTTTCGCTGGGGTCGCCAATCTAAACGAATGGCCGGTGCAGCTCTTGCGATAGCACTCCGCGAATCCAAGAGAAGTGACGCTCTACGAGACATAGCTGTGAGTACGCTCTCGATTTGCGTCTCGGTGTCTACGCGCAAATGTTGATTACGCAGAAAGCTGATTGAGTTTCGTGACAGTACTTTCTGGAGGAATCTCCTGGGGCTCTGGGCCGCTCCTTTAGCTCTCTGACGAGGATTTTGGCACTGAACGTAACACCTGCCGATCCCACAGTTCACCTGTCAACCCTGCACAGTCATCTCGTCTCTGAATTGCAAGAGTCCGCTTCAACTTTCCCCGACAAACTCCGAACGACTCTGGTGCCTCTGCTTCCTCGCATGATGGTCATCATGCGAACTGCAGATTCGCTCTGTGCCCTCCTCTCCCGAACAGATGCCTTGGTGAAAGTGCCGACTCCACCCACCTCCTGTGCTGTTCTGATGCTCGCTATCGAGGCCGAAGTGCAGTCTTCACTCCCGCATACAGGCGTGCTAGCCCAAGTGCTCGGCTCCCGCTTTGGCGCCGCTAAAGCGACCGTGATGCAGCGTTACAAGATCATATACGATCTCGTAGAAGAGTGGATCCGCGAAGTACCCTGGCTAGACGCCCACGAGCGTAAGAACGGAGGCACGGGGCGTTCCAAGGTCGCCAAAAGGATTGTCGTCGCTCGGGGTTTGAAGGACGTCCTGCAGTTCCAGGATGAGATATCGGCGAAGAAGCTGGAGGCTCAAGAGAAGCCGCGGCTTGAGATCGAAGTGGAGGATGTGAGCACGGATGGCAAGGAGGATGTCGAGGATGACCCAGACGCAGACGGGCCCTGGCGCTTCTTCCGGGACAACAGGAGGAGAGACACTACAGCGGGTACGTCATCCGCATCTACTCGCGTTGTCCGAAAAGACGTCGTCATCTCTCGTCCTCCCCTTAAGAAGTGGAAGAGCTCGCACGAGCGCTCCGTCGCACGGGCGTCGCAGTTCCTGCTGGACCCACTGCGCTCCCGAGGTTCAGGAGACTCGGGAATGCAAAGCGAGCCCTCGCGTCCGCGGAAGCCCAGTGGCGGCGCGGACCTGGACCTGCTCTCCCATATCCTCACCGCCGACCCCTCCAGCCTCCCGCACGTGTTCGCCAATGCGCCCAGTCGGCTGCAGCTCCTCGTAGCTTCCCGTACACGCGCGGAGTCGGACATCCCCGACGAGGAGCTGTTTACCGACGGCGAGCTCGACGGGATGCTGAGGAGCGCAGAGGAGGCTGGCCAGCTGCGTATCGCGCTTGGATGGGATGCCGAGGAAGAGGGTGATGTTGCAAGCCCTGCGACGCCAAGGAAACACTGTCGGAAGAGGAAACGAGAGGAGGCGGAGGAAGACCAGGAGACGGCCGGAGGATCGAAGAGGATCAATATGGACGCGCTCGCGAGGCTCCTCGATCCGTCCTTCGATCTGGAGGCAGAGTATGTCTTCAATGATACGGACGATCTCCTCGCAAACGATGATAAGGAGTGCGCTGACAACGAGGTTGTTGATTATGCCTCCCTGTCGTTTGTCGGTTACGGCGAAGATCCCGACGTGCTCTCGCGGGCTCCGATGTCCAGCGGCGAAGGAGAGGTGGTTGAGGAGTGGCGGCCGATGTCTCCGGGAGGTGGGTATGACGAGGACCGATACGACGTGTAGAGCGTTTCTCTTTTCAGCCGGAATCATCGTGACAAGGCCCGTGTTGCACACTGGTCAGCAACTTTCATTCTGTTTTCAATGCACGGTTTTGACTCGTTGCACAGCATCCAGGTGTCGCCATAGATCTGCCCCTGTATCGGAGGTTAATAACTCCATGGACCCCTCATCGGAACTTGATGAAAAGTTCGTTCTCCCATCACTTCATTACCATTGCATTGCATAGCCCATGTCTCCGATATGCCAGGACCGCACTTGATTCCACCGTATGTGTAACGTAGCTCCTAGATGGACTTGAGTTTTCCGATACCCGTACTGTACTGTATCATCCGCCGCCGCCCAGACGAAGGCGCGCTAGACTAGTGTATATCGTATTCGTGTTGATATATTGGATTGGATTGTCGGGTTTTCCTCAGGGTGTTCATCAACCTACCGAAAGCTAACGCGCACGCCCAAGGCCTATGGCACGGTGCACCTAACAGGGTGAGAAATCATGACAATTCCGACCATTTACAACACGATACAGATATACGTAACTATAAGAAGGGTCGCCCGCAAAAGTCTAGTGGCTTCTGGCCAGTGGCCCCGAGAGGTGCGCACGTACAGGTACATCATACATCTTACGGTAGTATATGGGAGGGGTACGAGTGAAGAATAAACAAACGGACGGGGAACACAAGATATAGGAGATGTATGTCACAGATGCGACTGGAGGACGGGGAAAGGGGACAAGGGTGAGACAGCTCATGCCCTCTTTGCAGCCTGGGAAGATGAGCCGTCAGTCGAGACACGCTTCTATCAGTAGCAGAACACTCACTCGTGCGCTCCGCGCGCTGGTGGCAGTGGTCCTAGAGGTGGAGGCCCTCTTCACAGGCTTAGCAGCCGGCTTCGCCTTGGAGGCAGGAGCACGACCGGTGGCGGTCTGCAAGTCAGAAGTCAGTGCGCCGAATTCAACACACGCTTATCATGTCCAGACCTTCTTAGCACTGTCCCGCTTGCTGGGGGCAGCAGTCTTCTTGGCCGGTGCGGCCTTCTTAGCAGCAGGAGCCTTCTTGACCTCAGCCTTCTTAGCGGCAGGTGCAGCTTTGGCCCTGCTAGTAGTTGACTTCTTAGCGTCCGCCGACTTCGCAGCGGCGGCTGGCTTGGACCTCACGGGGGCTGCTTTCTTAGTGGCGGGGGCTGCCTTAGCAGCGGGCTTCTTAGCGACGACGGGTTTCTTCGCAGTCCTTGCGGGCTTCGCCGGAGCCGCTTTCTCCTTGGTCGTGGAGGCCTTAGCCTTAACAGGAGCCTTGGGCGCCTTCGCGGCAACCGGTTTGTTCTGCTGCCTAACTGAGCACTTAATTCCGGACAGAAAATGCATCATACCAACCTCCTTAGCAGCCGCTTCAGGAGGACGCTGCACCTTAGGGGCAAGCTTGACGCGTCCAGAGGGACCTAGCAAAGAGATCGTGACGTTATTGCGATGTCACAATTTGGCAAGCCGAAGTTCTCACCCTTGGGCAGAGAGAATATGTTCTTCTCGGCACCCGACGTGATAGCCTTGCTGAGCTGAGTGACTTGGGCATTGCCTATCTCGAGGTTGTACTTCTCCTCAACGAACCTAACAGTTGGAATGAGTTGAGAGCCACAGACGGCGCGTACCATACACCCACTTCTTGATCTGGTGCCGGGACACGCCGATACGCGCATCCTCCTTGTGAGTGACAATACATTCCTGGAAGAGCAAGTATTTTGCGTCAGAGACGGTCCCGACGTATTCAAATCGCACGCCGTAAGGTGCCAATGGCCTTGTCGGCGTATGGAAAGGATGGGACCGGGGATGACGAGAATTAGTGGCGCGCGAGGGGAGCCGCGCCCTGCGCCCTACCCGTTTTGGCCACCGTCGCACACGAGCCTCCCGAAGTCGCGTAACGCAGATTTAAGCACGGTAAAGCAGAGGGCATGGTATCTAGAGGAGGGTAGACGGGTTTACCTTGATCATGTCGATCCACGGAGGGTGCGTGGGGGGCGCACGAGCCGCACCCTTCTTGGTAGCAGCCGACTTGGCCGTCCTGGAGGATTTGGCGGCGGACATCTTGTATGTGAAGGCTAACGGGACGAGATAGGCTTTGAGATACTTTGGGCAGAAGGGATCTGTCAATACTAAGGGCCTCCGAGGGTAGAGGCGGAGAGGGCGGGGATGGTGGTGGTACGGGTTGAAGAGCGGATGTTCAGACTCCGAGGCGCGTCCGGTGCATTCAACAAACTGTAATCGCGTGTCACGTGAGGCGGAATCTCAGGAACTCACCTTCAGCACCGTCCGTAGACATAGCCGATGGTGTATACCACTCAACACACCGGTTATAAGGGTGGGGGGACGCGTCTGTGCTGTGTAGAGTGAGGAACGCGCGAAAAGGTGTCCGAGGCGTCGTTCACGGCTACCACCTCGTTGGGACGATGTTTCTCGCTCACAACGCGCTATTTGCGCCTCGGATAAGGAGCAGCATACTCCGTACGGTGTTTTCAGTACGATCCGTATTTTTTGAGGATAATGGGCGGACGAGCGCGGCATGGTCGGCGTTCGAACGCGACGTCCCACCCAGGCGATGTTCGACAGCAGGTGCCAAATTTGGAACGCGTTCCGCGTTCGATCTCGCGTTGATCTCGAGAAGCCAATCACGTGTGACGCGTTTCTACTGATCCGTCCGCCACGCTCAGGCCACGCAGCTCCGGGCCGCCAGCTAACCGCCAGCCAGCCATCCGAGTCCCTCCCAGCCAGCACGCCATGGCCTCCGCCGCACTCTCCCCCCTCCCTCCTCGCCTCTGCACGGTCAGCCTACGAGCGCTGCTCAGAGCCTCCGCGGCGACCTTCAAGGATGATTCGAGACCAGAAATGGTATGCGCAGTCTGTCAAAAGACATGCTCCACTAATTCCCGCTCAGCCTTCAGACTGAAAATGCGCAACGAGGCGCTCGCGTGTCCACCGTCGGCCAGTCCACAGCAGGTAGAGGAGAAGACCAACCTCGCAAAGGAAATCGCAGACGTGCTGCTCCGGAATGTCGTGCAAGCTGTGAGGCTGGATGAAGCCGGGCGCCCTCAAGACTCCGAACGTTTCAGTGAGTGCAAGGAAATCTGGTAGTTCTGGCGCGACGAGATTGACACTCGTATGCATTACCATAGAGCTTCGTATCACAGAACATACAGAGATCGCTAGCAACGACACCATCAAGGACCCACCAACCATGGAATCCAGTCGTAGCGCGCGGAAACGTGTCAGGTAAGTTCTATGCCTATACCCTCGAGCGAGCGGTACGAACGATACAATTCTCACTAGCTCGTCAGATGCTGCCAGGACCAGTGAGACCGTGCCCCAGCTGCCGCGCTACTACTCTCACTCAAGAAGGCTGCCAAGCAGCGGGTGGTGCCGGAGCTGAAGGCTGACGACCTAGAGGAATCGTTCGTTCGAGGTATGGCTGTACGTATGAGTGCCTGCTCTGCATGTATCCACAGCTTGTGTGCGTAGGAAGTGGGCCCGGTGGGCAGTCCATCAATAAAACGGAGAACAACGTGCAGTTGCTGCATAAGCCTACCGGCCTGCGCGTGTCTTGTCAGGACACTCGCTCGTTGGAACAGAACCGGAAGTTGGCGAGACGTCGGCTGCTCGAGAAGGTGCGCCGCGCCTCGACGAGAAGTCTCCACAGTGGGATACCTAACCCGTGTGCATTAGTTAGACGCCTTGTATAACCCTGGGCTCTCGAAAGGGGAGATGAAGAGTGCGCTGCAACGGGAACGAGAACGGCGAAGAAAGAAGAAGTCCAAGAAGTCCAAAAGGAATGCGGACGATATGGATGACGATGAGAGCGAGGTCAGTTCATGAGTACAACTTCCATTTCGAGGTCTGTTGGTAGCATTGCTCTTTTACCATGGACCAACTGTCGCTCTGTCACTGATCTTGGCCACTTTGCCAACCTTGCTGATTGTACCGTGCCGATTGATCAGTTCAGTCCAGCAATCTTGCCCATGATGAATTCACTATGATGCGTCGGTGCGTGCGATCCAACCATTCGAAGTTGATCTGCATTGCAAAGCAATAATACGTCCGCACTATGATCCGACCCAAAATTTTTCAAAAAGACACGACTCGTCGTACATAGTACATGCGAAAAGATGAAGCACATTCACTAACGATCAAAGTGTCCCAGATTTTGCATTCCTCCCTACGGATTGAGAGGTGGCATAGCGCCTTTCCTACCTGCAACCGGCCAAACCTCCTCCATAGACTCCGCATCCCAGAGCCTTCCGCCTCTTGCGACCCAACGGATCTCCCGAGTGCCGCTGATGTCACCCTCCAGGAGGTCAACACCCGGTTTGTACACAACGAAGTCAGCGAGCTTCCCAGGCGTGAGCGAACCCAGCGACGGATAGATTCCGAGCGTGGTTGCTGCGTCTGATGTCGCTGCACGGATGACCTGCGCGAATGTGGCTGTCAGTCACTAATACATAGAGGAGGTGGCGAGGATATGCATACCTCGTAGTTCGTCAGTCCGCCCTGCTGAGTGAAGAACATCTCGGCGTGGTAGTTGAAACCAAGCGGGGGCTCTCCGTGTGCACCGATGTGAGCGCGAAGACCTTTGTGGACCATCTTCGCCGTGGATATCGACGTGTTGAAAAGTGCGTAGCTGGGTGTGCCGTGTCAGCACGCGAGACGCCAGGTATGTAGGATGGTTGAACTCACAATCCTCGGACGAGCAGTCGACTCAGACAGACGGCCTTCCAGTATGTCATGCCTTGTGAAGCGTCGTAGTCTGATGCGACGGTTCAGTACGGGCTATCGAGAGCAAAAGGGACATACTTAGGGTCATTGGGTAGGTCTTCCGTGGCCAGATATATTGTTCGCCCATGACGCCTCCGTAGTTGACCAGATGCGTAGGAGTAGAGCCAGTGCCGCTCAACGCATACAATGTCAAAACATCATCATAGAGGACGGGTATGGGCAGCGGATGTTCAATAGTCGTCATGCCTTAATGTAATGTCAATTAACAAAACTAGCAATCGCCCTGATTGCCTTACCATCAAGGATGTAGGTTAGGTCCCATTCGTAATTCATTCCCTGAACCGAGGTCAAATAATGTCTCCGTGGTAGACTGTGCAACTTACTCCCTCAGGGACACACAGCATGTTGAGCTCCCGGGCGGCTGTCAGCAACCTCTGGCGCGAAGCACTACAGGGAGCCAACCCGCGTGAGGATCAGACCTCCACTATAACATCAGGCTTACCGAGAAGGCAAGTTGTAGTTCTTGTAGGAGAACTAGCCGGGCCTCCCTCAGCCTTGATCCTGATGAGCGCAGAACGTGCTTCGTCCATATCGACGATCTCCTGGTGTAGCTCCTCTGCCGCTGCACCATAGATCACGCCGCCGACTTGGAAGATACGAGGCCCGACCATTTGTCCACGCTCCAGTCTGAAGCGTTCCGCGAAACCGAGCACATTGTCTGCACTAGGGCTGCAGGCAGGGAGTAGCTCATCAGCGCCATATGGTAGACTGGCAAGAATATTCTGACTTGTGCAGGGTCGTCACACCATACGCGAGGAAGGTCTCCATCTCCCAGGAGCGCGCGGGGTATAGCGTATCGAACCCGTTCCAGTGCGCATGGACGTCGATGAAACCGGGTACAATGAAGGCTAGGGTGCACGTCAGAGAGCACCACAATCGGTAGGAGAGTACGAACCTCCTTCGGCATTGAGCACAGAAGCACCATAGGGGATTACAGCGTCCTGTGTGCCCACGATAGCCTCTATCTGTCCGCCCCGCGTCACGAGAATGGCATCCTCCAGGACGTCTGCGCGCAGGTCGCCTGTCTCCATAGTCAGCAGAGTAGCATTTGCTATCACGAAGAGATCTGCGTTAGCGAGGGCCGCCGCGTCCTCGTGAGCGATGGAAGCCGCGGCCTCTGCCTTAAGTCGCCGGATGTCAGACGGGTAGTCCACGACCACTTCCTGGAAGTGTGGTAGGTTCCTTGTGCAAGCGACGCCGAAGGTGAGTGCGTCTCGCTTCGTGGCCGATGAGCACGACTTCAAGTCTGCCACATCTACCCAATGCAAGTAGGGGCCTGATACCAAGCTCAGTATTCAGAAGGCCACCTTCATGAGAGTGGTTGATGGCTTACCGAGGAACCAGAACAACTTCTTGCCGTCTCGACTCCAGGTAATATCATGTCCTCCGTCGACGCTCAGTCGCATGAGACCCTTCGTCGCGTTGGCCGGCTTGCTCCAGACAGGTTCATCCATGTTCACCTCGGGCACGTAGTAGACGTGATAGAAGTCAATGAACGCAAGAGACTTCGCCTTCACTGACGCTGAGATCTCTGGGAACGCGACGAGCTCCGTCGACATCCGCCCCGTTGCCAGAGTCTCGTGCTTGTATTTCCCATACTCATCCGGGCCTGCGGCGAGGTCGATGACAAACGAGCGGCGGGGTGCCTGGACGAGCAGCTTCGTGTTGCGCTCCAAGAAGCGGATCTGCGTCTTGAGGAGCGCGCCCGTGTCGATTTCGGTCTCCACGAAATGCAGGTTCTTCACTTCGATCGAGGTGCTGTCCTGGCCTGGGGTGGGCAGCGTGATCGAACCGAGATAGAGACCGGGCCCAGCGGTCGCGACGATGTCGCCAGTGAGGTAGTCACCGCCCGTCTTGACGAACGCAAGCTGTCTCCCAGCGTAAAGGCACTCGCATAGGATTGGGGAGTAGTATCGTCCGAGAGGCAGCCCAGTCAGCTCGTACGCCTCGCCCGAGGTCAGGTTCGCTATCTCGATCGTGGAGAAGTTCGTGTCGGACCAGCGAGTGTGGATGACCAATTCCTCAGCGTTCACGACGAATGCTGGCGAGTAGTATGGCGCGTCGGGGTATAGGGCGGGAACTCGCTCTGCTCGAGGAGCGCCTTCGCCGACGTGCTGCACGTACGTCGCGCCGGAGCCCTGGAAGACAGCAAGTTCGCCAGTTGTGTCCACGCGCAACTCTGTGAACGCGTGCACCCTCTGCGTTGCCTGCGTCTCCAGAGCGGCTATATCGGCATCGGCGGTCACCGTCTCTGCGAGGCGCTTCTCGATGTGTGCGGTGAAGCGGATGGGAGTCGGCTCGCCGCCAGCGACCTTTTCCCCGAACGCGTTCACCTTCAGTGGAACGTGATAGATCTGCCCTGCAGCCCATATGATGACTGCATCGTCAGTGGGCGAGAACGCGTACGATGGATAGGTGCCCATAGGCGCGGAGACTGTGCTCAAGTCGTAGGTCAGTCCATCCCAGACATGGTGAATCGTACCCGACTCGAGATCACTGTGGGACGCAAGTCAGTGTCTAGGATTTTTGCGTGAGGAGCAGAGGCGTACAGGAGCACTAGCGCTTCTTTCTCCCGTACTCGGCGCACGAATGCAAGCGTCCGTCCGTCTCGAGAAAGCTCGGGCCTACTGGCGCCACCTGGGTATCGCCCCACCAACGTCGTCGTCTCTTTGGATGTGAGGTTCGTCGAGAAGATGGCATAGATACCGGCGTGGACGTCTATGAGACGGGCTGTGCTCAGTGCATACCACTGACAGAATGGATTACTCCTTACTCTTGCTATACGAGAATGCGCCGTCCTCGGCAACGTTTTTGGAGTAGATCAAGGTGTCATTGCCTCTCCATATGAATTGCTCTGGGCCAATCTGTTGGTCACCATATTGCTCGGGGGTCCAGCCCAGCGGCAGTGTGCGCCCGACTAGCCGTTTGCCGTCCCCGGCGTCGATAGATCCAGACTTGCCAATACTGGGTACATCGTACTCCCAACCTTCACCAGCACCAAGACTGCGCGAGGATGTGTACCATTTTGTGGCGACTACTTGTTTCCCGAGGGATGGAATCTCGCGTCGGATACCCACCGGAAGGTTTCGTTCGTAACGCGCTGGGCTTGATCACAGAAGTTACGGATTGTTCTCTACGATTGAACCACAACATACCGTTCAGTCGACCCTCACGAAGGAGTCTCCTGAGTCTCCTCTCCTTAGTCTCCTTCACACCACTTGCGAGGAGCGCTTCCTCATCCTCCATGACCTCTAGTGCGCTGAGTAGTTCCGCCCTTGCATTCTCGGATCGGACGTCCATGTTCTACAACCAGACCACTCCATCACCCATAGGTTCTCAACTCCCAGCCCGGCATCGCTCCTGAAGACTATGCTGCGGCCTTCGGGCGAGAAGTGAGGGTCGGAGTCATGCGGCACTCCCAGTAGAATAGGACGGGCTTTCGAGACAGCGGAAGAGGCAAGTCGAGAGTGTGCGTAGGTATCGGCAGGTAGGCAGTAGATGTCGCCCAGCATGTCGAAGACAACCTCACCGGTCTTGGGGTGCACGTCCAGTCTTAGCCAGGTGCCCTCAGTCACATCATACTCGAGCTTGCGCGGGAAGGGGTAGTCGGTGGATATGTCCCAAGGAGTCTGCTCACGTATGGGCCAGATGTCATCCTTCCACCGGTCCTGTACCGCTGCAGCCAGGATGCTCTGTTGCACTCCAGAAGAGCGGTGGTATATGGACGCAGACAACCCAGAAAAAGTGACTGAGAGAGCCGCAGCTAAGGTGAGTAGAAACACGGCTTGCAGCAGGCGCGTTCGAGCTACCCGTGAGGTCCTCCGAGGCGCACTTGACGTGCCCGGGGGCCAAGTTTTCGGCTCCATGACTCTCGCAGAGTCGCAAGAATGCCTACCAGCAGTGTATGAAGCGGGCTTATAGCGGTCCAGTAATGACTTCGTGACGCACCCAACTTGAACCCCAGAACCTCCGCCTCAAAGGGCTAGTGTCACGGTCACGGTATGAGTACGAGCAGGCGAACGGTAATCGGAGCCGATTGTTGAGCCGTTGACCCTCCACAAACTCCGAGCTGCTAAGTAAGTAGTCGACGAACAGTGCGAAGATGACGAGACCGCCTCTGTCTGTGGGACAGTGTGTGAACAGGAATTCGAAGTTGGAGCAGCGTTCACGGCAAGTTCGCGGTGGTGGGATCGCTTATGTAACACCTCAGCCCGGACTACATACTTGCCTCATATGGCAACTTCGCCACCTCCTCCGTCTTGCCCTTGGTCTTGCCTCTCATAAGCTATTAGGTTCCCGTCGAAGCGATACATAAAAAATCCGTCGTAGCGGTTGTTTCCTTTGTGGTGTCACCGTGACTAAAGTTGTCGCATATCCATATTGATGCGGGGCCAACATAGCCCTCCAGGAACACTGGGAGGGCGATCGCGCGATGACCAGAGTCTAAGTGACAAGTCGAAGCCAGCCGTGTGCATTTAGCAACACCCGCATGACATTCGTCCAATGGCTGGCCTGGACTTGCACCTTCTTTCTCTGCCCATGTTGGTCTAGTTCGACGTCTTCGTCGAGCTGGGGCACGTTATGCAACGCTGGTTCTCGTTATGCATGATACGGGCACTTCGTAATTGGGGTCATATATCGGCCCTACGGTCGTGGGCTCCGGCCATCCGGTTATAAGTTCAAGATAAGTCTGGGACCCTGCATCACTTACTCACCTTTCTCGACGACCTCGACATCGTCCAACATGCCCAGTCTTGAACTGAAGACCAACGTCCCTCTTGAGGATCCGAAACCTTTCTTGCTTGAGTTCTCTAGCGTGCATACGTCTTATTGCGCAGACACTAGCACTCATTACTGACGCCTAGTTTCATTGATACTCCTCCAGATTGCGGCCAAGACGCTGAGGAAGCCGGAACTGTATGTTTCCGTGAGCTACCACTACAACGAGAACCTCACCTTCGATGGATCGTTCGACCCGGCGTTCCTGATGACTGTGGTGCGTTCAATGCGATCTCCAGTCTGTCCATTAATTCACAGGAATGTATCTAACCGCATGGGACATGCGTCAGACGAGCCTGGACAATCTCAAGCCCGGACTGACCGATGAATACAGCAAGTCATTCTTCGAGTTTTTCCGCGAGAAGCTTGGTATTGAGGGCGACCGTGGCTACATGCGAGTTTTTCCATACAGTCATGAGTAACATTTCCATTCCTTACATCTACGTTTCATAGCACTTTCCTTGACCCGGGAAGGGCATTCTTGGGGTACGTTCATGTTGTCTCACTCGTTGCCTGCCGTGCGATACTCAACTACGATTTCCTTGGGACAGCCACAATGCTACTACGTTCGGCACGATTTTTGGGAAATGATGGAGATCTGCTCGCCTACAGTTCCGTCCGCGGAAGACATAATAGCGATCGTCATGTTGTACAAGTGCAATGCATCTACACGCGCAGTTTTTGCTCAGCTCGCCTATAAGACCTCTAACTTAACGACTGTGAGTGACGACTCCTACGCTTGCCGGCTATATGGTCTGCCAGTGCAACTTCAAGTTTGGCAGACGACTCCCTGAGTCCCTCGTTGGCCTGTCTGCCTGTTCGGTAAACTTGTCCGGTATTCTTCTACCGACGGATACTCCATAGGACCCCGTTGCTTTGCGTGCGCGTCTCGAATCGCCGGGTGTATCCGCTTCCAGTGGAAGCTAGCCTGAACGGCCGGGATGCGGCTGCGCGACAGTACTTGTTTCCGCGCAACCTAAACTCGACCGAAGTCTCGTACCGTAATGCCTCCCGGGTATCAAATGCTACTGAGCTTTTGACATGATACTGAAGTTCTGTATACCCCTTGCGCTGCCTTGCGTTGACGACAAACCCGATTTGGAATGCATGCGGGGCCCGAGAAGTCATTGTCTTGTTTAATGGTGAAAACGACGGATCACCTGGGACCTTCCCAACAGGAGCTCTAAGCCAAGACATTCGAAAATTCAAAATAGCATCTGGGTATTGGGGGAAGCCGGGGCTACATGAGAACTCTCAGCATGATCTCAGTCAGCTATGTTAGTACCCATGATACATAATTATAGTAGACCTCGGTCGGATTAACGTCGGGTGCGTTTACCGTCTAACCGCATGATTTCATGGCGTTACCAACGGGCATACTCAGACACAACTCCACCACGATCGCCACCGTCCTGGCAAATCAGCTTGACTGCGAGTCGCGACATGCTATACCGAGTCACGATTATTCTACATGCTGGCTTTGATGTCTTGCATTCACCGTCCTTTGAATTCTATGCAACGTTTTAATGTCAAATCAATAATATCGTCGATCGTGACCGTCTAACTCAGGCTGTAAATAACACTGAATTGTGAATCCGACCTACCACTGGCAGTGCTAGGGTGGGGCTCACGCTCAGCAGCTGAGACGCCGTGATACACAAGAAATAGCTAAAATCAAGTCTACAAGAGTATAAGCGTGACCGTTATACCGCTATGAGGGCCCAGTACTGCCAAAAGAACTCATTGGGGGCCATTCGAAGCACATGAGATCATTAGCCGCTGGATGTTAGCGAGGAAATCCAAGAAAGGAAATATACAGTGCCTCGGCCTGCGCCGGTCGACATGCGTCAGGGCCTGCAGGTCGTGTATACAGCACTCCCTCATCATCTGTCGTGCTACGCGTGTTGCCACGTATAAGCTACTCTCTCGCATACTCTTGTCAGTTAGCCCAGGAACAGTCTAGCGTGTCGAAATGGCGTCCTCCGGAGGTCTGCACTCGTTGGCAACGATCATCAAGAGGTGCGTGGACTGAGTTGACTGTGCGTCGGCCATTCGTTCAATCTGCATGTAGGTTGGAGGCCGCGACCTCCAGGTTGGAGGACCTCGCTAATCTTCCACCGCCTGGCCTTGTCACTGGCTTGCAGAATGTCACCTCGTCGTCCGTACCGTCCGCGTCCTCCGAGCCGACTCCCGTCCCACCTCCGCATGGCCCGGCAACCTATGCAGCAGAGACTCCCAGGAGCGTGGAAGCGTTCGATGAATTGATCATTGAGGGAAAGGTCAAGCCGTTCGTCGAGCTGACGAAGAGCTTCGCGGTACAGTCGGTCATCGAGCAGGTGCGAGTCATCACGAGACTGGTCACCGAGGCATCCTGACTTTGCGTGCAGGCGGGGATGGTTGAGAAGGAGTTCAGAGACCTGCGAACCCTACTGCTTCTTGCTGCGAACTGCAAGAAGCCCGATCAGAAGGCATTCGAGGCGCTCCTGGCCCTGCTTCAGAAGGATATCGAGGCGATCACTCGTGCGAAGGAGGCGAACCGGAAAGACCGCGACTGGCTGAATCACCTGTCCACTGTTGCAGAAGGGGGTACATGCGTTGGCTGGGTCACAATTGTACGCATGTCGTCTATCTGTGTCGGCTAATGCCTCAATCTCCGTGCTTCATTAGTCGCCGAAACCGGGCCCCTTCGTTGCTGAGATTAAGGATTCTACCTTGTTCTATGCCAACCGTGTTCTCAAGGAATTCAAGGACAAGTATGTTGCGTGTACCGACGTAATGTTTGCACTGACAGATGAGAACAGAGACCCCAAGCACGCAGAATGGGTGAAGGCGTACACCTCGTTGCTGGAAGAGCTGCGTAAGTACATTGCGGAATATCACACTACCGGTCTCGTGTGGAACTCCAAGGTTCGCCCAATTCCCGTCACACTGAGCGCAGCCTGACCGCGATGCATCTAGGGAATGTCCGTCGACGAGTACCAAACAGCATCATCGGCACCTGCTACCAGTGCTGGGGCCCCACCTCCGCCTCCGCCACCACCTCCACCCGGCCCCCCTCCACCGCCTGCAGTTACACCCGCTCCAACTGCCGGCGGTGTGGCTGCTGTGTTCGCAGAGCTGAACCGGGGAGAGGAGGTGACAAAGGGTTTGCGCAAGGTCGACAAGTCTGAGATGACGCACAAGAACCCCGCGCTGAGGGCTGGTAGCACGGTCCCGAGTTCAATGGGATCTGCTGGTAAGGTGATTTCGCTTGTGCACACTTCTGGTCTGAATACTGTGTTGCAGCTGCTCCCAAACGCCCAGTTAAGCCTACGAAACCGCAGGCTCTTGCGGGCAAGAAGCCTGCGAAGTTTGCTCTTGAAGGCAATAAATGGATGATAGTGCGTACTGTCCTGCGTTGTCTGCCCCGCACATTGACGTCCATCACACAGGAATACCAAGAAAACGAGTCAGCTCTCACCGTCGAGAATGTGGAAATGAGCCAGACAGTGAACCTGTATGGTTGCAAGAGCTCGACGATCGTGATCAAGGGCAAGGTCAACGCGGTAACATTAAGTATGTATGTTCACAAGCTTGTCTGCGACATGAGAGTGACAGCGCCTTAGTCAACTGTATCAAGACATCCATTCTCGTTGAGAATGTGATCTCCTCAGTCTCGATTACCAATTCGCCGTCCTTCGCGCTTCAGATCACGGGAAGTGCGCCGACTATTCAGCTTGACTCGACAGACTCTGGGCAGATCTACCTGTCGAGGGGGTGCCTCGGTGTGGAGATCACGACAGCGAAGTGCAGCAGCATCAACGTGAGCTTGCCGGAAGAGGGCGAGGAGGAGGGGATCTTCACCGAACACCCGGTGCCGGAAATGTTCAGGACAGTGATTCAGGGTGGCAAGCTTGTTACGGCGGCCGTGGAACACTCTGGTTAGTGAATGGGATTGTGGATAGTGCTTCGATCTGTACGGGCCGCGTTTACTGGATATGGATATTGGGGCGAACAGAGTTAGCGTTCTGTGGCAAAATGAACGTAGCGTGGTCGAGGGACGCAATCAAGCTGAGGTCCAGGAGAGCCTCCCGGATCAGATGCATCGGCAATTAGAGTGAGGCGCCCAGTCCCACTTGTGCCAGCCCGAACCGATCGGTAATAGGCGGACAAGTGCGATGGCATGCCAGCTTTGCATCGCTTTGCACTGCACCTCGTCCTCCTCATACCCTAGCATTCCTGCCAGCCTGTTGGACAACGTTGCTGAGCGCGTACTTTGAGCTAAACACTCGTTGAAAATAAGATGGACAGTGTCGGATGGCATGCCAGGCAGAAGGCGAAGCGGGTGAGTCTCGTGTATATACCCCGGACGTCTCATTGTTCAAAGTTTGTGTGGAATGATAGGAAGAAGAGAACGCGCGTAGTCCGCAGAGAGGGCCCGATGGTCGTTTCCGACCAGTGGAAGAGATAGGTCCCCTTGATGGGCAATTCATTGGCGGGTTTCGCATGCCCGAGCCTTCGCCTGGATCACCCTTTGCCAGTCCGCCGCCGCCCACTCCGCCGCCGAAAGATGATCCCCATTACTCTGTGGCCAACGGAAAGCGCACCCCGTCGCTCGGGACCATACCGTCCCAATCAAGCCAGTATGAGGCTGGAACCCCGGATTCACCCCTACATCATCTCGCTCGGATGAGCGCTGTGGAACGATCGAGGAATCTGAAGGTCGCGCACATGGAGCCCTACCTCCAGCTAATGGCAGGTCCGCTTCTGCGGTACGACACCGTCGACAGACAAGGAATCTGGCGCGGGGCGGCACTGATCGTCAGTAAGTTCCTAGCCGAATGCTATTGTTTGGCCGATCGCTATACATCACTCCGACAGCCGCCGACGCCGGTTCCGACTACGAACCAAGCCCGGTATTGAGCTATACTTGGGATTCAACTCGTCCAATACAATTACTTCGGAGCTCGTCTCGCCGATTTCGCGGGGACTGTCGGTAGATCTGGGACCTCACCCGGCTGACCCTCATTCTACGAGTCGACCAGATTATGACAGCATTCCCGACGGTCCAAATGCAATCACGAAACACAGTTACGGCCACGAACTGTATGTCTACGTCGGGCACTCAGGGTAAGCCACCGCTCGACTGCTTTAGATGGCTAGGGTAACATAGCTTTCTGTAGTACTTTTACATTCTGGCGCTTTATGCTGGAGATTCCGCTAGGGCAAACCGAGACACGCATCACATACAGCGTCAACCGTGGACTTCCTCTTCATTTCTTCGTTCCAGGCCGCACGGAAAACATGCGCTGGGCGGCTTATTCAGTCAGTATACCATCATCATGCCCTTCGTCCTTCCTGACTCGCGCAGTGTAATGGGTTCAGCGCAGGTGTGAATGCGAACGACTTCTGCGGCCCTGGATTCCACAGCGGGTACGACCCAGTATGGACCGATCTCCTAGCTAAGCATGCTGAACAACCATTCCATGCTTTGGTGGGAGGTGGGGACCAACTGTACTGCGATGGAGTTGTACGCGAACCAGAATTGCAAGAATGGGTATCTTTACCGAAGGGAGAAAAGAAGAGGAAGTTCCCACTGAGTGAAGAGATGCGGGTGGCAATAGATCGATTTTACTTCAATCACTATTGCCATACTTTCAGAAGTGGAGCGTTTGCAAGAGCGAACTGCTCGATGTGAGTCTCAATTATTCTACATGGTAGACATGTTTCGATTGACCGGCCGCGACACCGACAATTAGCCCGATGCTCAACATGCTTGGTGAGTCTGTAGTCGCTGATTCGTGAGCGTATGCGCCTAATCTGTGGGATGACAGATGATCATGGTGAGCGCTGCGTAGCCCGATAGATCGACAACCATTGACGGTATTGCCCCACAGATCTGGTGAGCTATTCTTGAATCATGTCAGAACTTCCAACTCATCGACGGCGCGAAGATCGACGGGTTTGGCAGTTGTCAGTCTTATTTCCTTCTCGACGTACCCTCCCTGGCTGAATGCATTCACAGATCCTGACGAGCTCATGCTTTCGTCTGTCTTTGGATAGTGGGTGGTTGTCATTGGAGGCGATGTTTTCAAGCACTCACCTCTGCAAATAGTATCGGTTCACGGGGATACTTCTTCTTCTTGCTGTTCCAGTGCTTCATCAACGGTGTGTACACTCTACTGATTGTGGGACCATAATTTGATAATTATGCCCGTCCTCTCAGTGGACATTGATGGCAGAGATGATCGACGTCATCCGTTCCAGTCGCTCATTATTGGGGCGGACGGGCCGTACATACCCTTCCCTTCTCATTCGTTCTTGACGTACCTCGGTCCTCAAGTATGGATGCTACTGCTCGATTGCCGGTAAGCAATGCGAGACGTCCTGAACAATGTCTCATAGCGGTGACATTTCATCCCAGTGCGGAGAGAAAGCTTGACCAGGTCTGCAGCGACCGATCATATCGGATCGTGTTCGATCGAGTGGGCGCAATGCCCCCAGGCGTAGAACATCTCGTCATACAACTTGGTGAGTGTGCCCAATTTCTCCCTCATCTTTTCATCACATCTTCAACTTTTCGACAGGCATTCCTATCGCTTATCCTCGCATGGTGTTCCTTGAGAACGTCCTAGAGTCGAAAATGAATCCGTTGACCGCGCTTGGAAGGTCAGGGTCCTTGGGTCTTTCTGGCTTCGTCAATAAGTTCAACGCTGATGCAGAGCTACTCGATGATTTGGTGGGGTGTCCCTTTGCGGATGGATTTATGTCATTGGCTCATCGATTATTCTGTGACAGAATGATCACTGGACTTCGAAAGCCCATAAGGTTCGTGGCTCTTAATGATCACGGGGGCGAGTCATTGTGCTACACTTATCTGTCGCACAGAAAGAGCGCAACTGGCTCGTTGAACAGATGCAGCGATATGCCTGGACGAGACACTGTCGTGTCACGTTCCTTTCAGGAGATGTACACTGCGCTGCTGTTGGCCTATTCAAAACACTCCGCCAACAGAAAGAGGCAGACATACCACCTCCGCTCGACCATCGGTACATGCTGAATATTGTGTCTAGTAAGTACAGATGCAAAGATGACTAGTGACATGTACTGATCGGAGGGACTGTCTAGGTGCAATCGTAAACACACCGTTCGTGTCCAGCCGAGGCTAACTGATGGAACAGTGAATTCACCTGTCTTATTCTTCCCAGTCCACCGAACCCAGTCTTGACCATGGTTTCCTCACTGGCCACCAAAACACACCGTACTCTACATCGCATCTCCACTGACGAGACGATGGTGAGAGCTTCGCCTCAGCATGCAGTAGCACAATCTCACGTAGCGGTGTGGTAGATTCCTCTGTTCGAGAAGGAGCCTAACGGGCAGCCCGCGAAGAGCAAGTGCATCATGGGAAGACGTAACTGGTGTGCCGTGTGGTGGGAGACTAGTGGCGACTTGGTCTTCGATATGCGGGTCGAGATTGAGAAAGGCATTGGGCGAACTGCTAGGTGAGCGTTGAGCCGATTTCAATTTCTAGTACGCGCTCATGATTGCCGGCAGCTATCCCATACGGGCACCACCTCCTCGGTGGACAACGTCATGAACGTGGCAGCACGCTATCCTATGAAAGCGTTAATAGTAGGTAGGCAGGAATTACGATAACATTGTAGGGTATTGTCGACGACGGCTCGTAGTCCAAAGTTCAATGCTCGTGTAAAGTAGCTCAGTTGATACCCTAATCGTCGAGTATGTTACCCCGTCATGGCTCGTGTGAGGTCGCTCTGTCGTCCTCGGCCAGAGCATGTATATGAGAATCTACCTCCATTTCGTATTCCGAATTGTAGGCGCTGGATCATAACGAGTGACGACCTCCGGGATGTGAACATCAGAAGCGGCCGTCGGTGCAGGGGATGCGGCTGCAGTGCTGGGTAGATGTTGGAAATATGGCGTTGAAGGGGTGCCAGGTGATGCATGGCTCGCAGCAGCGAAGGCATCGTCGACGGGGACGCTTGTTCGTGTGCTCGAGGATGGACCCTCCCCAAGCTTCCGACGCCTGTCCTCAGCCTCCTTTTGCGCCTCCTTGGCTTTCCGCTCCCTCCGTCTGGCGGCTTGGGCTCGCCGTTTGGCTCGGTGGGCCTCCAGCTTGTCGAGGTGAGCCTTATCCGGTTCTTGAGTCGCCCTTTCAGGCTTTGCCGGCTTTTCCGGCTGCTCAGATTTCTCAGGCTTCTCAGGCTTCGCCGGTTTTTCTGGTTTTTGTTGAGTCTGCAAGCGGTGGATCAGTCTACGCGCGACAAATGCGTGTTCCGTGCGTACTGGCTGTCCAGTTTGGGCCTCCTGTTCCTCGAGATCATCGATCGCTTTCTGCTCTGCGATGAATTCGAGATAGCGCTCACACATGGGTCGCCATGTCTGTGGCGTGTGCGACGGCTTGACGTCCGTGTCCATGGGGTCAACAGATGCGAGGACGGCATCGATGTCTGGCGGAGGCGGATAATCGAAATCTGGGCCGGGATTGATGCGTACCCTCGCCTCGTTGAACAGCGAGATGAACGGGTAGTACCCAAGCGTGCCGTCGTCGAACGGATTCTGCTTGTGTTCTCGATACCCGTCCTTTGTGGCCTTCTTCTTTTCGTGCGCCTTCGCTTTGGGGTCGCGCAGGGGCAGATAGTCGTACAAGTCCTGGAAGGCGACGCCTTGGCACTCGCCGTTCACGAAGAACGCGACGTACGAGTCCGACCCGAGAGTGGGTAGGGGGCGCATCGGTGCTGGCTCCTGCACAACTGCTTTGGAGCCGCGGCCCGACGACGGCAGGTTCTTCACCGTGGCGGACTTCTTCGTGGCGGACGAAGGCATCGAGCTGGTGCTGTTCGCCTTCGCCTTGTTTTTGGCATCCATGAGCGCGATCATCTCCTTGGACTGCGTGTACTCCAACGACTCGAAGTACTCCTGCCCCTTGAAATCGATCGCGATGCGCTCGCGCTTTATGCGCGCGGGGTCGTACGGGTCCTTGCGGTTCGGCTGGCGTCGACTGGCAGGGAGAGATATGTACATCCCAATCACGTCGCCGGACTTGAAAGCCTTGCCGTAGGGTCGTGGCCGGGAGAGGTGTACCTTCTCTCCCGTCTTGTCGCGGAAGGCGTAGCTGTACCCATCCAGCCCAGCAGGTCCGTTGAGAGGGGCCTCCCGCCGTGCCCACCCTAGCCTGATGTGGCTGCCCTCGCGCTTCTGGCTGTCCGGAGGCCTCTCCCCACCGCCCATCTCGACCTTGACCTCCATGTACCACTTCCCCTCCCGCACGGGCGCTTACATCGGGCGCTCCTGAATCCCTTCTCACCTTTGAGTCCCAGACCATCCTGCGTGACCTTGACGAACGTACTCCTGTCCTCCCATGATACGCGGAACGAAGTCGGGGCGGACTCGATGGTGCGGAAGGGCAGCGCGGAGCCGAGAGGCGCGAGGCCTGCGTGCGTGTATCGGAAATTGAGGCGGTTGTTGCAGAGCGGATCCGTGTTGTGGTAGGGGGAGCCTGGAGCGATGGCGATGAAGCCGGGGTGTCGGGATATTGTGAGACGTGGTCGCGCGGACAGGTCGATGTGGCGTGTCTGCAGAACGACGTTGTCTGCCCCCGGTGTTGGCGTCGCAGCGCCCGGGTCGGATGGTGCAGGTGAAGGTGCAATGTTTGGGAGATCGCAGTGTGTTTGCGTTTGCGGCTGGGCCCAGGGGCGGGCGCAGGCACGGTGGAAATGATCACTGCAGGCGGGGACGGTTCACGCGGCGAGCTCGGTGCCTCCATAGCGTCTTATTGAAGGAAACCGATAGTATGGCCTCACGTCTGAATCCGAGAACTAGGCAACGCCGAGAATCGAGCTAATGCCTGCTAGTGAGTTACTCCACGAAAAGCTGGGACAGACCGCCAGAGTCTGTGATGCTGAGAGGAGATCCAGTTGAAGACCAGCAGAGCTGCGACGATGAGTCCAGGTAACAGCAAGCGTTGTGCTTGCGGTGATGCCAGGCCACAAGCAATGCTCAATGGCCCGCCGCACAAAGCCTTCAAACAGACCGTGGTCTGCGGCGCGTAGACGCCCGTGATCGCGGGAGGATTCAATCGGATACGAGATCTCGGGCGCTTCATCTTGTGGCGGTCTGTACTTGACTTCACTGCACGCGCGCACTGCTCCACTACATCCGATTACCAGCCAGGAACTCAGGTCGAAAGCGACAACATATTGCACCTGAAGCACAGAGATGACTGCTCTCCGGTAAGGTGAAATGTATCATAACTGTGCTCAAGACTGAATGATGTGCCATTTCATTGTCAGTCGCATCCAGAAGGTGCTGCCACTCGCTCAACCATCTGAGAGTACAGGCCTACTAATATGGTTCTAGGAACTGACTGATGTCAGGAACAAGCCTGTAGAGGTGATGAAAGCGAGCTTGACGGTGACGATGTTGTATTCGCTCACCTCGCTTTTTGGGCAGGGACTCATTGTGGGGCCTGATGAGGACAACCTCTTTGTGTGGCGGTGCGCGGTGAAAGCATCCGTAGGTTTCGCAAACAAGCTCAGAATCGCCAGAACTAAACTACATATACTTCACTATGCCATCTAGTCGGATAGTCCCTACAAGGGCGGCACGTTCCATTTTACCGTGACGCTACCGGACAACTTCCCTTTCAAGGCTCCTACGGTAAAGTCATCGGCTATCCAAATGTTCCAGAGCGTCAATTGTCTGATCCTTCATATCTCGCGTGTACAGGTTGTGTTCACCACCAAGATATACCACCCGGGAATCAATGAAGAAGGGCATATCTGCGTTCCAGTCCTTCGAGATCAGGTGAGGACGGTCGCGCGACATTGCACATCCAAACACATCCCTGACGAGTGACATAAAACCCTGTTCACGTTCCTTGCACTACTTTGACTGAAACTTACGTACTCGCGTCGGCAACTTTGACAGTGGAAGCCTAGCGTGACTTTGTCTTCAGGTGTGCCTGTCATGCTCGCAACTCGTGGGGGTGCTAACGCTACGCGTCTATCGTCCGGAAGTTCTGGCCATAATCCAGGAGAAGGTCAACAACCCGAGCCCAGATGACCCCTTTGAACCTGATGTCGCTGCGGTATGTATTAAGCAAACTTGGTTTGTCAAATAACGGCACCTAATGATCAAACTTCTAGCAATTGAAGAACGATCATGCGAAGTTCCTTGCGACGGCGAAGGAATGGACGAAGAAGTAAGGCACACGTCTGACTGCCGTGACATTTTTGTTGACACCTTGATAGGTATGCGACGGTGTGAACGCAGAATCTGAAGTCCCTGTGGAATTGAATACTAGGACCGGGAAACTGTCTCGTGCCCACAATGTAACACTAGCTCAACGTTATGATATCATACTCGCAAGAACATGTTGTTGTTGTTTCCTTTTATTGTCACTGAGGGCGTAGCCCTATGTAGACAGTACATACACTACTCGGAACTTGTCTCGTCTCGTCTTTGGTCGCTGAGCATCGCCGTCCGCCGAAGCTTCAAGCTGGTATAGTAGGGTGGAGTGGGGTGGGGTAGATGTGTGCGTGTGTGTAGCTAGGTCGAGACAATATTATGAGATGCGAGAAAGGGGGAGTTTCGATCTCGTCGTGCGTCGTTTGCTGCTCGTCAGCGTGTCCGTCTGCTGCCCTCCTTCGCGGTCTCTTCCTTCAGCTCCAGGTTTCCGTACGCGGCCGCGAAGCGGCCGGTGTTGTGGATGTATCGAAACAGGGGTGACATGGTGCTCGTTGCGCTGAGGAGATCCTTGATCGAGCGGGCTGCTGGGCCTGCTTCTCGGGCGAGTTGGTCTCGCTGCGCATTGAAGGCGGGACACTCCATAAGGAAGTGGTACACCGTCTCGCGATTGGTCCTGCAAGACGGGCAAGAACATGTCCCTTGGTCTACCTCATCAGCGTCAACAGTCGACTCAGCGTCTCAGACGACGAGATCAGCACGAATCCACAGCAACGAAGGCCTCGCTTACCAGACAATGGCCGATATACTGATAATCCAGCCTCCTCGCAACGTCTGTGCAGCCTATGGGTAACTGAGGCATTTCGCGGCCAGTAGTCATGGTTACAGATCACAGATGGTGTAAGTATGTAGCATCGCAAACCCACGTATAACATGGACAAGTGGCAGTCGGAGGTACAGACCGGCATACATGGTAGTGTCGTTGGGGTTGACGTTGACGGTTGTATCGAGTTTCTCCTGCTGATCGTATCCACCTGTTATGTATGACGCGGTGACACTATCGAAGAGGAAGTAGTGTGCACTATCCGCGTACTATAGCAGTGTATTGCCCTAGTGTTGCCACTGGCCAAGCGTCGCCGCCACCACGTCGCCTGGACCTTGTTGTTAGCATCGCGGGAACCACGGTCACGTGGCAGCTACTTTCTAGATCGGCAGATTTCTGGCCCGACAATTGCGGCGACTGGTCGAGGTCGACTGGGATCACTGCCAGTGTCAGCGGACGCACTGCCCGAGCATCTTGCTTTTGCTTGCTGTCTTGTTCGTTCCCTTGTCTTTCTCTTCTCTCCTTGCCCGCGCCTTCTCAGCTCGGAGTTCTCTGTCTGCATTTGGAACCTTGAATGCACTGGTAAAAGCCGGGAGAAGCCTCGCGGTACCTTTACGTCGACCTCAAGCTCGTGTTCAACACGTTTTTCGCTCCTTCCCTCGCCTTGTCCGACTTTGCGATTCCAACACTTTCCTCGGTTCTGATTACTCTGCTCGGAGGTCTGATTTGATTATTGCATCTACTACCACTGCACACACCGTGCCACCTTGACATACCCGATATCTCCATCGCGCTCGTGGACACCTGATCGCCGCTTACGCCTGTGTACCCCCGGACCTCATCTGAACGTGTTCACAACGAGGCAGTCGAACCCAAGGAGTGTATCTTCAGTGGCGCCGAGAACAATTAGCTATGTATCGTCTACGGTAAGCACGCTGTTTCGACCGGTTTACACGCTATTGGCTAAACACGCTGGATCCTTCACGCACTAAACCTTGTCACTACCTTCTTCTGCCCACCGCGACCACAGCAAGAAGTCTGACACCAAACGCGCTCCAGTGGTGCCAGAGCAACCATCCATCCAGGTACAGCAGGCAAAGACTCCGGAGGCGCTGCCTGCCTTGCCGCCTGCGGATGACTTTCGGACATCACTGATACTACCTGAGTGCGTACTGTCCATACCTTTCTTACTGTCTCAGCCCATCTCACCCTTCGTGCGGATTTCTTGATGTCACTATCTATGCTGGAATGGTACAGTCTCACACGTCGCTTCAGCCTTCTTCGCGCATCGTCTGGCACCCCCATTGCTCTGGACGACTTGAAGTCCAAATTTGCCGAACAACGCGCTCGGGGTTCACGGAATCAAGTCACTGAGGAGGAGGAGGATATGATCCTCGAAGCATTAGGACGGTTACATGCCAGGGCTGCGCGGACCAAGCCTGTTGTTAGCAGGGAGGAGGCGAGTAGTGAACAGTCAGCGTCTACGACTGAGAGCCAGGACCTAGGTTCCCGCATAACGTCGTCTTCGCTCACTAGAGACTCGTTGCAGTCCTCCAGCACCACTCCTACAGCGCTGCATAGCATAACGTCCATGTCCTCTCTATCGTCGACAAAAGGGTCCAATGCCAGCAGGCGGATGAGTAACAACTTGTTCGGATCTGGCAAGCTCCGGGACCAGACCTATATTCGTTCCACAAATCCTGGGAGACGCGCTGGCGGAAGCAGGAATGTGCCGTCCGTCGCACCCTCGGACTCTATGATGAGCATGAGCACAGTCGCGAGTAGCGGGGCAGGGCAAAGCTCCATGTATTCGGACAGTCTCAGGCCCAGTACGCCCGATGGCAGCACGTACACCCTTCGAATTCCGTGCCTTCCAGCCCGAATAACGACAAGGCCTTCGAGAGACAGCGGGCAGGGCGGCTGGCGCCACAGGACTCCGACTCGGAATCCGCTGCAGACAGGAAGGACTTCACCACGCGGTTATCTAAGGCGTTACATCCCGACGTCTTGCGCCATGCATCGCTGGCGCTTGACGAGGTCATCAGGGAGATGGAGGAGGAAGGTGACGACGAGATTGTCATGGAGAGAACTACGCTTCCTCACGTCCATGGGACTGCTTCGAATGGATCTGCGGGGACACCGGTACGTCGTAAATGAAAAGGCTCACATGGTGACTTCCAAAACGGCTTACGCGTTCACTGCAGACTGAACACCGCTCGCCCCTTGTGTCACCTGGGGAGTTCGGCACTGCAGTGTCCTCTGACGACCGAGTCGTACTCACGCAGAGTCAGATTTCGACTGTAGAGATGCGCTCGCCCACCAGCTCTCCTGCACCGCGCCTGCCCGGGTACATTCCAGGCATGCCAAGACCCATGACGCCTCGTGAGTCGACATTCGATTCTGACGACCAAACACCGTCGAACACACCGCGTGCCACGTCCCCCCGTTTACCTAGCGGGGCTTCGCCATCCCCTCGCGTCCCGCAAACCTTATCGACGTCCTTGTACAGGAGCAATTCCGCGGCGTCGTCGTCCCGACAGTCTCCTGCGCCAATTTCTACCCCCGTGCTGGCGTCGACGCCGCCACTCTTCTTCAATCGAATCGTCAATGGCCAGTTCACCCCAGAAGATCGGCAGCGTAGTGGGACTAGCTCCCCCGTCACTGATGTCTTCGAATCATCTGCGCAAACTCGCCGCCGACCTATGTCACCCCTCTCTGGGCCTGCATACCAAGCCTTGGCTAACAACTCGTCACGTTCAACCACGCCGTCGAATGTGACGTGGAACACGAGCGCAACGCGGCAACCTCACATGCGGCTGGGAAATCCATGGACGGATCGATGTATAGCAAGAATGGCAGCACCGTGAGCGTGAGCGATTTGCCGGAAGGGTTGGAGAGGGCGAAGTCGACGTCGCGGTCCATGCGTTCACCTGCGTTACCGGAATCCCCTCTGATGGATCGTACCTACGGTCTGTCCATGGCGATGGAGTCTGAGTATCGACCACCGTCGGCGATGTCGGGAATGGAGCTTGGGTCGCCCCTTCAGATCAACAACCGCCCGCTTCGCTCCCCGACGCCTACGCACAGTCGACAGAAGTCGCCGACAGTGGCCACGTTCCCTGAGGCCATCAACGGCAGCTCGAGTGGAGACACTTCAAATGTGAGCAGACGGTCGTCGAAACAGAACCATCACTCGTCGTTCTCTCTGGGATCGTCAACAGGCCTTCTCCTTTCTCCCATCGCCAACTCTTCGAGGTCATCAATAGAGTCCGCCGGGTCTAGCTATCACTCATGGGACGAAGATCACAGGAAGGATCGGCTGTACGGCCTTTTCAGCAGTCTTGATCCAGATCACACTGAGTGGCACGATGTGCCTGCAATGGACAAGTCGGCTTCCTCGACACCGGGTACCTCGCCGTACGAGAGCTTGGACATGAGGAGACGGTGCGGAAGACTACGGGGCTGACGAAAGGCGACTTCGTTGCCATACAAGACAGCTGGTGAAGGCCGCCATTCAGAAAGTCAACACTCCTGACGGCCGCGCGCGCGCGAACTCTCTCAGGAGGCGGAGACCGTCTACGTCACAGTCGAACTATTCGCTCGCTGACAACCGGGTACGTAGTCACTCGGGTTCTTCGCCGGCGTCCACTCACTGTTCTTGCAGGTTGCAAGCCCGGCGCCTCATGTCCAGCCCGTCGTCAATGCTGTGGGTTCCAGGGATCAGACCACAATGCAAAGGTCAACGCGTTGTTGGAGTCCGTCGTCGACAGTATTGAGTCGCCGCTTGTGAACTCACCCCAGGCCTATCCTCGCCGGAACCGCATGTCCAGCCTGAGCCTGTATCCTCTAGCCCTGTACGCCGTCATAAAGCGTTGGCGGACGCGTTGTTCGGTCAAGAGACCAACGAGAGGCCACCAACTCCGAGTGCTCAGGCCTTACTGTCACCAACCTTCGAAGGCAGGCGGTCTCGTGTTCAGACACCCGAAGCACCGGATCCAGTCTCGTCACCACCTTCTGTGATGACTCTGACTCAGGCGACGTCGACAATGAAGTCGCCTGTGTCTCCTAACTTCAGCATGTCGCAGACGAACGTCTCCCATGTTGACGCCGCGCGTTTAGCCATGGAGGTTCAGCAGAGAGCAGAAGCTGCTACCGCAGCGCTCAGGAAGTCCCCGTCGATCCCAAAGATGGGCGACTCCACCAGCGCACCCAGTCGCAAGCGCATCAACCCTAGGCAGATATCCTCCCCGAAGCTGGTTTCGTCATCGAATAGTCTGAACACCATCCCTCTCCCCGCCTCCCACAAGGTTTCACGGTTCAGGAAGCTGACAGGTACTCTGCGTGCCAAAGATATACCCCCATCTGTACTGGAGCAGCGTCCCCCTGCATCCGCTCCGCTCCCGGGCCATCTCCCTCATTTCTCCCCCACGTCTGGCGTGCAGTCTGGACAAACTGTCCTGCGACCCGAAGACCGTGACCATGGCAAAACATCATCTCCTGATCCTAGTCCACCTGCTTCAGCCTCGCCTGGACTCAGGAGTTTCATCTCCCGGTTCCGCAAGCCTAGGGCCTCAGAGTCCTACTCAGTGTCGCACCGCGAGAAGTCATCGCCTTCGTCGACTGCATTTTCTCCATCATCACCTTCGTTCAACTCTCTGGGTGCAGGTCAACCTCCACGATCTGCTCCCGCCTTGCAGACGTACTTCGAGCAACCCACCTCAACTACTGCGCGCGTATCTCCAGCGACGGCGACGCAGTCGCGAAAGCCACCTCAGGTGCTTGACATGCCGCACGTACCTGACGAACCTTACCCGCAATCTGATGATGCGGCTCTCAAGCAGTTATTTGCCGCTGCTTCTGATCTCGGCCTAGACCAAACAGAGCTTCAGAGTCTACTTGCTCGTTCTCCATCGACTTCATCCAAGTTGACGCGGGCCACGTCTCTGACCGAGAACAGGAAGAGTCGTCTCCCTGGTGTGCGTGAAGATGTCGCCGATCGATCCCCTTCTCCGCCATTACCTATGGGTAGATCCAGCGTGGACGGCTATTCCAACAGACCTTCGCAAGACGGCTTTCGACCTTCAATGGAGGAAGTTCCTGAAATCACCCTTCGCCCTCCTCGTGAAGAGTCAGATGCAACGGTCAACCCCATTGTACGACGGACCATCATATTCCCCTCCGACCCCCGATCCTCCGCCTTGGATCTCAATGCGCTCATGCGCAAACAGTCTGCTGCACGCAAGCGGCGTTCTGCGGGGGCAACCTCGACTTATTCCAATCGTTCCATACACGAGCGCGTGCCCACACCGCCTCCGCACAAACATACTGGTCGTCGTTTTTCGACTGATGGTTCTCCCCCGGTGCCTCAATTACCCCTTTCCATTGGGTCGCAAAGCGAGCAGCTAGTTATTCCTGGGCAGCTAGAGTCGTCAAACTCTGCTTACGATTCTCTGTACGTCCTCGAAGGGAGCAACGGCTACCCAGAAGCTAATCGTGTCCTTTCACAGCTATGAGATGTACACCGGAGAAGGCAAGCCTAGCGGCGCGAGCAATGCAGACGCCATGGCGCTCCTGGGCACAGCAGGCGGATGCAAATTCCGAATCCGGTCCTGCTCTAGAACTCATCGAGTTGGCCAATGGGGAAATGATCTGGTGAGTTCCTAGATTGATGACTAATATCGACGCTAAGAGTATGTTAGGAACATCGTCAATGGACTGCGGGATGATGATGGGGAGTCTTTCTACGGCGATCGCAGCAGCTTTGTGTCGGAGTACTCTCGGAGGGATTCCACAGGCGAAGGTTTGAGACTGTTCTTCAAAGGTCACGAGAAGAAAGGTTCTAAGGGCAGCAACTTCACCACGTCCACTCGCAAGCGGCCCTATCCGAAGCCTGCTGTTCGTCCGGAAACCAAGGTATGTTCTCTACAGTGCCATGTCAACTAAATGCTGATCTCGCAGCAGGTCTTCTTCAGCTCTTCGGCACAAATCGGACAGCTCATCGACAACCTTTCACGTGGCGTCGATGCTGGATCCTTCAATATTGCTCCCGAGTCATCTCAGGCACGCCTTGCACACTCTGCGTCCTCGTCGCTAGGGTCAGAAAGCGAGTTACGCTGGACCCTTGAAGAAAGAAGACTTCAACAGCTATTGGGCACTATGGAGTCAGCTGAGTGATGCTATCGGTGTACGTCGGACACTTCCCTATTATAATTATTGGTTTATGTTGCTTGCCCTATGTTGGTCAGTTTCTTCGAGGCAGCCCCCCTTCCGTTCGCATACAGACGCATATCAATTAAAATGGAAATGATGTACGGCCACGTTCCATGCCTGTCGAACGAAACTTTCCTGAGGCTACCAGGTAATCTGCATCCATCAGTGGCCCTGCGTTTCTCTCGAGGCAAGCCACCTATTGATACACAACGATACCAAAGCTTCCAGCAATAGCAGATCATCGTCGAAAGCGTATTTCATGACTGCGTGGGCCACGCCAACTGGTGTGTCCCTCGTCTCGCGTCGGAACGTCGCGAGCCCTGCGTCGTTCCGTATAACTATGAGCGGTGAGAAAGGTGGTGACAACATGAAAAATGTTTTGCGCACATCATATGCATCTACGGCTCTTGTTGCGCCATTCATAGATCTGATTATTGAACTTGAACATGCGAATGCTAAAATACATGTCCTCATCAGGTTAAAATCGATGCGCAGACCTGACATACGATGCGGTCTTGCCCTTCATAGCCATGTATGACATGAATTGTTGTCTTTGCTGTATGGTCACTGATCCGAGTTGGTCGTGCATAGACCAATCCAGTTGTGCGACAACAGCGCCCTCCCTGTGGACACCTTATGCCGACGATGGGGTTACAAGGCATCGGTTTGTGGTACATCAATATTCTTCTTCTGAATCGATGCTTACCGTGGTTGCGGTCTCTGTCCCATTGCGAATGGTCTTGAACTCATAGTATATCGGTTTGTCACGACCGCTATTGCTGAGGGACGCATAGGTATACCCGATCACAATGCAGTTGCGCGGGTCGCCGTTTGCAGTCCAGAAAAGGTGATGGGGCTCCGCTGGTGTAGCCATGGTACGAAGTCTCGAGGTGAGTCGATGAACTTGTTCTCACCACGTCTGCGTCTGATATACTCAAGCCACAGCGTACGACGTCCACTTTCGGAACTTAATGGGCTCAGCAATTCAATACGAGAAGGCGAGTCCTATCGATCATTCTCGCAAAGTCGGATAAACATATGTGACCATAGTGAAGGCCAGTCGGAGACATCAGCCTATCTAGTCACGACAACGGGTCACAGTGCTGAAGGCAGTACCTCCAAATAGGCAACTCACGGTCGCATCATTTGTATTGCTTGCATGAACTTCTATCCATTGGCGGTTCTCAGCGGCCATGAAGGGTGAGTTCCTAGCTCACTCATATCTCCTCCCGCGAAGCGCCTGTATCCACTTCGTATAGTTGGTTCATGAATCATCACGAGCGCGAATCAGGAGGTCACATCTCTTGCAAACTCGTGTCAGCTATTGAAACCCGCGTGCCACTTCAACCCAGCGAAGCCGCAGTGTCGGAGGGAGGGCGTCCCAACCCGGCGCCGTACGTAGGAGACTCACAGTCTCGACCTGACCTTCGTGGCTGGAGCACTCGGCTTTGGCCACATGCCATCAACTTGTTCCGGCAGGGGCGACATCGCACACCTCGCGAGTGGACAGACGGGGAGAGGCTGGACGGTGCTTCGGCAGAAGCATTGAAGCAAGCTTAAGCATAGGACAACCGCGAGTTCCAGAGCCAGTTGGCCCTAACTTCAAGACAGTAAGGAGGAAGTCTTATGGCCGTCACACAGCTGGAAGGGCAAGATAATGCCGAGTATACACACGGCTGTGTCATCTTACCATCATGCTCCTCACACCGGCAGCAGGCTCATCTTGAAGAGTGAGTTGTATTAGCTGTCGGTCAACGACTTGGTGACTCACACTGTATTGCATGAACTATGTTGACCTCCGAACGGCGGACTCGGAGCATCAACTTCTTCGAAGGGCGAAGGGCGATAGGCATCCTGCTTCTCGGTGGCATCCACAAACCGCAGTCAAAACATATCCGGCCGAGCTCTTATAAGGCATTTACGGCATGTCGCGTGCTTCACAAGGCTTATTGTCTCAACTTTCGCTGTCAATATCTCATGCGAATCCGAGATGAAAGCAGGCTATCCGCTTCCCTTACCCCGGGCGATAGAGAGACGAACACGGCTCTCAGGTGAGGTACCTTGATGTGATGTGGTCGTGCGACCTGCTAGTAACCGTCGACGAGTTCCTCGTTCTCACCGCTGTATTTACTACTGACCACGATGATCGAAGCGGTGGATACGGTTCAAAGGTGGTTTGTGTCCTCTGAGATGCCCAGCACTGCTCACTGCATTGATGCGTGTTAGGACTTGAGGCAAGCACAGGTGCATCGTATTCCGGGTTTGAGGTCAGCGCGGTGCCGGTATCGAATGACGAATCGACGACGGTGACGCTGCTCCGAAGGCGCTTCAACATATTCCATCCGATTATCACGATCTCCGTTCAAGATACACGTGTAGATCCTAGACAGTAGCTGTCAAATCGCGGAATCTTTGGCAGATGGTGCGTATATCTGAGTCACGGTTTCGCGATCCGTCAGTGTATTTATCTTGTGCATCCCAGTTTGCTAGACCCAGAATGACGGTGGCCAATTGCAAGATGGGCACGCACCCTGGCGTGCCGCACGTGAAGTTGCTACCGGACGACAGCTATGAACTACTGGCTGTCGATAGGAGTCTGCCCTCCGCTACAGGCCTCGACTGATACGATGGCCCCGTATCGCATCCATCTCTTTCACATTGCCCATTGTAGACGTATGCTCATGAACCTTGTGCAGGCCAAAATACCTTACTCTATCGTACAGTGCTGGCCCTCTTTTTGAGAAGCAACTGCTTCGAAACAGTGGGTCCGGTCGGAGCCGCTTTTTATCCCCTCTCTCCAGCCAAATGTATGGTGCGCAGACAGCGCAGAACGCTTCTACGGAGATCCATAAAACTAACTCACCCTCGTAGCTCCTCTCGATCATGTCGAACGGTTCTGCGTGGTGTCGCACCTATTGATACAGTGAGCGCTCCGACATCCGTGGGCGGCGGAACAACTCATGTACGGTCGCCGTAATAGCAAATATGGGTAACCCACGACCATACAGCCATTTTGTAAGCCCGGCGGGGCCGATGCATCGCAGGTGGAGGCTAGAGCCTGTCGTGAAGAGAGAGACGCAAGGTGTACACAATTGGCACGTTTCGTGAGCCAGCTTCGTTTCTCAGGTTCTATTACGTTCCCGGGGCCGCGGCGCAGCGGGTACCTGAGCCTCGCTCCCCGGTCATGAACTATGCATGTCTTGCGAGGGTCTAACGGCCCGACTCTGACCTGCGTCGGAGTAGTCCTGTACGTCAAGATGACATGCGTTGTTGACGCATCAATGACCACCGGTGAAATTCGCGGGAAGCCAGAAGTCAATCATACTGAATCAAATCCAACATGGAGTAACCACTCAGTAGTGAAAGTCCCTGGCAAGTTGTATTCTCAGTTCGGAGCTACTAGATGCAAAGAGGCCGACGTCGTACTAGGATCATCGCATGACGCCACTCATGGAAGGGATTCTTGAACGCGATCTCCGCCCGCAATACAGCGCAGGCGGAGCGGTTACAGAATCACGATCTGCGTCCTGAGCAAGAAACAGATCTAGCGAAGCCTAGGCCAAAGTACAGACAATGGGCGTACAAACGGAGCGCTCGAGGAAGACCAGCAAAACATACCTAGCCCACGCAGAGCTCTCGTAGAATGTCGTGGTCACTGACACCACATGTGCGTGACGCACTCACATCATGGTCCACCGTTTCCACATGATGATTCTTTCTATCCAACGGATGCACCGGTTCAGGATTACGCATGTGTGGAATGATTTGATACGATACAGATTTTCGACAGACACGATGAACGTCCCTGTCCGCACAACGACGACAATGCAAGATGACAAGCGACAACACTACGAGACACACTATAGATCAAGCATTGACCTTCCACAAAGGCCGCTTCCGCAACTTGCGCGTGACATGGACCGCGCTCCCACCATGGTGCCCGCCGAACGCGAGCACAACCGTCTCCTCGGCTCCCTGCCCACGAGCGATTCCCCGCTTCCGCAATTCGATCGCGTCCTTCGCAAATTTGAATCGCGCTTGATCCGAACCTAATACGGCTCAGCTCCGGGACACTGGCGGCCACAAACGTATATACATACCTATTTGGAAGGTTGGCGATTCCACCGCGGCCTTGAACATGTCAAATGGAATAAGGGCGAAGATTTGCAACAAGGTGTCACGCCCAGCGTCAGATGGCTGTCCATCTGGATGCGGCGAAATGGGCGTCGATAGGCCGCCCACATTCAAAGTCTGAGGAAGCGTGACAACAAGGAAGTCGAACACGTCCTCCCTCAGCCTCTGAGCAAAGGGGCCGAAGATCGCAGCCCGGGGAGGGGGCATCTGGTCAATAGGCGTTGATGTACCATTCGATGGCGCAGGGACGGCTTCCACGAACTGAAGCCAGGTGGAGATGTTTTCGACGGCGATGGATTGTCTGCAAATTTCATACGCGTAGTTGCAGAGCTCGTCCATGCCACCGAGAAGGCAGCCGGCGGCAAGCACAGCTTTAGCATTTTGAGAATTGATAGCCCGTACTGTTACAGACGAATAGAGGTAACCCAGTGCTGCAAAAATTGGCCATGAGTGTGCGAACTCCACTCGAGGGCACCGTGTCACACATACCAATGCTTAGACCCTATCGATCACGAAGAAGAGTCAGCCACAAAGCAAGAAAGTCATGATGTGTTGTCACCTCTGTTGTCACCTCCGGCTCCTGCTCGAGGTTCAGATAGATATTACACTGTCCAGTAGGCTGTGGCGTCGTGGACATCAAATGAGCCAGGAATGGCGAACGAGAGATGATGAGAGCATGCAGTCGATAGGCATGCTGATGGACGTGCTATCCAGACAAATGGGTATCAGAGGTGAAGAGGTGTCCGGTCCATGCAATCTAGCTTACCAGGAATGTATCGGCGTAGTTCTGCGCAAGAACGCGCGGTCAGTACAACAAAGGCTGAACTGTTAACATAAGTACGCACGCCTGTCTGAAATGCATTATACAGGTGGTTCAATATCTCGTCATTGTGAAGCTGGAATGGTGATGGACTGCAACAGAAGGGTATATCGCGTGAGCGGGCTTCAAAGGTGTAGACTGGTAGTATGACGGGGCGATTGATCGGGCAACACCGCGTGCATATGGCGACTGCCTGCCAGTCGTACAGGAGACAGGCCGCGTCCGTACGTGCGTCTCGAGACGATGCCAATGTTGTCGAAAGGATCCAGTGCCAAACCCAGGGAATCACTTACTGAGCATACCCATTCACGCTCGACGCTCCTCCGGTACTTGTCGAGGGAACAGACTCGTCCCCGTAGGCTCCCTGCTCTGCTGCATCTGATCCATTCACCAGACCGTTGCTGCTCCCCACATGTCCATTCATCGCTTTTGGTGCAGACGTATCTCGACAGCGGCGAGAAAAGGTTGCCAGTAGGATACGGGGAGCAGCACGTAGATCGAGTGGCGAGCAATGGGAGCAAGATGAGGAGCCTCAAGCTCAAGGACGCGTTCGCGAGGTCGTGTCACGTGTCACAGTCGTCACGGTCATCGCCCACGACCGTGCGATCTGTGGCCGCGTATGTACTAGTAGAACTTCCAATATGACGCGAAGGAGAGTAGCGACCATGGAATATCGAGCACTGGACGAAGTTTTTGCACGACGATACGCACGTCGTACTACACTTAGGTACTTCAGTAGGTATGTGCAACAAGTATATCAACTATTGTGACGCTTGCGTGACACACGCCACAAAGGCTCAAGCGCTCAATCGGAGTCAATCGAAATCCGAGTCAGTCACGTATATGTATGTACTCAACTGCGAGTCCCGGGCCTCGGTAGACATTGATCATGACCAGCTAGACTCGAAAGTGACTCGTGCTACCACTGCTTCACGCGTTCGCGCTCGACGCGTAGTGTGTACGGTCCCGAGAAAATCATGCTAAATACGTCGATCTCAATGCTCGAGATCGCAAACCTCCAGTGACCCGCTCCCCACTGATCCTCGTCTGCACGTCTTTAGCGCACAATGCCGAATGGTACCGGCGCCGATTCCTTCAGAGGATCCATAATCCGAGTCTCGCAGAGCCGTATATTTCCCCAGCAGCGCACCGCCAAGCGCACCAGCGTACCGCTATCCGTCGCGGATTGTTCTGTCGTTCGCTTCACCACTGCAGCTGCCGTCTGGTACTTCGACGCACCGGAAGGCGAGCGAGCAACGAAGGCACTGTCTCCAGACCAGCTCCGGCTGTCGTTGGAGACCACGCTCAGCTGTTACCCACAGTTGGTCGGCCAATTGCACTGGGCAACTCACGTTCACAATGGCAACCATACCCAGCGTGCGGGACGCTTGGTCCTCACGTACGGTACACCTGAGGACCCTGGGTTCGATTCATAGTGGCAAAATCACCCGTACCATTAAGGGCATTGGTCCCATCTGCGTCAGAAAGGCGACGGGACGGGTATTGGGATGCGACTCAACTGGCATCCGACGCACTCCTCCATCGACACCTCTACCGCTCACATCTGGAAGAACACGCAGGCCTTCCCGGGCTCATGATCCAAATCACCACGTTCGCATGCGGAGGTGTCGCAGTCGCCATCAAGTTCGCCCATCCCTAGCGGATGCACAGACGGTGGCACGCTTCTCGCATGACTGGGCCGCGACAAACCGCGCTATGGTCCTCGGGTTGGCTCTGCCAGTGCTGCAGCCCATATTCGATCCACAGCGCCTGGATATGCGGCTGCTGGAGACATAGACGCTCCCCAAGTCGACCAGGAACTGCTCAAGAAGTCCCGCGCCCTGCCCATGCATCGGTACGACTGGTGGGCGACCACAGACGATTCGACACCTTCCGTCCCAGCGCCCCTGAAGGCGGCAGCAGAAGTCCCCGCGGCCGCTCCGATACCATGGTCCGAATGGAACGTGCAGGCACCTGTATCCCACTACATTATACACTTCACCCCGGGCGAGATGCAGCGTATGTGGAAGGCTGCTCAGCCAGCGGCCTCTACGCAGGGCCACACCGTCAGCCGCCACGATGCTCTCCTAGCTCATGTGTGGGCGCTGGCCAACAGGGCTCGCGGTCTCGCCGAAGACGACCAACCTGTGCATATGAACGTCACACTGGGGCTGCGCGACAGAGTGTCCCCCGTGCTACCGGACAGTTTCTTAGGGTCACCGATTATCCTGGGGCGTCTGTCGATGCCGGACGGGAGGCCTCGTCTGAGTCGCCAAGCGAGGTTGCGGCGGGCATCCGCTCCGTGGTCAACTTGTTCGACACCGAAACGGTGGCGGCGCTCTTGCACGACATGGCCCATGACCTCGCGCTCGCGCGCATATGGCACGCTTTCCTCGGCCGGCGCAACTTCATCGTCACGTCTTGGGTGCGCCTCGGCCTGTACGATGCAGACTTCGGCACGGGCACACGCGCGCGATATGTGGAAGCTGTAATGCCGAGCTGCGATGGATGCCTCCAAGTCATGGAGGCAGTTCCTGTCGACCACGAATACGCCGGTGCTGGAGATGACGAGGAAGGAGGACGGCGGAAGCGTTGGTATGATGATGGTGTGGACGTCTCCTTGCATCTTGCGGCGGATGCGATGGAGAAATTGATGAAGGACCCGTTATTACGGAAGTATCGTGTGCCTTGAGATGGGTAAGCTCGATCCTGTTGTAGCCAATAAACTGTCCGCGGCTAACCTCGCTTCCAGCTGACCCGTCCGGTCTGCATGCACGCGACGCTGCGCTTACCGCGTTGCTTCGAGAACGTTGTGGATTGACATGGTCCTGCACAAGGCAATCAATAACAGACACAATGAAATCATGACTCACTGCCTCGCGCATCCGGCAAACACGACGCCATGACGAGGCACCCTTCTGTCTGGCCACGCAATTTCTCATCGGCATGCCCCCATGAAACCTGTGAGTTCCTGGCATCAGAAAAAGGAAATTGGGAAGACATATGCCAGGTCTGTGAAATGACTGGAAGCGTTGTGAACTGAGTCAGTTCAATAGGAAGCGCAGATCGGCGGATATTACTGACGATGTTGAGCTGGTGTCACATGTACTGCGTACACTTAGACGTGATCTCGACGTCAGCAACAGGGGCAGCGTGCGGCGAAGGTCAGGCAGCCTGTGACGAGTGGGTTTGATATGTTTCCAATAGTAGCAGGAAGGAAAGATGGTTGTCGTAAACGGCGACCCTCTGGAAGCTTTGATCGATTTCCTGGAGCGCTAGACGTTTAAAGCGTTCAAGGACGCCGGACACGCACTGCTAGTGCAGGCTTCGAAACATGACCTCACATACCAGACTTGGACTATCTCTAAAAGCGAGCGCTGCGAGTAACGCGCACGGATCTTGACAAGGTGTATCAGTGTTGAGTGCTCCTAGTCCTTGTTACGTATCTGTGCTGGTCACAAGAGTGAAGGCGTTCTCCTCTGACTTGTACAGGCAACTTCGCGGTCCCGGGAGTGTGGCATTTCATGCGACTACGTGTCTTGCGTCATCCCGGCCAGTGGCAGAATGAGAGCATCGTGTAATCAGTGATTCGTGAACTGCAGCAAACGGACCGCTGGCCCTGGAAGTAGCATACGCGTGAAGTCATACTCACGTGCCCGTGACACCCAATACAATCCCGGCATTCGGGGCAACTTGAATGTATGGTAGTATTAGTACTGAGCATCATGACATCGACGCTGTAGTACAGGCTGGGTACAAGCAGGTACAAGCTCAAATTGAGAATTCCTGCAACGTGTACATTCAACGGAAACCAATGGAACGAATAGGAACGCATACCACCCACCTTTTCCCCATACGTCCGTACGACCCGAGTCCATCGGAGTGCCTGACCCATCGAACTGGCCCTGGTATGATAAGGGTCATCCACCCGCTCGGACCACAAACCCCTACTACGCATCCCCGCCCGTCTCTCCGGCCAACCAGCGCAGAAAGTCAGGCATACCCATCACTTCGCCATATGGGTTTCTCGGTTCTGCAATCTTGTGCGCTAGTCGTATCTCCGGCTCGAGAGGTGGCGGCTCGTGTAGTAGTACCATCGATACATAGGCGTCCATCAGGTTGTTTATAATGCCTGATTCTTGAGCTCGGATGCCGCAAAGAGTCGGGTACGATGGTGGCGCAGATGTGTAGTGCGGCGTAGGACCGGATCCATCGCTGAGCTGCGAGGGAGTCGCCAAGGCGCTGTCAGTCCGACGTGATACGCAACGATTGTTCAGCACATCGTACCATATGCGAGCGATCAGAGGCGAAGTAGTCGAGGTACGCCGCCGCTGGCACGACCCGGAAGAGACTGTATCCGTGCATGTCATTCCGGAGGTACAACACCAACTTGAAGTCAGCGCTCGCCCAGACGAAACATCGGAAATAGGCTTGCCTTTGGTACTCCAGAGGCACCGAGAACGCCTCGTTAAACACGTACGGGAAGGTGTTGGACACGTAGTCTGACATGCATCCGGTTGGCATCCGGAGAGACGAGACCAGTACGGACGCGGCGAAGCGGTCAGCTGCTGATGCGCGACATGGGAGACGCGCGGCGAGGGGGCGCACCTGTCCACCTGCTAGGGACTGTAAGACGGGTGTCGAAATCGTACACCCAGCCATCTTCTGCCGGTTCCGTCCGCCGCTCTCCGTCTTCGCGATGCGTCGGATCTTGCTCGCTGCTCTGCATGTGGTCGCGCGAGCGGAGAACGAGGATAACGTGGTAGTCCCATACTACCACGCCTTCCCTGGCCTTCTGGTTCCAGAGGGCGACCTAGACGATGGTCGGCGTGTCAATACGCATGGGTCGTGTCGCGGATCGGGAGGGGGAACGTGAGGCGGAGAGACGGCGTGCATGAGAAGCGAGAACGGACCGTCTTGCCGTGGTTCGATATGAACACGACGGACACCTGCCATGGCCAATCGGCATCCTCTTCCGCCTTCGAGGCAAATGCTTTGGCAAGCAAGTATACATTTTCTTCACAATAGCAGGACGTGTAGATGCTGTCATGGGGGAGGGGAGGAGGCATCGATTGCTTTTGTTTCGCCGACATGGTCGCCAGTCGAGATGAAACAGTGGCGCTCATATGATAGGCAGCAGCGGACAAGTTATTGCATTAGATGAGACCAGGGGAAGAAGCACAAGTACATGCGAGTCAATGGAGAAGTCACGAATCCCTCCGAGATGGCGCCGATTACCCTATATATCGTATCCTGTTCATATGATTACAGTCCACAGCTTTTCAACATCGACGCAGCGGGTTTGGCCATGATGAGCACACAGCATGGGGATAGAGTACAATCCACAACTCTCGACGACGACAAGTCGTCATGTCATGATCTGCCCCGAAAGACATGGGCATCAGCGAAAGGGAGCGCGAAGAAGCTAGCGCGCAACGCACCATGGATGGGTATAGCACAACAATGGGTATCGCGAACACGGGCATCACCGTCTGGCGTTCAGCGAGCTGCCCGGCGCGTACTCCAGCTGGTCGATGCTCCAGGTATCCTTGTTCGCGAAGACGTCCGAGACCCTCTTCTTCAGCAAGATGTCATCCAGCTCCGGCGACGAACGCTCTGGGCGGAACGGCACGAAGATGGGCTTCGGCCCGCTCGAGGTCGACTTCGTGCTCGTCTTGGTCGCCGAAGGCGCCTTCCGAGGGTGAGGCGCGCGGATCGCGTTCGGCGTGGTCGGTACGGACCCGTCGCCGCGTTCGCCTTCAGCGGCGCCGGAATGGGGTGGGGAACTGCGACGGCGCGGTGGGCTTGGGGAGCAAGCCGGAGTTGTTCGTGAACGGGTGTGTGGCGAGGGGATCGAAGGACGAGAACGCGGTCTGAGTCGACATGGCTGTGGCGCGTCGGGGCGGAAGCACAATGGGAGCAGAGGGCGAACGGTTCGATGAGGACAAGGCTGTCAGTGAGCAATGTCGCGTAGGGCTTTTGTAGTATGCAGATATGAGACGCGGGAAGGAATAGGTTGTCGGAGGGATGGAGAAACGGAAGAGGCGGCTGCCGGAAGGTTATATAGAAAAAGAGGAGCTCGCGAGGCTATGAGTGGCCCGTGGCCACCGCTGGCCACGGACGGGGGCCCGAAAGTTTAGCGGGTTTGCAAAGGTTTGCAAGCGACCCTCCCTTGTGATCACATGTGTTTCTCGTCCTTGTTCCGTGCGTGTTCTGACTCTGAGTTCGGGCTGCCGCCTGCGACCATGGCCACGCCTGCTTGCGATAGACCACGCCCGAGAACATCCGAAACAGCGTCCCCCTCTTGCCTCTTCTGTATCTGCAAGGCATGCAATGGGCATTGGCCAGATCTTAGATGTGTTTACAATCAACAGATGCAGGAACGCTCTACTCCGATTTGAAACCTCCAGACTTTCTCCGTGGACTTGCAGTCTTGAACGTCGTTCCATGGCGCGCTCAGCACGATACAGATTATGGTCCGTAGCGGGGACGGACTTAAAACTCTGTTTCACTGTCCTGGACACCTACCATAGCAATTTCAGGTGCGTCATCGAGAGTTTGCTCGCGGACGCGACCGTGAATGTATGAGGTAATCGGACAATGTGCTCGCTTGCGTATTGGCTGCATGCACTGTTGCGCATAACGTTGAGGGTGGCGTTTACGAGAACAACAACCTAATGTCTGTTGGACACGCTCCCATCAATCTGACCCGAACGACGAGGGCGGCTCTATGCAAGCCCTTCATGAACGTCAGTCATGGGTCACACAGTAATCTTAGCCGCCCATTATTTGAGAACGTGAAGCGCACCGGTACGATTCTTGCGAAGGAAGCAGGACATTCGTAAGACCGCTGCTCAATCGCTGCCTGCCACAGGTATGCACAGGCGACAAGCGATAGTCTTCGAAAGAGCGGGAGAACCTTCACAGGTGAGCAAGACCCGCTGTTCCCAACACACCCGTCGTCAGCTGTCGCGTAGTTTGTAACCCGGTCGGAACATGCAGAGGTTGCAGTACGTCTTCACCTCTACAGCTTTGGCTTGACGCTCTCCTTGTCGCTTTGCTTTGCCGTAAAGATAGTGAATGCTGGCCCTGTGGTGAACGCCGACCATTCCGAGAAGCCAGCGACGAATGCGAAATCTTGCCGGAGTAGACAAGAATAGGAAGAACAGCTCCCGACATAGCGTCCTCCACGCGTACCCCCGAATACATTGACACGGAACATTCTCACCTCGGTACAGTTAGGATGCCCCCCCAGATGCAATGTGTCGACGTAGTCTTTCCGGCAAAACGGCAGTCAGTCAGAAGTGGTGAAACGCGCCATGAGCTCCATAGCTAGCATCGTCCCCATCAACGATAGTGTGCATGTTTGTGCAATAACAGGAAAGTGGGTGGGACTGGAAGGTAAGGACCAGTCATGTGTGATGCATTGTGGAAACCAGCGGAGTCGTTCGAAGTACAGTATCAAGGGACATAGTCTGAACGTCGCTCCCGCCATTGCGCCATGCTCGGAAAACCGCCCGCAGCGCGTTGACGAAGTTCGGAAGGCCGCAGAGGGTTGCATGAGACGTGCACACGACCCAGGGAGTGTAATGGGCGAGACGCAAGAGGGTTGTCGACGCACTGTCACGCAGATCTAAGGGTCGTGCGCGCCCTTGAGAAGGTAACTTTCCGTCGTCATGAAGTTGCGCAGATAGAGCTCGAAGGTGTGATGGAAGATCAATGTCCGCGGCGGTGGGGTGCATCATGCTGTCGTCACAGTTGCCAGGAATGGGCTAGTCTGCAAGCGGAGGAAGCTTGCCTCGCAGGATGCGCACCGTCCTCATTTGGCTGTCGCCCTGCCTCGACCTCGTCGTTCTAAACCCGGGGTAGCCGACCACAACCATGTTGCCGTAACTTCCGCGTGTCACCAGGTGCCAGAAGTCATGACGCCAGACTCCCATTCAAAGACAGACACCAGAAAGAGCATAGTCCGGACATCGTCCGCTACTCGGAACACGGACAATCGTGAGGTCACTTCGACATTTCGGGTAGGCGGCACATACATAGCTGTAGATGGCAAGTAGATGTGATTCGAAGCAAGCAAGGTTCCGGCGCTAGTCCCTCTATTCAGTAGACGATTTTGGAGAAAGCTAGCCAGAGGAGCGTTGGCAGGAGGTTACGCAGCCAGGCGCAGTGTTGGCGAACGGAGGAAAGCGAGGGCTGCAAGGCGCTCGTGCGGGCAAAGAGCGCCTGTACGCGCTCACGTGCTGCAAGCGCTGATTGCCTTCCTCAGAAAATTTGGACCTCGAGCGGGAACAGGACCTTGGCCGGCGTTGCGGGTACCATGTCTACTACTCTACCGCTCTTCTGGGACATCTCCTCGGCTTCTCCAAATACTCGTATCAATGCCTCTGTGAAGCTTGTCAATTCTCTTGAGCATTTTCAATCTCAATACGTACCGAAGCAAAGCGCGGGACATGGAGAGGACGACGACGAGAAGGATATGGGCGACGGCCTGGGTGCGCTGAATGCGCGGGACGTGGCGTACTCGATACGTCGGCTAGTGAGGGGATTGGCCAGTCCGAGGGAAAGCAGTCGGTTAGGTTTTGCAGTTGCGTTAACGGAGGTTAGTCCTTCGCACAGCGCTCCGCGTTCGATGTAACATAGACCTCGGTACATGCAGCTGTTATCCAGGATCGACACTGTGACATGCTCCCAAATCGTTGCCCTTCTTCTGGACTCGTCGCAAACCCAAGGTCTTGCGACCGGTCAGGAGGAACGCGACATGCTCTTCGCTCGCCTCTTCGGGCTCATCTCCGTGATCCAGTCTGGGCTGCTCTTCCGCGATACGGCCTTGCCGTCTTCCTCAAGTCTCGTCTCGAGCTTGGACAACTACAAGCAGGTGCTCACTCAGCTGGTCGAACTCGGCGAGAAGAAGTCATGGCTGCGCGAGAGCGCCTGGTGGGCGATCGGTCTTGCCATTGACGCACTCCAGGAGTCGGATGCCTCGTGGAAGGATGACGCTCTAGAATCTACCATAAGCATCGTGTTTGCAGAGAAGAAGTCCTGGACGCCCGAGAAGATAGCTATCACGCTAAAGCTACAGAGTCACTTGCCTTCCCGAGATTGGGAGAAGGTCCTGTCGCCCACGTTCAAAAATCCGGAGTTGCTGAGCACAGGAAACCTAGGCACTGTGGCTCGGATACTGAAGGTGGGTTTGCAACATGATGATCACTTCGCAGTCATTCTTAGTAGTCCCTACAGGAATCAAGCGTCGACGATGACGAGGAGTCTGACGTCCCCAAGTCGGGAGCCTGGAAGCCTCAGGTACACTTTGTCTGGGACATGCTCCTGGACCGAGTGTTATCTCCTCCTACGACGCAGAAGGGCTCGAACACGGCTGTATTCCCCGACTTCTTCCGGATAGTTGTCGATGGTTTGTTAAGTTCGATGTCCGTGAAAGCAACAGCTGCTGACAATCTTCGAACCTCAGAGTCTTTGTTCTCGTCCACGTCTTCTCCGGAGCGCAAATACTGGGGCTTTCAAATATTTACCAAAGCACTTCCTCGTCTCAGTGCCGGCGATATGCCTATGGTCTTCACTAAAAACTTCATGCGGTCATGGATCAACCACCTGTCCAACAGTGATCGGTATCTCCACAAGGCTGCGAGGCAAGTGGTAGGTGTATATCCTCGACAATCAGATGGCTTGTGTTCTGAACATTCTCGAATAGGTCTCAGACATACAGTCTCATGTCAAAGAAAACCCGACCCTTGGTTTCACTCTCATCTTGCAACTCACGGGTGTGAACGGAAGCCGCCAGTTTGACAAGCTAACCAAGACGAAAACGGTTGAGTCGATCCTGACGTCAATGGATAAGGCCGGCATCCAGAGCTACATCGACTACCTTCTGAAGCAAGTGAATGATGTCCAGGCCGGCGAGCCGTAGGTTCCTTCTGACACGCGACGTCTTCCTATCCCGCTCACGCGATTGCAATAGGATTGACGCACAAGCCGTGAACTCCCGGCGCACATGGATCATCGACCAATTGGCCGCCCTCGTCCGCAATGGTGCAATCCCCAAAAGTGATGACTGGGTGCAGTCTATTCTGGACTGGCTCACCGTTCATGGTCTCTTTGCCGTTACAAAGAAGTCCGAGAAGAGCCCCATTTCGGCGGTAGGTCGTCGTCACCCTAATCTACCGCGGCGTTGCACCTAACTCCTCTTTAAAAGCTCCACAGCGTGCCTGTACCACAATTCTCCGATGACCTGAGGAAGCTGTGCCGAGACCGCCTGCTCAGTTGTTTAGCCGACTTGACGGGGCAGGCCACAGTCGTGGAGAAGGGTGAGCCGCATGTTCAGTGGTACACGATAGTGTTTAATGGGCGGCTGGACGTTTCTAGAGGACAAGTCTGTTGTCAAGATGCCCGCAGCGGCGTCCGACGGGCGGTTCTGGGTCGACCGAGTGCTATCAACTATTGAGCAGCTCGAGAAGGATACAAAGCACGTTGCAATCCTCACGGAGGTCGACGAGGAGGATCAAGTGCTTCGGGTCAAGGCACGTCAGCTTGCCGCGCGGCTGCAGGCTGTAGGTGGACTCCCTCCTCGTACACTACTCAGACATTGACAAGCTCTTAAGGTTCCGGAGCCTCAACGGGAGGCCGCGAAAGGTGCCGAACTTCTTCTCTCAGCCACCCTTCTTCAGCAGTACTGCGCCGAAGAGGAAGCCGGTGTGGAAACGCTTGAGGTACTGCCCAGTCCGCTCTCTACGTGAGAATGCGCGCTGATAACACGCCGAACGACTAGAGCTGTATTGATGGCGCGACACGAATGTTTCCAGCGGAGACGAAGAAAAGCAAGAAGTCGCGCAAGTCCGCTGGAGGCGATACTGGGGATGACGCGGCTGACGCGCTGGAGCCTGTGGATGTTCTGGTGGACAATGTTATCGGCTTCTTAGAGCAAGCTACTGCGTACTTGCGCGCGGTGGCCAACCAAGTGTTCTTGCTGCTGTCGGGCTCCGTCAAAGAGAGCACCATTAGTCTCATTCTTACGGCAAGTGCAGCATTCGAGGTTTCTGGCTCATTGTATTCACAGACAACCCACAGCAATTGGAGCGTCGTGATCCTGCCGAACTCATGGCAGATGAAGACGAAGAGACGGAGGACGACGAAGACAGTGAAGATGAGGAGGAAGACGAAGACGAGGACGAGGACTCATCCGAGGAAGCGGAGGATGGAGAGGAGGATGCCGACGAGGAAGAGGATCTTGAACTCCGGAAGAAGATTGAGGAAGCCTTACGAATCAATGGAGTGGAGGCAGCAACTGGTGAATCTGACGATGAGAGTGAAGAGGATCTCATGGACGATGATCAGATGCTTGCCATCGATGAACAGCTAGCTGCGGTCTTCAGGGCACGCGCCACGGAGAAAAAGTCGGGGAAAGGTGGGAAGGCATTCCATGATTCCTTGATAATTTGTTCATTTAGTTGTCAGATGTCGATGCACAGCGGGAGGCAACACATTTCAAGAACCGTGTACTCGATCTCCTCGAGATATTTCTCAAGAAGCAACCGTCCAGCCACCTGACTATCCGCTTGATTCTCCCGCTGGTAGACCTAGTCGTGGGCACAGGCCCAGACGAGAGGCAATTGGCTGACAAGGCGACTAGTGTCCTCCGGTCCCGAGTAGGCAAGGCCAGGGAAACTCCTTCGTCTGTCGATAAGGACCAGGCTGCTGAGTTGCTTCAAGAGTTACACTCGCGGGCCAGGAAGGCACCTTCGGCTGACGTTCTTGCTACACTGAGCGCTTGTAGCATCTATGTGGCGAGAGCGCTGCATAACGCAGGTGAAGACGCACCGATTGCGCAGGCCTACCGAGAGTCCCTAAGTGACTTCGTCACCCGCAAGGCTTCCCGGTTGAATGCACAGTTCTTCCAAGACCTCGTGCGTCGACAGGTGGCAACTGCTTGGGCTCTGCGGGAAGATCTCCTCGACCTCGCTGGCAAGGCGGTCAATGTCTATCGACAATGTCAGGCATTCCTGTTTCTGCAGCTCCTGATAAAAGAGCTTCCGCAGCTTGTGAGTACGCCGATGTTCTATCATTACCAGCAACTAATAGATCCTGTAGAGCGACCACGATGTCAAAGCCGATATTCTGATATTCTTCCCAAAGCTGCGAACCGCTCTACTCGACGTGATCTCACAAGCATGCGATGCGTCTGACGCATCTCTTACCGCAGCCCAGGTCAAGGAGCTCCTCAAACTAGGGGTATTGGCTGTTCGCCACACGCGCCGTATGTCCGCAAGCACTGAAGAGTTGGCAACCGTATGGAGTCCCCCATTATGGAACGACCTAGCGAGTAAATTGGCGGCGAGTCCTCGTTTGAAGTCATCAACAGGTTTGCAGTCGTCGTGTAAAGAGATAGCCCGGTCTACCGGCCAGTCTGCGAAGCCCGGCGCCGACGGGACTGCGAAGAAGGGTGATGCAGAGGATAATACTGCAGCCAGCAAGCGCAAGGCTGGTGAGCTCGAGGAAGCTCCTGGGCCACAAAAGGCCAAACACAAAAAAGCCAAGAAAGCGAAAGCGTCCTAGGTATCTTATGTATTGGATATTATGCGTATACGTGACAGCTGCGCGACGATGCTCGTCAACTCGTTGACTCGTGTGCTCATCTCATCCGATGGCGTGGTCGTACTGGTTTCCATGAGCTCTAGGCATCTGCGAATCCTGATGCGACATGAATTAGAGATAACATGAAGAAGGTATGTCAACTCACTTATTACGCCGCATCCTTCCTTCAGTGATTGCTCGCAATGTGGCCGACTTTGAAGATGCCTCTCGTAAGACTGACTCCGGTAACCCTGCCAGCCGCGCACATTCTACACCGAATGATTCCTCGGTGACGCCAGGAGTAAGGCGGTATAAGAATGTGACTTCTCGCGTGCCATCAATTCGGGTGTCTTCAGTATATCCCATGTACACGTTCTCCACCTCAGCAGGGAACATGCGTTCCATGTCTACAGCTAAATGAGGGTAATGAGTGATGAATAGTGTTCTGCATTTCGTATTCTGCACGAGGTGTTGTAAGACTGCATTCGCGATGGCCATCTGTTTTCAGTAAATCAGTCATATAATGTACTTAAATCGGATTGAGTCGAAGGCATACCCCATCGAACGTCGCCGTACCACGCCCCAGTTCATCCAGTATTACCAATGATCGCGCCGTGGCCATTTGAATAATGTCGCTGGTCTCTTGCATCTCGACCAAGAACGTAGACCGTCCGCGAGCCAATTCATCAGAAGCTAGCAATCTGTGTCAGGCAATTGGAGCTAAGTCTCAAGGTGTGACTTACCACCCATCCGAGTGAGAATGCCATCGAGAGGGGCGAGCTTCATCGACTGGGCTGGGACAAAAGAACCGATCTGGGCCATCTACGGTCGTCTCGTGGTATCAGCGATGAACCTGCAGTACGTTCATAGTAGAGACTGACGATTGCACAAAGCGCGATCATCCTGACCGCCGAGCTCTTTCCACCCATGTTGGGACCAGTGATGATCTTGTTTCGAGGTTGCCCGCCACCCATTGTGACTGTGTTTGGGACGAAAGGGTCAGATCTCAACACCTCTACCATTGGATGCCGACCCTCGACTAGCTCCAGTACGTCATCTTCCACGAACTCTGGCTTCACGTAACCTTCTTGCAATGCTACGCGTGCCAAGCTCAAGAGGCAATCGGCGACGGCTAGCTTATTCACTGCGTCACGGAAGAGTGCGTAATACTTCTGCGTGATCTCTTGCAGGAAAGACAGATAGGCCCTGTTCGCCTCAGCGGTCTGAGATTCTTTATACTGTGCACGCTCTTGAAGCTTGGCTCGAACTTCTGGAGTATGATACCTTCTGAGTGTCTTTGTACTATCCAAATGCGTTACGGCATCGTCCCTTAGTGGCAGACAATTTCACTGACCTGGATACCAATTGCCAGCTGACGGGGATGTCGCGATTCTCGTCCTTCCTGATCTCTACGAGGTACTGGATCTACGTCAGCACAGGGTGACGTCACATTGGTGAGATTGTATACCTCTTCACCCGCAACGGTTGTGTACTGTAAGGCAGGCTTCCTGATTGCTCTACGGACTGCAACATGTGCGTGAGATACCATTCGAATGCTTACTGAACTTGTACGCACTCTTGCGTAGTTCGTCCACGAGCTCAGACTCAACTACTTGGATACTCTGTTCCGGGTATCAGTGTCAACGAGAACACATTGACCGTGAGACTGAAACTGACTGCAGTGTGTGCATCCACGTCGGGATACTTGTCCGGATCCGTCCATAAGGATTCTTTCTTACCCTCCTTCGCTGATTTGAGATTGACGTTGTCGAGAATGTATCTCATAGGGTCTCTCAACTTCGGCAGGGCCACTGCGATTTCATTCAGCAGCGGCGACCTGAAGGGTGCATCCTGAGGACTGTTGATTGGCTGGAAGGTTGACGCAATCCTGCTGAGCGCAGGCAGCAAGACGGATAGCTCCTGCGGGGTGCACTGTCCGACAGGTGTCGCGATTCATTCGTCACTGGCAACACGGGGCAAAACGCAAAATAAGACCGACCTTCCCGTACTGAATACGACACAGGCCCCTCGCGAGGTCTGGCAGACGCTTCAGCGACTCGCGCAGGAGGGTTAACTTCGGTGTTTCGTCGGCCAGGATCTCCCCTACGGCCTCGACTCTTTCCTGCAGAATCCTGAACAACGTGTCAGTATATCAGCGACTATGACATGCGTACACGTAGCATGGCTTCACAAATCGGAGTAAGCACATTCGCTTGCAGGTCCGACTCCCATGGCCATGCAGGAGACGTGGGATGATCGGACAAAATTACGCACCTCATGTCAACCAGCGGTCGTCCGACCCAGCTCCGCAGCATTCGCGCCCCAAACTTCGTCGATGTCTGGTCGAGAATCCACATCAACGAACCCTTGGTCGTGTAGTCTGTTTCATTTCGGTAGATTTCCCTGAGCGGCACAATCGCCGATGCTGCTCAGCACGACTGCATTTGCAACGAGGATGAACCACCACACGAGCAACACTCACAGGTTGGTCAACGTGTTGCCGTTAAGAAGCATGTGGGTACGCTCTGTAAATTTCGAGAAGAACTTCGTCTCGCGGAGACAATCTTCCACTCCGAACGCCGCTAAGTACTTTGCTGCATACGCCAGCGCCAGAGCAGCTAGTTTTGAGAAGTCAGAAACAGTTGCCATGAGTTGTCCTATCAAATTGAGACACGGTGTCTGGATCAGCACTGAGCCCTAGTGGTGCAAGGGTGACTGGGCACAGACCGGAGTTGTAGCCTTCAGATGCGATGCCAGACTTGGACTTGTCGGTATAGAACGAAGTCAGATAAGAGAACGCCTCGGTGTAAGACAGATCGTGCTTGACTCGTTCGGTGCGTATCTTGTGATCAGGGTTCGCCCAATCCGCGTTGGAGATTCTGCAGTTCTTGAGTAAAAGGCCGCCCGTTGCAAAAATGATTGTCCATACTGCGTGAAATGTGCAATCATCTTCTCGCTTGCCTTGCTCAACTCTTCCTCAGGTAGGAGGAGCTCATGTGGTTTGGAATGAACCATCCGTGTCTACGCAAGGCGTGAGTGTGCGCTGAATGAGGTTCTGAACTCGGACGCACCTCTAGTTCGGTGCGCATGTGGTTATCTGGAAGAGGGTATCAACACAGCGACTGACGAAACCGCATCCATGGGGCGTACCCTCGAACTCATCCCATACCACGTCCCCAGTGCTCGCAGAGATGACGATCATTCCAACCTTCACCCTTTCGTCATGGCCCATGCCTCCCATGGGCTCCTCCACTATGCACATCAGGGGCGGGGCGAATGTCGGATCGAGCTCGTCCACCGAGTCAATTTCATCTATATAGCTAGACCAACGGCTCAGCACGATAGCTAGGGATGCTAGCAGTAATCATGGACTCACGTCGCAGCGGTGTACATGTGTGTTACATCCCGACTGAACAGCTCGTTCCTGTTGTCGCCTGCAGCCTTCAGAGCCGCGGTCTCCGTCTGCTCGACGATGCCCACTTTGTAGCCCTGCGACAGTAGCCTAGGAGGTGTATGAATTCACCGTTCCCGGGATGAGCGACCCTAGTGCTTACTTTCGCAAGTATATGTGCTTTCTATGCGGAGGTACCCAGGCATTGAGGAAGTTTCGTTTCGGGAAGCAGACTACCCCAAGCTCCTTTGACGCTATGCTTGCATCCTCACCATAGAAGATCATTTTGTAGCCGACCTCGAACATCAGGAGAGTACCAGGATATCGTTGCTTCAGGTCGCGAATCTAGGGATATCACACATAAACCCCTATTTTGTGCGTAGGAACATAGAAACACACCTGGAGTTCCAAAGGAGTGTACGGCAATCCGCTTGGACCTATCTCCTCCACCTTCTTCCTGCTTGGCATAGCCCGCACAGAAGCCTTGCCTTTCCGCTTCTTCCTCGAACCCGAGTTCGCCCACATTTCCTGCATCTTGGCGAACAGGTCGTCCGACTCTTCTCCAGAGTCCATCTCCCCACTCGCATTGGCCACAGCCTGCGACTCGTCCTGCTCCTGATCAAACTCCTCTTCCGAATGCTTCCTGTTAAGAATACTGGGGTCGCCAAGGAGAATTCGTTTGGCCTTTTCGTGGCGTTCATTTGTTCCACGTCGAACAGACTGGGATGACGACACCGGGTCGAACCGCCATTGAGCGGCGAGGCCACCTGGTCGATCCTGAGTTGACGAAGGCCCGGCCTCCTGTGAGCGACTATGAGATGTTCTTGTGGCAAAGAAACTACTGGTCGTCCTCGCCCTCTTGGGAGAAGGTGGTGCGGCGGCCTCGTCGTCAGAATCCAAAGTTAGGTCGATCGTTGCATTGGGTCGCTTTCGCTGCTGTGTACCAGGCGATGAACTAGCCTGTGAGAAGAATGAAGATATAGCTGCCTGCCTCTTGGGCGAGGTAAATGACATCCTAAAGGAATAGACTGGTGGTGTGCGAAGAGAACAATGGCGCACGTCGTGACGGTGTAGACGCCCGACTCAGACAAGTATGTAATGTCGGGGAAGAAAGCGCTCTTCGGGATGTTCGTGCTCGGATCCTTGCCTGGACTCGCACGCAATGACTATGTAAACTGTCAGAGAACCGATTCCAACTTTCCAACGTTGCCACAGTTCGGTCCCAAGCTGGCATGCTGAATCCTGAGCAGGTGGCGCGATGCCGTGAACGAACTTGAGGTTGACTATTGGGACGTCATTCATAAGTTCGCAATTTTTGCCTACATTGCACAGATGGTTGAAGAATTAGGAGTACCACAGTCACCAGTTGGTCACCAGTCATCACACTGGCAGGAGAGCACCGCGCGTCGCAGCCTCGGAGTACGTCAACAGCCACAAGCGCGACGTACGCGCCACCGACGCGTCTCGGACGCGTCAACTCGGAATCATGGCGTGTCTCGTTGATCCGATAGAGTGCAGTGGAAAATCTTAGTTCCAGTCAGGCACCAGTATGTGGCCAATCCAGAGCGATTGCATCGTGCCCTCTATTGGTGACCTCGTGCATAGGGCCCAGTTCATTTCCTCAATCTAATAAATTCACGTCTGGCACGTTACGATGGCAGACAATGCGTACTAATGGTAGACTGTCATAGCATTTACAGCGCGTCAAAATCAGACAAAGGCAGGTACAAGAGTACTAGTGCTCATATGCCTGAGTAGGGGTAAAATAGCCCGTTGCCTCACTGCTGGAAGACTCCCGGGGTTGGTGCGACTTGGCCTCTCACCACACTCAATGCCCACTGGGAAGAAGATCCCGTCAGCACACCGGCACTCATGTAGGGAAAAAACACGGCTCACCACAAATCGAACGTATTCCCGAACCTCTCTTCATCCACCGTCTGCACAAATGCTGTCCGCTCCTCTATCAGCTCCTCTCTATACTTCTTCGCCTGTTCCTCCGTCACCGCAGCCAGCTCCTCCAAAACCATTTCACGCAGTTCTGAGGGCAGCCTCTGCCACAGCTGCGTGGTCCCCAAAGCGGATCGGATCCACGCCTCCTGCTGCGGGCCGACGTCGGACGCGGACGGCACTTTGACGTTGGGATCGACGAGGAAAAATACGAGAATCTTACGGTGGCCCGGCTTGAACTTGTCCTTGAGGCGGAAAGGTGAGACGAGGTGTTGGTAGATGTTCGGGAAGGCGAGGCAGCGGTGCTCTTTCGTCACCGCACATCCGACTACTTGTACACAAGGCTCGTCGCTGACAAGACATTAGCTGGTTCTGCAACTAGACACGGTTGGAATAGACTCGCTCGCTGATGCCATAGAGGTGCTCCATGCAGTAGTCGTCGTATTTTGCATGATACTTTGGTTGTTGCGTCGCGGTGCGGAAGGACAGTGTAGACTCGGTGATGTTCTCGCAATCATAATACTGCCAAGGACATTGAGTCGTGAAATGCTACGGCAGATATCGGGGTCACGTACGTATATGAATGTTGCCACGATCGCCTCATTATCCATGCCTACCGCGTTAACATAAAATCAGTCTCCATGTCTCGCCCAGGCGTCAGACCGACCTTCCACATGCCATGTTCCACCTCTGTATTGCGGCTTCTCTGTCGTCAACATAATATTCGCCAATTTTACTATCACCTGCAACCGTCTCCCCTTCAGACTAACCCTCTTCTGAACCCTCGCAAGCCCATCCTCATACGCCGGCTTACTATCCGGCCATATATGCGGCAGCGTGTCGCACCATTCACTCAGACACCGGCGTACATAATCGTGATGCGGATAATCCGGGAATAGCTCATACTCCAGTGGTTCAAATTTGAACTTGACATCGCCGTTACGGTGCTCCTCCTTCCAGCGTTTGCGGGCAGCGATCCACATGCGGTCGCACTCAGCCGCCCAAGGCTTGCTCACAACGCAACAGAAGACGTCGATTTTCGAGGACATGACGTCGTCGGCTTTGTTATCTGGGTACGGCTCACTCTGAAGGACGACGGAAAAGGATGAGCGTGGGTACAAGCGTTGTAGAAGAGTGCAAGAGATGACACTCACGCCTTCTTCCCAAACGCATCCGAGAGAACCCTTGCCTCTGTAGTCCAGACGCGTCGGGAGCTGGCGTTTCCGCGCGAGCTCAGAGAGCACCCACTCGAACATTGGAACTGCCATCTTGAGCACTTTCGGGATCACGCCCATGAGCGGCTTATGGTGCTCCGGGTGTATATTGTTGATGTATGGCGACGCGAGCGTGACAGTGCCGTCGTACGCGACGTCGAAGTCCGAGGGCAGCCATTGGAAGTGCTCCGAGACGAACATTTTGTGGACGATACTCGACGTCCGCGGCGTCAGTGGGGTTCCAGATGCATTGGAGACGGTGCGTCCATAAACAACCGGGTAAAGAGATGGATGGACGAGGTCGAGTATTCTCTCATCGGAGCCTGGGTGCCAGTCTTTCTTTGAGTCGGGCATGGCTTCTAGAGGGGCCACAGCAGACATGAGAGCGGTTCTCAGAGACGCGGGGATGAGCTAATCAGACTGCCATATCCGCTCGTACGGACCAGGCTTTCTCGGTTAGTTTGAATACGCACACTTTTCATGATTGTGTAGGCTCACCTGAATGCCGGTCTCTGGGTCACGAAGGGAAGCATACGCCTCCAATTTTTTTTTTTTTTTTTTTTTTTTGGAGGGCCTTCACGGGTGTCTGCAGATGACAATGGGTCATCCCAGAGCACCCAGCCTGCGTACGAGTTTCCCCGTAGGCGCCGGTCCAGGGTGAAAAATGCTACTTACGCACGATTCAAATAACCAGTGTGGGGCTCGTCAATCCGGCTCGAGATCTACTCGGAGGGCCGGTGCTCTACCCACTAAAAAACCCTTGTATCTCGTCCAGTCATCCGGGAGGGCAGGTTCATCCCGCAGTACTTTGTTCCACGTGGCGAGGGCTAAGTCTCGTCTCAGCGCCAGGTCACCATACTTTCTTCGTACGGCTTCAACATCCAGCGCTAATCTGGCGTTCAGTGTATATTGTAGTTTGTTTGTCACTTCCGCGTCGCGGTGTTCCCATCCGTCCTCTTCGGCGTGGCCAATAACTCTATCGCATCTTAGCTTCCAGATTAAGTGTACGGCTTCGGAGATCAGGATCCGCCAAAGTCTCGTAGCACCTGGGCGTGTTCGGCCCTTCTTGTCCTTCCACGCCGTTAGGCCTAGGGAGAGTATGTCTGCCATGGAGAGTGCATGCCAGGGTAAGTCCGGAGCTTTTTTCCTCCACACCGCTCTAACCATGGCCCAGATCCGGGACTGGCCCATTGCTGCACATTCAAGGAGGATGTGCTGCACAGTCTCTAGGGTGCCGCAGTGTGCGCACTGCGCCCTATCTTCGTACCCGTGTATCTTACTCCAGTACGGGCCACATTTAAGGCCGTCATGCATAATTTTCCACAAGAAGGTCACGAAAGTCCGACTGAAGTCCCTATGCCTCGTGCTCGCCCAAATAGTGCCGTCCGACACCGGGGATTTTAGTGGTACATGAAGTCGCACTGTCGCCAGGTTCTGTGTTGCTCGCCGCCTAGTCTCGGTGCCTTTCTGCTCCAGGATACCGCGGTAAGCAAGTGATTGTGTCAGAGCATCCAGTCTGGCCCCCGTTAATTCGAAACGGGGGTTGAGTTCCCGCGATGGGGCGTCTGCTCTGGTGAAGTCTTTCGGGGGCTGACTGATGCGTTCTGGCGCGCTTTCTCCAGGGTCATCCAGGTGTCATCGTCTGTTACTCGACCAAATGTCGTGGTCGCGCATCGCTGGCGCAGGCGGTTGAGTAGAGGCCGTAGGTGGCCAGCGAGCGGCGTGTCTATCCAGCCTTGTGCTTCCCAGACAGGGGCTCTTTCGAAAATCAGGTTCGTGAGGACGTCGTTTAAACCCAGGATGCAAAGAGGGGCGTCAAGTGGCGTATGTTCTAGTGCGTACATCGCTGCGGTGAGTTCCCCGGGTGCAACAGTGGTTGTTATGGGGTCTATATCAGGGCACACCAGGCCGTTTCTGTCGTCGTCCTGGCCAAAGAAGACCGCATGCGTCCAGTCTATGCTCGGGGCTATCACTCCTGGTGCCCGACCATTGCCAGTGGGTTTGAAGATCAGCGCTGTCGTGGTCTCCTCTACTACCTGCCGGCCCGGACGCCTCCTGATCGTCGGGGGGCAGGTCAAGGTGCTTTTAGTGACGAAGGCCCGGAAAGTCTCGGAGATGTTCCCGGACGATGTGACCGATGGGTCAAAGGTGAGTATATCGCCATCTTTGAGGACTGCACTTATGTTCTTCTCATGTCTCCTCGTCGTCAATGTAAGGCCGTCCGTGACATCTGGAACCAATGGATTCCACTTAGGTAGGATTTCCCCGAGGATTCGGAAAGCAGCTATTCTGCAGGTCGCTGGGTGGGCGCACCCTCGCGATCTCAGGGCCGAGCACTCAGGGCACAGACAATCATTATCTTCCCAGACCGTCGTCGGCGTCACTGTCTTTTCGCCACAGGTCGATCTGGTGGCCTCCAATAGGTCTGATACTATGACAACGTCGTGAATGTCACGGAGGCAGTCGCTAACCTTGGTGTTATTCAGCCTACGTAGTGCCTTTGTGGCCCCTATATGGTACCACGTTGGTAGTTGTTTCTTGAGGGACGCTCCCACCTTGATGGCTTCAAGGCACACTCCAAAACGTTTTCCAGCCGTGAACATTCGTCGGATATATATTGGGAGGCCTGACCGGGCTCTCACTGCCGGGTCCCAGCTCTGTAAGTACGCATTTATCTGTGCTTTCGGCCTGATCTCGCCAGTGTCTCTTTTCGCATGTAGGTTTATGATCGCGTCCATGGCGTATGCCCAGATTGGGCGGTCGGTCGTCAGTGTTAGGTATCGTTTGAGCCACATTAGGTCGACCGCATCGTTCCTGGCTTCAATGTCCAGAAGCCCAAGGCCTCCCTTCCGAACGGGAAGGCACAAGGTCGCTGTGTTTACCGGCGGGATGCTCGGTGAATTCCACACGAAGGTTCGTACTATTTTTTTCAGTTCGGTCTCGACCGACTTTGGCATGCCTTGAACAACTGTCAGGTACTGCGATATGCCCCCAGGGCCCATTTGCACGATGTGTCGTCTTCCCAACATGGAGGGTCGGCACTGTCCCCATCTCTTGAGGAAGCCTCTAATTTTCTGTAGGGCTGGTGTCCAGATGGCTGTCTGTTGCACATGGTTCCCGATCCAGGCCCCGAGGATTCGTGTGGGCTCCCCATCTCGTGCAATATGTACATCGGGGGGTATTAGCCCGGATGTGGCTGTGCCCGGATTCAGGCGGCGGGAGGTCACTACAGACTGCCTATATTCCGGTGAGCCGACCGGGACAACTTCTGTCTTTCCGTTATTGAACTTCGCTCTAGAAGCTGTACACCACCTGTTCAGGATGGCCCAGAGGTCAGCCCAGTCGTCGTCCTTGGATAGAAAGGCCGATGTGTCGTCCGCAAAAAGCTTGGTAATCAGCCGGTCTGAGGCTCCTGGGATGTGGAATCCTCGCAGACTCGAGTTTCGCAGTAAGATCGCGAGCGGCTCGATGGCGATGTCAAAAAGGAGGCATGAAAGGGGGTCGCCTTGTCGTACCCCTCTTACTACGGTGAAGTAGCCACTGCTTTCGCCGTTCAGTATGACCTTTGTCCGCGCTGTGGCATACAGGGCGCGGATTCTTGTAATAAACTTCATCGGAAGGCCGAAGGCTTCCAGGGTCTTCCATAGGTACGTATGATCTATTTTATCATACGCTTTCTCTTGGTCTAGTGCCACTATCACCCCATCTTCCTCGGTAGCCTCCGCATAGTCGACTAAGACCCTGCAGGTCTGTGTCTGATCCTCGATATGGCGCCCAGGCACAAATCCCGCTTGGTCTCGGTGGATCAACTTGGTGGCCACCTGTCCCAATCTCGATGTTAGTGCTCTGGTATACACCTTGTAGTCCGAGTTGAGGAGGGTAATAGGTCGGTAGTTCGCTATTTCTCTTCGGTCTCCTTTTTTATATATGGGGCATAACCATCCGTCTGTGAACTCGCAGCCCGGTGCTGGGCCGTTCTTTTCGATGTCCGCGAAGACTAGGGTCAGGTAGTCCAAGCTATTGAAACCTTTTCCTTCCGTAGAGTCTCCCATGAAGACTTTCCAGAACTCGTACGGGATGCCGTCCAAACCCGGCGCCTTCCCTGATTGGGATTTCTTCAGTGCGTCCTTGACTTCTGTTCTGGTTATTCCCTCATTCAGCATGTCGGCATCCCCTCTCTCGAGGGCGCTAGGCACCGCTTCCAGAATTTGTGCGGTTTCGACAGTCTGTTGGTCCCTCGAGAAGAGGGGTGTGTCGACGGTTTGTGCCTTTTCGTGATAGTCGCGTGCGAGAGTAGCCATTTTGCTGGACCGAGATTCAAAAATAGGCGGGTCTACGTCGGGGACCCGTAGGGTGTGTATTACGTCTCGGGGTCGTCGCTCTCTGCTGACATCCGACCAATATTTAGATACTCGCTCGGCATTAATGACGTACCGGGCGGTGGTGGTGAGCTTGGTAAGCGCATGTCGTTTCTTCTCAAGCTCAAGGACCCTGTTATGCAAGATTGCGGAGTCTGTCTGCAGTCCTGCGGAGGCGTAATAGTCTCCGTTACTTTCCACCTGCCGGATGTGCTCTCGCAGGCGTTTGATCTCGGCCTGTAGCTTCGGGGTCTTATGTTTCAAACGGTTTCGGGCAAGCGTCCGCACATCATCCTTGAAGCTTTTGTGGAGGAGTTGAATGGATGCATTGCATTCCACGTCATCTCCGCTTCCTAGGGCTTGCATTTTCTTCAGCGCCGCTCGGCCCAGGTCTCTTGCCTGGTCGATGAAACAGTGGTCCTCAATGAGGTGTGCGGGCATCGACCATCTTCCTTTGCCGAGGTAGGGCGTGTTCGCCGTATTGAGTTTCGCGCTGACCAACCTATGGTCTGTAGGAACCCCGGTAGTCTTTATCTCCCACGTATGCGAGGTTCGGATGAGAGAGTCTGTTGCGTATATCCTGTCTAGGCGGGAGCGGGAGAGACTTCCTCTCTGGGGGTACGTGTAATCTTTCGTGTGGGGTTCCGCGAGTCTCCAACCGTCGTATAGGTCCAGGAAACGGATGAAGTCCCGAAATGCTTCCACCGCCGGTGCGAAGTCCTCTCTAGCCGGCAGTCTGTCTATTGCCTCCTCGACGACATTAAGGTCGCCTACAAGGATATCAGGGATCTTAAAGCGTCCCTTTTCCGCCATGTGTAGTAAGCGGGACCAGAAGATCGCGTTCTCACTTTGAACTGTAGGAGCATATACATTCAGGATCGTGATGGACACGTCCGCGTGCCAGTGCATCGTGAGGAGGACGGCTCTCCCTGGGATTAGTTCTTTGAAAGTAACGTTCGAGACATCTACTAGCTCACGATTGAGTATAATCGCTACTCCTTGCGTTGTTGTGGTCGACTCGGAGCCGGAATTCCATATCCTTACGCGCCGTCCATATAGGTCCTTGATCGTTTCCATATGATGTGCATCAAGGTGTGTTTCCTGTAGGCAGAGGATGCCTAGTCTCTCCTCGCGGAGGAGCTGATTTATAGTGTTCCACTTCTGATCTCGGGGCCCGCTAATGGAGCCCCTGCCATTCATGTTTAGGCTTCCAATATGGAGGCTGGCCTTCGTCTTACGGCCAGATGGGATTGGTCGTTCCATCCTAACAGGGTCTGTTGCTGTTTCGGCATCCTGTGTGGGGGTCGGAGATACGCAGCCCTCCGTGTACCCCTGTACACCACCCGTTTCTGTTGGTGTACCTCGGAGGGCGGCCCCGTCTCCAGTTCCCTCTGCTCGATCATTGAACCCATCGCGGGCGGGGGACGCGGCAGTTTCTCTCGGGCGGAGGGGAGGTGCACCGATTGTCGTATTGCGGTCCGTGTGTGTGTTAAATGTATGATTTGTCGCCGTTGAAGTACGCTTCCCGGCTACAACGATCCACCGGGGGCGGGGAGCACTCCTGGCTCCCTCAGGGGACACGCCGCTACGCGGCTTGACTTCTCAGTCCGGACAAGTCTAGAAGTGCCCGTTAGAAACTAATACGGCGTCACGGAGGCGATCTGGCTTTCCTGTCCCGTGAACGGTCAGTATATGTGGGCCAGGGCTTTCCGTACGCTGTTCGGGTCGAATATTGAGAAATGTTGTTTAGCTTGAGGTCTCATGTGGTTGGTGCAAAGATGAATGTACGAGAAATAGATCGTCGTCATTCATAAGACGCGTATACAGGATATTGGGGTCTCAGTCATATCATGGTGGGTGCGTAGGTTCCAAGAAACATAGGGCCTCAAGCATATCCCGTACACTGCTACTCGTTGACACTACCGCCGCGACGGCCGTGACTGTTTCCACGCCCTCGTCCGCCTCTGCCACCGCGTCCGCCTCTTCCTCCGCGACCGCGCTGGTCTGGGTGTTGCGCTCGTCGATCGGCTGCGAGGGCGTCACGGACGTCTGCGAGGGAGGGGCCGTTCCATCCGGGAGTCGTCGGGACCGTGCACGCGTGGGTCGGGTGGTCTATGGAGTGACAGAAGAGGCAATAGAACACGCGTGTGACGAGCTCGGGGGGACCAGCATACGGGCTGCCGAAGGTGAAACTGCGTACGCGCTCGCGGAAGCAGATCCATTCAGTTGCATCTGCGGTCGGCGACTCCATATAGAGGAAAGCGATTGGTTCTTCCTCGTCGTCGCGTGAGTCCCGGATGGAGATCAGTTTGACCTTGATCGAGTCGATGACGCAGCGGTGCGCCTCGCCCACCGTGAGGTGGCGCCATCTACCGCCGGTGCGGATGTCAATCGTAAGTATCGTACGAACGTACTGGTACATCTCTGGGCTCATCATGCCCTTCTTGAAGCCTTCCGTTAGTCCCTCCTCCGTCGGCGGTACGCACAACCTCTCGGGGTGCCGGAAGGAGGCCAGGAAAGTCGGTGGCACGGAGTCCGACGACACTACGCCAAAGGTACCTTCAGCGGTGGAGGCCCAGCCCTCACGCAAAAGGCGGTCGCGTTGTTCCTGAGTCAGGTTGCCGACGCGGTAGTACGTTGGGCTGGAGTTCGGCTTCGTGGGGGCCACGGCGGCGATGGGCTGGGTGATGGAGGCGGTGGGTATGTTCAGGGATACGCGTAGGATGTTATCCGCAGCACAGAGTCGACTAAAGTTTCCTTTGTCGTGCGCTCCGCGCCCCGGGAAATGAATGAAAACGTGGTAGTCCGTCGCCTTCCGCCATTCTTCTGCCTGTGAAGGCGCCACATTCCTGTACGCCAAGTCGAAATCCGCTCCTTGGATGCGTGGCCAGCCGCCTGGGGGCGGGCGTGTCCTCGTGACCGGCTGCGGCATGCCTTGAGCGGGCGCGAGAGGCTGGATGGGCCCCGCCGGGGCCGGGAAATTAGGGAAAGGGCCCGGGGCGTAGTGGACTGGGTGAGGGTGGAGTATCGATGGCGAGCGCGACCTGCGGGGCCCGAAAAGCGCGTCGTTGTCATCGTGTGTAGGAGCGGGCGGCGCCGGTGCCGGTGAGAGATGGGTGGGCTGTCGGGACACAGGGCGCGGCGCCCGGCTGGCCGTCTCAATCTCCCGCATTTGTCGGCCTAGTATGTAGAGCTGGGGTGAGTTTACGTCGCCTTGTCGTACGGTCATGCACGTACTCAGGTCGTCGTTAGGAGTTGCGCTCCGCGGACGTTCCTGGCGTCGGGGGGGCTCGCTGGATCCTCCGGTCTTCGACGGGCCTGCCTGTCCGAAGATCGGCAGGTGTGCAGAGGTACTCGCGCCCTCGTACATGTCTTCTATATCGCCTTCATGCAGGGCCGTGGTGCGGGCTAGGTACGGGTACTCGGGTTCGGATAAGCCTGCGTAGATTCTGCGCATCGAGTAAGAGCCGTCCGACGCTCGCCTAGCGTAGGTGAAACTCGGCGTGTTCATGGCGCTCTATGGGACCGGGTCGTAGGTACATGAGAGAGAAGGAGTGTGTGAGCGTCGTTCGCGGGTAGTGGAGGTATGAGGAATGCTAACCCTCATCGCAAAGTCTGGCTCATGGCTTGGTTTGCTGGGCTCTCCGTACGGATCAGTGTCTCGCATTTCAAGGTCGATGTCGGACGTGGTGGTCGCCGGCGGGTCGTCGCGGTTGTCGTCAGGGCCCGGAGACGGTTCGTAACGCGGGAAGCCCATCATCTCCCCGATGTCAACCACGTACCGGGACTGCTTCGGTTGGCCTGTCGTTGCCGGGGCTTCCTGGGCGCGAGTTGTTGCTCCGGCCGTCGTATTGTCGCCGTCGACGTCTGTGGACACTCGGCGCCGCTTGCGCATGTCGCTGGTCGAACGCTGGGCCTGAGGGAGGTCAGGCGGCTGGACGACCGCCGCGGGCGAGGTTACCAAGCTCGGCAGACCCTTCCCTACGCTCGCTGGCGCTTTGCCCGCAGCCTTCGCACTTTTCTTCGATCGTTGCTTCTTGTTTTTCACTTTGGCTACTATCTGCTGTTTCTCCGAACGGGTGCGTCGCAGGGCCAACGCGTTGAGTTCAAGATCTTCCTCCTCTTTTAAGGTGCGTCAGCTAGTGTTCTGGGCCCGGCGCTGTAGGGCAAGGTAGACATACCTTTTATAACCATCTCAGGGGTCGCTGCGTCGACGTCGATGATCTCCGACTTCGTCTGGACCGGCTCCGCGGCAACCGGGCCCTCTTTTCCGGCCGTCTCACTGTGCTCCGTCGGCGTGACGGCCTTCCCGTTCGCTTTCTTCATTGCGAGGAGCGCCGGAGGCGTCGCAGGGCGGGACGCCATACCCGCGTAAGAGATGCCCGTGTAGCTCGGTGGCGAGGCGACTCTGGGGGAGTCCCAGGGGTTGGGGACGCCTGAGGAGAGGGGCTCGGCATTGACTCGCTTGTTGGGGGATTTGACAAGGGAGGCGGCGCGCAGACGTTCGATGTAGGGATCAGGTAGGGCTTTGTTATCGTCGGGCGCATGAGCAGGCCCATTTTCGACAGGCAGAGTAGGGGAGATGGGGCGGGAAGGCTGGTGCATGGCGGCAGATGTCGACGGGAGTTGTCAGATATCCTAGAGCTCTGGGATGGCTGTGAGCGTGGCCCCAGGGTCCCTTTTATCCTCATGGCGGGCTCATGGCGCACACCGTTCTCGCAACTGTCAGGGTGCTGTGATGATTAGGGAATGCCTACCCATGGGTTCTATTCTCGCGGTTGTCAGACTAGCGGTATATTGGCTCCTCTTCCCGCAGGCATTAGATCGGTGCGTTGCTCTCCTGCCGTATATTTTGATGGGTCTTTGTGATGTTTGCATTCACGCGCATCCGCATTACTCTTGTTCCTGACGTGCCCGGGGAGGCGTCTCCGTACAGTGAGCAGGATGGGGGCGGTAGTGGCGTTTTAGTATCAGGAGATAGAGGGGTCGCCGCCGTCTCCAGCGCAGGCAGGTTACCGTGTTGTGTCTCTCATCAGGTGTCTTCCCGCTTCGGAAGGTAGGCTCTTCATCACGGCCATACAGGTGCTACGACAGTGTTGTCTTTGCCTGGTGGTCACCTCGTCTGTGGGAGCATGAGGCGGCCGACTGTGTTCTGCGCCTTGGAGCTGGTGTCCGTCCCGGGGTATATTCTGTCGATCCCCTTGTCATCATTGGAGCTTGACAGACTTCCGTTACACTCGTATTTTGGTGTCCACGCGGAGGGTCTCGGCTTGACTGTCGTCTCTCGCTACCTCTCACGCGCCGTCTAGTCTAGGGTCATTTCTGCATGATCATTCGTCGTGCTCTCGTAGCGGTGGAGGTTCGCGTACCGATGTGGTGCGACGGTGCCTTGTCGACGCCCAAGTCGTGGGTTGTCTGTACGATATATTTAGTTTTTGCGGGATCTCGTGTTCGGTATACGGTCGGCTAGAGGGACCATGCCCCGTATCGGTTTCTCCAAATTCCTGAGTGGTGTTAGGCTCATCACTCGATTGACAGGTCTTCAATCTCCGCGGCGCCAGTTTTGTGTTCGTTTGATCTTTTGATTTTTTGATCGGGGTTTCACAGGCGCGTTATGTACTCCTGTTGTGCGGTTCGGTGTCATAGCTTCCGCGGCCTGATTCGGTCGAGCGGCAGCGTCCGGCGGTACCTGTCGCCAGGTCCCGCTCTCGTCGCCAGTGGTCCTCCTGCTCCCCGGGGCGGTTCTACGCCGTAGCGCGTAATGTCGCTTCTGTGTTCTAAGGGTGCCGTTACCTATTTCTTGAAGTTAACGTGCGTGTTATGTGTCTGTGCCGTGTGGTCGTTTCGACCCAAAACGGACTCTGTGAGGGCTTCGGTTAGTTGTGTTGGTGGCCATGGCTTGAAACGCCGGGGGGGCTGGGGAGCATCTCATTTGTTCCGCGATTTCCGCTCGTTTCGCCGTTTGCAGCGGGGGGGATCTTTCCATCAATGTCACGGCGTGGGATCTAGTTTGACGCCGTGTCTGTCCCTTCGACGTCATGTTAGCGTTTCGAGTTTGGATAATGCCATGGGACGATTTGGTATGTGTGGAGACATTACGGTGCTCGGACATGATTTTCGGGTAGGTCTGTTGTCCATCGCATATGGAACGGGCGTTGAAGTGTCGCTATGTTGGGATGTTCACGGGCGTCAGCGACTTGCCGGAAATCATCGGTGCGTAGGCATATTGGCGTGACAGGACTCTCGGGGGCAGTACTATACATCAATTCGGCTTGATCTGTTTCTATATTAGGGCATCTCCGTGTGCGTCTGTCTCTCCGTGCCTATCGTGCTTTGTCAGGCTGTGCCGGGGGATCTGCGAGGGTCTGTCGTGTCGTGTGTCTCCTCCCGCTACATGTCACAGACTGTCGTCTTCCGAGTCGAACTCGTATGGGCTCTCAGCGCTGTTGCATATATCGGGATTGTTCGCGAGGAGGCGGTGAGGCGGGGGAGAGCGCGGGAGGAATGTGTACAGTTGGGTATGTATCTGGCTTTCGTCGCGGGTGAGCCTGGACCACGAGGTCGGGACGCGGATGGCACATGCCGTAGGGCTGCCCGTGAGGAGCCACGTGATCCAGTGGCGATGAATGTCTGTCGCGTTCTCGACCCGGCCAACGCCGGTCCGTAGATCTCCGGTCACGAGTACGATGGGCAAACCTCTCTCGACCTGGCGTACGGGGCGCTCGTCCACGATCCATGTTAGGACGATTCCGTTTCTCTCTGGGATCCCCTCCACTCGGATGGTAACTGCAAGGGACTCGGGCATTGGGAGTCGCAGTGTGGGGAGGGACGGGGCTAACGGTGTGGATGGTGAGAGTGTGTGAGATTCAGAGGGCGACCAAGCCTTGAATTGACGTGGCTTGACTGTAGGGGTCTCTTGGTGGTGATGGAGACTCTGTTTGGGTGCCGTTGCCTGCCTTATAGTGGGTGGCATGGTGTCCTATGTTTACTGGACCAGCAGGTGAGGTCTAACTTATATAAACATGGAAGCGATGAGCGTTTACATTCTAGAGAGTCTTGACGCCAGTGACGGCATCTGATACGGTTTAAACGGCCTAACGTAATTATTCGTGAGGGAGCGCTTAGAGTGCAAGGAGTGTGGAGGTGCAGGGGAGGTCACATTCGTTTTACTAGCAGAAGGAGTGGCAGTTTATTGGGGTGGAATAATCAGTCCTTTGTCTCGAAGGATCGATCAGTCCGTCAGCGCAGCCTGGAGGAGAAGTGCGGCATCGTGTTTGTGGCTATTTGCCATGTGGCACGTGTCTGAGAGGGCGGTTTGAGGTACGGGTCATCAGCCCATTTGCGGGCGCCTCCTGGGCGTCTCGGTGCAGACGTGCAAGCGCCCGTGGACGCCGGGCTCAGCTCCGTGGTCGCTGTTCGCGGTGTGGAGGGGCCGTGAGCTCAGAAGTGAGCGTATGTATCTTTTCTACCGGTGCTGTAGCACTGTCCAGGTAGGTCTAAGCGGGAACAGGTTGGTCTGACCCGATCTGAGGGTGGATTGGGGTCCATATCCTCGGATGAAGCATGGCTTCATCCTAGGCTGTATCGCTGAACAGCGATAGACAGTCCTTATAGCGCATGTTGGTTTCATCCCATTGGGACTACTCACCCCCCGGACCACGAGGAGGTCTGCGCAGGGCTCGTCGACGACGAGGCCCTCCCGGGGGCATACGCCTCCAATTCACCCATGATATAGTTGATCTGTACTAGCTATGAATGACCGCGTCACAGTAGCAGTCAATAGCATGCGTATCATGTTCTCGGTCAGTTGCAGGCTCGGGTGCATCTGCACTTGTTGCTCTCGGATTTCCTTCTTCCACTCCTCCCGAATGGCCTCGTCGCGGAATTTGATGTGCCAATCGGGTTTATCGCGGATGGCTGCGCTGAGGGCGCACATGCGATATTCAATGAGGGTCCGCGGGACGTGTTTCTTCAGGTTCGGATCATGGCGGGCGTTGTCCCACTCATATTGCTCCGTGAATGGATGTTCGTACCTTTGAGACTCGTTGAGGTCATTCGCATGAGTGCCAGTGGTGTTTGCAGCCATGCTTCGACTCTGAGAAGTGGGACTTGGCTGTGGAAAGGGTCTGAGCTTTTATATCGGGTGTGTCGGCCAAGCTGGGGTTAATGAGAATCCATTGGGGGCCTCGAGGCTGTTCGCCCTTACTTGCAAGTGCACGCTGATCATGCATGGGCGTTGAGTCAAGAGAGATATTTCAGGCAATAAGTCCGAGATCGTGAGCGATGTAGCGGTGTAGCGGGAGAGACTGTCCGAATACAATGCACCGCGACCAGGCATACGACCGGATCTGCATTGCATGACGACTGGGCGCTGAGCAGGATGGCGGTGGTCGCTGGAGGCACGTTCATGGTACTATGCGTGCCAGATGCGTGCGGCAGGCGCACGCGAAGCGCGACGCGCCTGTCACGGTCACACCCCCGCGTCGCGCCTTGAGCTTGGGCTGCTGCGGGCAGGGAACCGGGAAAGGAGCACGGCGGCAGATAACCCCCCATGGTCGCCCGCTCTCCCACACACGCCCATGTTTCCTCTCCCTCTGATTGCGGCTCTCCTCCCCGGGGCCGTGCTCGCTGGGCAGCAGCCGTTCGTAGGACCACACCGGTCTGCACATGACATACGGTCACCACTGGCACTAGACAACTCGAGCGCTCCGTTCATCTTCAACTCCCTCTCTGGGCTACTCCAACAATGGCCCAACACCTACCACTGGAACGGGCACACCATCGTTCCAGGGACCCTCGAATCCTTCACTCTGCTCTACCATGCACGCAGAGACGCTGACATCCCAGACACCGAGGAGTGGTTTGCCTTCGATCCCGAGATGAGCTATGGCATCATGGGTGGGCGCGGCTTCACCTTCATGCTCACCTACCAGACTCTCCGACCCGCCAAGATAATCTACGTTGACGGTATGAGTGCCGCCCTCAGCGACTCCGGGTGGTTAGACAGCCAGGAGGTCATTCTGAGCCGGAAGGGCAAGGGTGGCAACAGCCCCATGGAAGGTGGCGGCGTCTTCGGTGAGGACCGACGCCTCAAGGAGCTCTGTAAATGGGCGAGGAAGTTTGATGTGGAGGGCATCGTGCGTATGAATGCCGGCTTGTGCGTCCTTTCACCTCCCTGTTTCTCGCGCGGTACTCATTCAATATCAGCGAACTGATGTGGTGCGACTTCGAATCGCCATTCATCCAGCTCGTCAGTTACCTCAACATCACTGCTCCGGGGACACCATACTCGAACGGCTCGGACTTCCCTCGCTGGCCAGGAGGGCCCGGCCGTGGGCCTGGTCGTCCACCAGAGAACAACCGCCTCGTTCCTGCAGACCCTGACCCGCCCAAGGGAGATCCACCACGCCGTGGCCCCGGACGCGACCCGCACGGCGGGCCCTTCTCCGGCATGCCCTCGCCGTTCGCCTCCACATCCTTCCCTGAATGGCTCCGCGCCGCGACCGCACGCAATGTCTCCCCGCAGCCGCACGTCACGCTCGACTACGCTTCGTTCGTGACGTTCTACAACCCACGCTATCAGAGCCTCATTCGGGCACGCGCGACGCAGAAGGGCATGCGCGAGCATCGCGCGTGGCTGAACATCTCCGACGAGGATGCGGCGGCAATCGTGCAGGAAGTGGAGGACGTGCTGAGCAGGCCGGCTGGAGAGGGCAGCGGGATGAATTGGGGCGCGCTTGCGCAAGACGTGGTTGAGGAATGGGCAGGGAGAACAATGCAGCTCAAGGAGTTTCTTGATAAAGTGAGCAAAGATGAGAGCCTGAATGCTACGGAGACTGTCCTCGCCGTGCGCCGCCTAGCATACTCACCGCTCAATCCGTACATGGACACCACGTCTGCGCAGAACTCTACCGCGTGGGGCTCGTTCTTCGAGGCAGACCCAACGTCGCTGGGATGGTCCGCTCAAGTCGCAACGCCTTGGATGAACACTTCGGCGCTTGAGCGATGTAAGTATGCCGCTACCAGCGTCACGTACAACCCTCGCGTGCGCCTGACTTCACAGGAGATGCTCCTGCGCGCGAGCGTGGAGACGGTGCTGAGCCGGCTGTGCTCTGACTACGGCAGCGTCTTCATGGAGAGCATGGACGCCGACGAGCATGCGTCTGCCGACGCCACGACAGCGCTAATCGCAAGCTGGGAGAGCCGCATCGTCGCTCTCATGCAGTGGCTCGATTGGACGGAGTGGCTGCGATGCGGTGAAGTCTGTACCTCAGATGTAAGCTTAGATCTATTTCTGCACAGAACAGACGTTGACGGAGATCACTCTCAGAGCATCTGCAGTATGCCTCTCTGGCCCGTGTCCATGTGGATGGGTATCGGTGGGGGTATGCCCCACGGACCAGGAAGAGATCGAGGTGGGAGCGACAACCCAGAGGCGTGGACGCCCCGATGTGTACCGCTCCGCGTACAACAATTCAGATGGCCGCCTGGCAGGAACGTCGACCTTGAGCTGCTTCTCGCGGCTAGGCATGTGCTGTGAGCCCCTGGACATTGTGTACTTTGCATGTACTATAGATCTAGAATTCTTTAGACGGGTTTCTGCGTTGGGTTGCATACTATAGCGCTAGCGGTTGTCTGGCCACTGGCGTGGCATTGCATTACTGTACATGAATACTTCTTTTCCTGGGCGGAGCATTGGCACCATACATCAACACTTCAATACTTCAAGGCTTGCATCATCTAGTCCTCGCTGTCCCCACATTTTCAGCCCACGCACCGGGTGACATACGAGGTTCTACGCACGACAGAATGAATGGATCGCCAAAGCGTTCCGAAAATTCCTCCTCGCCCTTACCAATCCAGAGTGGCATTCCCTGGTACTTCACCATCTTCTCCCTGTGTATCTGCGCTTGTTCTAACGTCATCGCATCGACCTGCTCCCAAATCACGTCTGCTATTTCCGGCGGAAGCCTGCTGAACAGATTTGTGTCCTGCACGGCGCGGCGGATCCACGACTCTTGTTGCGGACCTACTGTGGCCGTCGAAGGGAGCGTGACGTGCGGGTCAACGAGGAATAGATATAAGGCCTTCAAGTGGCCAGGCTTGCTCGCGTCTTGCAACCGGATGGGCGACCGTCGATTTTGATAACAGTTGGGGTATGCGACGCATCTGTCTTCTCCAATTGAGAAATGACCAATGTTTTGCTCGCACTGCTCCAAACTAGAGACGAATCCTGTCAAAGTGGATGATAAACGAGTTCGCGGGGACGTACTTCGCGATCCCGTGGTGGTGGAAAGAACAGTATTCGTGTTGGTCGTGTGGTCGGACAACGGTTGTGCGGAAAGCGAGACTCGACTCGGCGATGTTTTCGCATCCGTAATACTGTCAGAATTGTGAGACTGGTGTTCTAATGAAGATGGCACATATACACACATATACGAACGTCGCAATGATCGCTTCGTCTTCCGAGCCTGCGTGGTAGCAGCGCGTATGAGACGGACGGTCTCGAAAGAGACCGAAAGAAAGCCTCATCTACCTTCATACTGCCACTGAGTGCCATTGAATTGTGGCTTCTCCGGCGTGAGCATGACGTTCGTCAGCTTCACGATCACCTGCAGCCGCTTCCCGCGCAAGTCCACCGTCTTTTGCACTTCGTTCAGGCCACCGTTGTATGCGGGCTTGCTGTCTGACCATAGATGTTGACCTTGCTTATTATACCACGCGAGTCGGGCTTGGGTACCATAGTCGAGGCCGTAGAGTTCTGACCGCCGCGATGCATCGGAGTCGTCTTGTTGACCAATCCGCTCTCGGGCCTCCCACTCGAACCTGTCCCTCCGCTGCCGAAACGACGCCGCTGTGAAGCTTGCTACATCCGCTTCGTCCGGAAATGGCTGGTCCTAGAACGAATCAATGTGAGCCGGTCGATCCCTGGCAATCAGGCAAGAGGAAGGTTACCCCGTCAGGCCAAGAACACGGAGGAAACTCGGGACCCCCAAAATCCATCCGGGTTGGAACCTGCACGACGCGTGCAAGATCAGACAAGACCCATTCAAACATGGGTACTGCCTTCTCAAGCAATGTGACGATGACGTCCATGAGCGGCTTGTGATCCTCTGGGTGTACGTTGTTGATATACCGCGACACAAGCGCGATACTGCCGTCTTCTGAGACAGTGAAATCCGAAGGTAGCCATTGCCCAGGCTGAGACCGGCTCTCTACGTATGTGGAACGATTTCGGTGAGGGTCGAGTGTTTCGTTCGAGGCGTTACAGGTCGTGTGTCCATAAACAACCCCGTGTAGCGATGGGTCAACGAGGATCAAAACCATCCCCGCGAATCTCCGTCTTTCTCCAAAACAGGAGCAGACTCCAGGGGAGCGACTGCAGCCAGCAGAGCGGACTTCAGAGCAGGAGGAACAAGCCGGACGGATCTCCAGATCCGCTCGTAAGGACCGGGCTAATGCATCACCAGTTTACTTGACTACTGACAAGAATACAATGCGGCATTACGAACCTCAATACCGGTCGCAGGGTCACGAAGTGTATCGTATGCCTGAAGCTCGCCCATGACATAGTTAATCTATGCGCACATCAGTCAGAATGCTTCAGCGGAGATTGGAACATACCATATTTTCTGTCAAGCGTTGGCTGACATGTACATCCTTCTCCTGCTCGCAAGCCTGAACTGCCCACTTGCGCCGAATATCCGCATCACGATACTTCACATACCACTGGGGTCTCTCGCGTATAGAGGCACTCAACGCGCACATCCGGAGTTCTGCGAGGGTGCGAGGGGCGTCCTTCTTGTCGTCATCCTCATCGCGGACATCCGTCGGGGCATACTGCGCGAAATTGAAGCCTAGTCTGATGAAACCGCGCCTATAACCGGTTACTTCACCGCCATTGTTCGAGCTGGTGTTGCTGTCATCAGGCGAAGGCATCCTTGGCGTAATCAGGGTTGTTCAAACCTTGTGAGGGAACTGCCAGGAGGCGAAAGGACGTCGGCTTCATATAGTGTGTGGCACGTGCAGTAGGCATCCTTCGTTCCCAAAACTCGACGTGTCTGCGCTAGTGCTACCATAGATATCAAAGTTGCACCAATAGCTGCATTGGCAATGGTCAAGATCATGTCGAGATAGAAGCGGAAGCGCATCGACTGTGTGAAACCATATGTCATCCGAACATGATACGGTAACATCATTTGACTGTATACGCACATTCATGTCTGACGATTCCATGTATAACGAGTATGTCAAACTGTCAGCCAACAGTACATCAGCACCAGATACCCGTCGAAGCTGATTTGAATCGAAGAGACATACTAGATGATCAAGTGCCAGAGGACAGCATCCTGTAGCGTTTCTGATTAACATTGTCAAGTACGAGGCCGACCTATAGACTAGAGACGAGACATGCAGCACTACCCAGCTGTCTTCGCACGTCGTGGTAGTCGACATCGTGAGCTGTTCGAGATCAGCTTGACTGGGTATCACAGGCATGATGAATCCACTTACAATCCTCACCTCGCCCCACCGCTCTATTTGACTATTAACCTCCGCGTGAGCCGCCAGTGCTGCCTCCTCTGCCGTGACCCGCTCTTGACAAGAGCGAGGGCAATCAGGAACGATTTGGTGGTATACGTAGCTCGCTCCATAGCTAGGAGCACGAGAACACATGAGGAAAGTCGAATATCAAGACACAATGAAGACGTACCTGCCATCTCCCAAACGTCAAACTCTGACATCAGCTTGTCAAGCTTTTCGTAGGTCTCTTCTGGATGCGGGTCGAGCAGGAATGAGTCCGTCGTGCTGACCTTGATGCCGAAGGTGGACTGCGCCCAGTCAAGGATTGGTCGCCAGTGCGTTTCTTGCAGCTTCACAAGGACGGCCGGCTCATTTTGACGGAAACTAATGAGGTAGCCGTCAATTGCCTGGGAGCAAATATACACTGCAGCAGCAAGCATACCAGATGGTATCCGTTTCGAAGTACTTCAGCAACTGTTCACGTACTTCTGCTCGAGCCTGTTCCTCCGAGAATGCATCAACAGCCCTGGACGCAAGAGACGTCTAGCTAAATAATGAGTAGTGCAACTGATGTAAGCTGCATACGCGCGTACCATGGGCAGCGAATGCTGTTTGAGCAGAGTCTCTTGATTCTCCCACTCCGAGGCAACCAGAGTAGCTACGAGTCTCTTGCTCTTCGGTAATAGCAGAGGCTTCCCGCCTGGCGTCCGCAGAGGCCGCTTGTCCAGAGTGACGGCGAACGCATCTGGGCGCTCTTCAACGTCCACCGTCTTCCAGAACCGCTTCAATGTCGCTTCAGCACCTAACAGAAGCAGCGGTTCAGCGTAACAAACCCGACGCTAGACCATCGTCTTACGGTTTGTCGCGGTGACTGCTGGCCCTGAGGTTGCGACAGAGGCATGTCTCTTCACAGCAAGCGGTAGTCGATGCTGTACGTTGCGTCTACATGGCGACGTGAGGCGAGGCGCGAGCAAACGAGCGATACGACTGGCTTGCATGGATGGCCGCACAGAATGCCAGTGGTCGTTCGTACACCTGTATTCCCGCCCAATACGGAAGCGCCACCCTGCTGATTTGTTGATTTCAAACCCCGCGAAATTCAAGCAAGGCGGCACTCGGTGGCTGAGAGCTGCTGAGAGTGTCACTGGAAATACAACTCAGTTGTTCTCGAAGCGCAACAAGCGCAATGCACCTTCAGACCCACAGATCTTGATGGAATGGTAGCGAGCTCTTTGGCTGTTCGCTCTCAGATTTTATTTGTATGCTATTCTGCAATAACAATGTGATTGCACCATCCGAACGCGAATTCACAGTGGCATCATGAAAACTCAGTACCAGTGCTCCGAGAAACCGTCGCATTCCAGGACCTGCTGGTCAGCAGGAGAGTAAGTAGGGGTATGTGACGAGGGACAGGATTCTAGCGCGCACGCAGCCATACTCGGACGCTTACGCATCGCTCGCAAGTCGTGTCGGAGCAGTAGGATCGAAACCTCTCGGAAAGACTTGACGGACGTTCACGTTGATACGGCTGTTGCGCAAGTATTCCTCGTAGACAACCCAGTCTCCGTCCGCACCCGACTCCAAATGAGGCGGCAGAGTACCCTCGAGTATTCGCGGGACGCCTGTCAACCATACGTTAGTCAACGGGCTCCGAGACACCAACACTCTGGAATCTGCATCTCAATACTGACCGTGATAAGCGCGCCGACAAGCAGGACCTGACATGATAACCGCGTCGCCCGAGCGTAACAGTATTGCGGAGGGCTTCGCGTCCCGGGTTAGACCTCCGATGAGAAATATGGCCGCACATCCTAGACTGTCAGATAGTACACTGAGATCGGGATGAGCCTGCACGAGGCTGTACACGTACGAGATAGATACTAATGGTGATGTCGCGCACACCTCGGAACGGTCAACGTGAGCCATCAGGGTGTCCTATAGATCGAATGTTGAGCGTTAAGGAGCGCGTACTCTCGAAGCGCCTCGGTGCACAAGCTCACCTTCGTCTGATAGAAATTGACGATCCCCGCATCAGGCTCTATACAGACCCTTTCAGTTAAGAAGCGTGCATTATACCCTGACTGACTACTCACCGTACGTCTCATGCCATGAGTCCCAGTCAGGGCCGTCCTCGCCCCAATCACCAGCAGACGACTTATCGTTTGCAAAGACCCGATCCCAGCTGACCGCGCGTACCGCCCGCTTGCACACAGAACGAACCTCTGGATCGATCGTCCCCTTCCCCTTGGAGAAGTCGTACTGCTTCGTCCCCAATGGTACGACCACCCAATGTTCGCCCAGCGCAGTTTCGGCACCAGCGCGGAGACACGGATTGGCTGGGCTGACGGGGATGGTGCGGCGGGGGGCTTCGGCGTACATGAGAGCGTGTCGTAATTGTCTTTGCTTGCCGGCTCGTTTGCTACTAGTCTTCGCGGTCCGGGAGTTTCGACCCTCTGCGGGTCATTCGGGATGGTATGTAGGAGAGCACGAGAACGGACGTGGCCATCCTCGCACTGCCCTCTGCGCACATCGACGTACTTGTTCCACAGTCCGATTTCCGGGAGGACATAGTGCGTATCGAGATTCGTCTCGTTCGGATGACGGGCCTGCTCGGATAGAGCCCAACGCACGAGTCGCCTCTGTCCTTCAGGGTCGACGAAGGACGGTAGCAAGACCAGTCCTAATGAAAGCCCATCCAGTAGCTATTAGCATGTCTCCAGCAATCTAGATATTCAAACGTGCGCACCAGGTACGTCCGGGAAGATGTACGCCTTTCTGCCAGTCGAAGGACCGGCTTCGTTACAGTCATTCAATTCGATCTCCGTGCATTGTATCGCGTCTGCTCTCCCGTACCAACCACCCCTGGAAACTTCTTCTGCACGAAATGCATCCAACGTAGCGAGGTCGAGAACGTCAGAAAGGTCGGGCGGAGGAAAGCGAGCCTTATATTTCTTCTCCGCCGCTCGGAAAGGCGTCCAGTCCGCCTCGACGTCCTGATTCCTGTTACGTGTAGCTTTCAGGTGCAGTCGTCGTGCCTTCTTATACGCAGCACTGGTCGGGTCATGGAGGTCGGTGGCGCGGTGAGCTGCCTCAGTTGCAGTCGGCATCCCCAGTCACGGCGGTAGTGATCAAGATGCGCTAGTTTGTCTTCCGATCGATCACTCAGTTGGTCACATCTGTGCTCGACGCCGCAGATGCCAACACACAAATGAAGTGAGGAGTGGAGCAATGCTGAGAGTGGGGTGGTCATTGTTCAATACTAGATACATATACTAAGCCGTGACGATAAAAAGCGTGCGACGAGACCGTAAAGTAATAGCGTGCGTAACATTACTTTTGCTCTATGCTGGATGCGTGAAAGACTGGATGCCGACGGACATGCGCGACGAGACGTGACAAAGGGTCATGATGCAGCAGGGGCGATGTAGGTGGATGATAAAGCAAGTAGCGGCGGATGCGAAGGGGGGGTACGACAACGGAAGAGTGGGAACTTAATCCTTCTTCTCGCCCTCAGGCTTGCTGTCCTCCGGCTTCGCCTCGTTGGCCGCCTCCTGGTTACGCTTCTCGTAGACCTTCTGGAAGAGGCCGAGCGACGCCTGCTGCGTCTCGTTAATCTTCTCCCGGATGCCATCAGCAGACACGGTCGTGTCGCCGGCCTGACCCTTGACAGCGACCTCGCGGAGCTCAGCGACCAGCTTCTCGACCTTCTCCTTCTCAGCCGCATCGAGCTGCTCCTTGAACTCGTTCATGGCTGATAGGCATACAGTGAGCAGCTGGCTCTCGATATGATGGGACAATCAGTTTGCTCACCCTTCTCAGTATCTGAGCAGATCGACTCAGCCTTGTTAGCCTCCTCGATGATTGTCTTCCTGGCCTTGTCAGCCTCGGCGTACTCCTCAGCATCAGACACCATGCGCTCGATGTCCTTGTCACTGAGACCAGACGATGAAGCGATCGTCATCGACTGATCCTTGTTTGTCGCCTTGTCGCGGGCAGTGACATGGACAATACCATCTACGAGAACAGTCAGACACGAACAATATCAACACTACAGTCCAACTTACCAGCGTCGATGTCGAACGTGATATCGATTTGGGGGACACCCTTCGGCGCCGGCGGAATGCCGGTAAGGTTGAAGTTGCCGAGGATCTTGTTGTCCCTGACAAGCTCACGTTCACCCTGGTAAACCTTGACCTCGATGGCGGTCTGGCCATCAGCCGCAGTCGAGAACGTCTGCGTCTTCTTGGTCGGGATGGTGGTGTTGCGCTGGATGAGCTTGGTCATGATCCCACCGAGCGTCTCGATACCGAGCGAGAGCGGCGTGACGTCGAGGAGCAGGATGTCCGTGACGTTTCCTGCCAATACACCACCCTGGATGGAGGCACCGATGGCAACGGCCTCATCCGGGTTGACGCCCTTGCTGGGCTCGCGGCCGAAAATGGTCTTGACGGTGTCGACGACCTTCGGCATACGCGTCATACCACCAACGAGAATGACCTCGTTAACCTCGCTCGCCTTGACGCCTGCATCCACAAGCGCCTTCTTGCAAGGCTCGACGGTCCGCTGAATGAGGGAGTTGACCAGACCCTCGAACTGCGACCGGACGATCTTCAGGTTGATGTGTTTCGGCCCAGAAGCGTCCGCGGTGATGAACGGAAGGTTGATCTCTGTCTGCGAAGTGGAAGACAGTTCGATCTTCGCCTTCTCCGCAGCCTCACGGACACGTTGGATGGCCATGGGATCCTGGCCGAGGTCGAGGCCAGACTCCTTCTTGAACTCGTTCAGGATGTGCTGGACGAGGACGATGTCGAAGTCTTCGCCACCAAGATGGGTATCGCCGTTCGTTGACTTCACCTCGAAGACACCCTTCTGCATCTCCAGGATAGAGATATCGAAGGTGCCGCCACCGAGATCGTACACGGCGATGACAGCGTTGTCCACACGGTCAAGGCCGTAGGCAAGGGCAGCCGCTGTCGGCTCGTTGATGACACGCAGGACATCCAATCCCGCGATTTGACCAGCATCCTTGGTCGCTTGCCGTTGCGCATCATTGAAGTAGGCGGGGACAGTGACGACGGCATGGCTGCAATAGGTACTTAGCAAAAAGCGATGACGCATGACGTGGTGAGACGCACTTGACTTTCTTGTTGAGGAACTGCTCAGCGGTCTCCTTCATCTTGACAAGAACCATGGACGACAGCTCCTCTGAGGACTACAACATCATGAGTAAACGGAACGCCAAGCCGCATCGCAAGTGAAACGTACGAAAGTCTGCTTCTTGCCACCATTGTCAACCTCAACGGCAGGCCGACCATCAGACTTCGCAACGACCTTGAACGGCCTGCGAGAAAGTCAGCAGCCGTTGCGTCACCGATGAGGAGCACTACGTACCAGTGCTCCATGTCCTTCTTCACCTCCGCGTCGTTGTACTGACGACCAATAAGACGCTTGAAAGCGAACACCGTGTTTTGCGAGTTCACGACCGCTTGACGCTTGGCGGGGAGGCCGACCAATCGCTCGCCGTGTTTTGTGAATGCAACGACAGAGGGTGTTGTTCGTGCGCCCTCGGAGTTTTCGATGACGCGCGCCGTCTTGCCCTCCATAACGGATACGCAAGAGTTCGTTGTCCCCAAGTCAATACCGACAACGGGGCCTGCAAGTAGGATGAGGCTTTTGGTGAGACTTGAAAGTACACGTATACATACCATTGACTTTTGAGTTCATGTTCCTCGCGATCATGGACCGCGGAATGCCCTGCGCTCGTTATCAGCGTCAGCATTCGGATAGAGTGCACGAGCGTACGCACAGCATAGTTGCCGGTACGGGCGACAGAACGGAGAGAACGAGCAGCGGCGAACATGGTGAAGGAGGATGGAAGACGAAGGTGAGTAAGTGGGAGCGCGTCGCTCTCAATTTTTGAAAGCGTAATGCGTTACATAAGCGCCCGGCCGTTCCCGAACGTTCTGAGGGTTGTCGGCCGAAACCGTGTCCTAATGACAACCTTGACCCGGGCAATCCACGTTCTATGCTGTATTCACGGGATAGCCTATTACTGCGAACTCTTACAGTAAGCTAAGTAGCATAGGGACACGGATAAATCCCTCGGTGCGTTCCCGAAAGTACACGCCTGGAGTCCAATGCCACATTCCGCATTACGATTCGCCAGGAAGCGTGGGCCAATCGGAAGCCGCGAAATTCGCTGTCCAGTGGTTGGCATGCGAGTGACGAGTGTGCAGTCCCTCCTTTCGACGGCCCGTGTAACCTATAACGGCAGCCTTGCCTGACGGTCTGCACGGTCGACATGCCGGCCTGAATACGCGTATGCATGTCTCGCGCGCGCCGGAACGAGCAGTGACACGCGCGGCGCGGGGACGCGTCTGCGCGTCTACGCCGCGGTCAATACGCGCAAACAGTGTCCGCCGAAGGACTGGCGTCATTGGTGGCTGCACGCATTTCCTGGCCCACAACCTTCTACACTTACTCTCATCCCGCCTCCAGCTGGCTCTAGTCTCCCAGGTATATGTCTGTATGGCTGCCCAAATCGTCTCCCGCACTCCTTGCGCGCGCTGCTAGTCGCCAAAACCAGCTTGTCACCCTTCGCGTATTCGCCGTAGTATGCCGGAGCCCGCAACTCCCGCTAACACCGCTGGGTGCTTTTGCCTCCTCTAGACGGTACGAGAGTACTCGCCCGTCACCCAGCAGTGCTCGGAATGCCTCGACTTCTACGACAGAGCCTACTTCCGAACCCAAGCCTACCCCTCCAACGCCTAAAGAGCCGACGGAGGCGCCGCTATCGACGAGGGTATGGAAGAAAGTCAAGCATGAGGCGCAGCACTACTGGCATGGTAGCAAGCTGCTGGGGGCGGAAGTGCGCATATCTTCTCGGCTTGTGTGGAAGATTCTACACGGTGAAATCCTGACGAGGAGAGAACGCAGACAGGTGCGGGATTCTGGCCGTGTAGAAAATCATACGTGTCTTAAGTAAAATGGATTCGAATAGCTCAAGCGCACAACTCAAGACATGCTACGACTCATCCCGTTTGCGGTATTCGTGGTTGTGCCGTTCATGGAGCTCTTGATTCCTGTGGCTCTGAAGCTGTTCCCCGACATGCTCCCCTCGACATTTGAGGACAAATTCGCTGCTGTAAGCATTCACGGTGGAGAGCATACCATGATACTAAACTCCGAATAGCAAGAGAAGCAGCGGAAACTCCTCCGTGTACGCCTGGACATGGCCAAGTTCCTGCAGGAGACACTTCGTGAGTCGGGTTTGAAAGCCAACGCACACATTGTAGGCAGCGAGGCTTTCAAAGAGTTCTTCCGCAAGGTTTGTCTCCTCCTCAGCCCCAAAGTTGCCGTCATGTGAACCACTGAACAGGTTCGGTCCACTGGAGAAATCCCCTCGGCTTCGGATGTCATTAACGTCGCACGTCTCTTCGACGACGACCTCACGCTAGACAACCTTTCCCGACCTCAGCTCGTCTCCATGTGCCGCTACATGGGAATCAACGCGTTCGGCACGGACAACTTCCTCAGAGGTAACATTCGCCAAAGGCTCACGGAGCTCCGCCGCGATGACCAGCTCATCGAGCTGGAGGGCGTCGACAACCTCAGCACGTCTGAGTTGCAGGCGGCGTGCCAGAGCCGCGGTATCCGGACGAGCGGTGTCTCCCCCGCCCGCCTGCGCGAGGAGCTCTCGACGTGGATCACCCTGCACCTGCACAACCGGGTCAGCGGTGTCCTTCTTGTCCTTGCCAGGGCGTTCCAGTTCGACAAGAAGCCTGGTGAGGAGGATGGCAAGACGGCTATCATTCAGAGCTTGGAGAGCGTCCTCTCTGGCTTGCCGGACAACTTGGTATGTGGTTCAGGCACACCAGTGCAACGTGCATCGTACTAACCCATTGCAGCTTAACGAGGCCGAGCTGGAAGTGGAGTCGGACAAGGCGAGCTTCAAGCAGAAGCTCGAGGTCTTGCAGCAACAGGAGGAGCTCATTGAGGACGAGGAGGAGCAAGAACAGAAGGAAGAGGACGCTCGGCGGGTGAAGAGGGAGGAGGAAGCCCGTCTTGCACAGATGCTTCTGCCTGAGACTGAGGTCGGCCTCGCTCCATCTACACCGCGAATGGCTCTGAACGTGATCGTTGACAGCTTCAACCTGAGAAAGCCGCAGAGAAGGAAGCAGATGCGCGCATGACTACGGAACAACTGAAGGAGCTTGCCGCTGCGCTGTCCATCCTGTCCTCGAAGTCGTCCGTCCTCAAGGAACGCGATGAGCTGCGCGCGCTGATGGAGGAGAACATGCAGGCAGAGGAGGTATGTCGCGGTCCTGACAACCGCCCTGCGAAAACCTCGCTGATCGGACTCACGTCGGGCGTTTTTAGCAGGACCCGAAGTCGCCAGCGGCGGCGTTGACGAAGCGCATCAGAACGATGCTCACCAAAGTCGATGCACAGCTCTCCGACTACGACGCTCGCGTGGGATCGTCGCTGCAGATGATCTCGTGTGATCCGCAGGGCCGGATCTCGGTGGAAGACCTCGAGAAGGCGCTTGCCGTCATCAAGCACAAGCCGGACGAGGAGGTCGGGCACAAGGTGATCGAAAAATTGGACGCGGACAAGGACGGATTCGTAGAGCTGGAGCACGTCCTTGGTCTGGTCAGGGAGGAGGGCTTAGGTGCGGGGAATCTCCGCCTCTCGAGTGTGCGGGACGCTGACCGGATATGTGGCGCGCAGGCACGCTTCTCGACGACGAGGCCCAGTCCCTTATTGGACAGGGCAACGAACTCAAGAAGAGCAAGCCAAGGAAGGAGGATATCGTACAGGAGTGATCCACCCTATTCGTTACAGCCTAGACCTAATGTGACCGAGTCTCAATGATGCGATCCGCACTGCAGAGGGCCGTGCACATGATTCGTGCCAATCAACTGTGCCAATCCTCATTCACTGACCGGCGGTGGAGGGCCGGTGACTACTTTTTGTACCGCCACCAACTGATGTCGACCCCAATGCGTCTGAGATACAGATGCGCCGTACAAAGATCTGGTGAAGCGGGTCGGCCCATCATCCAGGGCGGCGAGGGCGGTGCACCTCAGGTCTCCTGGACGCCACGTTCTGGCCACGTTTGTTCGCAGGCCGGAGGATGTTCTCCTCCGCGTAAGGCTTCCTCTATGGGCGCTCAATCACAAGGAATACCCGACCTATCGGATCTCCGTGCCTTTCGCACTGGACGCCCAACAATTAAGAAGGCAAGGCAAAGGTCGATCCGAGATTCTGAGCGCACTCTGCAAAGAGTTTCATGGCGATCAGGAGGCGGAGGACTTGCTCCATGTGCACGAGTGTAACGTAGTAGATAGACTAGCGTAGTATGGATGGCATGGCAATGCAAGGGTCGCGAATGAATTGCGCCAGGCGTGGCAGTACTATAGACTGAGTAATATGAGATACAGTTTGGTTCCGTCGTGCGCGAACATGTCTATCGATTACATTGTAGATGCAGAAGGGGCAGAGAACACGGAAGACGCCCGAAACGACGAGACGGGATTACATGACCTAAGTAAGGGGGCCCAGACTGGGAGGATATTAGCAATAGAAGGCTTCTCTTAGTACGTTTTACAACCGAGAAATCGCATGGAGCGTCCATGGACGAGGCAAGGGGGTCATGGAAGGGCGGCTACGGGGAAGAAGAGCGCCAGGCGGCGCATGGCCGCGAGAAGGACGTTCAGCTCGTTCGTGATGGCCAGCGAGTCGTACTGCAGCTGCTCGATCTGCGTGCTGCTGAGCATGCGCGCGTAGACGTCCGCTACAGCGCGCCAGCACGTCTGTTCAGCCATGTGGGTCAGCACGCACGGGGACAATGCACAACGCAAAGTGCTTACGCTGTTGATGGGGTCGAGGAAGGCGTAATCGTCCTCGTTCAGCTCGCGCACCAACGCCGCAACCGAGCTCGCTGCGTATAGACACTTCTCGAACGACGGCGTCTGCGTCTCAATATGATCCCGGTGGAGGTGGATGGTCGCGGTGTAGATAAGCGTATGGATCGTGACCAGGTCCCCGTCCGCACGCGTCGGCACGAACTGGTTCGTATGTCGGCTGATCCCTGGGAGGTTGGCGGAGAACTGCGCGAGGGACATCTCGAGTGACCGCTGCCCTGCCCAGTCTGATTCGCTCCTCGAAGACGCTGTCGATGCGCCCAAGCATCAGCCGGTATCCTACGGAGGCTCATGAGCAGGATAGGGAACTCACATGCGAAGCGCGCGGTACGTTCGAAGAGCATAACCGCCTTCGCTCGAAGGGTCACGTTGGAACCGGCACCGCTGCTGCTTCCTAACATTGAAGAGCCGACAAGCGCCTGAAGGGTGTTGACGTTTGCGTCGGGGCTCTTTTAACCGTGTTAGGCTCCATATATATGACAGATTTGAATGGAAGGCCCGGACTCACCATTGACATATCGACAATGCCCATTGGCCAGGACGTCGCGATTTGCGTCCGCGGGTGGTCATCATCCGGGAGCGCCGACGGAAGACCGGTTGCAACTGACCACGCGCGATCGACGATGAATATCTGCCAGAACGCTGCGACGCGCTCTGCGTGTTCCACTGAGTCCTTCACGGGGGGCAGCGGGAACGTCGCGTCGGTGGGGAACGCAGACGCGCCCGCGCCGCCGAGCCCCGACTGGATGCCCGACCACTCCATAGTGGGGCGAATCTGGTGGAGGCCGACGTCTATCGCCAGTCGCGCGCTCGTCGACGAGTGATAGTACCCCTCGAGCACACGCCCTTGACAGAAGAAGTACACGGCGATCAGTGACGAAGCCTGCAGTACTTGGACCATCCTGTCCTGCTGATGCAGGGCTTCCGAAATCCCGGCCAGCGCACGCTTTAGGAAGTGGGGTTCGAGCTCGCTGAGATGCGGTAAACGTGAGAAGTAGCAGGCCATGAGGTAAATCGCGTCCATCAGAGCGGGATGAGGTTGGTGCGGATGGGCTAGATGGAGGGATGCGCTGAACCTGGTAAGGTGGCAGTCGAATGCGCACTGGTGCCGATGCGAGAAGAATATTTCGAGGCTGGTCAATCCATGTCAATAGAGCCGGACGCAACGCATGGAATGAGTACCCACAGCTGTTGCTTATTTCTGCAGAAGGTCGATCGATCCTCCCACCATTCGAGTTTGGAGAGCTTGGTGAAGACCATCCGGCGATAGTCAGCTCATCGGACACTTTGATAGCGCTGCCGGGCCATGGGTATCACCAGGGTGTAGACTGTTTGTGGGCGAGGCTGGGATGGTGTCTGTCAAGTTGATGGTCGAGAAATCGTGATCCCAGTTAAGGGAGCGTCCACAGCTCCCGATAGAGGATCTGGATGGGCGCTTCGTGTCAGCACCGCCACCGGTGATCGTTGGAGGACGCGTTGTGGGACGGTGTCTTACCTGAAAGCTCGTTTGTGCTGTTCGAGGACGGCGGGGGCGACGGGGACGAGCCTGAACTCGAGCCACTCGCAGACGACTCTGCCTGCTCAGACTCGAGTTCGCGCAGACGCGCCTCCAGTTTCGCGACCTTCTGCTGGAGAAGCTGCGTGCGACTGACATGTTTCTTCTCGTGATATTGACAGTCGACGCCGCGGTTGGCTTTGAGGCATTGCGAACAGACAGGCCGCAGCCCGTCGCATTTCTAACACGTGTGGCTGTCAGCGTGATATTGAATGTGTGATGAACATGCAGAGATCACCATCTTTCGTTTGCGGCAGCAGAGACAGGCCATGCCGCGCTGGAGAGGCGTTACGGCCTTCATGGAGATAGTCTGGGGATAGCAGGGTACAATGTCGGGCGAGGGTGCAAAGTTCGGTGAGTTGCGTGCAGCTGGAGGGTTTTGAAGCGGATCTGAGCGCCCTGCGTATCAAAACATCAAGTCTCTGTGGTGATTGGAGGAGCGCCTTTCGTGTGTCGTAAAGACTGTCGGCAGTTGCAGACAGACAGGGAGGCGATGTGTGCGCGGGCGGTGGGCGGGACAGGGCCATCTTGTCGGGCGTTGGCGAGATATTTAAATGAGAGGAAATGGAAACGCTGTCCGCGCATCGACCACAGGAAACCGCCCGCGACGCGAGGGTCCTCCATCCTCGGGCGTCTCTCCCCGCGGCGCGCTAACAGCCACCGATCTGGGCGCCCGGCAGCGATCCCATCGGGACCAGCACCCGCTCTGAGTTGCGCACCGCCGCCCACCCGCTGCCTCGCTGCCCCACGCACGCACAGCTCGAGCCCTACCGCGCCCCCGGCTCCTGGAATGGCAAGACGGAGGAGCGTACGAGGGACGCGAACGTACGCGAGTCCGCGGGCGCAGTCGATCCAGTGCGCGATCGGGGCCGTGGTCCGCTAACCAGATGCTATGCCGTTAGCTGCTGCACCGGGCGCTCTCTCCAGCCTCAGGCTGCAGCCATTTCATCCTCCTCCTCAACGTGCCCGAGGCGATGGCTCCGGCTCAACTCCCCCGTTATCTGTATGGTGCGAAAATAGACCATCCCACCGAGTCTGCATCGGACCAGCACGACAATCATCAGGGCCATCCACGCTCAAGCTCACTCTGAACTTCACGCTGTGCTTCCTTCGCAAACGGGTCCAACACACCGTAGGCACTGCGTGTCATTCGCGTAGACACAGCGTCCAGGAACTCAACGTTACTCAACTCTAAGCTCAAACCAAACCCACTCCAGCGCATCATCGTCTATCGCAGCCTCGTGGGAGTAGCACTCACACAGTAAATTTCGCAAGACACTGTCGCTGATAGATATGCAAGTGGACGCGGCCCATTAGCGGTTCGCGCAAGTATATTTACATTCAGCGACTACGCTTTTGGCTGCTGCGACGTGAACACCTTCCGCATGTTCTCCCACACCAGTGTTGGTGCCTGCGCCGCGTCGATTGGTCTCCAGAGACCCTTCTGCTTGTAGTATTCAATCACCGGTCCCGTTTGCGAGTGGAAGACCGTCAGACGTTTGCGCAGTGCCTCAACATTGTCGTCGGATCGCTGCACGAGCGGCTCGCCGGTGACGTCGTCGACCATCGGTTTCTTCGGGGGGCTAGATTTGCATGTCATGAAATTTATTTTTGGCAAAAAAAAAAGTGCGTGAAGGGACTAACCTAAACTCCCTGTGGTACGTCCTACCGCTCGCGGGGTGGATTAAGCGACCAGTAATACGGGAGATGAGCAGCTGGTCTTCGATGACAAGTTGCACAACATGGTCTAGCTTCTCGCTCCGGGCCTTCAACATTGTATCGAGCTTCTCGGCCTGAGGAACCGTCCGCGGAAATCCGTCCAGCACGAACCTTCACGGGTACACCGGTGTCAACGATCACGACACACTCATCCGGGAGTCGACGGATGCAGGAATAGCAGCAGACGATCCGCCACGCCCCGCATTCCGCCGCACAGAGTTATGAAATGACGCACCCGTTCTTGCACGCCTTGTTGTGCTCGAGCTGGTCCTTGATCATCCCGACCATGATGTCGTCGCTGACGAGGCCGCCCGCGTCCATGATCTTCTTCGCCTCGACGCCGAGCTTCGTCTTCTGGGTGACCTGCTCACGGAGCATGTCGCCCGTCGCCAGATGGCACACGCAGAACTTGTCGCGGATCCGCGGCGCCTGCGTGCCCTTCCCTGCAGCCAGAACAACCACCTTCAGCACGTCTGCGGGGCGAGAGGACCGCCGTACACGCACCTGCGCCGGGCGGGCCCATGAGGATGGTGCGGAGCTGCTGCGCTGGCGTGCTGCGCGTGACCGCGTCCTTCGCCTTCGCCTCCAACGCCTCGATCTTCGCGTTGAGCTGCGAGACGAGCGACTTGAGGTACTCGAGTTCGTCACCTGCCATGGTGGGGTCTGTGCGCGGCGCGGAGGGCCTGGAGGTGGAAGTGGGTGCGAGACTCGACCGACGACGTGTGGGAGCTCCCGGCGCCGCGTAATGGCCCGAGTGTGCGGTGGCTGGTGGCGGGCCACGAGCCGGCTTCGGCAGTTTGCGCGTGATTACAGACAAGTGGCGGCTCGTCACTCGACGTGCTGAAGCCGCAGCTGAGCCTGGTCAGGATCATTCAATATTAGCATGCTCGTCTGCATGAGAATGTGTTTGCCAATTGGGAAGGGATGGCTCGGACTCCTCGAATCGGCCCAGCAGCGCAGCTGAACCTCGGGGAGATTGAATTGATGCACCAACACTAAATTACTTGAAATACACGTCAAGGGCCGCCAGCTGAGGGTCATCCAAGGGTCATCATACCGCTCACTGAAATTGTGACTTCAGAGTACGACAGTTCTGATGCGCACAAATTCATGTATGACCCAAACATGTTCTCTCAGACCCGTAACAATGATGCTTCTGGAGAGCAATTCAGTGCCAGACTCAAGGGTGGAACTTGAAGAACGCTCAGAATAGCGGCCATATCATATTGTGGACGCGTGTGTGCAGCATCCTTGACGGGATCCCTCGAAGCATTGAGCCTACCACGTCACCGTCTCGCTGTCAACTCACTTGCACCGAGGGTGGTTCCGACGTATCACCCCGACTTCACGGGACCGACCTACCTGCCAGTACCACACCGGCTCCCCCGTCGCCACATGCGTCACCCGATCCAAAGCACCGGCATTCGATAATTAAGTTACAGCCAACTGGTCCATACAAAGGGGGCACGCTGCACGCTAGTCAGATTTCGTGCTTTTCGACTTCTTCGCCTCCGCGCTGTCGCCGGCGAGCCACAGCGCGCAGAACGCGAGGAACGCGGCGCTCGTGCTGATCGTGCCGGCGTAGTATGGCCACGCGGGGCTCAGGAAGCGCGGGTACTCGTCGTGCCGCGGCGGAACGACCGGGACGACGGTCGTGCTCTGCAGGTAGGACCAGCTGCGGGTGACGTCGCACGTCAGCGAGCGTGCACTAACGCAGCCGGAAGAGGCAAGGGGCGACGCACCCTTTTCGCTTGTAGTCGACGTTGAATTTGAACACGCCGTGCCGGTCTGGAACGCGGAACGTCAGCGAGTACTCGCCGGGCACCCCGGGCGTTGGCTTGAGCGCGGTCCGGATGTGGGGGTCCAGCATCGTGAACTCGAGCTGCATGTCGGTGATGCCAGAGTACGGCTCCCACTCCGCCGAGGTCGGGTTGTATTTCGACACGTGCATTGTGTACGTCTGCAATCAATCGGGGCACCGGGTTCAGCGCGATGTACGGCAGACATGAGGTGAGCGGACGCACGACGCGGTCATTGATAGTGTACATATCCCCCGGCGCGGTCTCGTTGACGCGGTGATGCGTGGCGTCGTCGATGCGCAGCATACCTGTCTCTTGGAAGGTCCACGCCGCCACGTCGGCGGCGAATTGCTCGTTCCCGGGCTTGACTCCGCTAGAGGAACGCGTCAGACCGCGTGACGGGCGGAGTATCCTAGACTTACTCAATAGTAGGCTTCTGTGCAAACTCGTCGCTGAACAGATCTACCCCACCAACCCACGTAGCACGGCCACCACCAAGAGTCTGGAATCCAGCGACCAGTCCAAGTGAGTTGCCTGCCCACAGGCCCTCGCCGCCTTTGTCTGCAGCCTCCACAATCGCCTCTGCACCGGAGTCCGCATCAGAGTCCGCTGCAAAGCTCTGCGCCGGTGCGTTCAGAATGGGCACAATGTGCGGGTTGCTGTTGAATGCGAACGGGACGCCGGAGAACCACACGGGCGGCAAGCTCCCAGAGAGCACAGGGCTCGACGACAAGACCTCGACGGGGATCACAGTCGCTGGTGTGTCCCGCTCAGGGAAGTGCGAGATGAGAGGTGTGCCAGGCGGCGGCAGGACGAGTGAGAACTCGCCGCCAGGGATGTCAAGGGCGTCGCTTTTGACGACACTGCGATGAGCAGGTTGGTGTTCTTTGAAAGGAGCGTGACCAAGGACTGGGGGGTGATGTCCGAGGAGTATGCTGTGTCCACCACATTCAGCAAAACAGCGTATCCATGTCGCATTCGCCAACATGGACTCACTCTTGGACTCCGGCGCGAAAAGAATTACATGTGAGAACTCAGGATGGTCATGCGCAATCACAGCGGGGTGTGCGTCCTTAGGAGTCCGGAAGGTAAGATCATATCCTCGCGCTAGAAGAAACACGTCAAAGCCAGTCAACGGTCACGTCGCCAACTACACGCACCTCCAAGGCCGTCGAAGAATCTCGAGAAGTTGTCCCTGCTCGATCCAGGGTCGAGCACGACCAAGACAGAATTGCCAGTGCTGGACTTAGCGAGAGCAGCCGCCGCAAAGCCCAAGAACGAAAGGAACCTCCATGGCGAGACCATGGCAGAAGAATGCAAACACCGCTTGCGCAGTTGCTGGATGAGTTGCAGCCACCGCGCGACCGACCACGTATACATTTCGCGGGTAGGCGCTTACGTAACACGCGCGCAGCCTCCTTCATCTATTTTTAGATCTTGATGTCTCTCTTTCTGTTCGCCATACAAGCCATACACCTTCACGCATTGCGACCGCACAGTATTTCGCTCTAGTACATGCGGCACTAGACTTCAACTCTTTGCAGGCTCTCGTATCATTCGGGCCATGACCGGCGTGGACTGACTCGGATAGTGGCGGCGGCGTAAGAGAACGCCACGGAGACGCTATTATGTACATCGCAGTGACCGTCGTGACAGCGGATAAGTTCATCGGCAGCGCGCCTCATTGACCATGCATTGCATCTGACCGTCTTGTGCGCTTCTCAACGACGAGTCTTTTGAACTACAAAATGTCCGCGAGCTCAACAGGCCCTGGTTGTCCTCATCAAGCTACGGCAGGGTATTGGAAGAGGAAGTACGAGGACGCACAGCACGAAATATCTGTTTTACGGTACGTGCCGCATCGTACCAAACTGGAGTGACTAAAGCTTGATACGGATACTTTTAGCGTGTTCTTGAGTTAAAACGCGCCAATGCCTCGTCGCAGACCGACAAGATCGACGAGCTCATCAGGCTTACCCGTGAAGAGGCGCAACGACGGCAAGCATCAGATGCAGAACTGGCAAAATGCTTCACGCCGATCAAAATGGAAGATTCAATCCGACCTCTCCACCCAGAGGAACGCGTCGCGCACCTGGAGAAAGAGAAAGCAGCCCTGGAGAAACGGGTCCAAAACGCCGAACATGAACGAGCTCTCCTCAACCATAAGTGCGTGTGTGACTACGTCGCTGAACCAGTCTTGCATCATGTGCGAGCGTTGCTCGACTACAGGCAGATGTTTTCCGTTCTGAGGCGTCAATTCTGGCGGCGGAAGCCCGTCGAATGAGGCGCAGCAAGCTCGAGCACTCTATCCGCCGAATACGATTCTTTTCGACGAAGGCTTCGTCCCGCGGCCTACAGCATGTACAAACACGAAGACCTGGCTCGGTGCCATACCCCAGGTACGTCACCGCTTGGCCGCGCCGCTGTGGTAACACTCCCCTGCATAATTGTGATCCTCATCTCAGACCTCGCAGGAAGCCAGCGGTGGCAGAACGTGAGTGAGCCTCGGCGTTGAGTAGCCTACGTCTCGTTTGACGGTGTTGGCCTTGACTGTGATCATCACACGGTATTCCGGGTCATGCGGAGTTGCAGGCTTTTCTTCCTTCCTCGGCCACCGAACTGCCTCCCTATTCGCGTCCCTGGTTGGGCCAAGTCAGGGTACTGGTTCCATCCAGAAGGTGCGATTGTGGGAGAGCGGGAATTTGAGCTCATCATTGAGACGAAGCATAATGAGGTGAGCGGACTTGCCTGGCCCTGCTTTGTTGTGAATGCCATGAGTACTGAACTCTGAGGCAAGTGGTGCTACGTAGGTCGCTATCGCAGCACTCCGGTCTCTGGCGGCAACATGCAGTTATCCGAGTGGATAGAGATTGACGAGGCGGTACGTGCACCCACGATTCTCCGCCTTTGGCGAACGATGTTCATCATACCTTAGACGAAAGTGCATTATGTCGGACGAGTGCAGTCGGAGGTATTTGGGCAGTCCGGTCTCCCTGGAATCGGCCAGATGACTGTACAGGCTATCCGGAAGAACTACGACACAGGTGTATGGAGCATTCCGTGTTACAGTCTGCAGTGCGTCGGATACAGCAGAGCGCTGTATGCTGGACTGCAATTTGCATCCAGAAAGACCGCGACCGTGGCAGGTTAACATAGCTGCTAGACTATCCAGACCTCAAAAGTAGCCGGGGGGTGATGGTTCGCTCAGTAGGACCGTTTGCCAAATGCTTTGATTGCTATTTCGTGACGACTATCTACTACAAAACATCTGAGAGTTCCTGCTGTCATGTCGCTGTGCCATATTGCTTGTCGAACACCTTGTTATCGAACAACTACCTTCCGTGCATTCATATCGCTTCTTCCTGGGATAATACACTTCTTGTCAAGATCTGATATTGCAGTCAGTCGCTGGTCCCGACACGCGTGCGGCATGGAAGCCCGGCGTAGGGACCAAGTAGGTCGGACACCTACAGTCTGAAATCTTAGATTTGAATGGCTTCCAAATAGTGTATCGTGGGAACTCAACGAGACCGGCCGGACGTCGGAGCCCTAACCCTGAATCTGGTGCCGGCCACGCTTTGTCAGCGAGCGTCTAACCCTTCCGGCGTCACCGACGGCCAGACTCGCGGGCAAGGCAGGGAGTCTCCGAGCTCACAGTAAGCAACCCTTGCCTCCTCCTCTCATCTCATCCCCCAAAAGTACGACTCGACATGTCAGGATTCGTAAGTACTCTATGAGGACTTGGAACTATGCGTTCTGATGTGCTTGCAGTTCTCAGGGTGGTGGGGCTCGTCCTCGCCGTCTCCCGCTCCTGAACCCGCCAAGTACGACCCGACGGACCCGACACAGAACCCTCTCAACCCGCAGGGTCTTAAGCCGTATGTCTCTTATCCTATTCAATGGGATCCTATGTTGACGCACGGTTAGATGTTGCGCATGCCCGCAGACAAAGTCCGTCCGCGATGACTGCTTCCTGAAATTCGACTCTTCAGTGGCAGACGAGAAGTGCAAGGAGCTCGTGCAGGCGCACATAGCTTGCATGCGGGGTTACGGGTTCAAGGTGTAAAGATGCGCACGAAGACCCACCCGTCGTCAGGAGGACACACAACGCTGCACTAATCCGTACATTTGCTAAGTTATGACCCATCACTACTCAGATAGATACATCCTGGGGTTGCACGTCACATACGGTCGATGGTTGCTGCAAATCGAGACGAAGGATCTAGCGATGTGTCCGGACTACTCCAGAGGTATGGTGAACTCCCAGCGGCCCTCGG